CCAACCCCAACCCCAACCCCAACCCCAACCCCAACCCCAACCCCAACCCCAACCCCAACCCCAACCCCAACCCCAACCCCAACCCCAACCCCAACCCCAACCCCAACCCCAACCCCAACCCCAACCCCAACCCCAACCCCAACCCCAACCCCAACCCCAACCCCAACCCCAACCCCAACCCCAACCCCAACCCCAACCCCAACCCCAACCCCAACCCCAACCCCAACCCCAACCCCAACCCCAACCCCAACCCCAACCCCTAGAATACTTCAGAATATAATAAGAAATTTACTTATGCTTCTATGAATTTAGCTAGTATGTAAAAATGATTTTTACACCATAATTAACTTATTAACACTATTATAATAAAATAAAATATTCTATAATAATTTTTGATTTATGTTATATGCTGAAATTTAACAAACAATACTCAAATGAAAATGTTTGAAATCAAAAATAATTAAGATTGATTGATTGAGTATTAAGAAACATTTAGATAATTTTATTTGTTTATAAATATAAAAATAGTGGCTTACGATAATAATTTTTTTGAAGATTAAAATATTTTGTTTGGATAATTATGATAAATAATGTATTTATTGCTCACCATCGAAATATATTTTACATGTTTTTTAAAATTAATTTTTCATAATTTAGTTTCATTTGTTTTTAAAATTATTAAGAGATAATAAAGATTAAGTGTTAACTTGCCAATTTTCATTTACATTCACTTTTTGAGCTATAATTTTAACTTTATGTTTTAAGAGAATCATTTCTTCATCCAGAAATTTAGTTTTTGTCACAAAGTCTGACATTTCTTTATAGTTTTAAAGGATCCTTAAAAAATCATCTTCAAGTCCTTTGATCGCAGGTTGAATATTTTACTTTAAATCTTCAGTTATATTATTTTATACCTTTGTAATTTGTTAAAGAGATTTTTCATATTAGTTTAAGCTATCAAATACTTCATCTTTATTCAAAGTTATATTTTGTTGTAATAGTTTAATTTTATCATTTAAGTCTGTAATTTTAGAATTAAAGTCATCGTATTTCTAAAAATTCTTTTCTATTTAAGAAGCATTTGCATTTATTAATTTCATAGCTCTTTCAATTTAGGTATTGAATGGCTAAATAGATTCTTTTAACTATTGCTCGATATCATTTGTAAATTTTAATAAATTTTCATCACTACTTTTTAGTTTTTTTTCAAGAAGTTCTATTTTTTTCATCTATTCTACAGTCCTATCACATTCTTGCTACTATTATAAGATTACACTTTAAACATAATTTTCTACATCGTTTTTTATATTACTACTAATGATCGAAAGTTACTAGCTTTCAGTTTGCTGATCTTTTAATCTAAACAATCTTTCATTTAAATCTATTTTTTCTTCGTTGCTTTCTACTCTGGCTTCTAATTTTGTTATTCTTTATTATAAATTTATTATAATTTGTTTCATTTATTCTCCTTCTACATTTCCATTAGCTATACTTTGCAGGCTTCCTCTAGGTATCTAAGAGTTATTTTAAGAAAGGCTAGTGTTGTTTATATTGACAGTACTTCCTAAATATTATTCTTAAGAGCCAGTAGTGTTATTAATTGATTATCTATTTGAAATCTATATAAAATTAGCAGTTTGCTCAAATTCATTTCCCAAAGTAAACTATCTCACTTAATTTTTTCTAAATTGAGATGATAGAATTTCATAATTTAATGACTATGGTTCGCTTTGAATTTATTTGTCTTCTTTACTATTAGAGTGACTATGGGAGGCATTTTAATTTATCTGGCTATTTAAAACAAACTTATTTTTTGAGTAATTAGTTTCTTCTTTTGGGTTAATTACATCTCTTTAAGAGCTTGAGCCTTTTTTTACCAATTAAGGAACAAATGAAGGAGAAGTAACAGAGGCATAAATTTGATCGCTTTGCTTTCTGACAGCAGGAATATATTATTTATACTGCTAATTTTTAAATTCTGTGAGTTTAGGGGAAGTACCTATTTACTATAATATTTGCGTATTCATTTTTATGGAATTTTAAAATAAAAAATTATATTCTATACAAATAAAAATATAAAAATAATAAACAAGTTAATAAATATCAAATTCATCAACAAATTAATACCCAAGTTATTAATTTAATCAATATATTTTAAAAGAAACAAACAAACAAACAAGCAAGCAAACTAACTAATAAAATATTTTGTAAAAAATAAAAAACCTTAATTTAATAATATTGTACACATTTATATAAATATCAATCGTTTTATAAATTCAAATTCTTAGATTAATTCAAATCTTAAAAAATTGTAAAGAAAATGTATTTAATAAGTAATTGTTTACATAAAATTAGAAAACAAAATTACCATCAATTAATAAGCAATTAATTTAATTACATTCAAAAAAAATACATTTTTAAATGAAATTCTTATCAATTAAAATCTCCAAGTAATTTTGATTATTGAATTTCTTCTAATTTACTCACCTAACTATTATTATTTTTCTCTCTATTTTATGTAATTATTGGACTTTAGTCAAAGAAATTTGTATTATTTTTTACTAAATTTATGCCAGTTGCTTCATAATCGGTTATAAAGCAAGAATCAATTACAGAATTTTCATCATTATGTTATTATTATTATTATTCAATTGTTGCAACATCTTAGGAACGCTATTAACTAAGTACATTATCAGGTGTGTTTTAATATAATTAGTTTAACCTGAAATGAGTTTACTTTTTAGATTAGTGATTTTATGTTTAATTTGAGTAAATCTAACAATTATTATAGCTATTATAATGTGGAACAGATATATCCATAGAAGAGTTTAAAGAAACAGGTGTTAATAATTTGGATACTAAATTATTATTTGAATTTATACTTTTAATCATATTAGGATCAATTGTGTTTATTAATTTTTCATCTATTTTAGATTTATTCTTTTTCTAATAAATCTTTAGGAAGCTTAGTTAAGCATCTTTTGCCTTTTCTTCTGAAGTTTTATCTGCCTAAAAATAATAATTATGGCTATTTCTTTATTTATTTTTAGATATAATATTAGTATTTTATGAGCTAGTAAATTCCTTTTAACCATCTATTTCAATATCATTGAGACCAATTTTGGGTTTAGGGATAAATTCAAAAAGCTTCATTTAATCTTCATCAAAAATCAAATACTTTAGTTTGTCAATTTCTATCATTTTATTTAAAATGTGCAAAATATCTAAGTTTTAATTTAGCTTCTTGATGCTATAATCAAGTAAAATCTTCTTACTCTTCAAAGCCTTTCTTTTAGAACAAAAGAAATGCTTCAAATAATCAAAAAATTTATATTAGATAGTTTATTAGGATGTATCAAAAATTTTCATTGCATTTTTAATTTTAGATTTTTTATTTGATTAACTGAATACTAGTTGATTGGCATTAATAGATTAATCTCTTTAGATATCAGGCACTTATTTTATGATTTCATTTGTTTCCTAAACTTATTAACTTTGCTTTTGTTATTTATCACTATTTTACTCTTCTGAAATTAATTATGGTTATTCATTTTTATTTTCATTTGTAATTTCATTTAATTAAAAAGAAAAAAGTTAATTAACTAAATTTTTATTATAATATAACCTTTAAAATGGACCTAACAAAATAGCACCAATCATAGTAATTATTTTTAGTAAACCACCAACTTAAGCAGTAACATCAAGTACTTTTTCATATCTTCTTTACATATAATCTTCTTTCTATTTTCTTAGCCTTAATAAAACTCTGCAAATAGTATTTGATTAGTCATGGTATATAACTTCACTTTATGTTACAAAAGAAAACCCTCTTATTTAATAAATATCCGGGTAAAAAATTCCTTAATCTGTATCAATATAACTGTTAGTGTAGTAGAGTTAAATTTCTTTCTAAAAGTAAGTAGAAATAGTAGAAAAAAGGTTAATTCCTTTATTTTGAAAAGGCTACTCAAAGGAAGTTGGAACTATGAGCTAATCTGAAAGGTATAAAGAAATTTTGGTATTTCCCATAACATTATTGATTTAATCTGGGCTCTTACATATTACGCTGCCTTAATCAGTAGAATTAGTACATTTTTAGATGTAAATATAAATTTAAGAAAATGATTACTCATCAAAATCACCTTCAATATAATTTTATTCGTCTTGATTTCTACTTTTTAGACAGAAGTAATCACTATACTTAAAAGATGAGAAGTAAGGTTTGAGATCTTCTATGCCTACATCATCTAGATTACATGCAGATATCTCTCTATCATATTACTTTAATGACTTATTAACTTGCCCTGTATTAGGGTCAGTAGTTTAAACTAATTATTAAATAACTGCCTTTACTGTAAAGTATGAAGGATCAACAAAAGATTTAGAAAACTAATCTTAAATTCCAACCATCATTATGATATTATTTTTATCAACTTAAACTCTTTAAGCTTGAATAATTTATCTTTAGCTCTAGATTACAATAGGGTTTTTCTTAATGTAAAGTTCTTTACCATATTCCCATAAGACAAGACCTATAATCCCAAAAGTTAAAATAGATATGAACCCCCCAAAAAAGCTCTTTTACTTCTCTGATTATTTATAGTTAAGATTCACTCCAATTGAATAAATATCTATTGAAGTAATAAAACCATTAATTAACTTACTCATTTATTTGAAATATAGTTTAATTCTGTTGTTAGTTATTTTAATTATTTTTTAATAAACTATTTAATTTAGTAAAAAAAATTAATAATAAATAAAGCATTAATAATGGTGTCGATAAATTATATTAGTTTTTTTAAATTTGTTTAGGTAATTTTAATAAATGATGGATAATATTTTTATTTAACTTGTGATAATTTAATGAAATAAACAAAATAAAAATCATTATTTCTTGATTTTTTTTTTTATTTATTTCTATTTTAAAAAAATTATTTGAATTGCTCATTCATTTTAACATAATAGCTATAAATAAGTAAACCTTAAAGTGTGTAAGCATAAAAATATATTATTTATTCGTATCAATAATATATTTTTTATTAATATTGTAACCAAGAATACAGTTGAAGCACAAAATATGCACTTAGATAGATATATAGCTCTAATATCTAAGATATTTTCATAATAATGCAGGGATTTTTATTTTTCAAGTTTTCAAAAGTCTAATTAGAAAACTCTAAATGAACAAAATAAGAAATTGTTAATTAATTTATCTATCAGTCTTACGAAGTTTATGATGCTATTTTTTGGAGACAATCATAACTTTTAAATTCGAGAAAAATAAATACTCATAATTAATTAAAAAATATCATTAAATAGATAATAATTAGTTAGCAAAACTCTCTTAGTATTAAAGTACATATTCATCAAATATAAAATAAAAATATAACATATTATATAAAAAAACAATAGAATAATTCTATTATATTATGTTAATTTAAAATTTATTTTTAGCAAAGAAAATATTTTATTTAACATAGAAATCAAAAATACTATTTAACCTTTAATCTAAAAATATTATGGAAAAAGTTGATTGAAATTTACAAGTATGTGAGTTTGGCTTAAAACTTCTTAATTTGATTAAAAACCAAGAAAAAAGTAGGACCTAAATATATTTGAGGTTTTTGGGCTTAACTTAATATATTTCAATTAATTAATTTTATCTTTTACAAATTTTGAGAAAAAAGTAAATTTGAAAAATATTCTGAAATACTTAAAAAATTGAAATATCATTATTTTTCTTGTAAAGTCAATAACTTAATGATATCTTCTTTAGAAATAAACTCTAAAAAATAAGTCATAAAAATGTAGCAATATATTTTTATAATGTATGAAAGAAATTCAATTTAAAACATGATATAAATGTAAAATGGACTTTCTTAATTAAAATCAATCTAAATAAAAAAAATAATTAAATATAGCCATAAAAATTGATTGCCATGTAATTCTGACATAGTTTTAATTTTTTGTTAATTTATTTTCTAGACCATTACTTTCAATAAGAAGAATTTAATTAATTAAACAAAATAGATTTTTATCAAATTAATCAATCCTAATAAGAAAATTTACATGTAAACTAAAATTTCTAAAGAACCATTCAATTTATTTTTTTCGAATTTAATTTTGAGAAACTTTAATTTTTGAGAGCCTCAAATGGAAAAAACTAATATCAAATCATATTTAAATGGGATTACTTTTTGCTAGTTTTTAAAAAATATTTAATTTTTTAAAAAACTAAAATTGAATGATCAAAATTGTTTATATTTTCTATTCAAAATACTTATCACCTACCCAAACGCCATAAAATAAGTATAAAATCTATTATATTTCATTACTAAATCTTTAATACTTGGTATATTTATAAGAATAATTTCGAATATTTTGATTGATTTTAATATTTGTTAATGAGCTTAACTTATTTTTGGAGTATTTTTATTCAAGCATTGATAAATTTTGAAATATTTTATTTGATCTTCCAATCTAATTTTAAGATTCGAGTAAGAAATTCAAATATTGATTAAATATGATTCAAATTCATAGTAAATTAATAGAAATACCTGATATAAAACTCTTTTACTCAAATTTTTATCATATTTTAATTAATTATAAAATTAAAGTGTAATTTAGATATTATAAAAGGTGTAAACCTATTTGTCGAATTAAAACTTTATCCATTAAATTTAATAAAAAAATATATATTAGATGCTACCAAAATTGTGCTTACTTTATTAAATTTTATTTTATTTTGACTTTAAATATTTGAGCAAAAAATAATACATACATTTATAAATATAAATCAATAAATACAAAATAATAAACAAATCTCAAAAAATAAAAATGAAAATTTTAACATCTATTTTCCTTATATTTGCTATTCTATCTTTAGTTTCAGCAGAATTAACTGACAAAGATTTTGCTAAAGTTTAATCTTGCTAAGCCTAATAAGGACCTTAAACTGAATGCTCAACAAAAGCTTGTAGTGATTAAGCAGAAGCATCACGTAAGTGCTATTAAGCTTAATGCCCTACCTAAAATAATCTGTCTGATTTTGTTAGTTGCCTTAAAAAATGTAATCCTTATCCCACTGATCCTGCTGATTAAAAAAAATATGATGATTTTATGAACTGTCTTAATAGCTCTGTAATTATTTTTGCAATTTCATTACTTACCTTAAATATTTTATTTTGATTGAGAAAATAATCAAAAGAAATTATATTAGCATACATTTTCTACTTGAAATCAATGAATTTATTAATTATAAATTAATTTTACTGTATGCTTTATTTAATATTTTTGTAAGTAAGTTTTCATTTATATAATTTTTAAAAATCTCTTTTAGAAATTTTAAAAGTAACTTTAAGTAAATTCATTAAAATAAACTATAATAATGCTTGATAACTCTTTTAATATATAATAATAATAATAATTTTGTAATCAATTTTTCATTTAAAATAGTTTATAATATGATAAAAATAAATAAAATTTAATCTTCTATGATTTAAATCAAATCTGAATTTTGTTTTTGCAGATTAAAAACTTGATTTTTCTTTTCGATGAAAATGAATAAGATAAGACTAAATAAGTACTAAAATATATTTAAATTTTATTTATAAAATTAATTGTTAATAAAAATATAATTTAATTTTTAAACTATTTTAAAATGTATTCAATTAATAAATATTTCAAATATTTTTTGCAATAAATTCTTATTTAAATTTATGAGATATATTAAATTTCTTCTGTAATTAAAATTTCAATTAGTATGAAAAAATAGATTAGAAACTTTACATTTTTAATAGTAAAATAAATTAGGGATTTTAAACAGTGAATCATTTAAAACTAGTATTTTCAAAATAATTAGCTTTAATTAAAATTAAAAAATGAAATAATTAAAATATTAAAATAGATTTATATATAAAAATTTACAATTTCTATCTATTCTCTTTAAAATAAGATAGAATTTCTATAATATTTAAGTTATTATTATCTATAAAATAATATAAATTCTTCAATTAAGTATCATAAATTCCATTTTTAATTTCTAGTAGTAGAATATTTTTGATTATATAAACAAATATAAGCTAAATTAAATTAATTAATATAAATATTTATTAAAAAAAATGCATCGACCGGGAATCGAACCCGGGTCAAAGCGATGGCAACGCTCTATTCTACCACTAAACCATCGATGCTTTCGTTGAAATTAATAAAATAATATAAAAAATAAAAAAAGTTCTATTAATTTTTTAGTTATGAAAAGATTTATAAACTATAATATAGCTTTAAGATATTTATTTTCAAAATAATTTTATATTATAGTTTGTTATCAACTTTCAATTAAATTTATATAAACTCAATTTTTTTAAAATAATAAAGTTTATTTTTGAATTAACTTAATTAAGAATTCTTTTTTTAAATAATTTTTATTTTAAATTAAAGTATTTTAAGTGATTAATCTAATTTAATGTTAAATAATACATTTTAAAAAATATCAATGGCGATTTTTGATTCTATTTTAAATATCTAAAACATTAATGAATAAATTTATGAAATAAAAAATTCTTGTTAAAAATAAATGTTATGAAATTGTTTGAGCTTTAATAGATATTGATTAATAAGATTATTCAAAAGCAAAAGCAAATATAAAAAATTGGAATATAACATTCTATATTTTATCAGAATATAAATAAATTTGCTATTCTTTATCAATTTCGTATTTTTGAAATCTTTCCAAATTTATTATTTCTTTTGTCTGTAATCCTAGTCAAATTAAAAGAATTCACTATATGAATTAGCAAATAGAATTTTATAGAGTCAATCTACTTGAATAGAAATCTTTATTTATATAAATAAGAAAATTAGTTTATTAAAAGCTAAACTTTTATCTATATTAATTTAATAACTTAAATATGAATTTTTTTAGCTTACTTAAAATATTAAAGTCGAAAGTTCAATAAAATATTTAAATTAAAATTTTCATTGGATAAAAAATCATTGTTTATTAAAATTTTATTCCTTAATCAAAATTTAAACATAAAAGATGATTGATTACTATAAATTAAATGGTTTATTTTTATAATATAATTTCTTCTTTTGAAGTAATATTTTTAAAGTTAAGGAGTTTGATTTATATTAACCATAATTAAATCGAATTTAGATATTTTCAATAATAAATTTTATTTTTTACTTTATATTTTTTAATTACGAGGTATTTAATTTACAATTTTTTATTAAAAACCATAAAAAATAAAAAGAACTACTTAAAATATCTAAAGATATAAATCATCTTTAAAGATTAAAAATATCTGATTAAAAATGTATTCCTTAATTCAAAAACCAAATAAGTATTCTAAAAAAATAAAATTATGATACCCAATTAAGGTTACTTAGCTTATTTTTTTTTGTATTAACTTTTTATAATAATAAATTGAAAAGTAAATTCGACCAATCTAAAATTTAAAAAAAAATATCTCTGAATTAAGTCTCCTATTTTAATTTACTATTTTTACTTTAGTCGATAGAAAATTAATTAAATTCGAAGAAAAATAATTATTCTAAATACCATTTTCAAAACTAATGAAATCTATAATAATCTAATTATTAGGTCTGAACAATAAAAATAAAATTTTTTTGATAAACAGATTGTGTCAAATATAATTAATTAAAATAATCTTTATAAATATTATTAAATTACCTGGTAAATAAAATATATTAATGGTTAAAATTTTAGTTTCAAAAGTATTTTGAGAAACTTTTGCATAAATATTTTTATTTAAGATATCTTTCTTTTTCAATATGACTGGAATCAGTACAAATTTAATTTGTTTATATTTTATTCGAATTTAATTAAGAAAATTATTAATACTCAAACTTTTAATATTTTTTCTTTATTTCACTTTAGCTGTAATCTAAGTAAAATAAAAAATACAAAATTTATAAGTGAAGAAATTATACTCCATATACGATTTCTTTCAAAAATAAAGACTTTGAAATTAATTTTACAAATAAAATAGTTTTCTTTCATGAAATTATTGCTTTTGAATTAAAAAAATATATTAAAAATATCAGTAAGTGCAAATTTATTTTTATAATCCTCTAAATATTAGTTTAATAATTTTTTAATTTTTAACTTTTATATTTCCTTTAATTTTAAATTTCAAAAAATCGATTGGATTAGTTCAAAATTTTTATTCTTAATTAGAGTAAATTAATTAAATAATCTTTTATAAAATTTTAAATGCTATGGTTCAAAATTAATTACTTAAATTGAAATAGACTAATTTGATTATGTAATTCGCATAAGTAAGTAAACATGAACTAATTATAGTAATTAATGAGAGTAAAGCTAATTATTTAATTCCATTTGATAAAAATATATTTAATTTTTTATAGGTATTACTTGATTTTAAATATCACCATAGTGATTTAAATAATTATAATCAAATAAAAGTAAAAACTTCAAAAACTAAAAATATTAAAATGAAAATAATTGTTCCATTGCTAATTAGTCTTGTTATTTTATCCTTAGCTGAAGCAAAATAAGATAGTGATACTATTACTATTATTAAAAATTGTTAAGATAAAATGGATCCTCCTAAAAGTGCTTGTACAAGCGATGCTGATTGTAAATAAGCTTAGCTAGAATTTAACACCTGTGCTTCACAGTAATGCACTTCTTTAGACTCTGTAAGTGACTAAGTTTCTTGTGCTAAAAAATGTTATCCTAGTAACAGTATCCTTAAAAAATAAACTGATTTCATGATTGATTGCTTGAGCAGTCCTATAATAATTATAGTTTCTTCCTTGATATCTTTCTTATTTTTATTTTGATAAAGATAATAATGCCTAAATATAATAATGATGATAATTTTTTTTCAATTTATAATTTATATGCTTGTATTATCTTTAAAGGAAGCCTTTTTTTTATTAGTTAAACTTCAAGCAATGATTTTTCTTTTTTTTATAATAAACTCAAAAAATTAAATAAATGCATCTTTAATTTTGGTAGTACTAATTAATTAAATTAACATATGAAATACTAATCAATTTACTATGTTTTTATTTAAATTTAAAATTTATTAATCATAGAGCTAACAAAAAAGCAAATTTGTTTAACAAAAAGTAAATTTTTATTTTTTTTTCTTGATTTAAAGTAAAAATTTGATTTAATTTTTCATGAATAGTGATTTAATTTTATATTTTTATTAATATATTTATATTAAATAAAATATTAAATTTCAAAATATAAAATCAGAAAAAATAATAATTGTATGACAAAAAAAAACAATCTTTATAACATTGAGTCCAAAAAATTAGTTATTTTCTATCAATTTATTAGGATGTAAAAAGAAATAAAGAATAAAAATATTTAATTTTACTTTAGGATATCCAAAAGAAGTTCGTAGAAATCAATAATTTTTCATCAATGAATGCTGTCTAATTAGAATCAATTGAATATTATTACTATTTGAAACTTATTCAGTCTAATTGAAAAATCATGAAATTAAAATATCACCAACTGTGTAGAGACATATTTAATTTAATGTTTATGATTTTTAGTTAATTTTATTCACTATATTTTAATTTTTTTATCAAATTTTGAAAATTTTTGATAGAATTTTATGCCCTTTCTAAATACTATTTAATTTTTAAAAAAAATCTAATGTTTTCTTAATTAGAATTTTCCATTTATTTTGATAGATATTACTTTTATATAACTGATATTTAAATGATTGAAAATTTTTTAAATATCTATCTATTATCAAAGAAAAAGAAGAATCAAAATCATAAAAATAAATGAATAAGACCTTAAAATTAAATCATTCTAAATAATAAAAGTTTAATACTATTAACTTTTGGATACCACAAATATTTTTAATTAAAACTTTTAATGAATATTGTTTGAAATAATAAATTTCTATTTAAAAACACTCTTATTCATTTTAAAGATATGTAATTTATTCAAATTAAATATTAAAATATTAATCAAAAGTATTAATTTTTAGTATTAGAAATTCAATTTTAGTAAAAAACTTAACTAATTATTCTGAAAAGTAGAGAGTAAGATTAGATTTTTAAAAAGGAAAAATTATTTTTTTAATTAAAATTAAGTTCACAAATAAACAAGAATATTTTCGATAATAATGATTTAAATAAATAAATATTAACTAAGTTTTTGATTAAAAATATCTATTAATATTGTTTGAAATAATTATTGAAATCATAAATTTCTATTTAAAATTACTCTTATTAATTTTAAAGAGATGTAATTTATTCAAATAAAATATTAATATATTAATCAAATGTATTAGAAATTCAATTTAAGTAAAAAAAATTAACTATTTACATTTAAAAGAAGAGTAAGATTAGATTTTCAATAACTAAAGAATGATTTTTTTAATTGAAAATTAAATTCACAAATAAACAATAATATTTTCGATAATAAAGATTAATTTAATTATTATTTATTAAAAATATCTTAAGAATTTAAATTCAAATTAAGTTTGATTTATAATAACAAAATTCTTTTGATTTATTTAAAAATAAAATGTTGAGTTTAATTATAAAAAAAACATTTTTAAAATTATTTTTATTTTGGTTTTGAAAATAATTTAATTTAAGATCATTTTTTTTATGAGTCTTTTCTCTTAACCAATTCAAAGATTGAATTTCCTAAAAATATTAATTGAGCTATTGTTAAAGCTCCAAACAGAAAAACTCCTATACCAGCTAGACTTACTTCATCAATATATTAGCTATATTCTTCTTTGTCTTAGAGAATATGTTAAGGATTCTCAAACTTTATTAGTTTATTTATTTTATCAAACAATACTTTTCCATAAACTGTAATTTTATCGCCTACCTTTATACCGTGTTCATTTATTTCAAATCCTACTTTAATAACACTACCTATTCCTAATGAAGCAAAGTTAATAGAATTCATAGAAGAATTTTCTTGAGTACTTATGAAGTTAATTACTTTTCCAAATTTAGAATTTCTAATATTTTCTACAAAGCACAAATTAGAATTTCTGTTTACTAAAATTCCAGTTGAGGGTTAAAGCTAAAATACGCTGACATAGTTTTTTTTGCTAGAGTTATACTATTTAGATTGCTACAATACTCTCTTTTCTAATAAAGTAGCAAGTAAATCATATTTTCTTAAATCCTAATAAACGAGTTTGATGCTTTAATTCTATTAAGATACGATAGGGGCATCGCAAGATATAACGCCCTTCACAAAAAATTTACCACAGTCGATATATTTTTACTGGTTTTTTTCATTTTTGTAAAGGTTATTTAATTTTTCAATAAGCTCATCTGGTTCATATTCTCTGATCTTATTAAAAGCATTTTTCACTCTTTACATTTCTTCTTAATGTATTTAATCTTCTTTAGAGCACACTTTCATCAAATGAAAGCTTGCATATGAAGTAAAACTTAATACTCCTATTTAAAAAAGTAGAGATAAATAATCTTTTTATTCAGATGACATTTCTTTCTTGATTTATCTTGAAATAATATATTTATTCTTTTTTATTAGCACTAATTAATTTAATTCAGTATTATTTATTATATTGTTTCTTAAATAAGTCTGATCAGCTTAACAAAAGTACAAAGCGAAAAACGACTTTTTGTTAATATTTCTGATTGATTTATTTTCTGCAACGAGATAAGGTGTAGCAGAGATTCATATATGTATTTAGAATCATCAAGAAAAATAATTAACCTCTATTTTAATTTTTGCATCAATAAATTTATTCTGAACAAAATTTAATTTACTTTATGAAATAGAATTGTATAATTATTTATCTATTAAATATTTATTTTACCAAAATAATATTCCACTTTAATAAGAAATAAAAAGAAATTCTAAATATACTAAAAAATGTTAATTTTAAATATATTCTCCTAACTAAATAATTGAGTATCTTTTTTTAAAATTAGTTTCTACAAATAAATATCAAATAAAATAAATAGAGTTCTGAAAATTATTACTTAAAAGAATAAATAATTCATATTATTAAATTATTTTTAAACTATTAAATAATAAATAATATCAATTAAATCTTTAATAATAAATAAATATCTCAAAAGTCACTAACCATTTTTTTTTAAAAAAAATATTCATTAAATGCTTTAAATTAAAAATAAATTTATAACTTAATTTAATCTCTGTTTTCTTTAATAACCTTTGAGTCTCATATTTTTTATTAAATAGCTAATTTTATTATTAATCTTTTTCAATTAAATATTATTTCTTTACTCTTTTTTAACATTTTATTTTATATGGCTATGGCAAAAAAATTGATATTAATTTTATTCAAATAAACACTAAATATTTATGAAATGATAAATTTAGAATTAGTAATTTTGATTGAATTTACAAAATTATTTAAGTTGATTAGATTCAATTTAACTAATCTTATTAACTTTCTCATTTTATAATCTTATTGATTTTTAACATACTAACACATTCATATTTCTAAATATCAAATATCCTTTCTACTTAGAATCTAAAAAGTACTTTTTCTAATTATTATTAAATTTTTAAAGGAATTTCATACAATTTTTTTAATTTTATATTGCAAATTATATGAATATATATATTTTCAAATTAAAAACTCAACAAATTATAATATTATGAAATAAAAATATTTATTTTAGTTAATAGTATTAAAATTAATTCTTATTCACTATCATTATATAAAATAACTTTATTTTATATAATAATACATCAATAATTCTAAATCCAATTTATCTTAACTTCTTGGAGTTTAAAAATGACTTTTTTATTTAATATTTAGTTATTATGGAATTTTATACAAGAAAATTCATAATCAAACAGTTTATAAAAGATTTAAAATATTTATTTATTTATTTAATTGTATTAAAATTAGTTACTCCTTTATCATAACATTTTATAAATTTATTCGTATTATAAAATAATATTATTTTACTCATTTTAAAATCACATTTATTCTAATTAATTTGAGCTTATAAATCATTTTTTTATTTTACGCTTATCGAAGGAGGATATTTATTTAAAAAATATTTAAATCTTATGCTAAATAGAACTTTTTGAGTTACAGATATTTACCATTTAATATTTAATGGAGCGTTGATCCCCCTCCAAGAAGAGTTAATATTTAATGGAATTAATACATAAAAATACGTCTTCAAATAGTTTTCATAAGATTTTAGCAAATTATATAGATTAAAAGAAGGTAAGAATTTTAACTTTAAAGACTATCACCTTTTTAATTAATACTACGTAAAAAAAAATTAAATTAGCAAAAATTAGTATTTTTAATTTCTAAATATAAATTCGAGGACTAGTTTCAAATTAGCAAAAGCTTAACCATAAATTTAAAGAAATTCTAAGAAATATTTGAGATATTAGCTCTAATTTATTTTTAATATTTCATAAATTAGAAAATACCTATAATATATTTCTAAATATTCAAATATTTATACTCTAAACTTAGTATTTTTAAATTTCATTTTATTATATCCTAACACTTTTTTATCATTAATTTTTGTTTTAGGGTATTTTTAAATAAATTTTCAATAAATAAATTATTTCAAAAAACACTAAAAAGATGTGAAAAATCTATATCATAGGATATCTTTCTATTTTTAATTCCCATGATTTTTTTATTGAACAATAATTAGTTCATTATAATTTTTTTTTTATTATCATAAAATATGTTTTGTTCTGTAACTATATTAAATTTCATCACGAGAATCAATAGTTTAAAGATATGAAATAGCGTTACCATCTCTTTAAACTAGCAGGAGCATTTTAATTTAAATAATAAAAATATTACTAAGCAGATACTAAATAAAGATTTCTTTATCTAAGCTTAACTTTTGTTTTGCTTTAAAAGAATGAGTGAATTGAATCTAGAAAGATATACTTGATAAATTAACAAAATAAATTAAAATATTCAATTAAAAAACACTATGTCTTAAAAAAAATTAACTATTTACTTTTGCGGCTCTATGAGAGGAGTAAATGCAAATCATTAAAACTATCAAACTATAGTTTAAGAGTTGAGTAAATATGGTGAAGTATTGACAACACACGTTGCTTATCCTGAAATGTCAAATAAGCTTGAGCATAAGATGAATGATAAATAGATATATGAAAGAGATTATAGTTGGTTTACTGAATCTCAAGTTATGGTTGCAGAAGTTACTGCACCCTCTCATGGTGTTGGTATGGAATTGGGTTGGGCTTCTTTGAGATAGAATTACAAGACCTTATGTCTCTCTTAAAAGGAAAAAGAATTTAAAACTTCTGGCCTTATTGCAGGGTGCCCCACTTTTGAATACAAAGAATACTAGAATTAGGAAGATATTGTTGCAATAATTGCTGAATTTATGAAATAATTATAATGAAATAATCTATATATTATTATTTAAAACTCTTCAAGTGTATTTTTTGTTAAAATATATTTTTAAGTAATTTTTTAGGATAATATTTAGTAATTTAATTTTATAATTCATAAGAAACAAAAGATGAATAAAAAACTATCACCAATTATATTTAAAATTGTAATCTAAATTAATAAATCTATTTATAAAAAAATAACTATTACCAGCTATTTAAGCATTTTTCACGATAATATTTAAAAATCTGATTGTATTTGTCATAAAATAAAAGATGAATTATATGTAAGCTTGTAGCATAAATTATTAAAAACTAATGCAATATTTTTTGATTTTATGAAATGATTTAAAGGAAGTACCTAATTAATAATTTTGTTCTATTTTTATATCAATCAGTTTTATTGATAAAATATTGGAATTGGACTTTATTTATCAATAAATAGCAAAAGATAAAGGAAAAAAGATAACAAAATATACTTAAAGTTGGAATATAATTTAATAAATCTATTTTGTGAAAAAATAATTTGTAACTAAATAGCTTATAAAATATTAAAAATAAGACTAAAAAAAATATATTTTAATTTAAATCTTTTTATTTTTTGTCAAAAAATTAGATTAATTAAAGAATGAAAAAAAATCAAGCAAAAAGTAGAAGAGCTTATTTTAATAAATATATTTAATATAAGAAACATCATATGTATTGTCAACCTATTTTTGAACTATAAAATAATGATTTATAGAATAGTTATAATTTAAAAAAAAATAGATATAATTAATAAATTAATTAATGTCAAATATTATCTATTTATGTACATAATTTTTATATTTTTATTTACAAATAATTAGTTTTTTTCAATTGCACTCAGCTTAAAATTATATTTCTTCATTTTCTTCTGAATTAAGTATGTGTTTGCTTTCCATTTCTCCGAAAAATGGTACTATATCGTTTCTTATAGGACTGGCAATTTAGAAGGATTCATTCTAGAGATAACCACAGTCATTTAACTAACTTAAAATTGGAGAGTATTTATGGTCTTCAATCATTTCCTATTATTTGAAGTATGAGGTATCTTTGTAATCGCTGAATCTAATTTAGGACTGTGCTTTATTTAAATACAGCTATTAGTCTTGATTATGGAAGATATTTTCTGAATTTTAGTCCTTGAAATTAGTGGAAGAGTTAAATGAATTTGGCAATAATTAAATATTTTTATTTATTGAATTTTAATTATTGAAACTACAAATAGAATTAATGGGACTTATTCCTGATCCAACTAAATGATTTTCATGCAAATTTAATTAGTTTATTATTGAGGAAGCTAAATTAGGATTGAAGCTTTCTTGCTATTAAAATATAGTTGAGTTATTTTAATTTAAAATTTAATTGTCCTTGCTTGAATAAAGCATTTGCATCATTGATGAAAATTGGCAGTTTGATTCTTTTTAATTTTTCATCATAGAAATGCAAGCTTTATCTAACTGAGTTCTTAGATGAATTATTTAGTCAGCCAAAGAGGAAGATTCTTTTATTTAAAGGTTCACAATATTTTGTATATCCTTTTAGTTTTTCTTCAGCTCATAGTTTTATTTTATAGTTGATTTAAATTAATTTAATAAATTTTGAATTTGCTAACTATCTTCGTTATCAAATTTACTGAATAATTTACTTTATATTGAGGATATTAATTCTTATACTTAGTTATCAATAATATCCTTATTTTTTGATTATTTGTTATTGTCACCATCTCTATGAGATAACTTAGCAATCGATTCGTTTTCATTTATTCCAAGAGATAAATTTAATTATTTATTTTATTAGTTTTCTTATTAAGATAAGCTTTCAACTAACTATTAAAGCATTTTATCTTACTGCTTTTTTTGTTTAACCAACAATTTAAAATTTTAATTTAATTCTTCATATGCCAAAACCATTTAGGATCCTATTTCTTTCCAACGAAATTGCTCTTCAGTTAATTTTTTAATAATGAAATTTTATTTTTCTTATAATTAAACTTCTTCTTTGATTTGAGATAATTATGGTACTTGTTATTATTTATCTTAATTTTATGATTATTTTTAAGGGGTACTTTTTAATGTGCTTTAAGTTTACTTTGACTTCTCCTGTGGTATAGAGGTTGGGATATTTATTTTAAGATTTGATGTATTTGTTTTACTTAATTCTTTAGGTATAGCTGAAGTCTTATCATGTCTACCTTTTATTGATTTAAAGTATGGCTATTGTTAGTGTGACGATATACATTTTGTGGTGCTAGCTTTTTACTAAATTATTTAATTCAGCTTGCTGTATTTAGCTTGAAACTGTAAATCTTCTTTTTACCCTTGCTATTCAGAATTTTATTTTAAGTTGTTTTCTTTATTTAAGTTACTTGTTGTTTTTATAGGTTATTTTGATTTAGAATTTGGTGAAAGAGAAGCTGACATTTTTAGTTTTTTAGTGTCAGATTAAAACATAGTTTTATTAGCAAGATCTTAACCAACCTTAGTTTTAGGTGATACAGGGGGTGATATTTTAGAAGTGTTTAAGGATAAAACTTTTGCAGTTTACTTTGTGAGTTAGTTATTTAATTATAACTAGTTTGTCTTTTATAATGGATTATGATAGATATTCTTTTTTTATTAGGTATTATTTACAATAATATTTTATATGCTTTTTTATGATTCTTTTTCTTCTAAAGGATTTCTTTAAAATAAGCTAATTTTTGAAATATCTTCTAATGATTCAGGGCGGATATTCAAATTTCTTGGCATTACATACTCAAGATATCCTTAAGAGCTTTTCGAATTGAATTATCCTCCTTTTGATGATAAAGTTTAGTTACTAGAACACTAAGGCTTTGAGTTAGTAGAAGTTGAAGCACAGTCTTTTAGTGTAGGTATTTACTAGTCGGAAGATAAATTTGATTAGTTGAGTCTTCCGCTCCCAATACTGTGGAGTTTTTAACTCATTTAGCTTGCTAAAGTATTTTAAGATGTCATAAAGTTGTGTAATTAACTTTTATGAATTAAGTTCTATTGATTTAACTACTAATTTTTTTCATATTCATTTCTGTTCGAAGGAAGAGTAGAAGCCCAGGAAGATTAATGGTGATTTTCTTCTAAGTTATTTAAACTTAAATTTTTATTATTTTTTTAATTATTTTCTTAAATATTATTTTATCCGTTTAAATCTTTAAAATTATAAATTCCTTAGTGCTTTACTCTTAAATCTTCAAATGTAATTTGTTAGTACACATCTTCATCATCTAAATCTTGCAGATTATCATTTACGCGACCATTTTAAGAATTATTGATCATATTTCTTTATTCTTAAGGATACTTTGGATTCAATTACTATTGCTCGTTGCTAACTAAAAAATTCAATTTGTTGTGTCTGTTAGTATCTCTTCCTCCATAATTGTTATCTTAATTAAAACAAACTTGCTAGTTTTCCATTTCAAAATTCTATACATCTGCTAAAGTTATTTCTCTGAAAATCTCCTTATTAGGATTTATGCTGATAGAATTACTTTTGGTGTTATTAGAAGAAGAATTTTTCTGATTTTCATTTGAAATATGGCGGCTATCTTTTTACATAAAATCTAAATTAAACCTTTCCTAGTTTTCCCTGTTTTTAATTGATTAGAAAAACTTGTTAGAAGGATTTTTTTATACAAAATCATTTTAGCCTTCTCTTTTTTAATTTAACATGCTTTAGTTCTCTTAAAAATTCCTAGAAGTCTGAGGACAATTTGTTTAAGATATGTTCATATTATCCTATTCCAACTGAGTACTGTTGATGTAGTTTAATATTTATTTACGTTTTTCAGTATCAGAGCATTTTTAAAGCTACTTAGCAGATAAATGAGAGCTTAAAGATGGACTTTTCTTGAGCTCTCTATACTTTTAAAGTTCTTTTTTAATCATTTCTAATTTTTATTGTTATTGCTAAGGGTCTTGTTATTGCTTTTATTCTATTCGCTGCATACTTTTAGCTACTATTTTAATGTATTACTGGTTTTTGATATTTGGTTTATTTTTTCAAAAATACTAACTAATAAGAAGATTAACTATTTATTTTTTAACTTTCCTAATTATCTTTTAATACGCAATACACTATTTTTCTCTTTATGTTAAAAGTAAGATTTTTCAATTAAAATTTTTTTCTATTGGAGACTTCAATTATTCCCATTAAAAAATATATTTAGACTTTCAATATTCTTTCAAACGTCTGCGAAATTTTTTTTCATTCTAATTTAAATAACTTAGCTGAAAATTTGAAATAATTAATAAATTTTATTAATAGATTTTCATCATTCATTTATTTTTTGATTATATTACCTTTATAAAATCTTTATTATATTTTACGTTTAACAGATCAATTTTTATTTTTGTAAGTAAGCTTATCAACTATTATAGTCTAACGTATTAAAATTTTTAATGGATATCCAGTAACATTTATTTTGTTCATTTTAATGTCTCAATAAATTATTTATAGATTTTATAAAAACAAAAAACTTATTAACCAACCTCCTTCTCAAATATCTTTATGTATTAAAATAATTAAAATAAAAATACTTACTAATTCAAATATCAACTAAAAAAGATACCACCAATAATTAATTAATTAGTCTTTTATTTTCAAAAATTTTCCCAATTCTTTAATGTATTTTGCAAAAGTAACAAATCATTACTTGAAATTAACCATAAGAGAAAGTATTTTCTTAATTATTCAGAAATTTTTCTTATTTTATTATCAATTTTATTTTGGGCTATTTCACAAAAAAAAGCTCAAAATGATATTATTTATTTTTTAATTTATAAAATATTAAACAAAATTAACAGTATTTTTAATATTTTAACAATTTTAATTATTTGATTGATTAAAAAAAATATTAAAAAATAAAAAAAATATTTTTATATCATTAAATAAAAGAAGAAAAATTTTTATTTAAATTTAAACGCTGGCTAATAAGAATATTTTTGAAGAAATAATTTGATATTTTGCAATGCTTAAATTAAGGTTACTCAACATAAAAATAAGCAAAGTAATAATATGATATTAATAATAAGATTAATATTAATATTGCATTATAAATATCAAATTGATCAGTAATCGGGATCATCAACAGACTTTTGGCTGTATCTAATATTGCAGTTGTAAAGAAGTTGGAGTTCAGCATTAGATAAGTTATCTAAGTTCATTAATCTTTCAATCATGCTATTAATTTAAAATGATATTTTAATAATTCAAATTATGATAAAAATTAATATTTTACGGTTGGATTTCGTTTTCAGCAAGAGCAAGTTTACCAAGGAGCTTGAACTTGTTTTCCAAAATACCTCTAAGGTCGCAAGCAGTGTTCTTAGCATGACCAGAGGGGAACATAACAAGCTTAGAATCGAAAGTTCTGCCATCCTTAAGGGTGATTTGAATAGTAGTGGGGATACCTTCAGGATATTTGCTATCGTATTCCTTACCACCATGTTCGAATTCCATTAAGTCCATCAACTTCTTGGTGACGGGATCGAAAATAGCCTTTTGAGAGTAGTCGTCAGGTAATAAAATAAGTCTCTTCCAGACTTCATCCAAAGACTTGTAAGAGCTCAAAGAGTCAACGAAAGTCTTGTCTTGGATGGCCTTTCTCAACATGGTAGAAACAATGTAGACCATGGAGTGATCAGCAGATTGTCTGGTCTAGCACTTTCTCTTGGCGGGATCACCAATGATACCGAAGGCAGGTTCGTAAGCAATAATCTTAATCTTAGAAATGCTATCGAATTCGTTGTGCTTTAAGAACTTGTTTTCGAAGATCAATCTTTGGAGACCTTCCAAGGCACCAGCAGATTAATGTTCATATAAACCTAACTTGAAGTGCATACCCTATATTTTAAAAATTTTAATTAGTTTGCTTAATTTAATAAAATAATTTTATTCATTTATTGCTTTTTTTGATAATCAATTCATATTAATTGATTTTTTGTTATCTATTTTTAGTACTTTCATCTAAATTTCTTTGTAAATTTTATCTATTAATCCTAATTCTTATTACTAACTAACAAACAGATAAAGAAATAAAATTTTATTTACCATAACAGCGAAGTCATCACCACCGTCGGAAACAAAGATATCGAAAGGAGAGTCACCATTGGTGGGTTCATTGAGTCTGAAGATAGCTTCAGGGTTTCTGAAAATATCCTTAGGACCAATGAATCCGTTCATAGCTCTCTTGATGCACATAAGGGCAGCTTCAGTAGAGATAGCAGCAGAGGCACCCTTGGAATCAGATAATTGCTTACCAGCTCTGATAGCTCTGAAGGGGATGTAGTGAGCACAGAACATACCAATAGCGTGTTCCATTTAGAGGGGAGTAGCACCCATCAAAGCACCATAGGTGCAGATGGTAGCGATAGCACCGTGAACGACGTGATCAATCTTGTAAGACTTCAAAGAGAAAGCTTCACATAATCTACCTCTGATTTCATCTTGTAAGACCATAGCCTTGAGGACGGTTTTACCGTTAATGGCAGCATTTTAGTGGGCAGCAGCTAAGACAGCAGGGTAGAAATCGTTGTGACCGAATTCACCAGCTCTGTTGGTCTATTAGTTAAAAATAATACTTATAAGTAAGATTCTTGAAGAATAAAAATAATTTATTGAATGTTTGTTTTTTTGCTCTTTTAAAAAATTAAGCTGAAATTTCTTATGCTTTATATCTTTTTTAACTTTACTTATATCTTTAAACTCATCAGAGAGATTAAGTTTTAGATAAAAGCAGTGTTGATATATTCATAATAGATATATAAATTTCTTTATTTTATCGTTAAAATTTATATAAATGAAATTTCCAGCATAGATAAAATCTAATTTAAAAAATGTTCTTACAGCTTGAGTTTCGTTGTAACCGAAGACAGTACCATTGGAGTCCCACTATTTATTATAGGAAATAGATTAGATAAAAGGAATTTTAAATTATTGTTTATGGCTTAAAATATTGTTGCTTAGAAGTTTCTAAGGTGATAGGTTTAATTATGAGGGGTTAAGCTAAACAAATTAATTAACAGCCAATATTTTTAAATAAGTTACTTCTCTAACAGCAGAAGAGTTGGCACAGACAGCCTTTTCAACAGGGACGTTTTAGTCAGAACCAAAACATCTGGAGACACCCTTCTTTGGCTAATTTTTATGAAAATATAGATAAGAATTTATGTGATTGTTTATTTAGTATTTAAGTCATTAGTTTAGACTATTTAGTTAGTATTGGCTATACTGTTGATTAGTCTAATTGATGACTTTATATATTGATAGAAGCAAGTTCAATTAAGTAGTATTACCTTGTTACCAACACCGCTAGCGTTTTCCAAAGCTTCAGCCTTCAAAATAGAAGGAGCATTAGTCTTGAGGGCAAGAGCTGAAATACCGGTAAAAACGGAGTCAGTGTGGAAAAGCTTGACTCTTTCAAGAACCTTTTGGCTGGGGTTACCGTTCTTTAAGAATTCGATGGCGTATTCACCTAATAATTAAGCTTGATTTTGGTTTTTGGGGAGTTTTCTTAATGATGAGAAAGCCATTTGTTAGATTTTAGACAACATTATTTTATTGCAAATAAATTAATTTATTAATCTTTGATTTTTTTCCTTTTTAAATAAATAATATCTTTTGAAATTGCCAGATTTGCATTTAATATGCAATTTACGTCGTAATATTTCGACATTTCACAAGCTAAAATTGTATCATTTTTGCAGAAAATGAATTTTCACTTTCTCTTCAAGCTAGAAATCTACTAAGTCTTTTTACACGCTTCATTTATTCAAGAAAAAACCCCATTTTTATTATTAACTCTTTTTTGTTTTTATTTCACTTAAACTTTATCTCTTTCTCCATGCTTGTTTATAAAAATTTGGTTAAAAATTTATGCCTAACATTGATAATGCATCATCTTAATATCTGTATCTAAATTTTATTATTAATTAATTAATTTTAATGGAACTTAAAATTTATCATTCTACGAATATTTATGTGAATCTAAACGAATAATTTGGATTTTATTTCAAATTATTTACAATCTTATTTAGTAATATAAATTTTCTTAAAATTGTTTCTGATGATAAAAGAGACTATTGTAATGCAAAAAATATTTTCTATGTTCTAAATATAATAATCTTAAAGCTCATATAAAAAATGAAAATAAATTCAATTTTGTATAGAGGTGTCTTTGTTAAATACGCCATTTAAATTAGAGTAAGTATAGTTTTGTTAACTTTGTTTTATTGCAATAAATAAAATAGACTGTTCCAACTACTAGCTATTTATTAGATTAATATTAATATTCGTTCATCAGTAATAAAAAAATTTACCATGTAATAATTATCAAATTATTTATCTAACATATTTAATTAAATTGTAAAAATACGTAAGCCTTTTTCAATTTAATTTGTTTATTACGAAATATTAGATTTTTGTATCTTAAGCTTAACTAAGTAACTTAAGCGCAGTAAATTTTTTAAATTTATTATCATATTTAACATGAATCAATAATAATATATTATAAAATGGCAATTGAAAACTTACACATATGCAATTTAGTAAGTAACTAATATAACTTCTTTGAAAGCTAAATTTAAAATAAAGAATATTAATTTAATTTTAAATGTAGTTAAATTACGAAATCGATTAATCATATCAAATTGATTATTTTTAGAAGAATTCTTAAAAAATACTAATCAATAAACAACTCTTGAATGATAAAAAAAATCTTAATTTAAGCATAATTTGTTTCATTTTTAATTTAATAAATTAGAATTTGAGTTATAAATGGTTATCAATTAAAACTTTCTTCATATACTTTTATTATAAATTTTAAATTTATGTTGTTATTAAAATTTTGTTTTTATTTCATTTTCACCTATTAATCTTAAACAATTCTTGAATCTTAAATTCAATATTTTTAAAATCATTATAATATATTTTTATTTATGAATATAAATAAATATTTTCTTAATTCATTTTCAATGAAAATGAAAATGAAAATTATTAATTTTTAAATAAAACAAAAAATGCTTATTATATTTAAAATTTCATTAAATTTATTTCAAAAAAAATAAAGAAAAAAAGAAAAATAAATATAAAAATTCAATTCAATTAGATTTTTTTTAATCATTGAAAATAAATAAAGAGATAATTGAAATAATATGATTTTAATTATATTCAGTTAAGAAAGAAAATGCGAAATTGAAAATATATATTTTAATTTTGAAATATCTTTTAGAATAAAGTACTGAAGGCATCATTTTAAAATATACCAATTTAAGTTAAGCCAAAAAGAAATTTAAAAGTTTTATTTAAATTTTTTTAATCAAATGATTTCTTAAAACTGTTTAATCTATTAAAAATTATTATTGCTTGAATAGCATAAGTTAACTATACTTAATTATTTATAATTTTTATATATTTTTATTTGATATTTTCTAAAATGAAATTTTTATTACAAATTTTTTGTATAAATTTTTGAATTAAAACAGGGTATTAACTTAATAAAATTGAAATATATTTAATACATTATAAATAAATTTAAATTATACAATTTTTTATTAAAATTTTTTGTCAAACTTTTTTAATTTAAATTGATTTTAGACTTAATAAAATTGAAATAAAATTAATACATTATAAATATCTTAAAATTATTTAATTATTTATAAAAATATGAAAAATTTTAGTTTTATAGATTTCTTACAGTTAATTTATTAATGAATGAAAATTTTATTAAATTAAATCATAATTGATCATTACTTAAATGATCTCTTTATGGATATATAGGGACTCCAAACTTTTCTAAATTTTTATTGCAAATATTTCCATATTTATCTATTTTAATTTTTATCTTGTTTGTCTTTTATGGTTTTTAACTATGCTAATTATTATTTTATTATTTTTTTAAGTTAATTTTATTATTATTTTTATTACTTCTATCAGATTTTTAGAAAATGTATTGGTCATTAAACTATGAGTTTGAATATATAGAGCAATTCAAATCAAATATGGCTGCATTATTATTTTCAATTGTTTCTTTATGTGCTAAGGAGCTTGTTAATTTTTTATGAAGTTATTTTTACTTATATGAAGATTTTGTAGTTTAACCTAACTCTAAACTTATTTCGCGATACTTAGTAAAAAAATTTTTACAAAGTTTTGAATAAAGAATAACTGATAAATTTATTATATATAGAATCAAATATAAGCCATTATAACCTATTAAAGAAAAGGTTGCAATTAAACCCCATAAGCTAAACTAGTTAACATCATTTTAATTTAATTCTGCTTAGAGTTGCAAGCTTAAATAAATTTGGTGAGTACGAAGAGTACAAAAATAAACAAAAGCAAATGTTAAATCCCCAACTATTCTTACTAAATTTTGATAGGTTTTTTGAAAAGGTCTGAAAAAAACTTCTAATAAAACTCCAAAAGAATAAATTACTATTACTGCTATAATTAGAACTTTTGGATAATAATATAATTCTACATGTAAGCAACAAACAAGCCATTTTTTTAAGAAATTTAAAAGATGGAAATTTTTACAAAAGTATCCTGCATTCATTTTTAATTCATTACTCAAATTTTCTGTTATCACATCAAGATTATCAGATTTGTTTATGCAAATATATCCTTGATTTAGTAAGTTTACTAAGAATATGAAACTTATAATAAAAACATAGGTAGATATTCTAACAAGGGCATTTTATTGTACTTCTGGGTCAAATATATTTACTCTTATAAAAAGATGAGCAGAAACTGAAAAGATTAATAAATTAGCCTCAAACGTTGAAAAAAAGTAGTCAAACGATTTTACATGTAAAAATTATATCACCAGATGTAATTTTTTATTTGAATACCCAAAAGGAACACCACTAAATCTTCTCAACTACTGAATTTGTTTCTATTATTAGATTAAATTTGGATTGTGTTTCATTTCTTCAACTGTGAGATTTTAGTATTAACTTTTTGTTAAATCTTTTAAGGTTGATAGATCTTCATTATAAAATTATAATAGATATTTAGTTAATAAGAATATACATCCTCCTATTATAGTTTAGTTTAAAAAGTTTTGAATATTTAAAAAGAATCCTGTGCTAAATCCTAGTCTTTGGAATTAATTATAAGGTTGAGGATTTTAGTTTTCTAAATCGCAGTAATCTATTGTGAGATAACTTAACTTACAATCTTTTGGATCTGCTCTGTAAACGCTCTATTCTGGCACATTTTAATAGACAAAAGTACCCATCACTCTTTATAATGTATAAAAGAGAGGAGGTAAAGATGTATTAATTGTTATAAATAAAGCACTAGGTTATATTGTGTTTACTAAGTGAAGAAATATTGAAAACTAATTTAAAAAATTTATTGAATTTGTAACTTATTAATTGTAATTAACAAATCCCACAATTTAATCTAATTTATCGCTAATACCTCCACTATTTTAACCTGATCCACTACTACTATCTATAAATACAGGACCAATTTACAGTGTAAAGCTTTTATTTAATAGAGATGGTTTCAAAAGAATATTTTCTGTAGATGAAATTTAAGTTGTGCTTGAAACAGTAATAACTAATTAATTTGCATGGAAACTTTTCTTTTGAAAAATCTAAAATAAAATTTAATTTTTTTAAATAGCTTCGATCTTTATTTCATAGCTTGATGATTGAATTTCTGGGATATAAAATTTAAAAGATTATTAAATGTTAGAGTTTTAAATATTTTATTAGAGATTCATTGTAAAAGTAGCTTAGAACATTTAGTATTGAGACTAGTAATTTGGATAAAATCTTGTAAAGTTTACTCCCATACCTTATTTGCAAACTGCAGTTTATTGCTGATTGCTTAATGTATTGATCATTAAAACTGAATCCTTATCGCTGCAAGAGCATGAATTAGAGTTTGAATTAAATTCCATACCATTCTAAACAAAACAAGTGTAACATTAATTAGATTTAATTCCGAAACAGGATTAACATGAAGGATGACACTTCAAGCAGCTTGATGATGCCAAATCAAAAAACTATTAAGATGGGCAAGATCTGCATAAACCATTTAAAAATATAGAATTTGAAGGGCAATCACAATAAGGTGTTTTTGTAGTCTAATCAGAGCAATTTAAGCAAAATTTTATATCTGTAGCTAAGCATACTTTGCATCTTGAATTGCAGTCAGAGTTAAACAAAAACAACCCATTACATTCATTAGGAACTGTTTTAGTAAAATCTGTTATTGAAAGGCAGCTTAAGCAACTGTTATTATTTAAATAATATCCTTATTCGCAAGAAGTACACGATAAAGGAGAAAGTGGTTCAGTACAAGTTAAACAATTTTGAGCACAAATAGGATTACATTAAAAAGTTAAGGGGTTTAGAATATACCCTGGATAACATTTAGTACAAATATTAGAATCTCCAAGACAATTTAAACACTACGAGCTGCAAGGTAAGCATTCACCTTATTAAGATAAGTAATTTTAATCAAAACACGATTTGCATGAGTTTTTTTATTAAGGTAAAATACACTCTTTACAAGCGCCATAGCAAATAGGATTACACACATTTTAAAGGTGATTTAAAGTGTAATTATTTATACAAGTTAAACAATTGTTTCTTGATTAACTGCAAGTTTAGCATGGGGATTAGCATTAAAAGCATTAACCTTGATACAAATAAAATCCATCTTTGCAGGAAGTGCAAGAAGTAGGATTTACTGGTAAATTACATTCTAAACATGAATTATCACATTATTTCTAGCAGGTACCTTTTTCTGCTATTAATTTATATCCAGCTAAGCACGATGTGCACCATGTTGATGATCCTCTGCAATTTACGCAAGGAGATTGACAGGTACAATTGTTAAGTGGGCATTAAATTGAGCAATCATCACCCTAAAAGCCATTTTTACAATTACATTTTCCCTTTATTATTTATTATTTTGTAATGTATAAAATTTAGATAATATAAATTTTATTAATTTGAATATTTTTTTATGATATTTAAATAAATAATCATTTTTTTAAATCAAAATAGTTTGATAGTATTTCAGATAAAAACAACCAAAAAGGGGGGTGAGCAGTTGACTATTACATTCATTCTAAATTTATCATTATTTTTTTTTATAAAAAATTAAAGAAAGCACTTTATTCAGTCAGTGTTTATCTGATAATTTCATATGTAAAAATTGAAATAATTAATCGTTGATACAAATTTATAAGCTCATCAATATAAATTATTTCCTCTAAATTTGTAGAGATTTTTGATAAGTTATTCATTTTTTTCTTATAAGTATCAATATTATTAATTAGATTTTTAATAAAATTTACATTTTGGCAATAGCCTTTTTGATTGCAATTATTAGGGCATGCAGCTCCATAGCAAAATTATAAGAAATTAGAAGGACAGTTTATAGTCCCTTAGTAAGAATCAGTATTTATAGTTAAAATTTAATAAGGTTCTTTGCAAACAAAGTATTCACCTGAAGGTAACTATATTGTTATATATGTTTTTGATATATCACATTAAGTATAAAGACATCTTATAGGAGGATTTATAGTGGGAGGAGCCGAAGCTATTATTTTGATAAAAAAACAAATTCTACATTAATTTTTCTGAATTAATTAAGTTACTCTTTTATAATATGTTTGATTGAAAACATTTACTAAAGCTACCATAAGTTTCTCCAAATAAATTAGCTTAGGAGTTATTGTTCACATTCAGACAGCTAATAGTGTTAGAATCTTATATATATGGGCATTATCCAGAGTTAATTTGATTTTAAATAACTTATTAGCTTTGTTAAAATTTACCTGTTGAAAACTGATTACACTAGTAAAGATTACCATCTTATTTTATTGAAGTTTTAATCAAATCATCACAGCGGTTATTTAAAAAATCACACCCCATATTTTATCCCCATAGTATAGTATCTGCTATACCGTCATTAATTTATTCATAATTTCCCATATCTCTTAGAATAGCAACATCAAATTATGAAAAAATGAAATTATCTAAATTATCTCCTGACTAATCTGCATAAGTACTAAATAAATCATTAGGTAAAAAATTAGCTAAGTCTTACTATATTAAATATTTATTAAATCTACAATTAAAATAAAATATCAATAATATACCTAGTTGAGTACTTATAAACCTATGGCTGTAGGACAATTAAAATGCTTTCTAACAAGCTATTACACATTTGGTCCTTTTAGAAAATAATTTAAGCCGCCTCCATTAGCAGGTTAAGAAACATATAAATCAGTATTCACATTATAAGGCTATCTGTTTGTTAGATCTCCGTCTGGAGGAGTAAAAGGATTTCGCCAATATGTGAAACGATCTTTATTCCATAATCCTTCATACATAAAAGCTCTTTTTAGCTAGTTTATATCGTTTGCTACAGTACTTTAGCGAAATTTTCTCATTAAGTATCGAACTTCCATCAAAATTGGACGATAGTTTGAGTCCCAATTACAAACATCTTTTTTAATAAATAAAAATATATTAAATTTCCATAAAAATTAATATGATCTAACTAAATGTTTTTTTTATTTTATTCTTTGTCCCTAAAATTATCAATTGAATTCTAATAGAGATTATATTTTAGATTAAGCTTAATTTCATGGATATCAAATTAAAGAAAATTTATTTAGCCTACTCTTATACATTTCTTTTATTATATTAATTCTAAACAAACATAAAAGTTAATCTCCATATTTATGCTAAATAAAGAAGGTATTTAAAATGATATCAACACATTTTAAATCCGAAAAGATTATTTGTTAAAATAATAAACTGTGTTAAATTAAAATCATACGATAAGATACTCTAGAAGAAATAAATATGCTTTAAGTAGCTGATATAACAATTTAAAAATCTGTATTTTAATAGCCAAAAATAGCATTATGAGCCCCTATAAATGTTGAACCACACCAAATAATCCCATTATTTGCAATACTAGATTATCGTGGTACTACGCTAATTAAGCTACTAGCAAAACTCTAAAAGAATCCAAATATCTTTCTAACATAATCTCTATCAGATTAACTTACAAAATATTAGTCAAATTAGCTATAATCAACTGAGACTCTAATTGGTTGGAGTTATTGTGCTAAATTTCTGTGTTATTTTGATTAAGTTTTATCCATAGAAGAGTTATTTTATTATGATTAAACTTCATTTATGATATTTTAAAGTAGTAGAAATACTAATAAGAGCTTATTTGGATTCATTCCAGCTAATAAAATATTAATGCTGAGTATTTTACTTTTGAATGATCTTAAAAACTCAATTTTAATTCTTTTTTGTTTACAAAACTTTTTTAATTAGCTTTTACTCTTAATCAAGTATTAATTAAGTAAAAATCATCAATTTAAAGATTTATTAGAACGGTAGAGCAACAATGAAAAAAATGTAAATAACTACTTAAAAATCTTAACCAAACAAAAAAAAAAACAAATATATTTTTTAGATTCACAATCTTTTTTGTAATGAATTAATCTGAAACAATAATATTATATATTAGATATGAAAAGTTTTTAATAAATTTTATAAAATTTTAATGGTTGAATAATTTTTATTAATCTTCAATGGATTTTAATTTCTTTATAAAATTTAGATTTTTGCAAAAACAGATTATTTGCCCTTATTTAATTAATACTTATAAAATACTTACTCAATATTTAATTAAAAGGGAACGCATAAATTTTTAAAAACTATGACGATGATATATATTATTATTTTGTGACTTCATATTCGTAATAGTTTAATTACACTTTTTATATATTCTGCCTATTAATTAACAAAAGAACTCCCCTATCTAAATCATCACCTAAGTCTATAAAATTAAAATGTTTATTCACTCATCTTCCTTAAATGTCTACTATTAAATAAATTTAAATACTAAAATATTTTTTGGAAAAAAATTGAGAATTGCATAATTTAGTTCATATTAAAATTATTTAATATTTTGGAATATGATAATGATCTATTTATTATTTAGTATATTCTGATTGCTATAAATAAATAAATAAGCCTAAATAACTATTTAATTTTATATGACAAAATAATATATACAGTTTACATTAATATTTATATTAAAAACTCTCTATTACGAATAATTGAAAGAGAGCTCAGCAAAAGTATGCTTTGATTATTAGTTAGAAAAAATTTGTAAGTAATCAGTCTATTTATATAAATTTGGAAGAAACTTCTTCAATATCATCTAATTATGATAAAATATTCTGAGTAGATTTCGGAAGTACATTTTTTTATAGATTAGAACTAGAAATTTAATTTTTGCTAATTTTTTTGATATTAAGAGAAGAATATTCTTCTATGTCATCGTTTTCAGAGCTTTGATCACTTTCTACAATTATTTTAGTTTATTTTATATTTTATTTTAATAATGCAATTTATTCATTCTTTACAAATTTCTTAAAGTCTCTATAAACATTTTTTGGCTTTTTGTTTTCTCCCTAATCTGGAACCTAATTTCTATATCCAGATACAGTGCTTGTGCTTTTTTATTCAGTTGATGATTTTATTGAAACAGTTTGTTTTGTAAATAGAGATCTTGGCCTGTTTTATGGTTAGCTGAATTCAGATACATTAAATAATGGCTTCGACTATAATTTTTCCTCCTGAAGTTTTTACTAAATTAAATCACCAATTTCATTAAAATTAGTAGTTTGACTATTTGTGTCCTAGGTCTTATCTTAGTTATTATTTTACTGAGAATTATTTGCTTTATTTTGATTCAAGTTAACTAGTTGTTATTTTTCTTCAGCCTCACTTTGTTCAAGTACTTTTTTCTTTGAATTAGCTAGTTACAGTGATTTATCAGTTAAGAATTTAATGTATTACTAAGCATAAGGCCAATTAGAGATACTATATTTATATATCTTTCCAATTAAAGGGTTATAAAATACAATATGATTGACTTCTACATTTTGTGCAACCCTAAGCAAAGCTGCATAGGCTAAAACCTAAAAAAGTAAATTTAAAAACTAAAAAATAAAAAGAAAAAAATTAGTATTTACTTAGAGAATATACTCCTTTGAGATAGATTAAAACTAAGAAGCCTTTATTTCATATATTGTATCATCTGCTAGTAAATCTATTTCTCCTTTTAAGTTTAAGCCATGAGTTATGACTGATTTTACTTTTATCTTCTCATAGTTAAAAGATTAAAGGTATTTTACAAAATTATTCAAGTTATCTTAAATATTTTTAGGGTTCAGAGTTTAAAAATCATTCCTATAAAGGACTCTCCTAGTCATATCAAATAACTGACCACATTTACTGACTTAATAAATATCAAAAAGTATATTGTTACATTTTAATTAAGGATTCATAAACTTTTTATAACTATTCATATAAGGTTCTTTATTATAATCTTCAGGAAAATACTCTTTAGCTATGGCATTTAATTCCTCGACTTAGTGAGTGATAACACTAAATAAAAATAACATTAAAAAGTAATAAAAATAAATTAATTCAAATAAAATCCTACCTGTATTCTATATTGTATTTTTGTGTATACTCTTTCAATATTTAGTAAATAGTACTAAGGGTTTAAATTTCAAATCCATTGAGTTTTATGTTTTACTAAATTCTATCTACTTTTCCAAATTTATAGAATAAATTGAATGCCTCTATGAAATCCTCTTCATCTTCAATATCGGAGAAATCAAGCATTTTATTGTTAAAAAAAGTGCTATATTTTGAAATAAATTCTGCCTTATCTGATCTCCAAAAAATAGAAAATAGAACTATCTAAGCATATTCATAAGAGTAACCGTTTTCAGCATTGAGCTATTCTGCAAGAGTTCTTTATATTAGCCTAAATTTTATAATAGAAAGAAATCAAAAATATATAACAATAAAGATAAACTACAAGTCGATATATAAACCTAAATCTACAAACAAGTTATTATTTCTTATTTCAGATTCATTTAAATTGCTCTTTGGATGTATTTAACGAATTTCTAATTCCTCCACATTTTATAAAAATTAATCAGCTTCACTTAAATCTTTGTGGTCCATCTGCTCTATGATTTTAGTCACTTAGACATCTCTTTCAAAATCCTTTTTTATATTTTCTTCATAAAAGTTAATAATTTTTTGGAAATTTTTTTCAAAATTAATTAAATTAAATTAGATTATTTCATTTTAAAATCTAAAAGTTAAACTTTAAATGTCTCTTTAAAACATAAAAAAATGAAATATTAGATACCTTCTTCGACTATCATATCATTATCTGTAATATCTATATCTCTTTCATATAATTCTGCATTGATTCCACTAAAAAATCTACATACCTTTTTATTTATATTTATTTTTTTGAATGAATGCTTTTTAAATAATTAATTTATTATGCTTTTACTTTATGACATTTATTATTTTTAACCATAGCGAAATAAAGTTCATTTATGGCTCTTGTAGCTCCTACATAAAACAATCTTCTACATTCTTCTAATCTGGTAAGAGAGTTGGAAGGATCTCTTAGGAAGTTATTAGGAAAAAACTCATCATTTACACCAATGAAAAATACCACTTTCCATTCGAGACCTTTTGCCCTATGTATAGTGCTTAAAGTAATTCTATCTTATTTTAATAGTTCGCTTTAGTTGGTTTTACCTCCATAAATACTGGAGTTATTGCCTATCATACTCATATAATTCAGTTTTAAACTGCTTTTTTCGTTATGCTTTTCAAGAGCCTCTTCAAAAAACTTGAGTGGCTAATTTGTTGAGCATAATATAGCTATATCTTTTAGTTAATATCTTTTAAGTTTACTTTTTATCTGAGAGATTATTTCTTCATTCTAATTATATAATCCTTTAAAGCATTACAAGTATGGTTTAAGTTCAATCACTCCTATTATTAATTAAAAAAGGGTTTTATTTTTTTAATTCTACTCAACTAATAGATATTATTTACCTTCTTCTTTGACTAAATATCTCATACTTTTTTAAATCAAATTTTTAGAAGTAGCTATAATAGAATTAGAAAATAAAGTGATAGGTTTTGAGCATCTATAGTTAGTAGAAAGCATATATGTTTTAATGTGAGCTCCCTAAAACTTTTTAATATCCTCATCGATTCTTGTTTATATAATATCTATTCTCGAATCTCTCCATCCATATATATTTTAAGCATCATCCCCTAATAAAACAATTAATTAATTAAACACTTTTATTTATTTAGAATATATTATTTTATGCTTGTTCTTTTATCTTCAAAATATAAATGAGATATTTTAAGACTTTTTAATGATTAATTTACCTATAACAACTAAGAAGCATCCATGCTTTTTAAATAGCATCAATATATCATATTGTAGTTAATTAACATCTTAAAACTCATCAAAAAAGAAATATTTATATCTGTCTAAAACATATTTTATTCCATCTCTTGTTTATAAAAACTTAAATAATTCATAACAATACTCTTTCACACTAAGCCCAAACTGCTTAAACTAAGCATTTTAGCTATTTTTTATATATTAAAAATAAAGACGGAAAGCTATTTTATCAATATTTCCAATATCTAATTTTTTAGCAGATTATTCTCCAATCAATTCCATCGCTCTACTTTGAATATTTCTTCCAGCTTCTACATTGAAAGTACTAATGATGATTGATTCAGGTGAAACACCGTGATCTATCAAATATTTAAGTCTAGCAACTAAAGTAGTAGTTTTTCCAGAACCAGCACACGCAATAATCTTTTGATCTTGCCTTAATTCTGATGTAATAATTTTCAATTACTCTTCACTTGGCCTTAGTTCGCAATCCTCACCAAATTTATTTTTGTATTTAATAACTTTATAATCATTTTAGTTATTCAGCATTTCAGTAAGTAGGTTTCAATAATAGAGAATAATAGAAATATGAATTATATAATAGAAAATAAATTTGTTTTAAGCCTAAATTCTATTTTCTAGTAAAAGCAAATAGTATAAAGTAATAGTAGTAAAATATTTGTTATTATTAATTGAACCTTATTTTTTAATAAATGAGATACATGCAAAATTTATTTAATTTGAAGAAATTTTTGCGGGAGATTAAATATATTCTGACAGAACTACAATTTAATTATATCTACTCTTTTAGTATAACAAAAAATTACAATATAAAAATCATCATTTAAAATATTTATTCAACAAAATCATTTTTTTAAAAATATTATGTTATAAAAATTTCTTTTGCATAAAAAAATATATTCTAAATTTTATTTTAAAAATTAAAATAAATCTCAAAAAAAGGCTTATTTGGTATCATATTATTATTTATTATTAATTTAAAAAATATTCTTTTTAATATTCTAATTTCTTTTAAAATATAAAAATTAATCAAAAATATTTTTTAAAAGAAAAACTTTCTTTTATTAATTTATATTTTTTAAAGTTAAATTTTCTTATGAAAATTATTTTGAATTAAAATATCAAGAAATGGACAAGCCATGAAATTTAACTAATTACTTCAAACTTTTGAATTGGTAGTTGAAAAATAATTAATCTCACTTTTTTCTTTTATCTATTTTGCTTATTTTCAAAGTTACTAAAATTTAAGTTCTATTTTGAATTAATGAAAAATTAATGAAATAATGATATATCTAGTTTTTTTAGAAAATAAATTATTTATGAAATTTTGTAAAAATAAAATATTTCATTTTTTCTTTATTGAAAACATAAATTTTGTTTACTATTAATAGATAAATAAATGACTGTATTTTATTTATAAGATTTCATTTATTTATTTTTAATGTGCTGTTTTGATTTTATTATATGTTCTCATAATTGAAAAAATTTCTAAATATAAGGTCTGTCTAAACGCTAAAAGAAATAGAATTAAAAAAATGTCTTCAAAAATTAACAAAATAGATAGTCTATATGATGTAATACATATTTTTTAATAGATTTTAAATTAAAATTTAATTTTTTTAAAAAAAAGTTTTTGAGATCTAATTTTTATGACATAGATAACCTATTGTTAGAATTTAAGTATATTAATAATTTAAATACGAAATATAAAAAAATATATTAAAATTTTATATAAAATATATTTTTAAAAATAATTAAACATATTATTTATATATTTAGAGGAAAAAATTATGATGCCAGTCAAGCTTAGATGTTAGGGAAATAATTAGAAAAATATAAAAGTCTTGAAATATTAAAATTTGATTTAAGGTAATAAACAAAATTATTTACTATGATATTATATAAGATAAAATGTGTATTATAAAACATTAGAGGTCATTTATGGTTCAATTTTTCAAATAAATGAGCTATTTTTTTAAATTTAATAATTATAAAAATTTATTTATTATTATAAACAATTAATATTTTATTATAGCTTCAACAAAATACGATAAGATGGAGCACTTTACATAAGCCAATCTTTAAGCCAGTCCAAAAATCTCTAAAAATTAATTATCATATTATCTAGTGATTGCTATGGGTATTTTTTCACCTATTTTAAATAACTATTATTGAATTTATATATATTTACAATACTTTTTAAATTATGATTTTATGATTTGCTTTAAAAAAAACAGTTATAATTATATTGGTGAAGTAGGAGCATAAGAATTGGGAATAGGATTAGCATAATGTTCAAATTTAGAGCATTTAGAAATTAATTTGAGGTTTTTTAATTAGTTTAAAAATTATATTTATTTCTTTTAAATTTTATATCAACTACAATTTTATTAAAAAAATAATACTAATTTAAATAATATTTAGATATAACTCAATAGGATCAACTGGCGTTATCAACCTTGCTAAATAACTAAAAAATTGTATCAGTTTGTAGTCATTAATTTTGAATTTAAAGTATTTGTTTTTATTATTAATTTTCATAACTATGTTTTTTAAATTTATAATTTCAGAAACAACAGCTTATTTGATAAGGGAGCTATAGGATTAGCTGAAGGAATAGGTGAATGCTCAAAACTAAGCGATATTAAACTTTATTTAAAGTAAAAAATAAATTTATAATGAAAATTTTTATTAATAAATAATTGTAATGATGATTTTTTAATTAGAATTATTTAAAGTGTTTTAAATGAAAATAATAATCTTACCATTATTTTTTTAAATGTTTGAACAAATTTTTACATTTAAAATTTATTTATTACATTGAATGCTATAAAAAACCTTCAAATATAGTAAAATAAAACTAAGTTTAATATTTAAAAAAAAATTTTTAAGTAGTAAATAAAAGTTTGTATTAGCTTTATTATTTTTTAATTAATTATTAAATTATTTTTTTAAAAATAACTTTAATTTTTAGAAATATAATAGCAAGTTGCACTTTAAAAAGATATTGAAGGAATATTAAATATAAAAATAATTATTTTTGATATTTTAAAATATAAAATTATTACTTTTTAATAAAATTTACTTAATTTTATAATTCCATTTTGAAGTTTCATAATAATAAAAAAAAAGGTACAATAATATAGGAAATTAAGCATGTTATGCTTTTGGTATTGGTTTAAGTAAATGCAAAAGTTTAAAAAACTTATTTGTTGACTTGTCTGGATAAAATTAAGAGTTAATATTTACATTTATTTATTATATGAGTATATTTTATTTTATTTCAATTTAAATATTTAAAGAAATATGAAAGTATAATATTTATTTAAAATAAAAGATATAATAGAATAGCAGATATAGGAGCTATTTAATTAGGTTTAGGCCTCTCTAATTGCTTGGGATTAAATATTTTAGAAATAAAGTTAAAGTAAATAATTTGTTAAAAATAATATTTTTACATGAAGGATATTAGATATTCTTAAGTTATTTTATAAAATAAATACAAAATTTTATATATCTAAGGATGAATGTTTGATTGAAAAAACATAAATTTATTTAATTCAAAAAATATATAATGAAAGAGTGCTCTAATATTTAAAAAAAATAAAAATTATTTTGAATAATTTATTTACTTCAATTATAATATTAAAAATCATGCTCGCATATCAATTTCACTCCTCCCTTTAAATTTTATATTTTTAAATATTTTTACATTTTGAAAAATTTTAAATACTAGATTTAAATTAATAATAATTTTAATAAATGTTTATTCTTTTCAAAAAAAGCTAATAACCTATAAACTAAGAAGGCGCATCTGGTTTATTGCAATCACTCAACAGGATTAAAAGCCTAAGAATCTTAACAATTCATTTTGGATTTATAATACCAATGGTGTAATTAATGTTTTTTTTATTTAATAAATAAAACTTTATTTTTACCATTTAAACAAAGTAAATTTATATAAATTAAAGATGCAGATTTATTAAAATAACTTATAATATTGGAAGATATAAAAGTCCTATTTATAGTATGACAGAATTTTTACCAAAGTAATAATATTTTTAAATGTTGTAATAATTATTATGAAATTAATTTTATAATCTATTATTTTTATCAGAAATAAATTAAAATCATAAAAGAATAAATTATATTTTTATCAGTTAATTTAGACGAATAGATAACTAAGGAGCATATGATATAGCAACATAGCTTGTTTAAAGTAAATTGTCAGTGGTTCAACTTTATTTCAAGTAAATATATATTTTTTTACATTTCCAAAATATACTAAATATAATAAAGGGAGACTATAAATCCTCATTAAATAGCTATTATAAAATCTAAGCTTAAAGAATGTGCTACTCTTGTTGATTTAAAGGTTATTTAAATTTGAAAAAGGTTAAATTAACAAAATTTTTAAATAAATATTAGTAGATTTTGATTAAATCTATTTAGTATATGTAGCTATTACATATTTTGTAATATTATTTACTTGGTTTTAAGTTATTTCAATTGCAGGATTTATATCAATCGAAGTATTATTAAAAAATAATTAAGAATTTAAAAATATTTATCTTCGCTAGCAGTATTAAAAGAATATTGATTTAATTAATTTTTATTATGTATTGTATAAAAAGTGTACAATAATAATTATTTATATTTTATGGAAATTTTAACTTTCTTCATATATAACTTGTTAACATTCATGTATATAGCCTTGAAAAAAGCAGTACCTTAGGGTACTAAATACATATATATAATACTGCACTTTAAATAAAGTTAAAGATCACAATTGAATTTTAAAATCAATAAAATGAAAATTTATATTTTTGTAAGAATATTAAAATAAAATTAGCAAAAAAAGTTACATTTAAAATAAAACAGATTTGATAAACAAATATATATTCAACATATTATTTAATTTATATTTCTATGTTAGCTTTTTATTCATAAGTATTGGACTCTGCTTCTTTAACTTTCATACTATATTTAAAAATTGAAGGATTAAATTTATTTTTCTTCCATAGCATCAAACATCATATCGTTTATTCCAGCATCTTTAAGTTATTAAAGAATTTCTTAACCAATTATAGGTGCTTCTCCCCAGTTAAAAGTTGACCCACATCCTATTCCTTAATCATTTTTTTAATAATTATCTTTTTGCTAAGATTTGTTTTGTTATTACTTCACCCACTTTAGATTTCTCCAATCAAATATATATCTCATAAAATATTTACTAGTTTAAAAAAAATCTTTTCCAAAATATCGATTACCACAAGTTGTATTTCCATCACATCCCTCAACTTTTAACCAAATTAAATTACAGTTTGGGCATCTTTTAAATAAATTTCTTGGATCTGAATGATTCAACAAGCTATATGACATTCTTTGAGATGCTAATTTACGGATTCTTTCAACTATAGGAGTAAAATGTTATTTCAACTCCATATAATGCATATAACTCTGTACTTCATCCATATCTTTTCTGTGCTCTTTAATAAGATCTTAAATTATTTCTTCAGCTATTTAAGATATATTTACCATGCATGCATGCAAAAATTCATCTTTATCATCTTAATTGTAGCTTATGATATCCTTCTCAATATTCTACTGAACAATTTTAAATATTTCTTTCTGTTTCATAATATATTTAGTAATATTATTATATATATCGAATTTATATTTAAATTTCGTCAAATCTATTTCTAATTTAACAGGATAGTTCTGACATAAGCTTAAGTAAATAGCCTAGCATAGATGTGATGGATTAGAATCTTTTCCTACAAATATAAATGAATCTTGTAAATCAGAGTCATTTTCTTGAATATTTTTTTTAGCTTATAAAAAAGTTTATCTATTGAATTCAGTATCTTCTTTATCCCAGTGAGTTATAACAATAGTAATCAAATTTTTCCATTCTGACAAAGTAAACAATAATTCTGATATATTTTTTTGCATAGCTCCAACCCTTTCAAATTTTACTAGCAAAAATATCCTATTTATGGGTCCTTCAATTAGAGCTGAGCGTATTCCTAGAGCGTGATTAAGCTTATTTTCTTCAGCTTATGTTCCAGGAGTGTCAATTATTTTAAAGTTGCATCCATAGGCAGAGTTACTACTAAATGAATTTCTTGTAATTGAAGATAAACCATCAGAGGTTTACTACTTTTAGTTAGTTACCTTATTAAAAAAAGTTGTCTTTCCAGTTCCTACACAACCAACTAAAACTCCAAGAGGGGGGTTCAGTTAATTTATTTATTTATTATTATAGGAATAAAATAATTGATTTTTATATTCGTTATTTGAATTCATTTTTTGTTTTTTAAAATTAATTTTTTATTTATGTAATAAATATAATAGTTTGGAAAGCTTCATTTCCTATTACTTAAAATTAGGTTTTAAATTATTAGAATAATCACATACTTTTAGAATTTTTATATTTTTTAAAAATAAAACTCTTTTATTTAAATTTTTTTTTTAAGATTATTTTCCCAGATTACAATAATATCATTGCTTGATAATATTTTTTTGATAAACTATTTCCCGTTCATATTCTTATTCATTTTTGTTTCAAATTATTTGAATTAAAAGAATAAAAATTAATTTTTTTCAAAAACTCATAGAATATTAAATATTTATAAAATTGTTTTTTTTAAAGATAATGATTACACTTACAATTTTTAAATTTTTTGATAGTATTTTTTTTCTCAACTTCATTTGTCAATTTTTTTATTTTTAGTTTATTAGAATTCATCATAATAATAATAATAATAAAAGTAGGTATTAATTACTTTCTATTACAAACTTATATTTTTAGAATATTTAAATATTAATACATTTAAAAAAAATACTTTTAAATTCTTTATTAAGATTATGATTCTTAATAACAGTTAATATATTTTATTGATAATATTTTTTTACTTAACTATTTTTCAGTTCATTATTTATTCTTTCTTTTTTCCTAAATGGTCAGAAATATTAGAATATTAATAAAAAACAGATTTTAAAATCTATTACAAACTTAAATTTTAGAATTTAAATATTAATATATTTTTAATAAAATACTTTTAAATTTTTTTTTTAATATTATTATTCTCATTTACAGTTAATCTATTTGTTTGTATTTATTTTTCATCAACTGATTCATATGTTCATTCATTTTCGTTCAAGCTTGTTTTTTATTTATTAAAATTTTTTAACAAAAATAGGAATTAATTTAGATTAAAAGCTCAAACAAACTTTTTGAAAATTTAACTATTAATATATTTTTACAAACATAGTTTTTATTTTTAAGCTTAAAATTCTCACATACAATAAATCTATTTTCTTTGATAATATATTTTTACTCAACTATTCCTCTATTCTTATGTTAAAGCATTTTTCTTCCAAATGATTTGAATTTATTAGATAAATTTAACAAGAATAGAATCCCATTTACATTTTTAGAATATTTAAACATAAATAAGTATTTGATTAAAAATTTTTAAATAGTTTAGATATGATAACAATTTACAATATAATAATATATTTATTTCTCTTTAATCTTCATTTATGAATTGATTTCAATATTACAGTATTTATTATATGCAAAACATTTAAAAAATATGGGATATTAATATTTAAAAATATTTTAAAAGAAAATAAAATATCTTATATGCAAAACATCAATAATGCTTCTGTAAATGAAAATTAATATTAATTTATAAAATATATATAACTTCATTTAATGAAATTAGTAAATTTATTGCAAACTGAAGAAAAAAATGATCTTTTTTTTTTGTTAATAGGTTTTAAAGTAGTGAAAGATTAGTTCTAATGAGAGTTAATGTTCTCAAATGTTTTGAATATATACATTTTTATTTCAAGAAAATAAAGGTTTATCTCAATTTCAGTAATTTCTTTTCTATATTTGTTAAGAAAATTATTGATTAAATTCTAAGTTTCAAAAGAAACATTTTGAATAAAATCCTCAAGTAGTTTTTTTTTGTCGTTTTAATTATGTTTGATCATTTTTTTAAAAACAGAATCTGAAATCATATTAAATTTTTATTTCTGCTGATTAATGAATAGATGCATGTTTTCATTTAAAGATAATTTGAGCTTTGGCAGCTCTATTTCTAATCCTATCGGGTTGCTCTAACATAGATTATTGTAAAAAACTTCTTATAATTACTAGTTATTTGATTCTTTTCCTACAAAAATAAAGGGATATTATAAATCAGAATCAGGATCGTTATCAGTTAGCATAGCTTTAATATTTTCATAACTTTTTCTGTTTTCAGGAGTGTCTTCTCTATCCCAGTGAGTTATAACAACAGTTATGAATTTTTTCCAATCTTAAAGATAATAAATTTATTCAGAAAATTTATTTTACATTGGTCCTAATCTTTCATATTTTATTAACAAAAAAATTCTGTTAATAGTTCCTTCTATCTAAGCTAATTTTAAACTTAAAGCATTCATAGATTTTGTATTTTCATCACACGAGCCTAAGGAATCAATTATTCTAAATTTTTTTTAATTAGCAAATTGACCATAAATACAGTGTGTAGCTTCAGAAAATTCAATATCTTAATCGATTTAGTTTTTATTCACTAACTTGTTAAATAAAGTTGTTTTTCCAGTGCCTACACTACCTATCAATATTCCAAAAGGACAGCTCTACTCTGTATTCATCTTCGAATGAGTAAAAAATAAATGTTTACTATAGCTGTTCTCTGTCATCGTAATTGATAATTGATCTTTTTTCTTTTTGATTTTTTTTTTTGAGTGTTTTTAATTTTTTATCTAATTTCTTCAGAATTTATATAATTTTTGATGTTAAAAACTTTTAGGTTGTTAGAATTTTATCTAATATGAAGTAATTTTTAGAATTTTTCTTATTTAATACATCAAATTACACTTTTTAATATTTGACAAATATTTAAATGATTATTTATTGTATTTTATTTTATTAACAATTTTTATAGAAAATGGAAAATTTAGAATGTATGAGAATTGATATTGTGAATAATTATTTTACATTTACATATTTAACAATGTTTTTAGTTTTCTTTACTTGTTACTATTTTAGATATTTAGTTAATGAGGGAGCGTGTTAATAAGTTCTAAATTTATTTATATTATCTTTTTTTAATATTAGAATAAGATAAAGCTTATTAGAATTAATATTTAGATTTTCAAGCAAATATATCTTGTTTTATTTATCTATTTTATTTTTAATTTGTATTAATTTTGTAAAGTATTTTATTATTGATATTAGAATAAAAAGTACTTTTTTTGTTAGAATTTTATCTTATCTGAATTATTTTTTAAAATTTCTAACATCAGTAAAATTAGAATATTACACTTTTTATATTTATGAAAAGCATTTAAACCCTTATGTTATAATGATGTATTTTATTAAAATATTTCATATTAATTTTTTAAGAAATTAATTTTATTGAAAATGGGCATGTTTTGCATATATGAGTATTAATATTGAGAATAATTATTTTATTTTTATATATCTATTTATATTTTAAATTTTTTATATTAGTTTCAATATTGGATAGATTTAGTTAAGGAGCTAGCACATTAGAGTTTGTTCAAAATTTATTCATATTATTTTTAATATTTCAATTATAGGAAATTAATTTATTAGAATTAATATTTAAATTATTCTTGCGGATATCACTTATACTATTTACATATTTTACTTTTTAACTTTTAAAAATTTTGTATAATTTTTATTAAATCCAAAATCTTACTTTAAAATACATGAATTTATTATTTTAAGAAAAAAGCATTTTTGTATTATCATAATATATAGAGACTAATTTTTTCATTTGTTGATATATTCTAGCTTTTTAGTTTTCTTAATAAACTTCGCTTTTAGGTAGGTTAAGTTAAAAAGTATATTAAAAATGTTCTAAAATTATCCATACTTTACTATAATTTCAAGAAATTAAATAACGCTTATTAAAATTAATATTTACAGTAAAAACCTGTATTTACATTCCCTCCCTTCTCCTCCCCTCCATACTATTTAAATAAAATTTTTTATAATCTAAAAAGAATAAAAAATTTGACGGAGAGTTGATCCTTAATTAAAATTATCTAAGTTTAAGGATTACAAAATATAGTATGTATTAAGCTAAACTAAAATAGATTTAATTTTACTAAAGGGTTAATTTTGTTTTTTATAAAATTATGTTATTATCAAAATTATTTAGTAATAGAGAAAAATAAAAAATGATTTAAATTATACTTTTGAGAAAATAAGTACTTAAAAATAATTAAAATTTTGAAAAACTTTAAACTATGCTTTAATCAACAAAATAAACTTTTTTAATAACATAAAAGATAAAATATATGAAAAAATAAATAAATAAATATATTTTTTCAATTCTAATTTAATTTTATAATTGTCTTAAAATCATTACAATTTTTTAAATCATTTGCTTATTAATTAGGATTTTCTTCATATTATTAAATATTATCTAAATCATTTATACTTTCTACGATATTTTAAATCTTAGCATCTATGTTAATCTATTCCATAATTTCATCTTGATATCTATTATCTGTTACTTAGTCTGCTTCACTGTACTATTTAAAAATAGTACAATTTCTTACTATACCTGGTGTTTATATCTAAGATTAACCTTCTATATAATGATAATATATTAAATATAATTTATTGAAATAAAATAATTACATTTGTTTAATATCTGACTAGCGAAAATACTTGTATTCTCATAAGAAATTCTATAATTTCCAAATTAGCCTGTTTATGGTGCTAAAGTTGAATCTTAATTATAACTTTTTACTTTCTAAGTATTTATTATGGTTTTATTATCTATTTTTATTGATTTTAAAATAAATTATTATCTGAAATTAAAAAAATTTTTTTTTACTTCTTGATGTCATTATTTTGCTTGTGTTAGTTTCACATAATTGCTGAACTTTCTATGCTTAATGTTTAATTATGTTTGTAATATTTTTTTAAATTTTTTTCCAATTCTTGTAAACCTTCATTTAATTTGTGTTTTTAATGATAAAAATATTAATTATATCTTTATGAACCCATCTCTTAAGAAATTTTAACATAGTTCCTTCTTTTTAATCTATTATGTTACTTAGCTTAAGGCGGAATATGATCAAAAAAACACCAAAAACGAACGAAATGTGGATAATATATTATAAAACTGTAAACATGCTATATGAATAGATTTAACTGAGTTATTGCAATATTATATTAATTAGTATTAATACCCTTGACAGAGAATCTAGTATTTCAATCTACTTAACGACAAAAGGCTTAAAAATAGAATTAGCGATTATAGTAAAGCAAATAAATAAAGATACTACTTAGTATGAAAAACTTTGATCTACTTGATTATACCATGTATAAAAAGCTATTACAAAGGTCTTACCATATATTTTATTTATTTCCCAAAAATAATATTTAGGTTTATAATCAAGATAGAAATAACCTAATCTATACTTTGTTGTGCAGTAATTTAAGCTTTTCTTATTTTTATAAAGCAATATAAGTATATAAATTGGAGCTATAAAAAGGAAAACCAGATATGGAGTTATAAAGTAATTTACAAAATCTCTATAAGATTCATCATTACATTAAATTTAGAAATTCAATGAAACATATGAATTATTACCAATAGATCTACAAGAAATTGCTAGCGTAAAAAGTTTAATTAAACTTGGCTAAAAAAAAGTGTAGAGGATTGTTATCACCGCATATTTGTAGTATTATTTTATTCCAAAAAATTTTAATTTATAGCACACAAATAGGCCTACCACTATAATTACTAGGAAAAAAAGAGGGTAAATAGATGTGAAAAACAATTTAATTGTAACAGTTCCATATTTTTCTATAGCATAACTAGGATAAACACAATGAGAATTCGAAAGTATATTTGTTGCAGGAGATCCCAAGTAACTAGTAGAATTAACTAGAGAAGTAAAATCCGATTTCATGTTTAACTAAAATAAAACTGATGTAATCTAAAGATAGTTTATTAAAGTTTTCATATATTAAGTTGATTTATCTTTCATACAGCTAACAGAAATTGGAATTATTTGTAATTATCTTAGATAGGTGCAGGTAGAGTGGTACGTGTAATTATTCATGAACATCAAAATATTTACTACTAAATAAAATAGTAGTAACAAACCTATTTTTTCAACAAAAAAATTTTTAATTTTAATTTATAAAAATTTTTAAAGATAAATCTTGAATTAAATATTACTAATCAGCTAAAATTAAAAAAAAAATTACTTAGAACGATGATGTATGTAATATAAACATATTATTATTCACATTGATGGCATAGCTAATCCGATACACTGAAAGTATATCTATCGTCCCATAGCCTTCCACTTTCATCACAAAATTAGCATAAAGGTCCTGAAAAACCTTTTATACAACCCTCTTTACTTTCATGATCACTTTCTTTACAAGTAAGAGTTTATATTATTTAGTTACAACTAAATATATCATCAGTTTTATTGTTTTATCTCCAATACCCATCTTTAAGGACTATTTGGTCACCTTGACATTATGAAGCTTACGATGGACATTATAAACAGCTTAAATTCTAAGCATTTTATGGTTTATTCGGATCTTCCAAAGAATAGAAGCCACTTTAACAAATTTCGCAAATAGTAATTGTACTTGTCAAATCTTTAAATATTTCGCCTTAATTGCACTAACGAAAATTGATAGTTATATTTTAGCCTATTTGTGATGAGGAAAAGGAGTTAGTTGTTAAAATTAATTTTAGTACCCTACTTGATTTTGGTTTAGCACTAACCTTCAAAGAAGAAAAAAAGAAAGCTTATCTAGTTTATTAAAATTAGTTAAAGTTTAATAAAGTCTATCCACTTAATTGAGTGTTTTAAGAATTATCTACAAAAATTTATATTTAGTAGGATTTTAATTCTTATTACACACTCTAAGCATATTATTCTTAGCTAAGTTAACTAACACTAAAACTTACAATTTAATCATACTAATCAACCAACTAGACTTATAAATACAAATAATCCCCGCTGTTAAACGAAAAGATGCTTAAACTATCTTCACTCTAAAGACTTCTAATACTATTTTAATATGATAAATTATTATTTTAAAAGCTATGAGCTATTTCGATTTCCTCATTTCTATCTTTTCTTTATAAATTTCTTGAATTTTAAGATCTAGAATCTAAAATAGCTCTAACAGGATAGATACCAATATTTTTACCAAAAATGATTCCAATATTATTTTTTATTTGAGATTCATAGTTTATTACTTAAAATGGGTTGCCTGTAGTCAAAATTATCCTTATTCCTCCTCCAATTTGAGCAATGTTATTTTCAATTCTAGATTGTTCATCTAACATTAACTTGCTTGTTTGATAAAGGTATATAGCACCACCCGAGCCTAAAGCTGTGTTTTGACTAAATATAGTATTAATTATATTTATAAATTCTGATATTGTACTAAAAATGAATGCTCCTCCATCTATAGATGTATTTGATTCAAATTTAGAATTTTAAATATTTACTATCTTAGAATTTTAAATTAAAATATTTCCCTAATTTGAAATATATTATATACCAACAATATTAAGAGTTGTAGCTTAAATGTTTATTATAGGCTAATTAACTTATTTAGAAAGAAGGAGTTAATTATCTTTCTATATACTTGTTTACTTAAACTCACCATCAGAAATTGTTAATTAGTCTTCATATAATATGACTTATTCTGTATCACTTGAATAGCTATTAACATAAAATAAAAATAAAATATTACTATTGGAATTCATATCTATTTGAGATATCTTTGTATTAAAGAATCCAACTATAGTTAGTAAATATTATTCTTATGCTTTAAATGCTTAATCTTGTATTTATGGAATATAATTTTAATAAGGTATTCTATTAGATATTTAGTTTCGTTAAATGGATATCTGTTAGATTTGTAATTATTGACCTTTGTTAAAATAAAATAGCTGATGAAATTCATTTTATATAATAAAGAGATTGTTAATATAAATATTTTAAACTCTCTCAAAGCCAATTAATAGAGATTAATTTGATATTTTAGAGTTTATTATTGTCAAATTAGTAATAAAAACATTTTTACAATCTGTGAACTAAATTAGTGGTTAATTCGATGTACTATTTGTTTGATTTTATAACTTTAGGTTATACTAAATATTTTAAATTAGTAAATTGGATATAGTTACATTTGACAAATTATTAAATTGAATTTGGACTCCTGTAAAGTTTTGTTCTTGGATTTCTATACTTTACCATTTTACTTATTATGTAATATTAGAAAATGTATAATTTTAGTTGTTCTAAGTAAAAATAAAAGAAAAATTAGAAAAATAAATAGCAATTCTCTGTAATTGTTAAAATGAATCATATTTTAAGTTAAGAGTATTATTTTAGTTCGAGGTGTCAGGAGTAAGTATTACTTATATGTTTTGATCATTAATAAAATTTAAAGACTTTAAGGTATTCCCTAATTTAGCTAATATTCTGTATTACATTTTTAAAACATTATTATTGTATAAATATGAAAATATATTCTATCCTTAAATTCTATCAACCATACTAAGAGAAGAATAGCAAGAGTATTAACCAGACTATGAACTTGCAACTGATGTTTGAGTAGACTAAAAGTATAATTAAGTATTAATTATTTTATCAAAAATACCATTATCTGATATTCCTACAATTCTCATTGTGTTGCTATCATTTTATTGCTGATATGCATCGACTATTTCAGAATTCGATATAGGAGTAGAATCGATTAAAATGATAGATTTATCAGAGTTAATGAGATATATTTCGAGCTGAGTATTCATGCAAATAATTAATATGTTTTAGTTTATAATATTTAAAGAAGTTATTTGAATGGATGAGTTTATTTTTTTAATTTAATTGATGTATTTAAGTGTTCCTCTTGAGAATAAATTTATTTAAGAATTTGAGTATACCAAAATATACTGATCAGTAGTAGCAAATCTATTGTATTAGTTATTAGGAAATGACAGGTATTGTAAAAAGGAAAAACTTTTTAGGTCAAGTACATAGATTAATTTTTCATACATAAATGAGATAAAGCATTACCCATAAGTCTCATCAACAAAAATTGCATTGATTTGATTAATTTATTAATTATTTAGAGTTGTTGTATCTAATTATTTCAACACTTATAAATCTGATAAGTTTATTAAAGTTATTATGTTATAACGATAAGCTAAAATCATGTAAGAGTTAGTTTTGAAAAATAGTTTCACAAAATTATTAATGATATTCCCTTATGGCTGCCAAGGTGAGATAATCTACTGAGAATTAGTTGTTGCTTAATCATAGCAAAGAACTCTACCAGAACTAAAGCTGATAAATATTTTCTATTATGCAGGAGATCCAAATGATAAATGATTTCTCAGATACTCGTTGTTTTAACTATAATCTATGACATTCTTTTTCCAATTGTTAGTTCCATCCTTATAAAAAGAATAGTTTATATGAATTAATTGCTTCTCTGTTGTGAGAAGTAGCTCATTAGTTAAAAATATTCTTGCTTTAGGATTTTATATTTAAGCTACATAATTTGATGAAAATATTTAATTATTATCTACTTAATCATATGTGTAAATAAGAATTTAATCATCAAATATAAATACAACTATTCTATAAATATCTATTTAGAATACATTTCTTATTGGATTTGAAAAATAAGTCAAATATGTTTATGAAAAATCTTTATATGAATATAAGACATTGCTTTAGTCAAATATGTAGTAAGTTGTTGAAATTTGTTGATTGGAGTTTTATTATTAGTTTTTAAAATAAAACTGCTCTACTTTATAATTTTAAATAATCTAAAATTTCTAAATTAAATTATAATTTAGCTACACAATTATATTTTAATTAAAAATAAATAGATTATTATAAGCTTAATCTACTGTCATACCTACAGGAGAGCCAACAGTCTTGAAATCATAAACATTTATGATATTATAAAATGCTCTTTAAGAAAGAAAGTTAACACTGTAAAATACTCCTACACTATCTAAATAATTTAGACGGGAATTGATAGAATCATAGAATAAAGAAACAACACTTCCTATGCCAAGTTCTGAATATGCACTAATTGTAAAACCATCATCTTAATAAGTTGATAAATTAAAATAAAATAATTAGCCATATCTTATTTCATCAGCATAATAAACTAAAGTGTTATAATCAGCAATATAATAATAGCCTAATAAATTTCCACCTCCTGTTGGTTTGAAGTATATTATCAAAGCTAATTATTATCTTTAGAAGATAAAGATATCTATTTATAAAAAATATGATTAGGAAATGTTTTGTTATATTTCAAGAAATTAGGTAAAAAATTAAATAAATAAATCATAAAGTTTTTTAATTCAATTAAGTAAAATATTTAAAAAATTACATGTTGAAGTTAATACAGCTATATTATTTCCAAATATTTAAAGATTTAAGATACTTAAATTAATATTTGTTATTTATCCTATTAAATTACCAGTAAAATCAAACACTTGAATTATTGTGTCTACAAGAAATATCTATTTATTTAATTCATCTACATAAACTTAAAATTTATTTGATAGACCTGTCACTACGGTGTTTGCTATTGTAGCATATGTATTTTTGCTAATTATAGATAGAATATTATTATTTACTTTACAAATTATTAAATCAGAAGTGAGCAAACATTATTAATAATTGTAGATATTATCAGGAGTAATGATATTTAAAGTTGTTAAATTAAAATTGAAGACTCTCAAAGCACTTCCATAAGCAAAAATTTTTAGATTGACTTCATCAATTAAAGCTCCATTAATTTAAGATATTTGGTCAAAAGAGAAAATACCATTTGTTTAGAAATTTTTGATTAGTAGTTATTAGCTTTTAAATGCTAATAATATGTTATTTTTTTCAGAAAAAATTAAATCTGTTACTCTATTATTAGAGTATTAAGATGAAAATTTTATTGTGTAATTATACTGCTGGGTATAAATATTGTGAACATCAATATCATTGTGAATTACAAAAATAGATTCGAAAAATGGGCTTGTTTTTACGCTTTTAATAGTACCACTTTTTAAACTGGAATTTAAACTAAAAGTAGAAAAACTATTCAAATTTGAGTTATCAAAGCTGAGTAATCCAGATTAACTACCATAATATTAAATATTATTATTATCTTTTGATGCAAAAGATGTTACAGTGTTTCCAATTAAATAAACAAAATAGCCATAATCTACAGATTAGTCGAGAGGGCGATATGTTCCTTTCAGGATTAGAGTGAAATATGAAAAAGGCATTAAAAACATGTAACTGATATTAGTATTACCTACATAGTCTTTATCTGGATAGAGTCCAACATTAAATTTAAGAGAGTAACTTCTGGAATATAAATAGCCTTTATTTTATGATCTAATTATTGCGTAATGAAAGAATAAATATATTTAATTTTATTCGGTGCTATAGCAAAATAAAATATAAGTATCATTATCTTGATACTTCTAAATATTTGTTGGGAAGCCTTAGCTGATTTGATAATAAAATTTTTAGGTCAATTTACTATCAAGAATTACAAATGCTCCTTTTTTACACCCAAGCATTACCTCAAAATTATTTGATTAAAGATTATCTATTTAAATAATTGAAAAATCACCATAGATGCTTTGATAATTTTATGATAATACTTTGTTAAACTAATAATTTTAGCTAGGATCGAACAGATACATTTACAATGAATTACTGCCATTTTGAATAATTAAATTGTAGTTTGCAACAGCAACTATTGATATGATTTAACTATCTAAGTACTATCCTATTGATATTTGTTTAAGATCTACTCCATTCAAAAGAGTAAATTATGAGTCGTAATAGAGAAGAATATTTGTAGGGAATTGCAATATAAATTACAGAACATCGGACACAGGATTCTAAAAAGAGTAAGAATAACTAACAAAAGCGTTATTAATCTGAAATATAAGGATTAAGCGAGAAAATAGAGCTACAACCCATGTATCTTAATAAATTAAGATGTCTCTGCATTTTTACCCATTTTGGGTTATTTTATAAATTTACATAGGATTCAAACTTGAAAGTGTGTACCATGCTATTATACTTCCATCATTTGAGCAAGTTAAAAGGTATTAGGTATTTTCAGAATATACCATTTTGTTAATTTTATCTCTGTGTCCTATTATCTTCTTTTGGTAAGGCATAACTACGTAATTGACTTAATCAGTATCAGCGCTTACAGATTGTAAGTTGTTATTAACGATAAATAATTAATCTGCATTTATAAATGTTTTAATCTAATCCGATTAGATATATTTATCACCATAAGATTCAAATTTCAAAGGATTAGTAAATATCACAGGATATGCATTTAATTATGTGTAAGATTTATTAATTAAATTTATTTGATATGTAATTATATTTTGTGAAGAAGCTTGAATTGTAATCAATTTATAATTAGCCATAAAATTTGTGTTTGGATACTTGAAAAAAGCTAGGTCTGTAAATTAACTTTACGAGAAAGTAATACTAAGAATTTCTTAAATGTTTTAGTCCATTAAAGTTAATTTTGTTAGGTAATTTACAGCAAAAAGCATTTAAGATTCCTACTAATCAACTAATCTCAATTATAAAGGAAAGACTTTGAGATCAATTAGTTTACAATCTATTTGCGCCCCCACTTTATCATAAATTATTTAAATTAATTGAGTACTTTATTACTAAATTATCAAAAATTAAGAAACAGAAACTTAATTTATTTATAGATTCTGGATTATTGGATTAGAATTAAAAGCATAACTTTAACATAAATCTGACTGTTTAACGTCTTATAAATTTAAAAAGCCACTTTATATACTCAAATATTTAGCTATCAATTTCTAATTTTTACCAAAGCACAAAACCAGCTAATTAATTACTTTTAAAGCACAACCTACATATGAGAAAGAGAGAGTAGTCGAATCTAAGCTAAGAGGCTGCTCTTATAAATAAATTTGACTAAAATATACAAGGCTCTAAGAATCATCATAGCTTGTTATTGCTTACTGATCTACACCCAAGTCAATAAATTAACTTTTTTTTGTTAATTAGCCTTTTTAAATTTACTTTATATTTCTAAAAAAATTTGTTTCAAAAATCCATTCTGAAACTAAATTGGTAGTTGAAAAAGTAATAAGATAATTCTTGAAATATAAGGTGGTTAAAATGTTTGGAGAACTCATATCTTGTAGCTATTATCCTGTCATAGAATTTATCAATTTAATATAAGTAGGATAAACAATCATAGTGATTTAATCATTTACTTAGTAAATACTCTCTATTGTACCAAGACTATTGTTGCTTGAACCAACAAAAGACAAAGGGCACAATTAAGTTTATTAACATAAATTGTATGTACTATTTTCTATATAACTAGCATCACAGATAGCTCTACAGGTATCTACTGTTTAATCTTATCCTTATTATTTAGTAACATACCTCTACAGTTAGTAGTTAGATGGGCAATTTTAATAGAGGCACTGGTTATTATACAAAGTAAATCCTTATTCGCATTTGCTGCAAATATATTAATTACTTGAAAATTAACAATCTGAGCAACCTGTGACGCAGTTATTGACTTGCTAAGCTTTTGTTAAAAGATTTAAGTATAGTAATAGTGAAATAAAAACGACTCTTTTCATCATTATTTTTCCTTTTAAAGACTTGTAAAACTTTTTTTCTAATTTTTTCTTTTCAATCTATTTTTTTGATTTTCTTTTAATTATAATTATGGTTAAAAACAAAACAAGCTAGCATATGTATTCATAAATTTAGTTTACATATTTTAAAAATATTTAATAAAATAAAATTAATTTTTTTACAATGAGGGAAAACAAACATTTAAAATTGCAAAATATTTAGTAATGGCTATTATTCTAAATAACTTATAATTTTTAATACTTGAAAACATATAATAAGATTTTAATAGGCTAAAGAAAATACTGTTATAATTTAGAATCAATTAATCATATAAATAAATAAATCAAATAAATACAACATTTTTATTGTAAAATATTTAAAAAATTTTTTAAAGATCAAAAATCAGAATTAATTTTATTATGTATTGAATAAAACTTTAAATTTCTAAATATTTAGTTATTAATTTACTTATCAGTATAAAGGAATTACATTATTTAATACTAAAAAACATAAAATAAAATTTTAATCAGTAAAAGAAAGTATTTATTTTCAAATTCAATAAATTTATCAGTTTAATAAAAGGAATATAAATAAAAATTATAATTTGGATTAAGGGACTATAAACTGGCATACCTGTATAGTACCTACTTAAGATAGTCAATTTAGAACAATTATAATATATAATAAATTCTTTGTTGATAATTTTTTGTAAATAAATAATCAGTTAGAAAAATAAACATAAATAATAATAATAAATTTTTTATTTTATTTAAGGTAATTAGTTTTATTAAGTAAATTCAAATTAATTATGATACTTTATTGCACATATATCAATTCTAATAGTATAATTAATTTCAGAAATTAGTCAATTCTTCGTTTGTATGTTAACCGTGGTAAGAAGTAATTATTTTTTTCAGAGCTATTTGATCTAACTGCTTAAGCTCAGGAGGATTAATTATTGTACTCCCATTTTTAGTATGTTCATCATATTATGATACATTATCCAAATCATTTATTGTAAAACATAACATTTCATCATGGATTATATTGTTTGTAGTTTATTATGATTATATCTTATCATGTTAAGAGTTTTACTCCTTCTAGAAAATAGTATTACTTTACTACATTTTTTCTAAATTCAATAAAAGGTTTGATTTATTAAATATGGATAAGTTTCCTTCATCTAGTTTTTAAATAATATTTTAAATTAAAATATCTAAATTAATTTGAATAGGGTTTTAAAAAACAATAAACAAATTTAAAATAGTTTTTTATTATTCTCAATTAATAAAAATCATTTTTTGCATATTTATTAAGTTGTTTTAAAATTTTTAAAGAATGTGATCTTAGGTTATTATAATTTACTTATCTAGTTTTATTGAGAGTTGAACTTATTAGATGAGAAGAGCTTATTTTCTGATGTTTTATATTTATTTACAGAATTTAAATTGATTTCTGGAGTGAAGTTGATCGGTTGATTTTTCCTCTTCTAACCTACCTTATTTTATTCTTAAAAAAATATTTGATTACGTATTAAAATTTATTTATTTATGGTATTAAAATAATTACAGAAAGTGCAAATGCTTGCTTCGCATTATTAAACAGTCTTAAAAGCCTATAATTAGGTAATTACTAACATTTATTTTTTAATCTTCTTCCAACGTAAAAGAGTGGCAATTTATGTTTGATTTTTTTAAATGATCATTTTTAAAAATCTTTCTGGTATTTTAATCTTGTTGAATCCTTTGATACATTATAATCTAATAAGATTTATGTTAATCATCTTAAGGTATATTATTACTATTAAAACTATCAGTATGAAAATAATGTATAATCCAAATAGTAGAGATAAAGCCGTTATTGAGTTATACATTAAATTAAGCTATTATAGAAGTATACAAATTACAAGAATTACCATAGATGAAGTCTCAAGCCAAAATACTTTTCTTTGTAAATAAGGTCTAAAGACATGATTTAAAATTGCATATAAACAGATGAAGAGAGAAACAATTTAATAGCAGTAGTAAATATCTTATTCTTTATAGAGAGTGTAGAATAAAACAATAAATGTCTTCATGTATATTCTTATGAACTCCCAAAAATAAAACCCGTCTTTATAGTCTAGATAAAAATATCCATACTTGTATTTGTTAATGCAGAAACTAAGCTTTTTTCTATTTTAAAATATTTTCACCAAGAAAAAAAGTGGCAATGTAAGCAGTAAAATGATATAAGGGATTATAAAAAGATAGGTAAACGTTAAATAAGAATCCTCATTGCATTTTATTTACAAATTTATTGTCTAGTACTTTTAATTTCCTATTCGGCGGCATGACAAAGCATTTGTAAAGAATCTAACTAACTCAGGCTAAAAGAAAGTAAATAGAATAGTAAGTGTTGCGTAGTTATGATAAGTTTTTATTCCAAGTATTTTATACTTGGCTAAAGTGTAAAATAATAGGCAACTTAGAGCTAAAAATATTAATGGATAAAACCCCTCTAAAATGATTTTAGCTTATGTAATTTAATAGTTTGTATTTGCCCTTTAAAAAAATAAGCAATTAGAAAAAGAAAACACGTTATTTATTGGATTACCAAAGTTATCTGGCCAAGTAATTACTGATGGAGTCTTTTTTTAAAAGCTTGGTTCCAATAAGATAGATGAAAGCTAAAGGAAATTGATTATAGATTTCATATAAAACGTAGACTAATCCTTGATACAGCTTGAATAAATTGGTAAAATCTACAAGAATCTCAAATAAGTAGATGTGGAGTGGAATATAAAATTGTTCATAAAGAGGCAAACTGATAAAATGATGTATGCGAAAAAAACGATGGTTAAAATAATAAAATAAATGTAATAAATAACCAAATTATCACATCTCTAACAAATTTATTTGCCACTATCAAAAGTGTATCTGCTACCCCACAGCTCTGAGGCTAAATCACATTCCTAGCATAAAGGACCAATATAGCCTTAAATACAACCTTTTCTGCTTAGTGGATTATTTTCTTAACATGATACTGTATCATAGGTTTATTCACAAGCAAATATTTAATCAGAAAGTTAAGATTCTCTCCAATACCCATCTTTTAGAGTAATTTTATTTCCTACACATTCCTAAGCTTAAATAGGACATTTTTAACACTAAACTGTTTTTTAATCTTCAGGATCTTAAAGAGAATAATATCCACTAGTACATTAATCGCAAACTATTAAATCTCCTGATACCCTTTTTTTAATTTCACCAATTAAGCATTGACGAAAATGGATTTCCATATTAACATTGAACTCACTTATTTGCTAATTAGAATTAGTTGAAATAGCTAAATGCAACTTATGAGACTAATTTGGGTTTGAATCAATTTAAAGAGATAGTATGTCAAATGATTTATCTTAATCATTATATTGATTATAATTAATATTTGTTTGTCCAATCGCTAAAAGTTTTGAAATATCATTTGACATAATTTCAATTGAAAGAGAATTAATTTCATCATAAACTTCCTAAGTGTATTATTAATTTTAAAATTTGTACTTTGAAAAGGTTAAAATTTTGTTATCTTAATCCAAGAATTGTATCTTAAAGGGAAGTAATTCACCGCTTCTGAATTTAGAGATATAAATAAAATCTTTATTAGTAGGATTGAGATGATATCTTATAGAATGCATAGACATATTTTTATATTACATCTCTTTATTAGAAATTATATTTAACTAAGTAGGACTGATTCCTACATTATTACCAAAAATATAAGCTGTATTATTCATAATCTAGCTGCTATAAAAGGTTTAATTGTTATAATTAATAAGTCTTATACCACCACCAATCTCAGCAAAATTATACATGATATAATTTTCTTTTATTTAAAAGGAATTAATACTATCCATATAAATTCCCCCTCCACTCCCTTTAGCAGTATTATAACTAAAAGTGCAATTTCTTAACTTAAATTTATTTATTTTTTATAAATACAGAGCACCTCCTTCTAGTGAAGTGTTGTTTTTGAAAGTTGATTTAACCACTTCCAAGTAAGCAGTGGAAATTATTTTAATATTTCCTTAGTTCAGTTAATATTACATTTAGAAAATTGACACATTAGAAGATTAAATTATAATTAAAGGCTAAATAGCCATTTGCTAGAGCGTAACATTATTGTTTAAGGAGATATCTGATTGCTCTATATAAATATTTTAAAGTATTAACTAATCATTATATAATGTCATCATTTCCTATTATTTCATATATGTATTTGAATATCTCATAAAAAGCAAATTCTTATTACTCTTCAAAGTAACCTAATTCATTAAAGTATATAAATTTCCTTAAATTTAAATCGTATATCTTTCAACTTATGGTATAGTATTATCTTAATCAATATCATTTAATGGATAATAAGGAGTCCTCTCAGTTATTTAATTATTACTAATGAATACATTTTACATAATTAAATTTTAAACATTCTAAAAATCAAACATGCTATAAAAGTTACTTGAAGTTATTTTTACATTGCTGATAAATACATTTTGAACATTCTAAAAACCAAAAAGAGTAGACCTCCACCATGAAATGTAATTCAGGATAGAGAGTTGATCAATTACAACATTTGAACAATTTTAGAAATAAAAGAAAATTTAACTCTCCTTAGTAAATTTATCCTAATAAGTTTAAAAGTATTTTTGATTGTAGTCAATATTAGTTATTGTTAGATTAGAAATAACAACATTATTCATATTTGAAAAGTGAATTTAAACCTATCCATAATTTAGATCATGTATTCTTATATCTTACCAATTCACATTTTATGTAAAATTTGAAAACGTCATTTGCTATTGAATATAACCAAAATTCATTGTTAAGTCTTTAAAGTTAATATTTTAAAAACCATACTATGTATAAGTATCAGAACCAATTACAACATATTAGTTTTCTTACTTAGTTTCACTAGGTTCAAAAATTATATTAACAGAAGCAGAAGATGGTATGAAACTTAAAGCCTAAATTTCCCCTCTTACACCAGCAGATATTCTATAATTTTTATTTGTTTAGGAGCTATCATAAATGTTAAAAAAAATATTTTATGCAACATCACGGTTAGTCATATCTATTTAATAAAAGCATGAATAATAATTAGATTGTATTAATGTTGAAATTTGTTGATTATTAAAATTATTCAATTTCATCGAAATATCAAATAAGTTTAAGTTAATCCTTTTTTCAAATATAGTCTAATCAGAAACTCCAATTATACTTAATAAACTATTATCAGATTTACTTAAAAAAACATCTATAATATGAGGATTTAAAAATTCTTGTTATTCAATCAGTAATATTTTATTTTGAACCATTAAATAAATTTCTAAAGCCTAATTTAGTGAAATTATTAATATAGACTCGTTTATAACTTACAATGAAAGTATTCTTTCATATGAATTATTTTTTCTGATGTTATTTAAAAATTCAAGTGTTCCTCTTTTGAATATATTAACCTAATATTAAAATAAAATAATTAAATTATCACCTTTTCACTCTAATTTTATATTATGGTGTAAATATTTTTAATTTATATAAAAATTAATTTACTTGAGACCAAGAATAAGCAAACATGAAATTGTTGCTAAGGTATATTCGATTATGCTGATCATTTGGAAAAGACAAATATTTTGCTAATTATAATGTATTTGTATCTAAAACATATATAATTTTTGTAAAGCAAAAGTTCAAAAATATTTAATTGTATTAAGCATCAACAGTTATACTACAAAATTTATTTTGTTAAGCTTAAAGAACTTACTGCATATTATAATTCTTTTAATCAGTTGAATCTTACCTTGAAATTTTAGTAATGCTTCCATCTGAAAAGACTAAAAATATAAGATTCTAGGTGTAAGATAATAAATTAGCTTACAAAGAATTACTTTTTTAAGTTATAATATTTTTTACTGACTTTAAGGTTTAATCATATAAAATGACGTTTCCTGATTTGAAACTAATTAATATTTGTTTTTCTTAACCATCTAACTTAATAGAACTTATTACTTAATCATCTTTTGGATACTAGATGGATTTATATTACCAGTTAGAATTGCTGTCTAAATAAAATTTATAATTTATATGAATCAGTTAATTTGAGGTGGAAATATAAAGTTCATCAGATAAAAATTTAGATATTTGAGGATTATTAATAACACCTACATATGTATCAGAGAGCAGAGATAAATTTTAAGTTTAATCATAAGTGTAAATAAGCATCTTGGAAGAGAAAACCAAAATTATTAGTTAGTATTAATTTAACTATTTGACATCTACCACTTCTTCATTAAAATAGCATAGATAAGTTGAAACTAAATTTTTGTAAATATAGAGAGTACTCAGTGCATCGAATATAAAATATAAAGTGTTTAGCTAAGAGTTGCCTTAGATCATTTTTATATAGTATTACTAATTTAATTAGCTCTACTAAATTACATATTTAGAAACTAGATTATAATTAATAAAAAAAATCGCTTAGCTATTGTACACATATAAATTATTAACGTTATAATCAATATAGTAATTTGTCGGTTTTCCTAATTCTTAAAATGCATCGAAAGGAATCAAATTAGAAAAAGCTTTTTGAGAATTAAGAGAAATGCTATATAAATACCCTAAAGAATCTATGTAGTTTAATCTTTATGCCAAAGGATCATAAAATAACTAAACTACCTTTCCATATCCAATTTCAGTATAAGGACTACTAGTATATCCATCATCCGATTAAGTTTCTAAATTAAAGTAAAAGAGCTACGCATTACGTATGTTGTCTGTGTAATAAACAAGAAGATTATAATCTTAGATATAATAGTACCCCAATAAGTTTCCACCTCCATTAGGTGTTATATATTATTAAAATAACAAAGAACCTCTCAAAAAAAGGTAAATATCTATTATATTTAATAAAAAAAATTGAATTTTCAAGATTTAATCAAAACTATAAACTTTATTCAATTTAAAATTAAAATAAAATTATTAAAATTTTACTTGAGTTGACTAAGACTGCTACATTTTGTCCGAATATTTACAAATCTTTAACAAAACTACCAAAATTATTATAACTAGATTGCAAATTTCCTTAAAAATCATAAGCCTACATAATTTTTTGAGATGCAACAATTATTTAATTGAACTGACTGTCTTCTTGTATATAAAAATTCTAAGACATGCTTTTTACTTGAATTCTATTAAACAATTGATATTGCTACTTATCAAAAATTAAAATTTATTGATTGTTTGTTTTACAAATTACATAACTATTACTAAATTAGCAAAATACCAATTAATATCTTTATATCTATCCATCGAATACAGTTTATTAAATTTTTAAGTCAAAATCAGTTACTAAAAATTGACTGCCATAAATGTAAACTAGCTATTGTTCCTCATTCAAAATAATTCCATTCACATATCCTTGTGTTGAATACTCCTTTTTAGTATTATCATTGAAATTTTGCATAATGACTTGCTGTTATTTGAAGCAGAATATTCTGCTCTAGTTTTCAGAAATAACTAGCTGTTAAATTGGTTAACTATTGTAATTTTAATTAAATTAAATTTGACTTATAAACTAGTTCGTATACATATTATAAATGTTTATTTCTTTTTATACTATGAATAGAAGTCCTAATTTAATACTTGTTTGAAGATTTAAAATCGCTTCTTTAGAATTTTAAGGATTTAATAGAATTTGTTATACAGAATTCAAATTATTTGTATCAAAACTAAGTGTACCATCAGCTCCTGAGTAATACTAAACATTTCCTGAATTTGAGTTAACATACTAAGTGATTCCAGGTCCATAAGAAAATACAAAGTGACTAAATTCTAAAGACTAAATATTTTACAAATATCTATTTCTTTAAATTATAGTATAAAATGTTTAAGGTTATGAGCTTAAGTAATTTATTTAGCTATTTCCTTTGTAATCCAGTGCTATATTTATCCCTAGATTAAACTTCAATGAATAGCTTTTTCCAATAATATTTCCTTAGTTGGTATCTCTATATAAAATGTAATGGAAATACTAATAAGCTGCATCTTAATTTGAAACCTATCCAAAAAGAATATATGTATTTCTATCAGAGTATTTCTTTACTTAAAAAGGGAAACCTTGCTACAATATATGTGAAAAAATTAATTGAAGCTAATTATTTAGTATTAAAAAAGCATTATTTTATAAACATACCATAATTTCGTTATAATTCGTGTTAATATTAAAGTCAGTCTTTAAAAATACTATATTACCATATTGACTTTTGAAAGAAAAGTTAATTTAGGAAGGAAATAGTAGCTATTAAGATAATTACAAAATGCATATTGAATCTAAGCTATTTTAAATAATTATACTCAAATTTTCTAAGAATACAATTTTTTAAATACTTTAATTTTATATTAATTTATTATTTTATGATATTTAAGACAAAGTATTTCCATCTAAAATTGAGAAATTGTTATCATAGTATAATAGAATATAAAGAGATTAATGAGCTATAAACTATCGTTGATCTGATGTAGATACAAAGAAATACTCCTTATATTCGTATTAGTTCCTTAAGCCAAATATTAAAATTTATTTTGAAAATAGGGCTACAACCCATTAATCATTATATAATTAAATATCTATACATCTCTGTAATTATCTTTCAACTTTGTATAAAAAATCAGGATTCATGCTTTCTATTGTATTCCAAGCGATTATTGTTCCATCGTTAGAACATGTTAATAAAATCTGAGAAATTTAAGAATATACCATTTAATTTATAACATCTCCCTATACCCATTTTTTTTGAACAAAAGGATTCACAACAAAGCTTGTTTAATCTGCGTCAACATCTATTTTTTAAATATTCTTACCAACAATATATAGGCTGAAAACAGTTGTTCCAAATTATAAATTTCTCATCTTTAAATCATTTTATTTTTGAGATAATATTCTTCCTCCTAAAATTGTTTTAATATTTTATTTTATGAATGAAATTGGATTTTAAATTTATATTGTAATTTTGGATTTGTCTGTAATTGAAGGAGTTCCATAACTCACTATATGAGAAGTAACATAGCTAAGTTAAGAGTACAACACAAACATCTTAACTTAATAGTAGTCTAGAGTAGGATCTCTATAAAAAGCAAAACCTGTAATACTCGGTTACTGAAAAGCTAGAATAAACTGAAGAGTTTAATTGTAAAATTATATTTGCTAACTGAATCTAACAGCAAATGTTGAGTATATTTCATCATCAATTTATTAAAGGAATGTTACTTCATAAGGAAAATCTGTAAATTAAAGGATTTAATAATCTATAGAAGGAAAAGATTAGCCATCTGAATTATCAGTAAATTAAATCAGATTCAAGCTTTATTATTATATAATTAGTAAATTGATTGAAGACTATCCTTGGATTTAATAATAGATTGCCTGCAAAATAGGACTGTAGGGTACTTATAAATTTACTTGCGAAAATTATCTTTTTAAAAGATTAAATTAATTTACATTTTTATTAATTACAAAGGAGTAAATATTTATGGTTCTGTTTACATTTGTTTAGATAACATATCCGTCTAATATGTAAACGAAGCTACTAGCTAAAGAAAGTGAAGGAGTTTAGGGAAAGCTCTTGAATGAAGCATCGCCTAAGGTAAATGAAGTAAAATAAACAAGATTTAGCCACTCATCATAACTTGTTACAACTTAATAATATTGATCTGCTGATTAATAAACAATTTATGATTTTTTTGATAACCTTCCTTAACTTATTTTTAGTATAACTTGCTTAGAGTTTGAAACATAATCCCAATATATTAGCTAATTATCTGCAGTCATTAAAACAAAATTAGGGTAGACTTATATGACTTTAATGATATTGCTATCAATCATATCAGACATGAAGGATCCTGTATTTGTGTTTATAATAGTTTGATAAGTTTCGTAAACAATCATAGTCTTCTTTTTAGATATAAAAATTATATTTTCAACATTTCCACCATTATTAATTCTGTTTTTTGTTTAATCTGTTGAATATGATATTGAGCACTGGTTTATCTATTAGCAAATATTTAAGATTTAATTCTCTTGAAAGTAATCAGGGCATATAGCTTTACATTGTTAAGGATTCTATTGGCTAAGAGATTTATCATACACTAAATAAGTAAATGGTTAACAAAGAGTATAAGAGCATTAATTATTCTATAAGATAAAATCTTACTCACATTTTGAACACAAATATTGGCCTTAAATTGAGCTTTAGCATTCTGAGCATCCAATACCGCAGTTATTAGTACTCAAAACTTCAGAGTAGCATAAAAATAGTAATATGAAGGAGAGGTAATTTAAATATATTATCTTCATTTCCAAATAATATTCAAATTTATTTATGCTTATTTTTAATTTATACTTCTTAAAAAAAAAGAATCTTTTTCTATATCTAATTAAAAACCACACAAAAATATGAAATATCAAACTCTTTAGTTACTTTTACAAAGAGGAAAAACTTATTTTTTCTTAAGAAAGGTTTTATAAAATCAAATTAAAAATGTGAATATTTTTTTGATTTTTTAAAAAATCGGAAACCTCAAAATAAATTATTTAAATAATTGATTGAATTGACTTTTAAAGAGAAATCAAACATCTAATTTACATTAATTATATTATCATTAATAGTAAAAGAAAAAAAGCTAAATTTCTTATATTATTTAAATGTAATTTATTATTTTTAATTAAATGTTTTGTTATTATCAAAGGTTTATTACAATATAAAAAATCGTATTTTTCACAATAATAATTTAAAATATAAACATTTTTATTTTCTAATAAATATTTAAATATTTATTTTCAATTAAGATTTAAATATTTTTTATAAATTAAGATTTAAATACCTAATGAATAAATTTTTAAAACATGTTTTTAAATAAATTCTTAAAGTTTGTATTGATATTTCAATTTTAAATTTAATATATATAATATTGTAAAAAATAGTTTTAAATTTAGCAAAAATGTTTTTTCATATGAAAAATCAAGCTCTATGAAATTTACTCTTGAATTTTTTTCTATTTTCTAATCTAAGTTTTTTTAAAAAAATAAAAAATTAAATTAAATAATTTTAGTAATAAAATCATAAAATAATTTCTAATTAGATTTTTTCAATATTAATTGCATCAATTTATTTATTTATTTTTAATTTTTTGGTAAATTTGCTTTTAAATTTGAAATAAAAATAATATTTATTATCTCAAATATTTTATATTTTATTTTAAAAATATATTTATATTTACTTTTTAATGTATAAACTCAATAAATAAAATTAAATATTTTAATAAATTAATAAATAAATATAAGATTATTCATTTTTAAAGTTAAAACTAACCAATTTAGAAAATGAATAAAGATAATTTATGATAAAAATTTTGTATTTATAAAATCAATATGAAATCCTATTTTTTGAGTATCAAAATTTTAATTATTTTTTTAAATTAGATGTATGTTAAAGAAAGACTTAAAAAATATTAAAAATCAATATAATTTAGTATTTACAAATAGATTTTCATTTAAACAAAATTTAAATTAATTTATATATCTTCATTAAAAATTTTCTATTATAATTTTTGTAGTTAATATAATTATTATTTTAAATTGATCAAAATTAATATTTAGATTTCTAATAGAAAGAATTAGATACTTCTATAATATTACTTAGATATCAGATTTTACTTTAGCGAGATATCAAAATGACTTTAACTTTTATTAATAAAGTAGCAAAAAACATAAAAATTTAGATTATTTTGGATATAAATTTTATGTAAATACATCTAATTTTTCTAATACATCCATATCTTTTTAAACTTAAGAAAAATATAATAAAATTTTTCTTTCTTATTTTTTATGTAAGATATAAAGTTTCTATAAAATTATGACGCCTTTTGTTTATGATTTGAAATTAAATCAGAATTTGTAGTTTAATTGTGGATAGTTTGCTTTTAGTCAACAAATATTGTTTTTATTTATGAAATACCTTATTTGTTTTTGCTTCCTAATCTATAATTTATTATAGAACAAATAAAATATTGAAAATATCAATTTCACAAATTTATTATTAATATTTATCAAAAGGTAATTAATTTAATCAAAATAATATAAAGTTAGGTTATAGGTTTCGGAGTAAAATGTCTGCTGAAGAATCTAATAACATTGATTTCCTCTTATAGAAAGGATTGGAATTCTAAGAAAGTGGAAACTTTGATGAAGCAGTTGAGTATTTCAATAGAGTTCTTAATATTAATCTTAATCATGAAGATGCCAACTACAATCTTGGATTTACTTATGAAAAATAAGATAAACTTGATCAAGCATTAGAATGCTATAAAAAAGTAATTTCAATAAATCCAAGTTATATTAAGGCTTATGTCAGTATAGCTAGGGTTTATTTTAATTAAGACAATTTAGATGAATCTATCAAATTCCTTGAAAAAGCTATAGAGATAGATCCTAATTATGCTGAAGCGTATGAAAGATTAGGATGGGTATATGAAAACTAAAACTTAATAGATCAGGCAATTGATAGCTATAAAAAAGCGATTGAAATAGATCCTAATCATTTAGATAGTCACTATAGTTTAGGAGTTGTATATGAATCTTAAGGAAAAATAGATGAAGGTATTGAGCACTACAAAAAAATGCTTGAGATAGACCCAAATAACATAAAAGCTCTAATTAACTTAAGTCGTAATTATTTTTGTGATTTAATGCATGAGGATGCAATAAAGTGCCTTAATAAAGTGATAGAAATAGAACCAAAGAATAAGGTAGCTTACGAGAGACTCGGGTTTATCTACGAGAACTAAAATAAGATCGATGAAGCTATATAAAATTACCAAAAAGTTATTGAGTTAGATCCAAATTTTTAAAGTGTTTATATTAGTTTAGGATTTATGTATTTTACTAAAAATATGGATGAAGAAGCTATAGAGTGTCTAAAAAAAGGAATTTAAATAAATCCAAAATTTGTTTAGGCTTATGAAAGATTAGGTTATGTTTACTAAATGAAAAATATGACAGAAGAAGCTTTTGAGTATTATAAAAAAGCAATTGAGATAGATCCAAAGTACTTTGAGGCATAATTTAATTTAGGTCTTTTGTATTACAACTTAAAAATGGTTAATGAAGCTGAAGTATGCTATTTGAACGCTTTATAAATTGATCCTTTAGACATTTATACTCATTACAACTTAGGTCTTGTTTATGAAACAAAAAAGATGTTTGATAAAGCACTAAGTTGCTATTAAAAAGCTATTGAATTAAATCCTAAATATCTCAATGCTTATATAAGATCTGGTAATATATACTTAGAGACAAAGAAACAAGATGATGCAATTCAATGCTATTAAAAAATACTTGAGTTAGACCCAAATTATGTAGATGCAATCAATAATTTAGGTATTGTTTATGAAGAAAAAAAGATGCTTGATGAGTCTATGGAGTGCTATAAAAAAGCTTTATAAATAGATCCATTATACGTTAAGGCTCACTATAACTTAGGTATTGTGTATGAACTTAAAAAAATGCATGATCAAGCTATTGAATCTTATGAAAGAGCAATCGAAATTGATCCGAAGTATATCAATGCTTATAACAAATTGGGAAATATCTACTTAGATAAAAAAATACTCTATAGTGCTCTAAATTACTACAAAAAGGCATTAGAAATAGATCCAAATTATGTTAATGCTTACAATAACATCGGGTTAGTTTATTATGATAAAAAGATGTTTGATGAAGCTCTTGAAAGTTATAACAAAGCAATTGAAATCAACCCTAAATATAATTAAGCTTACTATAATTCGGGACTTGTATATGAGTTAAAAAATCAAAAGGAAACAGCAATTGAAAAATATGAGAAAGCAATCGAACTAAGTCCTAAGTACATTAGTGCACTGATTAGATTGGCAGATATTTATGCAGATTCGCAATAATATCAGAGAGGAATAGAATGCTTCAAAAGAATACTTGAGATTACTCCAGATAGTGTCTATGATAACTACAGATTAGGATATATTTATTATTGTCTGAAAAACTTTGATGAAGCTATGTATTACTACAAAAAAGCATTAGAAATAAATCCAAATTACATAAATGCCATAAATAATGTTGGCTTAGTTTATTACAACTAAAAAAATTATGAAGAAGCACTTAAATGTTACGAAAAAGCTATTGAAATTGATAAAAATTACTTTTAAGCTCACTATAACTCAGGGATTTTATATGAAGCAAAAAAAATGATTGATGAAGCACTTGATTGCTACAAAAAAGTGATGGAAATAAATCCAAATTACTTCAGCGCCTTAATAAGATCTGGTAACATATATTTAGATAAATATATGACTGACAATGCACTTGAATGCTTCAAAAAGATATTAGAAATCGATCCAAATTACATTGATGCTATTAATAATTTAGGTATAGTCTATGAAGACAAATAAATGTTTGATGAAGCAATAGATTGCTATATAAAGGCAATCTAAATAAATCCTAATTATGTCAAAGCTCATTACAATTTAGGTGTCCTTTATGAAAATAAATTTAAGTTTGACGATGCTCTTGCCTGCTTCCTAAAAGTGATAGAAATAGATCCCAAATATATGAGTGCATATAATAGGGCTGGTAATATATATTTAGATAGGTAAATGAATGAAAAAGCTCTTGAATTCTACAAGAAAGCTTTAGAAATAGATCCTACATATGTAAATGCTTACAATAACATAGGACTTATATTTTACAATTAGAGGAAACTAGATGATGCCTTAGAATATTACGATAAAGCACTATAAATCAACCCAAATTATTTTTAAGCTCAATATAATTCCGGACTAGTTTACGAATTAAAATTTTAGAATGAATTAGCTATTCTATGTTACACAAGAGCTCTAGAAATAAATCCTAATTATACTAATGCGCAAATAAGATTAGAAAATATATTGCTCAAGGATGGAATAAAGTAAGAAGAATTAGAAGTCTTAAAAAAAAAAGCAGAAGAAAATACGAACAATCCCGAAGACTATTATAAATTGGGATATGTTTACTACACTAATTTCAACATGGATGAAGCTATTAGCTGCCTTAATAAAGCAATAGAAATCAATCCAAATTATTCAGAAGCTTATGATAAGTTAGGTCTCATTTATGAAGAAAAAAAAATGGATGAGAAAGCAATAGAATATTACAAAAAAGCTATAGAAATCGACTCAAAATGCTTCAATGCTATAAATGGTTTAGGAAACATTTATTTAGATTAAAAATTGACTGCTGAAGCAATAAAATGCTACATGGCTGCTCTTGAACTAGATCCTAAATCTGTAAAAACTCATTACAATTTAGGAATTTCTTTTGAAGATGAACGTAACTATGACTAGGCAGTTTATCACTACAAAAAGGCTGTAGAATTAGACCCAAGATATATTAATGCCTATAATAATTTAGGACTCATTTATGAAATGAAAGGTAAGCTAGATGATGCTCTTACTTGTTATCAAAAAGCGTTGGAAATAAATCCTAATTATGTGAATGCACATAATAATGTTGGGTTAGTTTATTATGCTTAAAATAAAATGGAAGATGCTCTAATTAACTATAGAAAAGCTCTTGAACTTAATCCAAATTATTATTAGGCTCTCTATAATTCTGGACTTATCTATGAAACCTATTACAAGTAGATTGATTAAGCTATTGCGTTCTATAAAAGAGTTATTGAGCTCAGTCCAAAATATTTTAGCGCATATATTAGGCTTGGAAATATTTATTTAGATTCAAAAATGATGGATGAAGCTCTTGACTGTTATTAAAGAATACTTGAAATAGATCCTAATTATATAGATGCTATTAACAATCTAGGTATTGTTTATGAAGAAAAAGAAATGCTCGATGAGGCATTGAAATGCTATAGAAGGGCAATAGAATTAAATCCTAAATATACCAAAGCGTATTATAATATGGGTATCATCTATGAAGATTAAAATAAATTTGATGATGCTATTAATTGTTACAAAACTATAATTGAATTAGACCCTAAGTATATTAATGCAATTAACAGATTAGGTAATATTTACTTGGATCTTTAAAATGACGATGAAGCTCTTGCCTGCTATCAAAAGGCTCTTGAAATAAACCCTAATTATCTCTATGCTTTTTATAATTTAGGACTTGTTTACTCAGAAAAAAAGAAAATAGGAAAAGCTATATAATGTTATCAAAAGGTCATTTCAATAGATCCAAAATATATTGATGGTTACATAAATTTAGGAGTAATTTTCGATGAAAAAAAATAGATGAATAAAGCTTTAACTCAATATAAAAAAGCTCTTAAAATTGATCCAAATGACCCAGACTGTGAACAATACATAGCATAATCTAAATCCTGGTTATGAACAGAAAAATATAGAATATTTATCTTTCATTTTCTTATTAATTGTTTATTTTTATTCCATATTTTGCAAAATTATTTTTTGAATTTTGAATATTTTCTTTTTATTTTTTTTGGTGTTTTTATTTTCTTTTGTAGTCTCATGCTATTTAAATTTATAATTTGAATTAAATTTTCTGTATAAAATTAAGTTGATACTCAACAGATAATATAAATTTTGAAGATATATTGTCTATAAAATTATCATTTTACCAATAAATATTGGTTTGAATTTTATTTATTTCAAAGTAAATTTAGGAATTTAATGAAAATTATTTTGAACTATTAATGCAAAATATAAATTTTTACAAGTAATAAAAGTTTTGAATAAATAAATGATTTTTGCTAAAAATATTTATATAAAAATTCAATTTTGTTCAAACATTTTTATAAGATTTTTATTTTAATCAGCTATGCTAAATTATTTGAATATAACATTATCTACTTCTTTAAGCTAGTTTTTTTATTTTTAGTGCTTTGGCATTTCATCATATTGTATACTACTTTAAATATCTAAACTATTCTACATAGATTATAAATCAATATCAATTTAATGATTTATTTAATCTGATTCTTAAATTTCTTTTATTAAAATTAAACCTTTCTCTATATTAAAATTGCAGAATCTGCTTCTTTAAATATTTAAAATATTTGATAATTTAGGACCTAAAATTAGTTAAAATAAAGAAATAAATCATTTAATTTTTTTAAAATAAAATAAAATTTTTACTTCCTACGTTTAAGATCTAAGATTAGTTTGGAGTTATATTATCTTTTAAAATGGTATTTGATTATACTATATATTGAGAATCAAGTTATTGTTTAGAATTGTTTTTCAGTTATGATTGAGTTTCTATTATTGCAAATTAATTTTAACAAAAATAAATAAATAAATAAATAAATAAATAAATAAATAAAAATAACTTACTTGATTATGACATTTTTTTACTGATGAAGTTATCACAATTTTACTTAGTTTTTTCTGCTTATTATCTTGTTAAATTATTCAACTATTTTTTAATCAAAATCCAGCGCTTTAATGTTTAATCATGATTTTTTACTTAAATAAATATGAAATTAAATATGTATTTTGGTAAAAATTTTTAGAAAAATTTTTTTATGATTTAAACATATCCAGATTATTTCTTGTTAAGCTTCAAACGAATTATGACAAGAATAACAAAAGCTATAAAAAAGAAGTGCAGTAAGTAGGCAAGGATTAAGATTTGGCTTATCTAGCTAGCAATTTGTAATTATTGTAGGACAATGTTAAATATCAAGATTAAAAGTGAGGCGCAGTCTAGCTTGAGTACTTTCTTTTGTAAGTATGGTTTGTATATATAAATCATAACTAAGTATAAACATAATATTAGAGAAACTACTTAATAAGCAAAGCTTTAATCATTTTACTCATAGAGAATATAGAATATAGCTATGAATGTCTTAAAGTATATACGTATAAATTCCCAGAAATATAAATTAGGCTTGTAATCAAGATAAAAATACCCAAGTTTATATTTTGTTGTGCAATAATCTAAATTTTTTCTATGATTGTAAAGCTTCTTCATGACAAAGAAAGGTAATATTAATAAAATAGTTAGGTAAGGGATTATGTAAATATAAGAAAATAGTTTGTATGAGGAATCATCGCAACTTAGTAAAAGGTTTATCTAAACATATTTGTTTTCACCTAATTTTCTACAAGATAGAGAATTTGATAGTAAAGTTATTAAGCCTGGCTAAAATGAAAAAAAAATGATAGTCAATGTAGCATAATTATGATGAAGCTTTATATTTAGAAGCTTAAATTTGGCTAAAATATAAAAAATTAAGCTGATGAAACCAAGTAAAATTACAGGATAAATTGACTCAATCAGTATTTTAACTTATGCTACTCCATACTTATTGAAGAAATAATCAGGATAGAGACAATGAATATTAGAGAACACTTAAGTAGAGGGAGTTCCAATATAACTTGTAGAATGTATTGCAGATGTTATATTAGATGAACTAACACTTGATTAAAATAGAATTGAAGATAATTAAATATAATTAATTAAAGACTTTATATAGTATGTTGATTGATCATTCATGCAACTTGCCGACAGAGGAAGAAACTGCATATAGCGAATATAAGTACTTATCGAGTGAAATTAAAAGTTATTTATAAACATGATAATACTAACCATGAAGTAAAGAAAGAGCAAAATAGCTATTTTTATAAAAAAAAAATAATTTATTTGATGATTCTAAAATATTTTTTATTTATTATTTGATTAATTTTAAATAAAAAAATTTTTAGATTAAAAACTATTTTTATTTTAATTTAATAAAATGTAAAATGAAAAAGGTAAAAATTTTTACTAATGACAATTAAGAAAGAAATAATCAGCTGATTTTGACTGCATTCTTAACAAGACTAATTTAAAGAGGACTAACTATATCTGTTGCTCCATAGCTTTCCTTAAAAATCACATTATTAACATAGTGGACCTATATACCCTTATATGCAACCTTATTTACTCTCTATATCACTTTCTTTGCAAGTTGTAATTTAATTAATTTTATCACAATAAAGAATATTATCTGTGAAGGGGTTTTCTCTCCAATAACCATCTTTTAGGACAATTTTATCAGCCTAACAAGAAGCAGCTTAAGCAGGGCATTTTAAACAAGAAATTGATTCGTTTGAATTATCTTTAGGTTCAGTCAAAGAGTAAAATCCACTTTAGCATATTTCACATATTTGAATTTCTTAGGTTACCATTTTAAATATTTCACCCTTTTAACACTAACGGAATTCTATGTTTACATTTACACTTATTTATGCTGATTCAAAAAATGAATTAGTTGTTGCTTTTATTAAAAATGGTCTTTTGGATAAAGGATGGGCATTTATTTGAAGAGAAGTAAATTTAAAGATCTTATTATTTTCATTGAATTAATTATAATTGACAAATGTTTAACCTGTCACCTAAGATAGGATAGTATCATTGGCTGTAATTTCAATCTAAAAAGAGTTTAATTCCTGTAAGACACTAGAGGAATAATTCTGTGCTTTTAATTTTTAAATAGAAAACTAAACAACTTAGTCATATTAGTCTACAAACTGAATGTTTAATGGTAAGTTATCACCACTCCTAAAAGATTAAATTGATAGATTTTGTGAACCTAAATTTCTATCTAAAGTAAATACTTTGTGTTGCTAAATTTAATCTGTACTATTTTTAATTTCATTTAAGCTTTACGATTTATTTTCTTATAATTTTCTCAAATTCTACTCTTCAATATTTACTATAATTCTAAAAGGGAAAATTCCTATATCTTTTCCATATATCTGAGCTGTGTTTTAACTTACTCTGGATTAATTCGCTATAGATTACGTAGGGTTTATATTTGATGATATGATTCGGACTCCTCCACCTATTTATGCAGTGTTTTAAGAAACAATTGATTTTTAGTCAAAAGTTAAACTTTGAACTTCCCTCATAAAAATAGCACCACCTGAACCTATGGCTTGATTTTAAGTGAATGAACTGTTAATAATCTCAGTTGAACTTATATAATTTAATTATAAAGCTCCACCATCTAGAGATGTATTATTTTAAAAAAACGAGTCTTGGATTTTTATCTATTTAGAATTTTATATCAAAATATTTCCTTAATTCAAATTAAAACTAAAATTAATCAATTAAATTTGTGTTGATTAAATACTAATTAGAGCTTAATTTATTTATTTTGAATCTACTATTGAAGAATCTTAATTTGTTATTGTTTGTGTTATTAAACAATTTTAGATTTAAACTTTATCATTAAACAAAATAACTTATTCGCTATCACTTTTATAACTATTAATATACTTTAGAAAAAGTATGTTTTAGTTGAACTATAATGTGATCCCTTAAAGTAATGTATTTTAATATCCAACTATGCTTATTGCAAATATTTCGCTATTATCCTTCAAATAATCTGAACTTTGCTAGGCTTATAAACCATAAGGTAATCTTTAAGGATTACTATTATTTTTCATGTTTACTTTATTGATTTGAATATTTTAACCATTTTAAAATGCTATTATTTAATAAAAGTTGCTATTAACTATGGTTAGATTATTAATTTAGACATTATTAGTTCTTAAAAAACCAAATATGAGAGACCTCTTCCATATATTTGTAGAGGAGATGGTAATATTATCTAAGTAAATGTTATTACAATCTTGAAATAAAATAAAAGTTTCATTCCATTAACTTAGGTTATCACTTTCACTATAATTTTAGTTATAGATAATGTTATCTATTACCAAATTTGATATTGTAACATCTTAAAGTTTACTAAACAATATTTGAGCATTTGTAATATTTTAATTTTTTATTGCCATATTCTACCACTTAACAGATTATGTAATATTTGAAAATAAGTAAATCTAATTATTGCTATCCAATTATAATGTGAAATTCTAAATGTATACTTAATTCCTTTAAATACTTTATAGTGAATTTTATTTGAGAATAAGAATCTGCTTAGAATTTGAAGCATCTGGTGCTATAATTACTTTTATAGTAGAATCTTGTATAAAGTCGATTTATTTTATGTCTTAGCCAAAAGTTGTTATAATTCTGTAATCTGTATTTTAATTGTTTACATTGTAAGATATCTAAAATTATTTTTAGGCATTCACTCTATCAATCATGCTTATTTAAGAATAGCATGAGTATCTGAGTTAGTTTTGAGGTGTGTAATACGAGTTTTACTAGCTAAAGACCATTATATTTATCCTTTTTTCAAAAATACCATTTTAAGAAACTCCAACTATTCTTAGAATAGTGCTATCAGTAGTTTACACATAAGAACTAATTATTTCAGAATTGATGAAAGGTGATGAATCAATTAAGCTAATACTACTATCTTTATTAATCATATAAATATCAATCTATGTATTCATTGATATGATAATTTTTGTTTCATCAACAATTATAAAATTCAATATTTGGTTGATTAAATTATTTTTTTTAATAAAGCTTATGTATTTCAATGTTGCCCTTTAAAATATATTTACTTATGAGTTAGAGTAGGCGAAAATATAATTACTGTTTTAAGTTATCCTATTGAATTAGTTATTAGGGAAGTTAATATACTACAAGAAGGAGAGTGTTTATAAGTCAAGAACAAATATCAGTTTTTGATACATGAAAGAGATAAAAACTCTACTATACTATTCATCTGCAAAAATCACACTCAGCTCGTTAAGAGTTGATTTAGTTAATGTGCTAACATCAACCTATTTAACTATAGAATAATCAGCAACGGAAATTACTGTTATTACATTATTTAAATAGCCTAAAATAGCAAATTTGGTTGTTTAAGTGAAATATTTAATATAATTGGTTTGCATATTTTACTAAGCCTACCATTATGGTAAAATTTATTATTAAGTCATTGTAGATTCATCATATAGCATTAATCTTCCTGAATCTAAAGAGTATAATGTTTTTTGCTGAGTTTTCACTCCAAAAGAAATACAGTTTTTGAAGAATTCATTACTTTATCCTACATTAAAAACTTTTTTTTTCCAGTTATTTGTTCCATCTAAGTAAAACAAATAATTTATGTGAATAATTTAATAGTCATATGTAAGTAGAAGCTAATTAGTTAAAAATCTTCTAACTTTAGGGTCATTGATAGCAGCTACATAGTTATTAAAGGAGATCTGTTGCTAAGATATTTAGTCCTATGTATAAATTAATATTTAATCATCAAAAATAAAGATAACTATTTTATATTCATCTATCTGCTTAACATCTCTTATTTATTTTACAAAGTAGGTTATGTATATTTAAGTAAAATCTTTGTATGAATAAAGAATGTTGTTATTATCAAATACATAATAATATGTCTGAGATAAGTCATTTGACGAAGGAGGCTAGTATTTAAAGAAAAACTAAACTGCTTTAGCGCTTTGAATAATTGTTGATTTTTGAACATCATTAAAGTTAAAGTATAAAATTAAGTTTTAATTATAGACAAATAATGTATTATAAGTATGATCAACTGCCAAATTGACTTTATATGTTTAGGATTTAAATTCTAAAAAGTTTATTACATTATAAAATGATCTCTAGTTAAGGAAATTAATACTGTATAATATTCCAACAGTATCAATATAATTAAGACGGGAGTTAAAACTATCATAAAACAAAGCTGTAACACTACCTATTCCTAACTCAGGATAAGATCCTAACGTATAGCCGTCATCTAGTTATGTAACTAAGTTAAAATAAAATACTTATCCATATCTAATTTCATCAGCATAATAAGCAACAGTATTATAATCTGATATATAATAATAGCCGAGAATATTTCCTCCTCCAAATGGCTTAATACTTTTTATATAGGCTAATGTCTATCTTTGGTAAAAGAATATAGCTATATTAAAATATAAAATTTAAAATTTAAAATATTAATATAAAAATTAATTACATGGTAGAGTTAATACAGCTATTGTATTTCCAAACAGTTGTAAATCAGCTATATTCTGTGAAATATTTGAAATTTAACTTATAAGATTTCCTGTGAAATCATATACTTAAATAAATGTTGTACTTATAAATATTTAGCTATTAGTCTCATCCACAAATAGCTTAAACGTTTTAGGCTAATTAATAACATCAAAACTAGCAATTAAATTTTGTGTCTTTTTATTAAAAATAGAAACAGTACTTGAATTAGTTTTGCATATTATTAGATTACTAGTTATTATACATTATTAATAGCTTTAGAATCCCTCCTTTGTAATTTCTGATGAGTAAGATAAATCAAAGCTATAAACCCTTAGTGAACTTCCATAAATGTAAAAGTTTTTGTTAGCTTCATCAAGTTATACACCCTAAATTTACTAAACTGAATTTAACTTAAATGGCTAATTAATTTATTTAGAATTTATTACTATAAGCTACTTACTCTTAAATGCAATAACAAAATTATTCTTCTCTGAATAAAGCAAATTTATCACTTTTTCTGAGTCATACTAACTATCAAATTTAATTTAGCCTTAGAGCTAAAAAGTAAATATATTATAGAGATCTACTTAATAATGCAAAACAAAAATTTATTCTAAGAAAGGACTCACTAATACTTAGCTTACACTACCAAAAATGAAATTTTAGCTGAGTTATAGTTAATAGTAATTTTGATAATCCACTGAATCAAAACTTAAGTTACCACTTTAGTTGCCATAGTATTATATATTTCCATTATCTTTTATAGCATAACTTGAAATGACTCCTCCATAAGAGTAGGCAAAAAAGCCATAACTAACACCAAGTGACTGAGTCAAAAACATCCCTTTTAAAATGACAGTAGCAAATGAAATAGGTAAAGTACATAAATATTGTATATTTGTATTTGATTTATAGTCAACATAAGGATGCAATCCTAAATTAAAAGAAAGATTAAAACTTGAATCATACAATATGCCTTTATTTATAGATCTAAAAACCGCATAGTGGAAATACTTTGATGTCCCATTAATATCAAAGCCAAATAAAATATAAATATTATTATCTGAATATTTTTTGATATTAAATGGAAATCCATTAGTTAATTAATGAACTAATTGTTCTTTAAATGAGCTATTAAGAATTATGAAGGCGTTATTAATGCATCCTATAATTAGTTCAAAATCACTGGGAGATATCATATCAATTTAAATGTAAGTAAAACTTGCAAATCTACTTTAATAAGACATACCATTAATTTAGCTAAATTAATATTGCTATTTTGGATCAAATTGGTATAGTTATAGTGAGTTATCAGCATTTTATATTACTATTTTTGTTTCTAAAACAGTATAAATTTATAAAATTTTATTACCAGAATAGTTTCCTTATGCTATCTAAGTAAGATCGCTTCCACTCATGAGGAAGAATTTACTGTCATAATATAATAATATACTTTGAGTATATTACGCTATAAATTAGGATGTATCAGAAGCAGCATTTGCGAAAGGATAGACAATTTTAATATATTAATTTCTGAGCTAAAAAATAACAATAGAACGAGAGAATAAAGCAACCACCCAGCTATTTTAATGGATCAATATATTTCTGCATTCTTCTCCGTTTTATGAAACCATATAGAGAAATGATGGATTCAAACTTGTCAATGTGTACCAAGCCATTATGTAACCATCTTAAGAACAAGTTAGCAAGAAAAGAGAATCCTCAGAATAAATAATTTATTTGATTGCGTTTGTGTGAGAAATTTACTTTTATTAAAAAGGGGTCACTAAATATTGAATTTCGTCTGTTATAATATTAACACTTTACAAATTACTGTTTACAATAAATAATTAACTATTTCCATAAAGTGTTCTGATCTAATCGTAATAAATAGTTTTGTTTTTGTACGCTATAAAATAAGCAGCTTATCCTACTAATATAGGAATTGCTTTTAACATCGTAGTAGATTAAATTGATATATTTATTCTATATATTAAGGCTTATTATGACGCAGGTTAAATAGTATATAACTTGTAAGAAGTCATATAATTGCTGTTTTGATCCTTTGCAAATACTATGTCAGACGCTTAATTAGGAGAAAAATCTATTGAATGTAATTGTTTCATATCTTAATCAAAAAATATTAATTTAGAGCTGAAATTAATAGCTAACATGTATTATTAATTATTTAAATCAACCATTCTTAATTTATTAGGGATGTCAAATAAATTAGTGAGTTTACACTCAAACGACTAATTAATTTTGTCAAAGGTTACTTATATAAGTTATTGTATATATTACTATAACACAATTATCTAAGAATAAGATGCAAAATCTAAGAAAATCGATTGGATTATAGAGTTCTAGGAAAATATTGAGTTCTAGCAACTAGGATTCTAATTGATATCTTAAATTACTAATTATTATTATGCTATGATTAATCTTTTTGTAATTAATTACTAGTCTTTTCCAAAACATAAAATAAAGGAACTTACCACTTTTAATGTGCATCCTATGTACTTAAAAGAAGGAACAGAAATGTCTGGGATTTTAGGTTAATTATCTAAATAAATTCTAGTAAAATATACAATGTTCTATGATTCGTCAAAGCTTGAAATTGCATATTAGCCATCAATTAAATCAAAAAGTTGTGACTTTTTAGACAAACTACCTTATTAAATTTAAATAAGACTTGTTTTAAAGTTAAAGTCAAAATCCCACTTTATTACTTGATTAGTCGTTGAAAAAATTAAAAGCACATTTTGAAAATATAATACTTTTAAAATCGTGGTGTCAATTATATCTGATAAATATTATCCTGAGTTTGTATTTATTAGCCTCGCAAAAGTAGGATAAATTATTATTGAGATATTATTATTTACTTAGTATATTGATTCAATAGTTCCTAAATTTGTAATGCTTTAATTTCCTAAGTTAGATTAGTATGAAATTGAGCATGTTTGCTACTTATCACAAGTATTTTAAGCTGTATTTTCATAGTACGTAGCATCGCATATTGATTAGCAAGTATCAGAATTATAAGATTGGCCATTTTAGGAACTAGTATATCTTTGTAAATAAGTATTAGTAGGACAGTCTAAGAATTTGCATCTATTATTGTTTAGTTAAAATCTATAATCACACTAGCTACATTAAACAGATGATTAAGTATTTGAAGAACCTTAGCAGTTGATACACCCAATTTAGCATATATCTGCTGATTGCGCTTCTATTATAGTGAATAAAATACTTATTTGGTAAATTAGAAATGTAATTAGATGAAATTTTGACATTGTTTTTTGCTAAATAAATATTTATTTATTAATTAAATTTTTAATAAGTATATGGTTTAGATTAATTACTAAGATCCCATCCAGATCATTAGATTAAATTTCTTCTGCTTAATAGTTAGATTCTTTATTAATTAGGCTTTTGATTCGAAAGTAAACAAAGATTTTAACATTCAATTTAAAAACATTAAATATTTATTAAGGAATTTACCATACTTCGTAATTAATATTAATTTTCAATCTGAGATTCAAGCACTCCATGAAATCTTTAAAAGTAAGCTATTATAAAAAAAACCTTTCATTCTTTAATTGGTTAAAAGTGAACTTAGACTTCATAAAATAAATTTATACTTCTAATAAAAAATTCTTTAGCCTCAAATTTTCTAACATTAGAAAGAATAATCATAAAATTATTTCTATTCTATCATATGTTACAATCAATATATTTTATCGCTTATAAAAATATAATTTAAGTCTCCAATTCTCAATATATATATTATGTAAACAATGAACATATATATTTAGGTTATTATTTATTAGAAATTTGTATAAAGTTAAGCTACAACCATAATAAGGAAATAATAAATATATATAAAGGCTTTTCTTTAAAGTGCTAGTTAAGCAAGAGTAATAAATGTAGGTAGCTACTGGAATAAATATTTAACCATAAAAAAATATTTTACAAAAATAAAGATTTCTTAAAATCAAAAATTTGCAATATATCTAAAAAAAATAATTTAAATATAATGGTCCTTCAAACTTAAAATAAATAAGGAAAACATATATGGACTGTGTAATTAATAATTAAATAATTTTAGCTTTTTTGAAATAAAAAATTTAAACTTTGATGATGGTGAGTAATTTAAATAGAAGTAAGGAATTCATGTATACTTTATCTTTGCTTATAGAGCCTTACACTCAAATGAATAGAAACGTAAGATATCTTTCTTTTGTATAATTTTTATTTGTTGCGAGTGAATGATTGATTGATTAATTAATAACAAGATTTATTAAAAGATAATAAAGTTTTCATGAATTAAAGAGTGCTTGAATTATTTTTTTAAAGTACAAACATATGAACCTAACTAATTCAGGTGATTTAAAAATGCTAAAAGATCGATTAAAGTTAATAACATAAAAATAGCGCTTGGTAATATTAATTATTGCCCTTAAAATCCCATGAAATAAAAATAAAGTATTATATTAATCATTAAATGAAATTACTTAAAAAATATTACCTAAAAGACTATATTTATTAACAAGCAATTAGTTTTAAAAATAAAAATATTTAAATTTTAAATACTAATTTTTTTATTATTTATGAATTACAAAAAAATTTTATCTAAATTAAGGACTCATTGATTTCAAATATATTCTGTTTATTTAGATTAATGATAAATCATTATTTAATTTTAAGTGTTTTTACCAAAATATTAATTTACAGTGAAATTATGTTTGCTATCCATTTTTTAAATTTTTTGCTTTTTAATTATGGTGTAAGCTTAAAGTTAGAGAAAGCCTTTAAATTAATTCAAAATTTAGATAAAAATTATTGAAATTGTTTATTAATATTTAAATATAAAGTAATCAAAATTTTTATTTTAATTAAACTAATTTTGTAAATAGAATAAATATTATTTCATATTTTTAAATAGATATAATAAAATTTAAAATATCATTTTTAAATAGATATATATTAAATTTTGTGATTATAATAAATTAATTATTAGATATAAAAGGGAATTTATTCATTTATTTGTTTTGTAAGAAAGAAAGAATAAATCTTTTAATTTTCAACTCTAAACTGTAAACCAATTATAAGAAATTTTATTTAAAAAAATTCAATTAGAATATTTTTTATAGGCAATTATATTTTTTAAATTTATAGTTTTCTATTCTTTCTTTTATTTAAGATGCCTGTTTTTTAAAAATATATAATTTAAATAAATAATACTTAAAATAAATGAAGATACACACTACACAAAAACATATAATTGAAATAAATAATTTTTAAAGATGATACAATTAAAAGATCAAAGTAAAAAGATTAAATAACATGTTGTATATAACTTTATTAATTAAAATTGCATTTCAATGAATATATGGAATAAATTGAAAACCTAAAAATTTTAGTTTCACTTTATTTTTAATGAAATTTGAGAAGAAACAAATAAAGAAAGATAGAAAAATAAAAACAAAAAAAATGAAATAAATGTCACTTGAAATAAATTAAATAAATAATTAAAGAAGTAAATGAATAAAAAATAAATGTGTATTTATTTACAGTGATTTAAAATAAAAGAAGGTATTTAGACAAATTAAATAGGAAATTCTGATTAAATTTATTTATAAACAAAATTGACTTTTACATATTACTTTTTTTATTATTTTAATCTTTTGGATGTATTACATAATTAAATTAAGACTTTTTAACATATTATTTAGATGTAATACTAAATTGAAGGATATATATGTAAATTTAAAAGCGTTTGTACGTCATTATACTTAAATATATTTAAATTAATTTGACAAATTAAAACTCTACAATCAAAATTTAAAAAGTAAAATACCTAAACATGATTCACATTTTTAGAAGAAATCAATAAGCACTCATTTATTTGAATAAATAGATTTCAAAGTTCTCTACTACCACTAAAACAATATCTAAAGACCCTGTTGTATTTGATTACTCTGAAATTAGCAATAAAAATCTTGATCTTAGTGATAGAATTAAAGAAGCATATGGCCCTCAAGGAGTAGGCTTATGTCTTGTGAAAAACGTCCCAAATTATACTAAACTCAGAAGAGATCTCTTACCTCTAGCTTACTAGTTGGCAACTTTACCTTAGAATAAACTCTAAAAATTAATAAAGCCTGAGTATTTTCACTGTGTCGGATGGAGCCATGGAGTAGAACAATTCAATGGTAAGTATGACGTTTCAAAAGGTAGCTTCTATGGCTTCCCTCTCGATGATAGACCAGTTAAAGATCTTACCCCATAACAAAAAGAACAAGGAGGTTTTATTGTTGAAAATGTTTGGCCTAAGGAAGATCTCCCATAATTAGAAGGAGCTTTTAAGTCTTTTGGAACCTTAATGATCAGTACTGGAACTTTATTGGCTTATCATATTGATAAATATGTAAATGCTGTAGACTCGTCTTATAAAATTGGAACTTTAGAAAACGTAATTGGTAAGGGCAATGGACATTTAGCTAGGCTTCTTCATTACTTCCCCTCAAATGATGCAAAAACTGTGTCTGATGACTGGTGTGGATGGCATAATGATCATGGCGCTTTAACAGGTTTGGCATCTGCTCTTTACATAGATAAAGATGGTAAAGTCTTAGATAACTTTTTTGATGTAGAAGGAGGCCTCTATGCAAAAAATAGATTTGCTGAGTAGTAGAGACTTAAAATTCCTCAAGACTATCTAGCTTTCTAAATTGGAGAAACAGCTTAAATATTATCCGGAGGTATAGTAGAAGCAACTCCCCATTGTGTAGTAAGAGGACCAAAGACCATAGGAACTGGTATCTCCAGAAATACTTATGCTTGCTTTATGTAGCCAAATTGGGACTATGTTTTAACTCCTCCAATGAAAAACAAAATCTAAATTAAGGCTGCCTATGGAGTTCCACCCCTTGATAAGCGATGGAGCGAAGGCTTAAATTTTGCTTAGTTTGGTCTCAATACATTAAAAGCATATTCTTGATGAATTATATATTCTAAGTCTATTTTAAATATATTAGAATATTTTCTTCTCAAAATAAATTTATAACACAAATTAATATTCTAAAAATAAATACATTTAAAAAATACTTAGTGACTTAATAAATTATACAAATTTATAATTATATACTTTATGCGATATTCATTAATTATTGATTTTAAAATAGAAATTTATTCTTAGTATTTGAATTTAGAATTTAATTTTTTGTAAGAAAGTTTTTTAATAAATTAGTAAATTCAATTTCATGGCTTTATGAACATTTTTAAAAATATCTCAAATAAATTGTTCAACAATTTTATGATTTTATAATTTATTTTGAATTTTAAAGATTAAATTTATTTTATTTGCTTAAATTTGAAATAAGAAATATTTTGAATTCTATTTAGAAAATTATTGAATAAAAACTAATAGTTTTATTGTCAAATTTTATTGTATAAAATTTGCTTTAAAATTTAGAGTTGATATTTAAACATTAAAATTTTAATAGACTTTAACTCTCTATCTCTTAATAAATAAAAAATCATATTTAAAAATAAAAAAATTATGTGACTTTATTACTCAATTATATTTAAAGCAATTTTTTATATTTATTTACATTTAACCTTATAGATAATTAACTAAAGCTTTCAGTTTTAATATGTCTACATTTTAGCATGCATTCACTAAACTGGCATTTTTTTTTGCATCTTTCTTATCTAAACAAAGCTAGAATAGCTTAAATTATATTACTATATATAATTTGGCTTAGTAATTGCTTTATTAATAAGGTATAAATATTTATTTAAATATATTTTTTTCTTTTTAAAAAAGTGAATTTGAGTAACAATCAAACTAGATACAGTCTTACATTTAGTTACTTAATTAATAAAGTAACATTTATTATTAGAGGAGTAAAATATAAAGTATAAATTTACTAAAAATATTAACCAGCGCTTTATTTTAAATTAGCTAGATAAATTAATATTATTGTTTTTTTTAATATAAGAATTACAGAAGCTTTGAAAATATTAATAAAATTTTTATTTATGTAAATAACAATCCTAAATTTGTTTTTTGATGATCATACTAATTAAATTTTTTTTATTTTTATTATTTAAAATGAAATCTCCATCTATCTTTTTATTTTTTGGATTTTTGATAAATTTTAATTTAAAATATTTAATTATAAATTTATTTATTCAAATAAAAAAATTATTTTTTAAATTAACAATAAATTATTCTTTGTGGAAAATTATTTAATTTTAATTTATTATAAAAACATTTAAATCAACATTATTTATAAATGAAATTTTAGATTTTATTTGAAATATTAATTTTAACTCAATCATCAATAATTTCAATAAATTCTTCGTTTAAAGATATGTCGGAGTAACACTCCCAATCTTCGTTTTGACTCTTTTATTCTATTTTTATTATCTCGCTTGATGAATTTTTAACATTTTTTTAGTTTTGTAAATTTTAAGAATTTTTATCTTTGTTTGAATATTCAAATTACTTCATAAAGCAGTATTAGTATTCTAATTATGAAGAAGGTAGCTGTTAAGATTTTACTTGAGAAGAATTAATAGAAGGGCATTGCAAAATAATTTCGTTATCTTAATCTTTATGCAATTACTTAAGGATAATATCTTCAAAATCAGATTTTAATAACCTCCTTCTTTTTCTTTTTTATGAGTCGGTTTATGAATTACTCTAACTCTTTCTGTCTATTGATTCATTTGATTGAACACTATTTTATTTTTAAATAGATTATTTACATTAATCTATAGATTATCTATCAGTTTTTGTTTCACTTAGAGTTTATTTATTTTATTGATTATTTATTTATTTATTTTTTGTATTTATATTTGATTCTGTTGACTTATTTGTTTTATTAGAGTTATACTAGAAAATCTCTTCATCATCACTTATTTCTATAATAATTGGAGTTGTTTTAAGCTATTTTTTGGCATTTTCATCTTTTTGTTCAGCCTTTGAGGATTAATTTTATTCATTTTAAACCTTTTATGGTGTAAATTCTAAAAACTTATCTTATTTTTAAGTTGATGGCTAAGAATTAGGCACAGGTTCCTTTTTAAAAGGTATCTTAAATTTTTTTTTAATTATAGTTTATTTCGATTGGTTTATACTTATTTGCTTCTAGTTAGAATTCTAATTAGATTACTTTTAATTTTAATCTATATTTGATAGCTATTGTTGAGATATTTACTAGTCTTTCTTAAAGTTAAAGTCGAAAAGAGTTTTTTGCTTTTCTTTTTCTTCAGATTTAGTTAATTAATTATTTTAAGTTTACATTTTTTTAGAAATATGTTCTGGTGAAAGTTGATTACTTATTTTTTCTACTTAGCTGTCGTTATTTTTTATATTAATTTATTCTGAGATTTTTGATTACTATTGATCTTTTTTATTAGAAATTTGCTCTTACGAAATACTTGTCTTTTCAATCTGATAATCTTCATTTTTTATATCTATTTATTCAATTATTTTTGGTAATTCTTAATATTTTGATCCTAATTCTTCATCATCTTACATCAAATCAACATTTGAATTTTATTTTTATAAAGTTTAATCCTTATACTATATTTCATTATTTATGATGTTTTTTGGATTTAATTATTAAGATGCTTAATAATTTAAGACTTATTATAAATTATGAGTTTCTTTTTAAGAACTCTCAATATCAATGTCAATATCAAATTAGTCTTCTTCTTCCTCTTCTAAATCAATTGTACTATTATTCTATTTATTATTAGCAGTAATTTATTCGGTTTGTAAAGATTTTTAACTTTAAATTTGAATATTATTTATATTTTATTATTATTCAATATCACAAATGTTTAAATCCTCATTTGGTTAAAATTATATTTAATCTAAATCTTGTGATTGCTGATTTGAATTGATTTATTTTATATTTTCTTATGTTTAAACATCAAAAACATTATTACTTTATTATTTTTCAACATTTTCATTATTATAATCCTAATTATTGCTGATTTATTAGCTTTCTATTTGCATTTGGGTTTATTCTTATTTATTAATTGAATCTTTTTTTGGAGTTTAAATTATATTTTCAAATTTTACAAGTTCATTTAAATGTTCTTAATCTTATTTTTCTTAATAAGAATTATTCTATTAATTTACTTCTTCATATTAAGACTATTGCACTTCTTCTTGTGGTTAATTATTTGAATCCTAATTATTTTATATTTTATCCTAGCTTTTAATTTCTATTTAGGTTTATTAGCCAACCAAATACTAATTCTCTTCAAGTGAAATTTATTCATTGCGAATTTAGTTATTGTTCTTATTAGAGGGATCATTTTATTAATTAATAATATCTTATTTATTTTCATTTTAAATATTTTCTTTCTATTCACTAGTTTAATATAAATTTTGGATTAAGTTATCTGAATAGTTTTTATTAATATTTTATGTAACTATGTTAGTGGACGATTCTTCCTATTATTTCTAAGGAGTATTTTCTAAAATTTGTTTTTATTTTAAAGGTTAATTCTCCTAATATTAATTAGTTACTTCATCTTCGCTTTAAGAGTCATCTTCAATAGCTTCGATCAAGTATTTCCAATCTCGTTCTATTTTATTTTATTCTTTTTCCAATATTTTGCTTGTTTTTTTACTTTGTTGAGAGTCTTTGTCCTCTTTTTTATCGTTTTTATCAGAAATATTTCTTGAAAATTCTGAACTAAGCTATTTTTTTACAATTTCTTGAGACGATTGTAACTTATTTTAATTTTCTTCTGATACTTAATAAATATCTGAAGCTTTAATAAAGCCTGTAAATTCTTGAGATTAGCAACCTGAACTTTAGCTAAAGAGAAAATCTGCATCATTACCAATAAAATTTGTTGATTATTTTTGTATTTAAATTGGTGTAAATTGATTAAATAATGATTTTTGTAAATTATTGAGCTCTAAATTTTTTTAGTTTTAAAGATTAGAAATCTAATTTATTTTACAGATTTGCTAATTTTCAATTGTTTATTCTTTTTCAGCTGATTTCTTAAACTAATTTTTTTCTTTAATCAATTCATTGCTTTAATTATTTGCTACATTTGAAATGTTTGATTTGTTTTATTCGCTCTTTTTTAAATCATTTGAAATTTTATTTTACACTTAATTGGGAATTATTTATTAATTATCTTAATTTATTGATTTTTGGTTAGTTTAGAGTTAAGAAAATTATATAGAATCTATGAATTGGTTATTTTTTGTGTTCTTTATTGCCTCATCTTCATTGCTACTTTCTACAGCCATATTAGATTATTCTGATTAATTAGATTTTTATTACTTCTTTATAGGAATAGATTTTTTTATATCAAATTATCCCATATTGCAATTTTATTATTTCTCATTACCCTAATCATTCTTCTAAGGTGAAGGTGATTTAAATTTTTTTAAAAGCTTATTGGAAGTTTTACTGATGAATAGTTTTCTTATTTATTCAGATTTTTACTCTACACGATTGTACTTCTCACCAGATAATTATACTTAATCTTTTAATATTTGAGCTGATTAATAATTTTGTGTAGAATTCATACAAAAATATTAATCGTCTTTTACCTTCTAATTTTATGAGTTGCTCAAATATTATTCAATAGGGATATCTTCTTTGTTTACTTTATTTTTTTGTTAAATTTGTTACAATTTCATTTTTAAATTAGTAAAAGCTGAAATATTTTATTTAGTTGGTTCTTATGACTACTCGTTTGTATTTTATTTCAACTATTTATTTTATTATTGAGAATTAATAGTATTATCTTAATCTTAAATCTATTTTGAGCCATTTATTCCATTATCTTGATTTTTTTAAATAATATTATTAATTTCTTTAGAAACTGGCTACATCTTAGATGGTATGTCTTGTTATTTTTAAATGGATATTTCGTTAATATTTTTTTATTCTTTTAATAAGTTATTATTATTTTATTCTTTTACTAAATTATTATTATTTTATTCTTTTATCAATGAATAATTGTTTTATTATTTTATTAATGAATTACTATTTTATTAGGGTGTGTCATCATTTTTTAAACACTAATCTTAATTACTTTAAACAATAACTTATTTTTATTAATTTTTAGAATCACTTTAAGCGCTCAACTAGATATTTTCAACTTTTTATTAACTGCTTTAAACTTTATCTGAATTTAATAAATCTATATTTTTTTTATGGTTAAAGGAGAGCCCTTAATTTTTTATCAAACTTGACTCTTTTTCTAATGGTTTATCATTATTATGTTAATTGATAGTATTTGATAAACTAGATTTGTTATATGAAATTTATTTTGTTTATTTGAAGAATTTAGCTTTATTTATAAAAGCGTCAAAGCTAAACTAAAAATCTTGATCCTCTCCAAGGTAATTAAATTTACTTTAAGAATCTTAGCTTTTCTGTTATGAAATTATATTTTACAATTTATCTCCATTTTATTAATATTGATTTTAATCATTCTCTATTTTATTCTATAATTAATCCTACTTTTCTTAGCTGCTATCAGATTCTGAGAAAAGAGTTTTAGGATTTAATAATTTGACTTATTCTGCTTTTTAAGTATCGCATTTTAGATATTGTATAGGAATTACTCTGCTACCCTTAGGATTTTGTATTCCCTTTATATTAAATAGTATTTATTTTATTCAAAAACTTCATAATAATTTTTACTTCTTAAAATTTTTTAAAATTAATTGGAGCTCCTATTAGCATATCTAAATTTTAGTAAATGATTGAGAAATCATCAATTATAATCATATCTTACTTTTACTATTATTTGTTTAAATTAACCTTAAGTATCATAAACTTTTTTACTTAAAAATAAAATAAATGAATTTATAAAATAAAATACTTTACATTCTAAATTAATTTACATTTATTATGTTTAGGAATAGCGTTACCTATTATAAATACTTTTTTGTAATAAAAATAGCCATCAGATATTTCGATCCTAGTTAATGAATAAAAAAAAACATTATTAAATTAGTTAAAGGACATATCATATCAATAAATAGTAATGAATTTTGTTTTCAAAGTTTTTACTGCATTAAGCTTTCTTGGTTTAAAAATTATTTTGGTTCTGATAACAACTAAATAATAGAAGTATCTTCCTTTTTTTCTAGTAGATTTTGAATAGCATTTTCGCTTAACTTTGTAATCATTTTATAAAGATTTTGACTGAAGCACTTTAAAATCAAGTTAATAAGTTCGCCAAAAATTTATTTTGATAATAAGAAACTAGAATGTTGTTTCAAAGAAATAATATCTATGTTAATAAATTAAAAAGTAATATTTCTTATTTATTATCCAAACAAATTCTGATTAATTTATTTGAAATTTTACCTCCAATAATTATAATTTTTAAAATATCATTTAGCAGTCAATAAGTAATGGAAACCTTTTTACCACTTTAAGGATAAAATTGGAAAGTATTTAATATCTTAAGAAATTAGATTATATATTTATATATCTAGCTGGTATAAAATACGAAAGCATAAAATTTAGATATGTACAAAGTAGTATTATTAATTATAAGATATAATGTTCTAGATTAGCAGTAATTTAATCAATTAATTAAAAAAAAAGAGAGGTTATTTTAAAACAGATTCCGACTGTTCAGAATTAATGTTAGAATTTCAAATAAATTTCATCTTCTTTTAGAGAGTTAGTGACATCATCAACACTAAAATTAGAATTAATTTAAATGTCAACAACATGACAAAAGTGTTTCTTATTAGGATCTAAACCAATTAATTGTGTATCTTTAACTATTTCTTTTTCCTTCAATTGTATTAAATTTAAAACAGAAAGTTAGTTCAGGACCATTTTCATTTGATTATAATTAATAGTTTCGTTTTTACCTAGATTGCTCAACATTATTCTATATCTATTATAGCTCTATATCATAAATATATAAATAAAAATTATATAAATTTAGAATTTAAATATTTACCTCTGACAAGTAAGCTACTGGTATTCCTCTGTGCTTATTTTCTAAAGCTATAGAAAGAATCATCAACTTATGATGAAATTAAAGTTTTTAAATTGAATATAGAATAGGAGAAGAGTATAACTAGCTATACGATTTTTAAATCATAGGAATAGTTACTTTTGTAACATTTTAATTTTAAAAGTTTTCTAACTGACATATTTCAACAGCTTTTCTTAACACTTTCAATGTTTTTCTTATATCTGAAGATGAAATAGCAATTTTTCTGCATGTATATTCTATTGCATTTTACTCAAACACTTCCCTAACTTTTTCCTAATTTTTAAGTCTAGTAGCAATAATTTCCTGTATTTATTTATGATTATACTAATTAAAAACAAGTCTTCTACTTCCCATTCTACTTTTAATTTTGTTCATCAAAATTTCTGGTAAATTCATAGTATTAGCTATCCCAATAATAGTTAATTTTGAGTATTTATGATGAGGCCATTCCATTAAGTTATAAAGTAAATCCTAATCTTATGTGACTAAATAATCTAATTCATCTAAGAGAATCACCCTGAATTTAATTAAAATAGTATTTTAAATATAGTTTTATTATTTTTTAGTCAAAAATTACTTATTTTTATTATCAATATTTTCTCCATAGCTTTAGTATGTTTTTGAAAGTTTTCCACGAGTGAAAAGCTCATCTAATAAAATTAAAACAATAAATTAATTTTTTAAGTATTAATAAATTAATTGCTTACTTAAAATTTAACAGGCTTTTTATTTTGATGTGCAATTTTTCCCAGTTATTGTTTTAACGAGTATATAGTATAAATTTTCTGGGTTACTTAAATTCATAGCATTAATGTGAATGAAAGTAAATTCATCTTTTTTTTCATTTTATAATTTTTTAATCACTTCCAAAAAACTTGCTGTCTTTCCTATACCAGGAACACCTGAAATATCTAAATTTTTAATTTATGATTAATAAATTTTTTTAAATTTTATGAAAATTTAAAAAGAATTTAAAATTAATTGATTACACAAGCAATTAGAGCTACCATTATTGCCTAAACCTTCATTTATAAATTCTAAAATTTATTTCTTTTCATCTTCTCTACAAGGAATTTCTTCTGGCAATGAATATTCTTATAGCATTTCTATAGCTTAATCATAAATATTATGTTTTGGTTTAACATTTATTTTTTAATAATTCTTGTCTTCAATACGTAACTCTTTTTTGGCGGGTTTTTATTAATAAATTAGCGCTTAAAAGTTAAAATGTTCGCTGGCTTGAGTTAATTTTTAAGATTCTTTAGATGAAGATTTCTTTTATTATTTCTCTTCGTACTCTTTTTATTATTATATCTCCTTAATGTTTCTTCTATCTAACAATGCTTCTTATTTACTTTTTCTCCCCCTCTTTTTAGGTGTTTTTTACTAATCTGTCTCTTTTTCTTAAATTTTATCATTTAATATCTCTACTTATTTAGGCTTTCTTCCTCTTTTAGGTTTTTCACTTTCAATTAATGATGGATTCTTGTCTTTGCTTGTATCAATTTTTTCTTTAGAATTCATTTTTTAATTTTGCTTTTCCGAATTTATTGTTTTGTTTTTTGAAGCACTTTTTGCCTTTGTATCTTATAACTCTGTAAGTTCAAAATTTTATTGGCTACGAGTAATCCTTTTGCTGGCAGTTGATTCTTTAACTTACTATTTTTCTTAACTCTTTTACTAGCTAGAAGAATATGTTTTTTTAATTTTAAGGCTATTTTTACTTCTTCCTCTACTATCTATCATATTTTTATTTTTATTTTACTTTACATCTACAGACTATTCATTTTTATCTATATCTATTTCATTATCATTATTATATACAGAAACTGAAATATGACAATCTGAAATTTCATATTCACTTTCATTTTCATCATTGCTGGAATCAATAGTAACAATATTATGATTATTTTTAGTTTTTTCTAAATTATCATTTTTATTCTTTTGCTTATTGTATTCCCTTTTCTTTGATTCAGTGTGTATTTATTACTCAATTACAGCTTTTGTTAGCTATTATGATTTTAATTGTTATTTCTACTATTTAGTCAAATTTATTATTGTTTTATTTGATTCTTAAGTTTTTTTTAATTTTTATTCATTTTATTTAGGTATCTCAATTTTAAATGCTCTTTTTTAAGGCTTTTTTTCTGATTCTTTTGTTGAATTCTTAGATTTACTTTTAGATTATTATTGTTTATTTTTATCTTTCTAGACGAAAATATTGGGTTCTTAAACCGAATCTATCATCTCATCTTTTGACTTTAATCTTTAACTCCTTTTTATCTTTTCATTGCTTTAAGTTATATTATTGCTTTTGCTTCTACTTTTGCTAACTGATTTTTATTGCTACTTTCCTTTTTTTGGATCTATTGACCTTTATGTATTTCTTGTGTTCATTTTGAAGATAATTTTTTATTTTTGATTTATTTAATCTAAAGATATTTTTATAAACTAATTTGAGCAAAATTTAATTGTTAAAATTTTAAAATGACAAATTATTTCAAATAATTTTGAAAATTTATTTTTTAATTAACTGAAAAATATTTTATTTGTGAAATTTCTAAAATAATTAAATAAGATTTTAATTTTATACTTTTTAATAAATTAATTTTAATAAAAATAGTATTCGAAATGAAAATATATTTTGGTAGTATTAGATTGCTTTTAGGCTTTGCAATTTTGTATAACATGAACTCAATCAAGGTTTAAATTTATCTTTAAAATTGTAAAATAACAAAATTTTAATTAATAATTGTGATATTAGAAATAAGATATTTAACTAATTTTGTATTAATTAATAAAAATGGAGGACAATTTCGATTGCGATTTATTTATAAATAAAGATTATGTAGAAAAGGAATTCAAATACAAAGATTGTGTTCAAAAATATAAAGCTTCTACAAGCGCTTCAACTGATTTTGATTTAACTGGTTAAATTGTTTGGAGAGCTGCTGAATAGTTGGCAGAGTTTATTGTAGAAAATAAAGAAATATTTAGGGATAAGGTAGTTTTAGAAGTAGGAGCAGGAGTAGGCCTTTCAGGATTAGTTTGTGCCTAATATGCTAAGTAAGTATACATTACAGATGGTAATGATATAGTTTGTGAATTGATGGAAATGAATGCTTAATATGCTTAAAATAATAATGTAGTTATGGAGAAGTATTGCTGGGGAGATTTAGTAAATATTATTTATTTAAAATACCAAACAAGACAATAATATGTTTATTATAAAATAGTCATATTTAGAAAAGAGAAAGGATATAAAATTTGATATAATTATCGGAGCAGACATTATGTTTTGGGAGTCTTCAATTGAACCTTTGGCTATTACTTTAAAGCAAGCATATGAATTATATCCTTAAATTTTAGTATACACTGCTACAAGAGTAAGAGCAAAACATTCTGAAGATAGATTTGATCAAAGATTATAAGAGAGAAATTTAGAAAGAATCGTTTTATATTCCGAAGGTGAAAACAAATTCTATAAAATATTTAATAAAAGCAATAACAATGTCCAAGATTCTGATTTATCTAGATATGTTATTCCTGAACAAAAAAGAGCTGAATTAAATCAAAAATAAAGTGAATGATGAATTAATTAATTAATTAATTAATTAATTAAATTGTGGCTGTACCTATTTTTTTATTATTAATATTGTTAGATTTTAAATAATATTAATTTACAATTGTTTATTTGGAATATTAATTTAAATAAATTTCATTAAAGAAAATAATTCCTAAAGAATATACAAAATTTTATATTCTAAAAAAAAATATTAATATTGAGGTTTCTAAATACCTAGTAATCTAAATTATATAATAAATATACAATTATCATCCACATGAGATTAATTAAATATTAAAATGAAAAAAAATTAAAGTAACTAAAGAAAAATATTAATTTAAAATATTTCACCTAGTCTTAAAAAATAGTGATTAAATTATTTCTATTAAATTACGAATCATAAAGTTATGTGAAAAATCTAATTTGAAAATTTTTATTTTATTAAATAATATTATTTAAATCTACTTATTTAATTTCAAATTTGATTAGTAAATTTTAATAAATATTTATTTGAATAACTAAAGACCAAAATTAAATAAATTTTAAATATCAACAGAATTTGCTTTATATTTTGCTCTTTTTTAATTAATCTCAAAATTTTTAGAAAATAGAATTTGGTTGAAATTTAATGAAGAATTTTAAATATAAAAAATAAAATGATATCTGAATAATATTATCTAATATATATTTAAACAATATAAAACTATAAAATAGAAAACTTTTAAAATTTATAATTTTTAATCACTATAAATATTTATTAGTTTCATTCACTAAACTCTTAAAATTACTAACATAAAACTCTAAAAATTCTTTATTGGTAAGATCTAGCATCCAATTATGCTCTTTATTACTTGCTTTTTAAATAGTATTTTTTTTATCTATATACTATTAAAATAGTGGAGAGTTAAAGTTGAAGAACTCTAAGTTTTGCAAGCTTCCAAACTCATCATTAATCCAACTAATCTCAACATTTTAGTCAATTATTATTTATTATTATTATTTTGGAAGATGAAAGAATAGCTTTAAAAATGCACAGCTAAATTCTTCTACATTCACACTCCTATTTATACATAGTACCTCTATTAGTATAGGAGTGATGATAAACAGCACAAGATCATTCACACTTTTGATGTCTATTTTTTCTGATGAAATATATCCATCATGATCACTATCCAATACTGAAAATATTTAATAAATCCTCTACTTAAAATTAAGGTTAAAATTAGATTTTTCATTTATACTTTAAGATACTTCTTAGTTCACCTTTTATATTTCTTACTTGCTTTATTTAATTTTATTTAAGGATGTACTGCTATTATTTAAAATTTGTTTTGAGTAAAAGCTATTATCACTTTAATTTTATTTAGATCTTCCTAAGTTAAATGAAGAGCTCCTTTTTTATATTTGCTAATTATTAGCTTTAAAATTATTATTTAATTATTGATTGGATTAATTATGTAAAAGACTATTATTCTTCTATTTTTGATTTATATTTTATTTATTTAAAGAAGCTTTTGAAAGATTTTGTTTTAAAGATTATTCTCTTGGTAATTGTTGTTATTATTACTTGAACAGTTATTTTTAGTAGAGTTCGCTATATGGGCCTTAAAGTTGCTAATTTAATTTATTTTATTCGATAAAAGGAGAGATATTAAGTTTAACTTATTTAACATCACTCAAAATTTAAGAAGGATTACTCTTCATAATACTATTAAAAATAGTTTACTTAATTTAATCAAAGTTCTCTTATTTTTCCATGTTATTTCTCTTCTGCTGGATTGAATTTTTAGTATTAGGAGTACACTGCAATATTTAAAAACTATCTTAGTTCCTTTGAGTTTAATTTTCAGATCCTCTTGCAGTAAATATGTTGATTTACTAGTTAGTATAATTGCGGTTTGTATTAGGTGTTTTTTATTATGTTTAATTGCTATCATAACCTTTGGATGATATGCAAGAGGATCCTCTTGCTGTTGATAAATTGCTTTATGCAAAGCTTTGATTTTCATTTTGATATTGCAAAGATTACTATTTTAATTAAATCTAGTTTTAATTTAAATTCTTTTAAGAGTGATTCTAACTAAAAAGATTCCTTTTTACAGAAGATAGATTTTAATTTACTAATGATCTGTTGCTTGATTATACACTCAAATTATTACTATTCTAATGATGCCCTTTACTATTAGAAGATAATGGTGGTAATTAATATTAAATTTTTTTATTACTGGCACTATTATATAACTAATTTTTATTATTTTATATTGATATAGCTTGTTAATTCTTATAACCTGAATTTTATTGCTAAAACTCTTTTTATTTTGAAATTACTTATTAAGTTATATCTGTCAATTATTATTCATCTTAATTATTTACCAATTAAGATTAGTCAATCTACTATTAAGATAGAATTATAAAGTTACCTTGCTATTTGCTGACTATCTGCTTGTCATGCTAACAAATATCGAATTCTTGTTAATAAATAGGTTGATTACCTTCATGATTCTACTCATATTATTGATAATTCTCAAATTTATATTTATTAAATGGAATATTAGTATTAAAAGTTCCTGCTTCTTCGTTAATCTACTATAATATTCTTTAGTTATGTATTTCATCTTCTTCTATTCTCGTTTAGCAGACTTTGTATAAACCAGGTAATATTTCTTATTATTTTTCATCAAAAATTCTTAGAGACTCTGTATTTATAGATTATTTATCTTTTTGGATAGAAGAGTAATTTGTTATTCCATCAAACATATTTGAAATCTCTCTGTTTTATTAGCTGTTATTGTAGTTTTTATTATTCGTTGTTTAAAGCTAAGATTTCTAAATATCTTAATTACTATATATTTTATCTAGATCACTCTTTAATGAATTTGTATCTTAGTTCTTAAAATCATCAAATTGTGAAGCTAGACTGCTCATATTTTACTTTTAAACTTTAACATCTTTGTTTTTTAATAGATTTTGTGCTTAAATTAAATCACTTTTTAAATCATGTTTCTTGCTTTAAGAATTAAACTAATTTATTTGATCTTGCTCTTAATTTAAACCAAAGAAAAAAGCTTTGTGCTCTTTAATAGCATTTTAGTTTCCAATTTCGACTGAATTCATTGAGGTTGGAGAGTAAAAACTAGAATTTTTAACATTGAGGTGTGCAGCTAGTTTTAAATTTTAAGATTAATTCTCGAGCAGTTATTAGTTTTCTGATTATCTTAGTACGAATTCACTCACATCGTTGTATTTCATCTCCTCTACAGGGGAAATAATCTTTACAGAATATTTACCTGATTAAATTGCTTGTTCCTTCTTACTTGATTGATATTTTTCAAGGGAGTAACTTGCTTTCTAATTAAATTAAAATTGTTTACTCTATCGAGCTGACTCTTGAGATTCTTGATACTTCAAAATATCATAACGATTAAAATGGTTACTTGACTAATCATTTTCATTCTGAGGTTATTACTTGGTGTTTGGACTTTCTTAATTGATAGATTTCTGTAATGGAGATTTCTCTACACTATTATATGCTTTGTTTGATTCATACTAAAGAGAATAATTATTCCTTCTACGATTAAATTCTTATTGAATATTTTATTACTATGCTAGAGATTTTTAAATGCATTATTTTAGCAATTCAATATTTTAGTATTATGATTATATTTGATCCTCAAAAATATTTTTTACATTTATTTATTCATTCATTTTTTATGTTATATTTTCTATCGGATTTAATGTTATAGTTATTGCTGCAACTGAGTTCGGATCTACCTTTGTACTGATTTAATTATTATCCTCATCTGATTCTGTTTATTTTTTCTTTTCATTTGTTTAACCATCTTTCTAATTTGGTATCTATTTTAAAAACTAGCTATTTTAATCTTTTTTCAAATCACAATCTTCTTACAAGTCAGAAAGCTTTAATTCATAAATTAATGATTTATAAGGTAACTCAAACACCTGCTCAGAAACTGAACAGTTAACATTTTAAGATTTATTTTATATTTAAACACTATTCTCTTAATTTTAAATAAAATTGCCTTAATTACCAAAGTTTTAAAATGAATTTTAAGAGCAAAATTCAAACGTATTACTTTCTAAGCTAACTAATGGAGTGATTCCTTTTTAAGTTACTTAAAACACTGCTGATTCTTAGTTATTCACAAACTTTTGAGCATTATTATTTGAGAATACATTATTTTATTTGTTATTAGTTTTATTTTTAGGAGTTTAGAATGAATTATAGTGGTTTAAAGCTTCTTGTAATCTTTCAATTATGAAATTGCAGTATTTAGATAAATCCATATTATTTTTAATGCAAAAATCATAAGCTAACCTAGAAATCTGATCATCTTCAAAAACGTTGATCACTTCTTAACGAGCATCTGGTGTTTCAACTATCATGCTAAAAAGCAATTATTTTTTTAAAATACTCGGTTAGTTAGAATTAATCTAATCAAGCTATAAATGGCTCATTTTAGAAAAAGGATTTTATACTTGAAAATTTTCAACACATTAATTTTTCATGTTATTTTCATAAAGGCTCTCAATATTTGAGTTTATTTATGAAGTTTGCCTTTGCGTAAATAAACTTTGGTAACTTTGATTTTGCTTACGAGAAATTATGGAAGATTAATCATTCATACTAGCTCTTCTAGCTAGTATTTTGTTATATTGATTATTATTTTAGTAATTATTTTTTGAAATTATTCCTTGTAAGTTTACATTTGAGTTATTATTAGCTTTTAATTAGACCCTATCTATTTGTTTTTCCTTATAGTCGTTAATTATTTAATTATCTTTCAACTCGCCAACTTAATTAACTACTTTTTTGTAGAAGTTAGTATTTTGATTTGAGTTTTCAAGTCTCTAAGAGATTTATTCTTTTAAAGATTATCTGGTAAATTCGTTTGTATTGCGATGATTTGCTGCATTTTAGCCACTCTACACATAATTATTATAATGTTAAGAAATACTTTGTTACTCGCTATTATTTAAATTGTTATAAATATTTATTAAATTTTATTCACTAGACTTATTGTTTTCTTATTTAATAGTAAATGCTATACTGTTAGAGTTATCATTTCCAATGTCACTATAATTTCCAATTATTGAGCTTATATTATTATTAATGAATTTTGAGCTATTTAAAATATATGATTCGGAATTGCTTAACATGTTAATATCGCTATTAACTTTCTAAGCATAGTTTGTTTATTACTGCTTTTAAAAAATAAAATTATCATTTCCACTTATCTAGGACTACTCATTGCTATAATTCTGGAGATCATTAAATAATTACATTGAGTTTTAATTCATAAGTTAACTTTAGCTCTTTGTGATTATTTCCTTATCTTTCATTTAATGCTAAATTCTATTAAACATATAATCATTTTATAGAACATCTCCTTATTAAATCGATTGCTTAATCTATATTTGTGAATAATCCATAAATAAGTCCTCTGGAGTTAATTAATCTAAATCTTCACTGCTTTATCCCTAAGAAGCCTTTATTTATGAGATTTAAGCTTTTTATTACCTTTTAGAAATAGAGCTGTAAGGACTAAATGTCATTTCTTTGCTTTTATTAAACAGCATTGCTGTTGATAATTAATTAGCTTTAATTTTGTTGTTTCTTCAATAATTAAAAAATTAATTTCTTATGGAATATCATTAGAAAAAAATATAAAGATACGAAAAAAAATAAAAACAATATTTTAATGTATTAATTGATATTTAATTTTTACTGATTCTTTATTTTTTAAATATTTAATTAGCGAATAGTTGCTTAATTTCAAATATTGCAAATTAATCACTGATAATAAATAATTTTTCATATATGATTGCTTAATAAATTCATAAAAGTTTACAATGTATTCGTTAGATATATTTGAATGATAATTAGATGATTAAAAATTAGAATAATGTTGATTTTTATTAGAAAAAGCAAGTTTTATTTAAAATTTTTAACATTTTAAATATATAGATGGATAGATAGATACCATCATGATAAAAGTGAGTTTCCGAAAAAATAAATATTCTTTACAATTAATATTTTATATTTTAATAAAAAAAAAAGTTTTGTAATGAATAAATAAATAATATATTAATAAAAATTAAAATTAATAAAACTCTCTTTAGCAAATAGAAATTAATTAAAGTAAAATTCATAATTTGCTCATGCAAAATAGAAAAAGTTGTAATACCTTAAATCCCCAAATAATTATCAAATCCATTTCGATTTTTCTGAAATCTAAAATGGTGTAATATGTTTTTGTATGTTAGATAACCATAAAGAAAAAAGATTAAAAATGAAAGAGATGAAGTAAATAATTTAGAAATATATAAAATAAGATAAGATATAAATCAATTAAGTTATATTTAAATTCATTAAAAATTATCTATCTTTTAATAATCTAAAATTTTAAAAATAAACATAAAAAATTTTTTATTATAATATTTAATTCATGAAATCATATAATTCTTATTTTATTATTTTTGATTTCTTCAAATAAAGACATTAGAGCACTCACTTTCTTCTAAATCCAAAAATTTTTGCGGAAATTCGACTGGTAAAATTTTTTGGGATTGCTTACTTAGCTATTTTTCCTCCTGCTATAATCAAACCTTCCTTAATACCTTACTTTGCATCACAATGAAAAGTAACATTACCACTTGAGTTTTTTGGTAAACAAGTTTTGGCAGCTGCTTAAGCATAACTTCCTATTTCATACCCAATTTAAGCACCTGCAATTATTCCTTCAGGAAAAGCAACAATACCTCCTGCTATTGCTCCTACTGCAGCTCCTATTATAGGCCCACATTTTTAGACTGCACTTACTACATGTTTTACTACTTTTTTAAGAGAAAAAAGGATTCTTTTATTTTTAGAATCAATAGTTTATTTATCATCAGAATTTTACTCTATTTTGTAAGGATTTTCCAAATTTTCTACTTGCAAGGAAAATGTTCTACTTTAATTACTATTGTAAACAGTTTCTTGCTATTATTTTACATTAGCTTCTTCTAGATATTGGTATTCTAATTAAAGACCTTAGTCACTCAATTAGTTATTCAAGTCATGAATTTGTTAATTAAAGATTTTTACTTTACCATCTTCTTCATATATGATAAATTTTGAGCCATCTTGATCTTATTGCTAAAGATTTCTAGAATTTGAATCTTATTTATCATTTTAATTTAATTATTAAATTAAATCATCTGCATTAAAAAAGGTTTCATAATAAAATTTATTAGGGTCTTCTACCTATTACTGATTACAGAATCTGTAAGTTTAGTCCTATCCTTCCATTTTAGCAGTATAGCAAGTTTATTCAATTTCCTTTTCTTAACCTTAACTTTCTTGGTTTTTCTGTATGTTAGTAGTTTATTTTTTTTATTGTGTAGAGAAGAAAGTAACTTTGGATTAAGTAGAGTCCTTAAAAGTTAAATTAAGGTCAATTTAGTGATATTTTATTTATTATCCATTAACTTCTGCAGAGCCTGACTTGACTATTCTTCCTTCAATTTTTGAATGGTCCTTAAAATAGATAGCACAAAAGGTAGCAACTCCAGCTATGCAAAGAATTACTGCTAAAGAAATAGCTACACATGCATATTTTCTTTTCTTAGACCATTTTTTATTTTAGCTTTTTTCAGATTTCAAAATAGTACTTCTCTGGTTACTTTAGGACTCAGTATCAATAGACTTCACTTCATCATATTATTTTGTTTTCCCTTAGATAGGTAGTACTGTATTCATTTTATAGGATTTTTTATTTTTTAAATGAGTTTTTATTTTAAATTATTATAATGATAAAGGAAGATTAAACAAGTATTTCAAATAAAGCCAATAATGAAATTATGAAGCTTTAACTATAAGATATTATTACATAAATACATATCTTTCAATAACCCTATTAAACTTCTAGTTTCTAGATAATTATAGTCCACTTAATTTAAAACTTATTATCATAAGGAGTAAATGTTGTTTATTTAACCATTGATTTTTTTAAAGGAAAAATTGATCAATTATCGAAAAAAAGAGACTTAATTTATAGACTTGCTTGATTTATTAAAACTAACAACATAATCTATATTAAATAGAGATATTTAAAAAAGTTAAAAAAGTTTTATGAATAAAATGGATTTAAGCTTCAAGTAAAATTTGAAGTTTTGTAGCCATAAATCTTAAAATAAATTTATTATCGCAAAAACATTTTAATTGGAAAGCTTTTTTATTAATTAAAAAAAAACAATTATCTAGAGTAAATTTAATAGAATTCCCTTAATACTTAATAGCGTTTTAAATAAAAAAAACACAATTAAATGTTTTAGAAAAGTACAATAATAATTGATTTCCCCTTTTTCATAAAGTTGTAAGCCTAAAAGAAATTATCAAAAAATCACAATTTGAAGGTTATGAAAGTAACTTAATTTTAAATTGTAAAATTTTTATTTTTGTAAGATAGAATAGAATTACTTAAAAAATAATTTTCAATATTAAAATAATTAGAAATTCACTTTTATTTTTATTATTTGTTTTATTTATTAATCCATTCATTTTAAGTTTGTAAAAGAAAAAATTTGGTTTACAGGTTAAATTTAATCAATCAAAAAAATAATCTCTTTGTTATTAGAAGGATATGTATACTCAAATAAAATACATTAAGTGAATAGACAAAATAAGATAATAATTAAGCAACATCAAGCTATCCTTGTAAAATATTACACAAAAAAATAAATTTTAGGGATATTTATTCAATTTTATAGTTGCTATTTAACAAAAAATACATTAAAAATTTAGTTTTGTTTATATAAAAGATAATAAATAATAATTCAATAGATTTTATGAGATATGTTAAAAGTCTAAAAATTTAAAAAAGACAAAATAAAATTAGAGAAAAAAAATAACATATTTCTTCCGTCATTTGTTATATTCTAAACTTAAATAAGACTCACATTTCTAGTAATTCATTAATTAATCAATTTTACTATACATTTTAAATTCTAAACTCTGTAGTCTTTATTCATTAATAAATGAAAAACAGCTAATTAGCAAACAAAAGAAACTAACTTATTTTTTCTTACGTTTTTTGCTATAGCATAATAAGCTTAGACCCTACTTTATTATAATTTTTATTGGAGAAATAAAAATAGTTTCTCCTGTTCCTACTAAAATAAAAAAATTATTATAACTTTTAAAATTATTTATTGACAGTAATTTTTAATTTTTTGAAATTAAGATAAGCATTTTACAATATTTAAGACATAAACCAATATAAATTAATATTTTAATATTTTTAAACTCCACTTAATTGAGACTACTAACCTTCAAAAACTTTTTTAAAAACAATAATAGCCTTGAGCAAGGCAGTACCCTAGGGTACAATAAATAAAATTTTATATTATTAGTAAAATCTATAAAATTAATATTTCTAATTTTAATTATTAAATGATTAAATTCATTTAAATTTATTATTTGAAATTTAGAATTAATAGACAGACAATATGTTTACAAAAGAAAGAATAAAAAATGAATGCCAAGTTATAATTCTTCTATTTATAGCAAATCTTAGACAATTATAAATTTAAAATTGGTAATATAGTTAATTATAATATAGTAAAAACAAATTTATAATATTATAAATTGACAAAAATTAATTAGAGCCAATTTATCTTTTTAAAAATATTAACTGAAATATCATTTTTAAATTAAATTAGTCAAAGTAATTTTCTCTTTGTCAAACCTTATGAGAGATTTTAATTTGAAAAGATTAAGACCTGTTATTATTATTTGATTTCTTCTCTACTTAAGAAAAGCTGGATATTTAATTTGTACTAGTTTAATTCATTTAATTTTTTTATTAGTTTTAAGGTATTTTTTTAAGGCCTTAACTTTAAATATGATGAGATTTTATTATGAACTCAGGAGGATGTTTTTCAAATTTAGTAGAAAAGCTAGAAGACTTTGAATCTATTGTTTTCTTCTATATTTTAGTACTTTTAAATCCTCCTTACAAGTATTATCGATTTTTAGGTGAAGGCGAAACTAAATGAGAAAGTAAATTTTCAGAGTTTCTAATTTTAGGTAGTGTTAAACCAGCATTAGAGAGATGATCTTAACTAGTTAATTGATTTTGATGGCTAAAATCAGTTTAAAATGACAACTTATTTGCTCTTGAATGAGTATTTTATTTCTTATCTTCAGCTAAAATCTACTCTATTTCATTTAAGCTTTTATATTATATGCTACTAATTAATGTCTATTGATTAGATTGTTAAGTGTTTAATTTATTCGTATTATTTTAAGATCTTATCTTGGATTATGATGATGGTTTTACAAGATAACTTTAGATATGGTTATTTTATTCTTATTCTTAACTATTTTATATGTTATGGAAATTTTCTAATGAACTTTTCTATTCGCCTTATTAGATTTCTTTATCTTTTTCATATTCATCATCTAATTCTTAAAGAGTACTCTATTTTTACATCATTTTTAAACCCTTCAGGTTGCTTGATTAAGGGAAAACATTAAATTTTTTTTAGCCAGAAGTGATATTCTTTTAACTCAATTAACTTTCTAGTATAGGTTCTTCTTTTATATCAGAAAATGAGCTTTATGAGTTGTTTGTTTTATTACAAGTCAGTAATTAATAATTTTTTTAATTCTAGGAAGGATAGCTAAATAATTAATTTAAACTACTGTGAATAGCTCCAAATCTTCCATTTTTAGGAATTGTTGGAGAAGGAGTGCTTATTTCTCCCATGGAAGCCTCTGATTAGGCGAAAAATACTTATTTTGTGCTCTTGTCATTTGTGCTGAGAGAAAGGTTTGGTTTTCCTACTTTCCTTAGAGCGCTCAATGAGTATAACTAACTCGATGAATTTGAAAGTGGCCTAGTTTTAATTATATTTATTAGTTAATAATCTCTAAAAAAAAGTTTTTTGCAATTAAAAGAAATCAAAGAAAAATAAATATGGTAATCGATAAAATGGTTCATACGAAGGAAGCTCGTCTTAAGGTATGTCTTAAAGAGAATTTATATATTCATTAAATTAAGATCTATCACGTTCTTTTTTGAATTTCACAAGTTTTTTCCGAATGTCATATGGCAGTGAAGATAAATCAGTCTACGATTTCATACTTGTCTCTATTGTTAGCTAAGCGGCACTCTAAGAGCTAGGTAAGGTATTAACTTTTTATTTCAGTTTTAAAAAGTGTATTTTAGTATTTCCAGGTGGTTTTCTACGAACTTTAATTGCATCAGCAATTTTTTGTTCTAGTTATTTTTTTTTGTCTAAGTCAAACCAATTTTCGTTACATATAAGATGACCAACTTAGTTGTGGGTTTCATCTAACTCACTTTATCTTTTCTTATCCTAAAACTAGTTCTAGGTACTGGTAACATTTAGATTATGCTAATTTTTTTCAATCATTTCTAAAATTTTTTCTTTTGTTTTAATTTGATCTTCAATTTTATCGTATCCTCTTAAAGCTTCTTCTTAAACTTTGTGCTTTAACGATACCAAAGTTTTTTAAGATAATTCTTCATTCTTTTCATGCAGCTTTCTAACATGGGCAAGCATCAAATCGCTTCCTCTTTGTTTGTGATTGATAGAATCTATATTTGTACTTTTGAAATTCAAAGGTGATTAACATTCTGATTATGACTGATGTTGATTATTTTCTTTTGTGTTTTTTTAATCTTCTGGACTTTATTCTTTCTTGTTTTTCTTTGTTAGTTCTTTTAAATCTTTAAAATAAAAATAAAATTATTATTTAAATCTTAAAAAATTTATTTTGAATAATTTTATAAAATTTTTGAATAATAATATCTTAAAAAAACAATCAATTTAAACACTCAAAATGTAAAATGAAAATAAAAAATTTTATTACCTAAAGTAAACAATTATTTATCAGACTGAGGTATGTCTAATTAAACATCATGATCTATAAATCCTTCAATCTTATGTTGTTCAATGATTTCTTATGTTTTGAATTCTTACCATTTTACTTTATTTTTAGCTCTCTTTTCCATAATATTCTTAAGGTCTGGAATTTCATGCATTAGTCTTATAAAAAGATACTTGTTGATATAGTACGCTTTTACTTCGTGAAGGCATCTTGCATTATAATATCTTTCTTTGTTCTAAAAGAAGATTTCCTCAACACCAATAATTTCTCCAGCTCCAATATAACTTAATTGGATTTTCTTCTTTTTTCTTTTAATAAAAAAAAAAAATTAATTAATTAGCTGATGAAAATTTTGATTTTATTAATAAAGTAAATAAATCTAAAAAAAATAAAAAAATACCCGTCTTTCCCGACAATATTTTTATATAATTCTATTTCGCCTGATTTTATTACTAAAACTTCATTTGCCTTATCACCCTCTTTGAATATATGCTGATCCTATTTATAAGTTGTTATATCAAAGAGATTATTTCAGATTTATTATAATTTAGCGTTCTAATAATAATAAATTTTTGATAAAATATAATTTACTTTAATAAACTTTTTTTTTTGAGAAAAATCTATGCACAATTTTCCAAACTCTTCAATTTTCAGATCAAAATGAAGGACTTAATGGAAGAATTATATTTTTTGCTCTAATTTGTAATTCTCTAAAGACTTGATGATTTGTTAATAATTTTATTTGCTCATACATACAAAATCTGTGTCTTCTAATGATAAAATTGTTGCTGTTCTTGGTACCTTAAGTAGCAAACCCATTTCACCAAAAGCTGATCCTTATCTAATTTAATATAATACAAATTTAATTAATCATAGAAAATTTAATCAGAAATTTTACTCTAATTCTTTTGCGAACTCATAACGAAACACGCCATTATCATAGAATTTTTCAATATCTACTAGTTCTTCAGGCAACAAATGAATATTTTTAGAAACAAATTCTGTTTATTTGCTTTCTTATTTTACAACAGAGTTATTTTTAGAGAGAGCAATCGTATTTCTGTGTCTTCCATTCTGCTTGGATTAGGTATTCTATTTTAAAGTTGGAGTATTTGCCTCTAGTGAGCTGTTATTCGCGTTATCTTTTTGCTTTTAGTATTACGAAAAAGGTAAATGAAATTTATTTGCATATCAAAAAAATTTGTAAATTTGTCTCAGAAAAAAACAAAAGAATCCAATTTATTTTTTTATTATTTGATTAGAAATAATCAGTAATTTTTTATGGATTAATTTACAAAATTCAAGTACTATCCAAAAGAGTGGATTTAGTGAATCAAAAAATCTAATTGATAATAAAAAATATCTTACAATCTATGAAATTAAATCTAAAGGCGATTAATTAACCTCAGTAGATAGAGATAAATCGTTACTATTTTTTTCATTGAAAAACTAGCTATTGAATATGCTCATATTTTTGGGCTTTTACAAATTTTAGCTGCTAAAATTATTTACTCCTTGTAAACTAGATTTTCTTCCAAATAACCCATTTTAATTTGAGTTTACAAATAGAAATGAATTATTTTTGAAAAGCGGGGAATTATTTTCATTAGTATTTTAAGTTTATCTTTATTAAGAGAACTAACTAGGAATATTGCCTTTAGATGGAGATTTAGGTGTGTTTTAAATGCTCCCAATATCCAATGAATCTCTTTTTTCTAGTAGAAAATCAAATCCACTAATTTAAGCATTTTTTCTATCTATAATGTTTTATACATTGATTACTTTCCCATTTTTTCTATCCATAGCAATTTAAGTGTCTGATTTTTTAAGCAAAACTGCTACTTTTCCTCTTAAAATCATATAGAATTTTTCAGGTTGTTGTCCAGCGAAAAAAACAGCTTACCCCTTCTAGCATTTTTAATGTTCCACAACTCTAGCAACTTACTTTGCAAGAGTAGGCTTTCTCTTTTTCATTTTCTGTATATATGCAAATGAATCTATTGTATCTTCAATAAGCTTTTGCTCTACTGGATTTCTTTAGTTAGCAGGTTAATTCAGAGCTAAAATAGCAAGATCAAATTTTTCTTTTGAAGATAGCTTCTCTAAATTTTGGGTTGAAATTTTTATTTTTTACTTTTAATTTGTAATATGCTATGTTAAATTTGTGTTTATTGTTAATTATTATGGCTGGAGTTTGTTTATATTGTTCTAGTTTTCATTTATTTAAATAACTTTACTTATCACTTCATTGCTTTTTTAAATATTTTTTTCATGATAATCTGATGGCTTATTTGCTTACTAATCTTTTTTAGAATCTAAGAAATTTAATGAATCAAGCTATTTATTTATCAAAATATTATGTGCTTACTAGCTTCCATTTATATTAATGGTAGGCATTTTAACAATCTCCTATAGATTTTGTTTTACAGATGCAAAATTCTCATTGTTTTATTCTACTTCAACTTGCTACATTTTGACTTTATTTTTTTTTAATTAATTGTAGAAATATTTTCAGAGATAATAGTATGAATTTTTACTAAAGCTTTTAAGCTTTTTTATTAAAGCTTTTTGTTTTTTACACAATTAATTTTTTACAATAAATAATTTTTATAAATTATAAGTCATTTAATAAGCATAAATATGATATTTATATAGCTATGATTAGTAAATTACTATTAAAGTCATAAAATAACAATAACACTTTTATTATAATCCAAAATAATAAAAATAGCTCAAATATTTTATTTCTAATTTACTCAATCATATTCTATACCTCTAATTTTATAAAAATACAAAAATTATCTTTATAAATTTACAATTCTTTTCCAAAACAAAAATATCAAACGTAAATACAAAATAAATAATTAATCCAAAAAAAAAATTACAAAAGTTCAATTAAGTTATGTTCACAAATATGAATTTCTCTAATCTTTTATTATTTAAAGTAATTTTTTTATAATTAAATTAGTAGATAAATTTGCAAATATAAAATATAAAAATAAAAAAACTAGACTAATTTAATTGCTTTTATATTTTTTTTAGACAAAAAATAAGCACAATAATAATTTTGAATGATAAATTTCGGAAAAAATGAAAAGGTGCAGCAATTAAAAATATTCTAGCTCAGAAAATTTACAATCATTAAAGAAAGCAAAAAGATCTACAAGCAATTTAACTAAATAAATAAAAAATATATAAATAAAATACATAGCAAAATGAATGGTCATAAAATAAAATAAAGTTAATAAATGCTAATTAATAAATAAATAATCTATGTATTATCCTAAATTGTCTTGTAAATTACTTTTGGTATTGAAACAAAAATTTTATTATAGATTCTAAGATATAATTAGTTAAGAAATAGTAAAACAAAAAAAATATAATATTGATCTATTAATTACATAAATAACAATATTGATGGTTTAGACACTTAAATTAAATATGTTTTCTTAATCTTCAAAATTTTATACAATCTTAATCAATCAATCAACCTGTCAGATATTTAATTACTCTCAAACATCCAAATTAGCATCGGTATCAGGAATAAGCTCTCTAATAATCATATCAGTAATTTTAATATCCATATCAGTAGCATCTTCGATAGGTTATTCCTCAAAAAGGGTGAATTTTTCTTAGAATTCTTTAGCCATTAAATCAAGCTTTTTTCCAATCTTAATTAACTTATAACGGATTTATTCTATATTTATCACGTGAGCTACCTTGTTAACATCTATTTTACAAGGGCAACCAGAAGTACCCCAAAGTTCAGAGTATCCACCATACTTATCACCATGAGGAGGCTAATCACCAATGTGGAAAATATATCTCAAGCTAGGTAAAGTTTTAGAATCTCTCCAAGTTATATTCTTGGAAGCTTCCCAAAGGCCATCAAAAACAGCCTCTGCACCATCACCACCTCCTTGACAATCTAAGGTTTTAATATAATCTAAAACCTCTTCAGCTGTACAAAGATCTTGCACTTTAGTTAAATAGGTTGTCTCTTAAGGAGGGTGATCCCTATATGCAACAATACCAAAACGAACACTAACAGATTCTCCCTTAGATTTTTCTTTAACTTATTCTACAATTTTATTAACTGTATCTTTAGTCTTTTCAAGATATTCGTTCATGGAGCCAGTTGTATCAATACAAAAAACTACATCAATCATACCTGCTGCCAATCCTTATGCAATTAAATTAGAAACTTATTTATTAGGTTTTTTCTTATTAGCTACAGCAGCAGAAGGGGCGTCCTTCTTGGGGGAGGTCTTAACAGGAGGGGCATCTTTTTTCTTTGTTGATGCTGGTTTTGCCTTAGTAGCTGTTGATTTAACTGGGGTAACAGATTTTTTATCTTTCTTTTCTGTTTTTTTTTCTACTGCCTTTGCATCATTTTTTGCAGAAGCTTTTGCTTTAGCAGCAGGGGCAGCCTTAGTTTTTTTTACAGGAGAAGATTTGACCTCATTTTTAGGTTTTTTTTCTATTTTTTTGGATTTTTTAGGTTTTCTTTATATAAGAGATTCGTTAGCCTTCTTTTATAATTCCCTTTTTTCCTCTTAACGCTTCTTATGAGCATCTGCTGTATATTTAAGGAATTCAGCTGCTTCATTAGCAACTGATTCCATAGTGCCTTGTCTTTTAGGCTTTTTGTTCTTGCTCAATATTTTCTTTGAATCCTTAATGGTTTCAGCAATAGTCTTTGTTTTTTTAGTATTTTTTTTAACCATTTTTCTTGATCTTTTATCTGCCTTTAAGTAAAGTAAAAAATTTATTTAAGTATTAATTAGTATATATTAATTATATATAATATTTGGTAATTAAAAGCTTTTACAACTCACCCAAATAAAGAAAAATTATTTATTGTAAAATAAAAAACACTCATAACCCCTTTATTAATATATGTCTAAATAAGCTTTTATGATCAAATGCTTAAGAAGAAAACTAAAAAATAAATTTTATTATTTTTTCTTGAGTGACAATAAGAATGAAAAATAAAAAAATAGATTTAGTTTTTATATTTTTAGAATTTCATATTTAGTATGGCTTAATTCAATCTTTGTTTTAGTGAACAAAATTTTTAGTTAAATAATCTATCATATTTCATAGGATTTTTGAGATAGAAATTCAAATAATTCTGTTTATATCTTTTGGATATTTTTTTCGCGCTCAGAATCATAAATTCAAATTATAAAATTTAATTAAAATTCTTTTAGAGTTGAATAAATCTCAAACTGTGTGTGAAACAAAAATAATATTTTACTTTATAGAAAATAAATATATTATATTTAAATCAATATATATTTATTTATTTTACATCTTTAAGACTTAGATTAAAATTCAAAAACAATTTATAACACTATTATAACTATTTTAATACTTACTAACAGTGATTTCATAGAATATATTCTATAATATTCTATTCAAAAAATGAATGCAAAATAAATTTAGAGTATTAAGAATATTGAAACATACTTTGATATTCTACTTCAAGTTTATATATTTTGGAACCTCTACTGTTTAATATTCTTTTTATTAATTTGAAATTAAAAATGGTTTTATTAACAAAATATATTTAAATTATCTAGTTAAATAAATAAATAAGTTTATATAAGGTTTAGACATAATTCTAAATTTTATTTTATTTTAAAAAGTGTTTTCTTTTGTAATAAATTTATTATGATAATTTTATATCAATCAATGAGGAAATTATTTTTAAATCTATTGTTTTCAAAACGTAAAATTTATTATTCTTATATTTGATATTTAAATACATAGTTAAATTATCTTAAATTGCGATATAAAAATTTAAGCACGATGTAAGTATTTTAAATGCATTATTTATGTATTTTGCTTATTTGAGACATTAAAGCTAAACTGTATACAAAAAAAGTAAATTAATTTTAAAAGTTTAGTTTTGATAATGTTATATTTATTTTTAATTATAATACTCAGTAAAGAATTAGAATAAATTAATATAATTTTACAATAAATAATATTTATGTTACCTACATATCTTTTGAGTCTTATATTAAGCAATAACTTGTAAATTTTTAAGATTTGTGTAAACGATCAGACAAAATTTTTGATAAAATAAATTAAATTTAGGTTATTGACTAAGATATTATCATTAGTATTACAATGTAATAGTCTATTTAAGAAGATTAAAGTAAACCTTAATATTGGGCAGATAAATTAGGATTGATTTTACATCCTGAGGGTGGACAGTTTAAAGAGCTTTATAGAAGCTAAGACTTGATTGAAGGCTAATAAAGATAAAGCCTTTCATCGATATACTTCTTTTTAGATCATTAAAGTCCAATCTCTCATTTCCATGAAGTTGATACAAATGAATTGTTTATATTCTAACATGGTGCTCCTATGGAAATCGTTAAAATTTTGGAAGATGGATCTCTTAAAATCGAAGTATTAGGACCAGAAATCGATAAAGGGCAATAACTTGTTTGCAAGATTCATCCCTGTAAATATTTTGCTAGTAAAACTTTAGGCTCATACACACTATTTTCTTGCGTTTGCTGTCCTGCATTTTAATATGAAGGATTTAGAATGATTCCACACAAAGAATTAATAGAAAAATATCCCTAATATGAAAAAATAATTAACGAATATGCATTAAAAATATGATTTTTTGTATTAAAATTCATTCGATATATAAAATATGTTATAAAATACAAGCATTCTTTTTGTAAAATAAAGCTTATTTTTGAGATTAAATCTGCTTAACAAATATTTTGATTCATGAATATTGAATTAGAAAAAAAAAAGATAATTAATAAATTTCTATCTAATGTAATTTATAAATTAATCTTTGCTTGGTTTAATGTTTTTAACAGTAATACTGCGGTTGAATACTTATTTAAACTTTATTAATTTTAATATAACTTAAACTAAATTGAGTGTAAATTTACTATTACTATCACAAATAGATATATAGTATATTATCAATTTCTCAAAATATTTAAAAAAAAATTAATTATTTTTCAGATTTTCAATTTTTTATTTTCAGATTATTTTAATAAAAATGAGTAATAGTTTTATAAAATAGTAATAGATAGCTTTTTCAATTTTATTATTTTTATGAAAAATCGATAGAAGAATTTATGAAAAAAATATGTTTTAAATGATTTCGATTTATATTTATATATTTCTCTATTATATAAACAACTGTTAAAAATGTTCATATAGACATTTATGTTAATAAAAATAAATGAAGTAATATCTTTTTACATGGTATGTATAGTGTTCTAGTTATTTTAAACACATCCATTTAAAAAAGAAAGATGAAGGCAGCATTAAAACATGAGATTCATATAAGTATTTATAAATTTATTCAATACGAGTAAGTCAGTAATTAGTATAAAAAATTCCTAGTAAGTAGAATAGATTGGTTTAGTTATCTGTTATTTTATTAATTTGAGGTAAAGTGATAAAGTTATTTAACAAAAACATTTCAATATATTTTGCAAAATTGAACAGCATTCAATAATAATACTCTAAAGTCTATACGGTAAAACAGAAGAAGATTAATTATTAATCATTAAATGAATTTTAATATAAATAATAAAAAAGTATAAATTACCTTGAAAAAAAATAGCAAAATTATTAGATAGATTCTCTTAAATAAGTTTTAAATAAAGCTTAAAAAGAGTTGAATTTTATAAGAAGAAAGTAGAATTTAATTGCCAAAGCTTATAATTCTGATTTTAATATTAGTTTTTAGGATTTAATACTAAGATGTTTAATAACTCTAAAACATTTAAAAATATGGCTGATGTAGAGTTTATTTCTAGAACTCAAAATAGGCTATTAGTTGTTTATGATAATGATGTCTACGATTTATCTCAATTTCAGAACAAGCATCCAGGTGGAGCAACTGTGATAAAGGAATGGAAAGGAAAATCAGTCGACAATGTCATATTCAACGAAGCATACTTTCGTCACTCTAGAGGTATTCTCTCAAAACTCAATTATTACAAGATTGGCACTATTGAAAAGGCTACAGTACCTGACCCAAAAGCATAAAAGTAGACTAATTAAGCTGCTCCTCAAAAAAGCTAAAATTAGTAACAATAATAGTAGCAAATTTAAAGCAAAAAATAGAATTAAAATGTGACAGATCAGTAAGCATAGCAGATAGCAGCATAGAAAAAAGAATAATTGATACACGAGTAGAATGAAAAATAAAGATAAGCATTATTGGAATAAAAAAAACTTGAAGAATAAAAAAAAATATAATTACAAAAATAGCTTGAGCAGCAGCACTTACAGCAATAGCAATAACAAGCTTAGCAGTTAGAGAAAATTAAAGCTCAACAAAATTAATAAAGATAATCTGTATAAAATAGTAATAATGTTTAGTAAAATGTGAAGTAATCAAATAATTCATAGCAACATATTACTTCTGAAAAGAAATTAAATATTTCTCCTTAAACAAAGCAAGCTTAGTAAGAATATTAAGCTAATAAAAATAATGAATAACTTTCTAAATAGATTTCTATAGTATTAATAGATGATAAAGGAAGTGATCATACTAATCATTAATAAAACAATATTTCTAGCTAAAAAAATATGAATCTATACCCAGACAATCCCTTATAAAGTAAAGACTCAATTATTTAAGAAAAGCAAACACCTACTAATTCAAAATAATTTGGAAAAAATGGAAGAGCCTCACTTTCCAGCGAGAAATCAATAGGCAGGATCAAAGATTTTTTGATGCATGCTGAATCTAATGCTGTACCCTCTACTATACCTCTTGTAAATCCAAGTTAGTTTTCTCAGCGTACAATTTAATTAGAAGAAGCAAAAAAGTAAGAAGAAACTAAGAGTGATCCATTTGATGATAATTTCGATCTTGAAGATTTGTACAACGATGAATAATTAAAATAAACCATAATCCCTCAATCTATAAAATTTACTATATTTAAGCTTTTAAAAGCAATTGTTTCTTGAATCAGATAATTAATTACTAAATTAAAACGAATCCAATTCTAACATAAAAAATTATTAACCATAAATAAATAAATAAAAAATTATATAAACAAGTAAGTAAATAAATAAATCAATAAATAAAAAATAAGTAAAAAATTAAATCTTATAAGTATAAAATTAATTCAAGCAATAAATTAAGATAATAAACTTCTTAATAGTTTTTAAACAATAATTATTGTAAATATATAACTAATAAACATTTAAAAACTTATATTATAATAATAATAATAATTACTAATAATAATTTATTATTTGTTAATAAATTTATCAGATGAAGCTGATTAATAAAAAAGTTTTCTTAGACTCATAATAAATTAGGGTGCTTTTTATAAAAATCTAAAATATAGGCATTAGGATCTTTCTTGAAATAAGAGCAAATATCTCTGAGATAAAATTTTAGGGATTCAGGATCTAATTCTACATCAAGTTCATCTAAAATATCAGCTGCCATGATCATCTATTAAATAATTTATTAATTAATATATTATTAAAATTATAAATAAATATAAAAATTAATTTAAATTTTAATCAAACGAAACAGGAATTAATTATCATCTCATAAAAAGATAGATAAATAAATAAATAATTCAATAGTTAAATATAATTTTTACATTGTTATTTTCTTATTCTCTACTTAGTGGCAAAGTATAATACTATCTTATCTCTTACAATGGTACAAATTAACTGAATAACTCAGTAAAATCAAATAATTTCATCAACAATATGTTTCCAAATTATGAAAAAGGAATATTTTTTGTGCTTGATCTCATATACAAATGAGAAAGCTCATAACCCATAAGAATTTATAGTTCTATTTCTTTTAAGTCAAAAGCTACTCTCTTTTTATTGAAAAATAAGTAAGTAAGTAAATAAATAAATAGATTTATTTATCAAACGCTTTATAAAAATGCTTATTAAATAATATATTACCCTTGAAACAAAAATATCTCCATTAGGTAGCATAAAGAATACAAAATCATCTTTATCAATCAAATAAATGTTTCCATTAACTGGAAAATTCAATTTCTAAATAATAAAATATTCAATTAATATATTTTTTATCTGCTTTAATTACCTCATAACGATTAAACTTTTGTTAGACTTTTTTCATTTTATTGTAAAGTCTTTTATTATCATTTATAATTTTATTTTCTCCTTAAAATATTCCACTTATACTGCTTGCTAATTTTTTTTCTAATAAAATATTCAATTTATCAAGATATAGCTTAATCAATGAAATTAAATACCATAGTTTTTGTTGATTGGTAGGATCTTTTTTGTACCATCAACAGGATCTACATTTGATTCAGTTATATCATAAAATTAGTAGCCAAAAAAAAGAGCTAATAATCCTGTACCTCCTAATAAGAGTTTAGACTTAATGAGCTTATAAAATTCTAATTTTATTCAATAATATTACTAATATTTTTTTTCATAATAATATACATACATGATGCAGTAGAGAAAGAGCTGTTTTGTGCTTCATATTAGTTTTTTAACTCTTCAATTTCTTTTTCTTCTTTTTTCTACTTTCTAATTTAAGCTTCTTTTGCTGCTCTTTCTTTCGCTTCTTCCCTCTCTTATTATTGTTTCTTTTGTTATTCAGATTACTCCTAATTTTGTTAATCTTTCTTTTCATTAGAAGAGTTCTAAGAACAGAAGTTATTTTTCATATTAGCTTAAATACCCATCTTCATAAAAGATGAGCCAAGTTGCATTTAAGTTTTAAGAATTTTTTTAATCATAACTTTTTTTAAAAGATTTGTTTATATATGAAAAAAAAATAATGTTCAAAGTAGTAGTTTATGATTATTAATTTTTTATAGTAAAGATTTCGGATAGGAATAAAGTAAGATAGATGTTCTGGAAATTAAATAAACAAATAAATTAAAATTGCAATAAAGAGTTTACAATATCTACTTAAATATATTTATGAATATGAATGTAAAATTAATGAGAAAGTAAGCGAAAGATAAATAGAATAATCAAAGTGTTTATATATATTTATTTTTACATCACTGCCTAAAATGGTTAATAAGCAAAAATATTTGTCAGCGTTGGCTATGGATTTTGTCCTCACATATTTAAGAACAGGTCTGTAAGTTATCATCATATAATATTTTGAATAAGATATACATATAATAAATTATAATTTTGTATTTTTAAAATGAAAGCTGATAAATTCAATTAAATTTGCTTTTAACTGAAAATTAATATTTATGGTTTTACCTCTTTTTATTATTACTTTATATTTAGCCTTTGGTTTATTTTTATATATTAATATTTAATTTTACTCAAATAAATGTTTGTCTTATCTCTTTATTTATTTACTTACTTTAAATTGTAAATATCTTATTTTAAAAAACATTTTATCAAAGAATTCAAAATAAATAAAAAATCCAAATAAATTTGTTAGATTACTTAATATTTATTATTGATGAGTTACAAATTAATTATTTATTTATTTGCATTTAACTTAACATATTATTAAATTAATTCTAATTTTAGAATTTCAAGTGATCTGTAAATAAGCATTATGCTTAAGACTTTCCTTTCTGCTTGATTTATTTTAAAGGATTGAAACATATTAAATAATTAACCCATTTATTGGTTTTTACTATAACTTTCGCAAAGAATTCTATCAAGAACTAACTAATTTCAGCATAAAAAATTATATATTAATTTTAAATTATTAAAATTTTGAAAGAAGTAAACTAAGAAATATTCTTAAAAGCAATTAATCAGAAAGAAAATAAAATTTGTATTAATAACATTTAGTGCTCTCATATAGTCTTTTGCATTCTGCTTATAAAGTGAATAGTTAATCTATAAATGGAGCAAACAAAAACAGAATAGGAATATGAAGAGACAGAAGCCGATGCAAATGATATCTCTTCTCCAGTTTAGTCAAGTTTTTCCAAGAAGTTTTTCAAGTTTTTTGGGAATACCCTTGGTTTGAAGAATATGCTCTCCAAAACATTTATTTACCATTAGCCAAATCCTAGTATTAACTTATTCTAATATAATACATAAATGAATCTAATCAAAGTAACTTGCTTCTTTAATATATAATAAAAGCCTATTTGTTTAAAGAGTAAGAGAACTCCAATGGGACTATGTCTTATTCCTTTTAGCTGAAAAAAGAATTTATTCCATAGCATAATGACATTCCAGATTATATATCATATGATCTCTACATGATGAATTTTAGGAATAAGCAAAAAAAAGATTGCGCAATTCCAATCATGCACATAATAAATTCAAAGTAAATATATTTAGGTAAATAGAATAACATTTTTTAAATATGCAATTATAACATAGAACTCTAGGAAACTAGGTGCTTATATATAATCATGGAAACAGTAGTGATTTAGGTACTATATTCTATTCGCTGATTAACATGTCTAAAATTTATAAGGTAGAATATTTTTTCTAAAATAATAAGAGAATTTAAAAGTTTTGAAAATTGTTAAAACCAGCTTTTTAAATATAAAAAGGTAAATATAGTTGCTTACGATTATAGAGGTTATGGAATTTCAAAAGGAGATATTAATGAAGAAAATACGTACGAAGATTGCGAGATGGTTATGAGCTTTACGTTATATAGACTTAAGTACAGAATTTATTAGCTTATTTTATGGGGGTTTTCCCTAGGAAGTGGTCCGGCAGTTCATTTAGCAGCAAAATATTAAGTAATTTAACAAAATTATTTCAAAAATATTCATAAATAGCAGAAATATTTAAGTTATTTGAAATCACATATAAATAATATATTTAAATATTTTAAAAGTATATAAGAGCTTTAATTTTAGAAGCGCCTCTAGCAAGTGTATATTTATTCTTAGAAAATGAGCCTTCTTCTCAGTATAATGATTAGGAAGGAGATGTCTATGGTAATATTTACAAAATAGGAAAAGTAAGATCCCCAATAATGATTATGCATGGAAAAAGCGATGAAGTTATACCTTATAAACATAGCCAGATTCTTTTAGAAAAGTTTTAGCAAGAAAATCCCAATAATAAAAAATAAATCCAGTGTCTTCTCGTTGAAGAACTCAAGCACAACGATTTAAAAAGTTTGATATAGATTAAAAAGTCTTTAACAGCTACAAAGTTAAAGTAATTCTTATAAAAAATGATCCAGTAAACATAATTTGATATGGAGTATTATGAACTAAACCCTTAATTATACAAGATATTGCTAAGAGAAGAAGAAGATTTAAGTTTTTTAAACATTCTTCATAAAATAAGATATAAAGTAGACTTCTGAATTGTCATCAAGAACTAGCATATTTAAGAAACCAAATTAATCAAATTTTCAAATTAGGCTCTCTCACTCACTCACTCACTTAAATAAACTAAACAAAACTAAATTTAAATAAATTTTAACAATTGCAATTCTAATTTCAATTTTACATTAATAAAATTAACATAAATTATACTGACTATATATATCATATAATATACATTCTCTATTAAAACTGTATCACTAATTTAACAAAAGGCATTTTTTATCAAAAGCTATTAAATAATCTTTAAATTTACAAGTTTACAAAATAATTTATCATTTTTAAACTAATAAATGAAAACAATATTTGAAAGTTCAAATATTTTATGGGCAAATTTTTAATCTAAATAGAAGTTTTTTTTAAGTAAAAATTTAATTCTAATAAAATTTTTTATGGTTAAAATTTTAATAAACAAAGTTATTAAATCTTTTATTTGACATTCTTAATATTCTAAATCACTTTTCTTATCTTAAATTATTATTTTTTATTATTTTAGCAGAAAATAATAATAATAAAACAATTTTTGGTAAATAATATATTAATTATAATTTTCATTAAATTTTTAGTTTAAAATTAATAACATAATTCATTCTACTCTTATAAAAAATTTATAGAGTTTGCTTTATATAATATCAGGTTTGATGAAAAGATGAATAATAAATTATATCTATTTATTTATTAATTTATGAACAAGAATACTATATTTCAGTTTGTAAAATTCAAATAATTGCGCCAACATTAATATTGCACAAAAATTATTAAATAGTATTGAAATTAAATTTGAGGAATTCATAGTATCTATATTGTGGATCTTAAAATTTGATTAAATTTACATATATAATTAATAGCTTAATCTAAGTAATATCTAAGTTAAAAAAATGGACGTTGAACCAAGCTAGCCAATAGAATTAGAGTTCGTAGAAGAAGGAGAAGAGGATGAGATATTTAAAAAATAAAATAAAAATCAACTGAATACTTCAGCAAACAAATCTATTTCTAAAGCAGAATTGCTAAATTTTATATCTAGTAAAAATAATACAACTAAGAAATCTACTTAAAAAGATATGATAAACGAAGATATAAGCATATAAGAAAGTGAATAAAAAAAAAGTTAAAGTGTTGAAGACTTAGAGATAGAATTAGAAATAGAAAATGATATTTTTGAATAACCTAATAAGTAAAACAATTCTTAAATATAAAATACGATTGAAGAAGTTAGCTCTGATAATTTGGGAAACAAAATATAAAAACTTGATCTTAAAGAAGGAGATTTGTTATAAAAGCAAAAAAAAAAGCAAAGGACTGATGGATATTAAGTTTATGAGACTTTTACATGCATGTTAAATTTAACAGATATTTCTTATGGTGAAAAAGGTCATAATAAATTCTATTAGATTGAAGTCTTGCATAAAGGGTATTCGATATTTACTTTATATACAAAATGGGGTAGAGTAGGAGCATAAAATCCTTAGGAAAGCTACAAGAGAATGGATAATAAGTATGATGCAATTTTAGGTTTTAAAAAGAAATTTTATGATAAAACACATAACGATTGGACTGGTATATTTTCAGATTTTAAGCCTTAACCTGGTAAATATACATGGATTCAAGTAGATGCCTCATCAGGTGGATCAAAAAACTCAGTAAATGAAGATATCGAAAGAATAAATAAAAGAAACGCAGAGTTAAAAAAGAGAATGAATTCTAATACAAGCAAACTAGAAAGTTCAATTAAAGATTTAATGCTATTAATATGGGACTTTAATAGAATTAATAAGACATTAAAAGAATTAAATTTCGACACTGAGAAGAATCCTCTAGGTCGTTTAACATTCGATCAAGTACAAAAAGGGTATTAGCTAATCTGAATTTGTATTTATAAAATAGAATGATAATTATGATTTTTTAAATATAATAATAGTTATAAAATTTTGACTGAAATTTAGAATGCTTTGTTGTAAGGCTCAAGGACATCGATTATCATAGAATTGACAAACCAATTTTACACAAATATACCTCAAAACTATGGTATGAGGGCTCTTCCTATGATTGATCATATGACTAAAGTAAAGGAAAAATTGCACTTGTTAGACGTTTTAAAAGAGATAGATATTACTAATAGATATATGAACTAGGCTTTCTAAGCATAAGTAAATAAATAAATAGCTAACTTTCATTATTTACTAAATAAACAAAGTTTTTTAATTGAATTTTTAATATATGTAATATTTATAAGGGAGCAGAAAGTATTAATCCTCTTGATACCTTTTATAGTATGCTTAAATGCAATATAAATCAAGTAGATTAGTAATCTTAGACATATCAAGTAATTTAGAAAATGGTTGAAAATACTCATGGACCATCTCACGAAAAATTTAAACTCAAGATAGTAGATATTTATGAATTAAATAGAAATTAAGAAAGCCAGAGATTCTTCCCTTTTAAATAGCTTCCAAATTAAAGTAAGGCATTTATTTAAACTTCGATAATCTAATTATTTTTATTTATCAAAAAAAAGCATTATTATGGCACGGTTCTAGAATTTCTAATTTCGTAGGTATATTGAGTGAAGGATTAAGAATTGCTCCTCCTGAGGCACCTATGACAGGTTATATGTTTGGAAAAGGAATTTATATGGCTGACGTAGTTTCCAAGGCAGCAGGTTATTGTCATGCCAAATTAGATTCTCCAGAAGGATTGCTTGTCTTATGTGAGGCAGCACTAGGATAGATATACGAATGTAATAAAGCTAAATCCTTTAAAAAGCCTCCTTAGTATTATCATAGTGTAATTTTTTTTAAATATTAAATCCAAAAATTACATTATTAAAAAATAAAAGGTTAAAGGCGTTGGTAAATATAAAACCCAATCAGAAGGAATATAAAAAATAGGAACTACTCAATGTTTTGCAGGTAAAATTTAATTTTTTAGTGATAATTATTAAAAAAATAAATAAAATCTATAATTTCTTAAGGAAAAGTTGTAGAAAGTGACGAAAATGGAGATGGCTAGCCAAAGGATTTAGTATATAATGAATATATTATTTATGACACATCTTAAGTTAAAATGAAATATTTAATACGTGTTAATTTCGAGTTTTTGTGAATAAAAAATTAATTTGAAAATAATAAATTAATTGTTAAATTTAAATTAAACTTTAATTTATTTTTTTTTTTAAATATAGCAAAATGCCATTCAAAAATTTAGTGAATTGAGATCACTATTTTTTTGAATGGTTGATGCCTTTGAATATTATTTATATAAAAATAAATAATTTTATAATAGAATTTAATTAATAATATTAATAATTTTAATTTATATCAATCTTTATGATTTTTCTATTAAATTTTTAAATTTAGCCTTTTTTAAAAATTTTTCTTCAAAAAAATTTAATTTGATTGCAAATTTCAAAAATTGCATCAAAATCTTATCGTGGGGTAGAAATTTCTATATCCCTGTTTTAAAAAAATTTTCATTGATGTTAGAATGAATGATTAATTCATTCTTTTTTTCTTAAGAAAAATTTAGAAATTCTTAATCGCTACAGAAATTGCCCCAAAATCCTGTATTTTGTTTACCCCGCTACAGGAAATTTAGCTAAATTTAAAAATTTTGATGTAAAAAAATTATGTATTTTTGAAATTATAATAAATTAAAATATTAATTTTAATTCTATTATAAAATATAAAAATCTGATTTTTTAGTAAATAATTAAAAAATCTATTTCATTTTAAGTTAATTCCAAACGACGGAATTTTTTAATGGCATCTTGCTATACTTTAAAAATTATTTTCTGACAAAAAATTAAAATCGCAAAAACTTTCAAATTTCATTTTAGATTTCTCAAGCTTATAAATTTGATTCAATTATTAAACGCTCTCTTTAGAGATTAACACATAGTGATAATTTTTAAATATAAACAAATTTTATAGTCATTGCCCAAATAATCATATAATTGAATCTAATTATTTGGAGAATTTAATCTTTAATTGAAAAATATTTAATTAATTAAAAATATACATAAACTAAATTATCAAATAGCAATATTAGTTAGCTAGTTACTATAAATGTCTAATTGGAATTTTGATTTAGGAAAGCAATCCAATAAGGAACTTCCTGAACCTTTTGGCTACTGCAAAAAGTTCGAAGTAACTAAAAATGATTTTGTCTTTATTTCCTTATTTATTTAAGCTAATCAAATCAATATTATGAATTAGATTGATTCATCATATTAAATGCATAATATAATATTTAAAGTTGTTTTTGATATATAAATTTAAATAAAATTATAGATTGAATCATCTACCACTACTCAAAAGAATAAAAAATAACTCATGGAAAAGGTACAAATATAATTTATAATAATACAATTAATTTTATTTGAAAAATAACATTTCATATTTTTATGTTAGAAATTATGGGAAGTAGCTACAGGTGCTAAAGGACAAATATTGCAAGTTGTTTTTATGAATTTTATGATGGGAAGTTCATTAAATATCTTCATGATTTTCTTCATCTTCTAATCAGTTTACTCTCCCATTAAAAGTATTATGGGCGTTCATGAAGGTAATCAATTTTAAAAATTGCTTTAGTTCTATTACATCTCTAATAACAACAATATGTTTTTATAAATTACATAAAAAATCAATAAAATTAAATAAAAGTCAAATAAATAAACAAACAAATATTTTTATATAAAAATAGTTTTTATGAACTATGAAGGTTAAGGAATTAATTTATTATAATACAAGCTCATATATGCTGGTATTTAATTAGTTTTGGTTTCTATTGGTATGTACAAAATTTACACACTTGGTCTTTTGCCCCTTTCAGCAGCAGATTGGATAGATATAGTACCTCTTCACTAAGTAACATAATTATATATATATATTTATATTTATTTTTTAAATCAGTAATAAAATTAATTCAATTTAAAATCATAAAAATAGCAACAAGATTAGGTGTTTTCTTTAGCAGGTTGATATACATAAAGCCCAAAGATTAATGCATATTTAAATATTATATTCATATTTTTAATTTTGCAAAAGATATTCAAATTATTTTTAGCAAAATAAATAAATAATTCTTTTGTTCTTTTATGTAAATTTATAAATTTATTTGTAATTAAATACACTTTTTTCTCAAAATTATTATTTAAAGTTGTTTTAATTAAAAAAATATTTTAAAATGAATAAAAATATTGTATATTAAAAGATACTTAATGAAATATTGGATAGTTTATTTAATAAAAAGAATATTCTTTAAGTAGAAAGTTTTTTATTTGTAAACAAATTAAATTTGTTCAATCAATATAAAAAAATTTAAACAATAAAAAAAAACAGTGATTGAAATATTGTTAAAATTTAATATTCCTTAAGCAAATATCTAAATATAAATACAATAGTAAAATGAATAAGAGAGAAGTGAAGTTATTCGATATAGCTAAAAGATTCAGAAATCTTAAGTATAAGCTAACTAACTTTTACGAATACTAGTTAAAGGTTAATTATAAGCATATATTGATAGTAGGAGATACTCATACATTCTTGGGTAAATAATTATAATTTATTAAAAAAAATAGATTGTTTCTACTTATTTTTTGTAGCAAAGATTGATTTACTCATTTGTGTAAAAAAGGTTAAGAAGTCATTAATAGATTTAAAGAAACTTGGTAGATTGCTAACATAGATTCTAAGATTAATGATTAATGCAATTTCAATTTCTAAATGTAATTTAATGAAGCCAACAGACCTCCTCTAAGTAAGGAATAGGTTGAGCAATTAGAAGAAAAATTATAAGCATTTTCTAAACACTATGAATGCATTTTGTTCCTTCCTTAACAATATAACATTAAAAATGATATTAAAAATGAATCTATTTTCTAAGAGTATGAATAAGAAAGAGCTTCTAATGTAGAACCTGCAATTTTAGCTTCTTATTTGGCTACCAAATATTTAACCAATAACGGGTCTTTAATATTCTTAGGAGATTATTAAAGTTTTTCAAATCCTAGTTAAGAATAAATTACTTATGGCTTAGCATAAAATTAAATAAATTTATTAAATCTTAATCTTGGTGATAGAGAGCTTATAAGTGTGGATTCATTCACATTAAATCTCTTACAAAATGAAAAATAAGAAGATCAAGAATAATACGAAAAAGAAACTTAGTAAATTGCTAACTATATTAAAAAATGGGCAGATGGTCTTTCTAGACCTATTAGTGGAACTTTTGTTAAATTTAATAATAAAAATGGAATTATATATCCTGAACTTTTATGAATATTATTTGCATCTAATAGATCAATTAATTTTAATTTTTAAACTATTTTTTATTTACTTATTAATGCATTTATTTTAAATAAATGGGTGGAGAATTTAAAACAATTTTAAATCAATTTTTTAAAATTAGTTACAATTTTTATAGTAAACATTTCAAAATTATTTTCAATTAATTTATTTTGTATTCTTGTTTAGTCGAAAAAGCAATTATCTACCAAATAAAATAAATATATTCTTTTTTTAACTTCTTAGATCTTTATTTAGATTTTTAGTATCTGTGTTAATATTAAATGTTAAAAAGAAAATAAATATCTTAAAATCTTTATTTGCATTATTAATATATTTATTTTATTCAATTTATCTATTTAATTTTCATAATTGATGGTTCAAAAATATGAGATTTAGAAGTTAACTTTTTAATTTACTAAAAAGTTTTGATATGCATCATACTATTGCATAGATCTGTAAATATGTTTTAAGTAATTTTCTCAATTCATTAATAAACTAAAGTTTCCTTTTATTATTTAGACTTGTTTAGACATCAAATATTAAAAAAATAAATTTATTTCGTTTTCATAAAATCAGAATACTAATATTAAGATGAGGCTATTAATAAATATAGTCAAATATAAGATCTATCTATTTATAATATCAAGATCCTTTAAACTAATTTTTCAAAAATTATTTAAATTGATAGCATATAGATCAAAATTTTATTATTTAACTTTTTAATAAGTTTTATTTTATCATTTTACTACTTAGACTTCTCAAAATCAAGTTAAAAAATTTGATAATTCCTTTTTCATAAAATAAATGTATTAATATTAAGATTATATTAGTTATTTATTATATGTAGATCCAGTAAAGTACTAATTTAAATATCAAGATCTTTTAAATTACTTTTTCAAACTTTATTTAAATTGATAGATATAGATCAAAATTTTACTTTTTAATAAGTTTTATTTTATCATTTTATTACTTATTCTCAAAATCAAGTTAAAAAATTTGATTATTCCTTTTTCATAAAATAAAAGTATTAATATTAAGATTATTTTATTTATTTATTATATGTAGATCCAGTAAAGTATTAATGATTCATTTATATGTCCTATCAATATTTTTTTATTAGTTTTTAAAACTCATTGATTTGTTAATTTTTGTCATATTCAGAAATTTATTCTTATAAGACTAATTATTTTTTTGAAAAAGTAAAAGACATTTCTTTTGTTTTAATATTTACTTTTTTATTTAATTTTAATAAAAGTTTACAAAGTAATTAAGTAATGTAATTTAATTTTATTTAATAAAAGATTTGTTTTCTTTGGTTATTTTGTTGAATAAATAATCATCATAATTTAATTATTTGATATCAAAAAGATAAATTAAATCAAGAATTTAGTTAATAAAAAAAATGAGTGGATTAGATTTTTTTTTAAAATATGAGAATGACCAAAGAGATTAAAAAACCATCTAATAGCAAGGATAAGCTGTTAATTATTTTGCAGATAGAAATATGAAAGCGTTTGATCCATACCTAAAATAATAAATTAGTAAAATGAATTTAGATAAGCTATCTGAAAAGAAAAAGCCAAAGATCAATATCAAAAAAGTAGAATTTGAAGATGGCAGATATATAGAGTATAGAGAAATTGATAATGAAGGAAAAGGATATGAACTACCTAATAAGACAATTATATTTGTTGCTGGAGTTCCTGGAGGCATTAACTATTTCAATAAAATCGAAAAATCATTAGGAACTAGCTTTTGTCGTGTTATAAATCTCTACTTACCAGGTTTTGATAGAAAAGATGAAAGAAGAGGAACATATTAAGGTAGTTTAGACCAGCTAATTTAATTGATAGAAGATTTTATGAAAAAGATAAATCTTGAAAAAGCAATTTTCGCTTTGCATTCTTTTGGAGGCCTAGCTGTAAAAAGCTTTGCTTATGAAAAGCCTCATAGAGTGGAGGCATTAATTTAAATTGCATCTATTCCAATCACAAAATGGCAAGGCTATAAGCTATACGAATAAATAGAGAAGTAAGTATACTAATTAGACTTTGAGTAAATAAAATTTGAGATGCTGCAGTAGGAAGAATTGAGAAGCAAACTAAGTGAGACTATTAATACATTTTAAAAGTAATTATAAGATTTACCTAAAGACTAATAAAAATAATTTGCAGTTTTAATGACGTTAAGTATGTATGACGTAATTAGCATGCTTAAAATTAGAATAAGCTTACCTGGTAAATTGAATGAACTGCTTCATAGAATGAGATAAATTAGCAAAAAAATACCTAGAATGATAGCATACTCTCCAAAAGATGACTTGATTTCACCATAATTGGTAGAAGAAGAAATATATGAGTTTATTGTTGGAGAAAACGCTACTTAGTATTAAATTCTAGAATAAGTGAATGAATTACCTTAATTGGATAAGAACAATTTTTGTTCAAATTACATTTTTAGGTTTGATGACGCTTCTCATATGGTTTAATAAGAAAAAGGTTTAGAATTAGGTATCTTAATGAAGCATTTTATCAAATAATTAGATAAAACATAGGTAATTAATAACTAGACAAAAATTTGAAAAAATTTTGAAAATAATAATCACATTTTTTAACAAAAATCTCAAAAGCAGAAATTAACCTGATTGAAATTGTAATAAATATTTTTTAAGATATAACAAGTTATAGTAATATTTTTTTTAAAAATGTTAAATTAATTGTTTTTTTTTATGAATTATTTGTGCGATATTTTATAAAATTATAAAACAAAAAGCAAACAAAAGTTTTTTTAGATTTATTTTGTGGTTCTTCAAAATTTAAAATAAATACAAAAATATAAAGAAAGTAAGTAAGGAATTTAGAATTATATACATAATGTAAAAGTTAATATATAGAATAAGTTATTCATTGAGAAACAGTGATCATTTAATTATTTACAAAGTAAAGTCCATCAATGTTTTTTTAAAATATTTTTCCTTTAGGTTATTATGAAAATAGAATAATTGAAAGCACTATATTTAGAATTAGAATAAAAGTAATCACAGAGAATCCTATGATTAAATCAATATTATTTTCGTTGATTAAATCAATTAATCTCTATTTACAATCAGATTTTGGTTAACCAGCATTAACATCACTAAAAACAAAGTAGGAATTTATACTGCAAACTCCACTACAACCTAAAACCTCTTCAGCAACTTACAATAAATCACTGTAATTTTATTATTCTGGGATGTTAAAGTGATTAAATTCTTCACATTCTTAAACTTATAAAGGACTTGTATCATTATTATCATAGTTTATAATTCCTCTCTAAAAAGCTTCATCGGAATTGCCTTCGAAATTACATTTGCAGCTATTCTTACATAAAGTTTAATAGGATAGAGAATTCAACTTATAAAGTTATATAAATATATCTTTTTGAGTACAGTTAGTATCATTTTAGAATTCATGCAATTTAATTTAAACATATACACCGATAGCTAAGAAGGCAATAGAAATTAACAAAAAGATAAATAGCCCAAAAGCATACACTTTTAGAAGAGAATTAGATTTTTTTTATATAGCAACTATACCCAAAATAGCCCAGAGTACTAGTAGATTTCCAATAATTATAGATACTACCAAAATTAAGCTAAATTTGTAACTTATAAGATAATATTATTTATAGACTACTGAAGAAAATGCAATCCAGCTTATTCCTAGCAATAAAATTAAAATAGTGCTGAATATCAATATTTTTTTGTGTGTTTAAAACATCATTTTATTTTTTAATTTAGCTGAATTTATTAGATAGATTGAATTATTTATTTAAATATAAATTTTATAAAATTAATTAAATTATATTGAAAACACTTTCTATTTATCTAATATTGCAAATTTTTAATTTTTGAATTTAATAATCTTTGAAGTAGATTCTTAATTGTATTGTTTTCTATTTATGTATAAAGTTATCTATTTTAATTAATAAATCAATGTATACAATTTAGATAATAGATGCAGTTATTATGCATATTTAATTACTTAATTTAAATTTACACCAGAATCAAATAAAAAGTTGATTTATTTAGATAAATTTAACTGATATAAAACAATTTTGTTAATTTTATATTTATCTATTTTTAAAAATTAATTTATTTAGTTTTATCCAAAATTTTAATCTTATAAAAATATTCCTCATTTTTGGCTGAAAATATTCACCCAACTATTAAATTAAATTTTTTCCTTAATTTTCCTTTTTTAAATAAAAAATTATTCTATCTCGCATTAAAAACAAATATAAAGTTGCATTAATTACATAAAAAATAACTCAATAAATTATCTTGATAATCTTTATGATATTTTAAAAGAATAACGAATGTAACAAACAATCATTTCATTTTATCTACAATCACTAATCAAAAAAATAAAGAGATAGAAAAAAATAATTATCTATTTTATTAAGCTTAAGATTCAAAATATAAAGTAAATCAAAAAAATTACTAATTTTGATAAAATAGATAAAGAAAATAGGTTTAAGATTATTTTATAAATCTGATTTAATTAAAATACAATTATTGAAATAATTTTATAGGAAATTTAATTAACAATTAATTATTTTTGTAGATAAATAAGAATTTCTATTTTTGAGATTTATTAAAGAAATCTTATTGTAAAAAAATACAATTATTGAAAAAAATATTTAAAAAATATAATTAGTAATTAATTATTTATTTATTATATTGTTGATTTGATTATTATACTTTAATTATTTCACATAATAACAATTTATTTTTCATTAATTAATTGAATAGAAAAAATTTAATACTTAAAAATATTCTCTAATTTAAAGATAGTAAATGATTTCATTTGGAAAATTAATACTACTTTTTTTTTCAGTTGCTCTGTTGTTTTTAACAAATCCTTACTGTGAATTCTTTTCTCTGTTATACTAAGATTAATTCAGAATATATTAGCATCATATTCATGATAATCTTAATTAACACTATATTCAAAATGTCAGAATAGTAAATGAAACCACAAGCTGTAATTATGATGAGTAACTAGTGGATAAAACTAAGTAAAATTACGAAGGATTAGTTAAAGAAGTATCTGAGATCTCAATTTTTACCATTTAAGATGTTAAAAATGAAAAATATTTCTTTTAATTATGTGTTACTCTTGATTAATACCATAATTTCTACTCAGTTTAGAATGACTAGACAAAAGATTCCAATCAAAGTAGTTCTTGTGTTTACAAGGGATTAAATTTCCAATCAAAAGAGAGTCCTAAATTGTGTCCAATTTCAGATATTATATTTTCTGAAGAAGAAAAGATTGAAGGTTATGAGAAATTTGAGATTTCAAAAGATATAAAAACGAGTATGTTTATTAAAAGAGAAGACTCTAATTCTACTCCTTTAGTTGGCTTATATTTGCAAAGAAACAATTTTCTTTAAAAAGTAGATTTATTGAGAGAAACAAAAATAGCATTTACTTTAAATGACCTTTGCTCATCCTAATAAAAGAAATAGTAAATACTATGCCAAACAGAGAACTAAAAAAATGATATTAAATATAACTTAAGTTTAGAAAATTAATTTACTTTTGATATGAAGTGTAAGAAAGGTATATTCAATTACGAATACTCTTATACTCAAAGAGCCTTTGTAATATTTAGATTGATGATGTACAGTCTTGCAGTAGGTTACTTTTTTAACAACAACAACTATTAAAATCCTAATTTCTACAAGCAAGTTTTCTTTCCAAAGATAGTGAAGTGTTTATATCTCTTTATAGGTCTAAGCTTTTTTGATTACATCTATTTTAGTAATTAACTAAGCTAAGTAGGAGAAGACTGCTTAATAGAAGATTAAGGTTTACTTTACTTGATAGAAAGAATGACTTAGAGTTAAGCAATAATCATTTTTTATTTAGTTGTTTACTTGAGTATCATTTTATTATGGACAGCGTACAAAAATCACAGTAGTAATAAATATTCTCTTATATGAATAAAATTAATCTTATTGTATGAATTCAATTTATTTTTATATTTAGCAAAAAATTTATTTTAAGCTGTTGATAAATTTTTATATTTATTACACAAAATTCTTCAAAAATAAATATCCTCAATAAAACCTTAATAAAATTTAATTTACTAACATCATAAACGTTCTTTAAAATTATTATAAAAATTTATAATTAAAATTTAAAAAGCTTAGTCATTTGCTAATATTTATAATTTTTAGAAATAGTTCATTTTGTTTAACAAAAAAAAGAAAATAACCTGAAAATCAAAAAATAGGAAAAAAAAAATTTGATAATTACTGTAGGACCTCGTTAAGGAAAGTGAACAAATTGCGAGGTAAGAGGTAATAGTCTTATGAAAACCACAATAAATCGAAAATTTTTTGAATTTATGGGTTGTGAGTTAATGAGGTTTTAAGGTAAATGTTTTTTTTCTTTTAGCTTTTGTAGTAGTAAAAAATATTATGAAATAATGCTAAATTAAAGTAATTTTGAAAAGAAAAAGCATTAATACATCTAAATATAATATTAAAAATACAATTAATTGATATAATTATGTTAATGTAAATTTTTTAATATAACTAACACTTTCAGTATTATATTTTGAAATCAATTTCTAATATTTTATTGGGCTTCAATAACTTTTGTGTCAACTGTTTAAATTTTTGATTACATACAGCACCAGAAAACGGAGAATATAAAGCAAAGGACCATAAAGAATGTCACAATAGAAGATGCTACAATAGTCTTGACATTATTATCTTCAATGAAATCTAAAACTTCAACTTTACAGTCTCCATTTGGGATACCTTCATTTATGTTACTAAATACAAAATAATTATTTTTTGAGCAAAAACCACTGCAGCCAAAAGTTTCTTCCATAGCTTGCAATATGTCACTGTTTGAATCTTGATGATCTAAATCAAATAAATCATATGCTTTGCATTCTTAAACTCTAATAGGACCAGACTCACTATTAACAAAATTAGTTATTCCCAATTACTAAGCTTCTAATTGTGTTCCTTCAAAATCACATTGACAACCTGATTAGCAAAGGGTTTAATAAGATTTGGTATTCAATTCAGCCAGCTGAGAAAATAAATCATATTAAGTACAATTTGTATCATTTTTGTAGCTATCCATATTTGTTGATATTAAAATGCTAATTACTAATATAGCAATAGGAATTAAAAGGAAAACAAAAATTCCAAAGTTGTAAGTAAACAGAAGGCATTTAACATTTTTGCAAATCCCTATTAATCCTAAGATAGCCCATATAATAAGAAGGATTCCATTCACGAATCCTATCAATAGAGCTGCAGTGAAATACTAAGATACATTTCTTACATCTGGGTATTTAGAGTATAAAATACACACAAAGGTAATCCAGAATGCTCCCAGGAGAAGGAGTAAAACAGTACTTGACTATACTAACTTTTATAAAGTTTTATTATTCATTTTTTGTAATATGTAAATTTTATTTTTTAAGTTATTTTTAATTTTTTTATTAGTTAAATATTAATTACACTTTAGAGAACCTCAGAATAATTTATATAAAGTATTGAAAATAATTTACTAGACAACCTGCTTTTAGATTATTCAAAAATAGTAATTTGAGATGCACTTAATTAATTTCATCAAATAAATATAAGTAATAGACAAATTAAATTTAGATACCAATAAATTATGAATTCAAAAAAATTTATAAATAGGAAAAATTTCAAATAAATTAAGGAATCTATTTTAATTTAAAACTTTCTTTTAATTTATTTTTTACATTTTAACAGTAAATTTAAAACTTAATTTTAACTCACTTGATGAAAGCACAATTTTTTTATATTTAAAATAGATCATTTTCAATTTTTAAATATTTCTACTCGTAATAGATAAAATAATTAGGAATTATTTTAAATAGTAATTTATATTTTTAAATGACTAGAAATTCGCTTTTTTATTCATTTTATTTTTTATACATAATTGAAGCTAAAATGATAGCTTTAATTTAGCGATTATAATAAGACTGTTTTATATAAACTTAAAAATTAGAAACTTAAGAAATATTTATAGAATTAAATTGATATAATACACAATATGAATAACATTAATAATATAATTTCTAGAAATTCACTTTTTTATTCATTATATTTTTTATACATAATTGAAGTTAAAATTATGGCTATTAATTTAGCAATTATGATAAGATTGTTTTATATAAACTTAAAAATTAGAAACTTAAGTAATATTTATGGAATTAAATTAATATAATACACAACATGAATAACATCAATAATATAATTTTACATTTACATTTCATTTTAAATATTTTAATAATTGATAAGAAAGATATATTTGATCATTAAGTATTTATATATTGCATTTCTACATTTTTTCTTATAGAGTTTTCTTTTTGATACCCATAATTTAATTGAGGTTTTTAGAAACACCATAGTACTGAAAATATAAAACTTAGAGCCATTAAAAATGTTACTATTGAAGAACAAATTAGAGTTATGTTATTATTCTTTTCAAAAAATTCAAGAGCTTCCTATTTGCAATCTTTGTTTGGGATACCATCATTTACATTGCTAAACACATAGTAAGAGTTTATTGAACAAAAACCGCTGCAATAAAATGTTTCTTCTAAAGCTTATAGGAAATTGCTGTTTTCATCTTTATCTTGCAAATCAAAAAAATTGAAAGCTTGGCATTCTTGTATTTTTTGTGGATAGAGCTCGTTATTAATATAATTTTTAATACCAAGATTTTAGGCTTGAGCCTTATTTCCCTCAAAATGACATTAACAATCGTTTTAGCAAAGTGTTTAATATGAGACAGCATTTAATTCAGCTAACTCAATTAAAAATGATTATTTAGTACATGAAGTATCATTTTTATAACTATTTATAGAACTTGCAGCAAATATACTTAAAATTAGAATAGCAACTTAGAGCAAAAAGAAAACAAACATTCCAAGATTGTATGCAATTAATAAATAATTTAACTTTTTACAAATTGCTATCATTCCTAAGAGAGCCCATATTATAAGGGCAATACCAAAAAAGATGCCAATTAAAAGTGCTCCAGAAAAGAAACTAAAGTATTCACTCATTTCCATGTACTAAGAAAAGATCACTGAAGAAAAAATTACCCAGAAAATACCAAGCAAAAAGAGTAAATTCGTGCCTATATTCACAAGCTTTTAGATCATTTTTGTTTTAGATTTTTTATTAAATTTAATAATATTTAAATAATTTATTTATTTATTTATTAATTAATTATAAAAAACTTTATTTCCAAAATTAAAAATTTATGCAAGACTTATTTAAATTTTAGAGTAAAATGTTATGTATCAAAAACAAGGATCTATTTATATAATTAAAATAGACACAAAAACTTACTTTGAAAAATGCGTTAATATTTTTTTTAAGAATCCTTTATCTATTTTTAAATTAAAATAACTTAAGAAGAAGAATTATTTATTATTTCTATTGTAATAATTTTAAAAATTATTTTATTTTCTAAAATTAAAAAATATATAAATTATTTATAATTTATATTAAGCTGATTTGTATTTTTCAAATTTTATTTATAAATATCCAATTACAATTCAATAAGGCATAATTAAATTTTAAAATAAATACAAAATAACCATCTCACTTTTTATGTTTCTGATTAAGTCTCAAAAATGTTTCAATTTAAAAAATATATAAAACACTTGTTTGCATTCAAAAAGAAGTAAAATAAAACAAATTATTTTTAAAAATAAAATTTATGAAACTTATAATGAAGCTTTAATTTTAAAAGAATATATTTACACACAATAAATTGAAAATAAAATTTAAATTTTATTAATAATTTCACTAAAGTATTTTCAAGAATTATTTCCATGTAACTCAACATTTTTCTATTAAAAATCATAAACTTGTGATGTCTTGTATAATTAAAGTATTGAAAGAACAAATGCAACAATTATTGCAAAGGTCATAATAGATGAAGCAATTATAAATCTATTGTTATTATTTTCTACAAAGATAATAATTTCATCTTTGCAATCACCACCAGGATATCCATTATTTACATCGCTAAATACATAGTATGAGTTATTTGAGCAAAAACCACTACATTTATATGTTTGTTCAAATGCCTTCAAAATTTCGCTGTTAGAATCTTTGTTTTAAATATCAAAGTTATCGAATACTTTGCATTACTGAACTCTAATAGGTTCAGAGCTAAATAAAGTATAATTTTTAACTCCTAATTCTAAAGGTTTAATACTGTTATTAGAACCATAATAGCACTAGCAATCAGATTGACATAAAGTTTAAGATGATATTTTATTCAGTTCAGAAAATTCAATAAGAATACTTTCAGAAGTGCATTCAGAATCATTTTTATAATCAGGTATTTTATTAGCTAAAATAATAGTTAATACTAAAGCTGTTATTGAAGCTAACAAAAAAATAAAGACTCCTACATTATAGGTGATATACATACAATTCACTTTTTTAGAATTAGCATTAAGGCCTATAATACACCATAATATTAATACACTACCAAATACTATTCCCATAATAAGAATATTTTTGAATTGTTCATAAGCATCAGTTATTTCTATTTATTCGTAGTATATAACAGATGAGAAGATAATCCAGAAAGCACCTACTGCAAAGAGTAAAAAGATGCTAGATTTAAAAAGTTTTTATTCCATTTCAAATATTTTGTGTTTGCTTAAGAGTTTTTTATTATTTTTTATTTTAAATTAAATATTAATTTTAATAATAATAAAATTTAAGATTTTTTATAAAAACAACTTATTTGAATTAGACAAATTTATTAAATAAATTTCAATTAAGTAACAATTGGTGTATATCATTCTTAATTAAATCTAAATTAAAATGTAATAGATAGATAGATTTTAAAATTTAAGTATTCTAATAAATTTATTTTTCAAATATTCATGAAATAAGAGAATACTTGCTTACTTATTATAAAAAAAAGCACAAAATATTTGCTTCATGAAAAACCAAAAGTAAACATTTCTAGTACGATCAAAGAGGGATTATGATTCCTTTACTTTAATATAATATATAATTTTATAAAAATTATTTATATCCATCCCTTAATCTTTTTGATAGCAAAATTTATATTTCAGTTTGAACAAAAAATAAATAAATCTTTTGATAACTTATTTTGTCTATTTTAAATAAATTCATGATATTTGAATGATATAGATTAATAATTTATAATTTGAATATTATAATTAATCAGATTTTATGATAATTATTGAGATAGATTAATCAATTTCGATGGGATATTTTATCGGAATTTTCTAATCTTATTTAAATATATATAATTTTATTTATAAAAATTACGTTTAAGATGCTTTCTTTTCTTAAAAATAAAAATATAAAACAATTTAAATTTTCTTTTTTATGAATAATAAATTAGAGGTAAATTTTTCAACATAAAATTTTACTTTTAAATAATATAATTTATTACAATAATGCTGTCAATTTTATCTTTATTAAATATGTTATTAGGATTTGAAATCACTTTCATTATTTTTTTTTAAACTAAAAAATATGGAAAGCCCAAAACATATTACAAATATGAAAGTTATAACTGAAGATGATATGATTGTTTTGATTGTTTTATCTTCTAAATAATTTATCATTTCATCTTTGCAATCTTTATTTGGAATTCCTTGATTAACATTACTAAATACATAATAAGAGTTTTTTGAGCAAAATCCACTACATTAAAATGTTTCCTCTAAAGATTTTAAAAATTCAGCATTTTAATCTTAATCTTCTAAATTAAAATTTTAAAATACTAAACACTCTTAAACATTAACAGGATCTGATTCTGTTTAACTATAGCTTGTTATTTATTATTAATTAGCCTGTATTTAACTGCCTTCAAAATAACATTAACAACCATCTTGACATAAAGACTAGTAAGAAATATTATTTAACTCAAATAGCCTGATAAATTTAATATTTTAAGAGCAGTCAGTATCATTTTTATATTCTTCTACTTCTTAATAAGAAAGAAGACTTACCACTAAAGTTGATATAGATACTGAAAGAAAAATAAAATACCCAACATTATATGCTCCTAATATATTATTAGATTACTTGAATGTTGCAATCATACCTAATATTGACCATATTGTCAACAAACTGCCAAATGCCATACATATGATCAAAGCAAATTAGAAATAAGTATCAGCATTAGTAATACTAGTATATTTCACATAAGTTAAAGATGCGAATACTATCCAGAAGACTCCTAATAGAAAAAGTAAAGCAGTACTAATATTTTAAAATTTAATTGACATTTCTAAAGTTTATTTAAATTTCTTTTTTTATTAATTTTTTGAAAAATGAATACATTATATTACAAAAAAGTTGATTATTTGTAATTATTAATAAGAGTTATAAATATGATACATTCTAATTTACATTTAAAGAGAATAAATTTTAATGTATTCAAAATTAACCAAAAAATTTTTATTTATTTTTTTGGAATAGATAATTTAGTTTTCCATCAAACTAATAAAGTATAAATCAGGATTGTTCAGTTACACTTACAACTCTCATAAAAGCGTTTGATTATTCATATATTTATTATCTGAGTTAAATCAAAATAAAAAAATCACTTTTTCTATTTTTAATTTATCCATATCTGTTCAAATGATTTTTATAGTTTGATATTCACTTTGTAAAACATCATCACTTTTATATCTTATTTTTATTTGAATTATCAGATTTTTTCTAGATTTTGAAAACCTTTTACAAATTTGACTCTCAATACATTTTTTTTAGAGTAAAAAAATTCTATTTTAATATTTTCTAAAACATTCATCATTACAAAAAATTTCTTCTCTAATCCCAACACTATTCATATAACATTAAATCACTATGTAATAATTTAAATAATTTTAATATTGCTTAATATTCTAATTAAATTTAAATTGGCATTATAAATAAGATAATTTGGGACTAAAGCTTTATGATATTACAAAGAATAATCTAATCAAGATCTTTTTGTCATTTTTCTAACTTTTATAAATGTAAATATAATAAAATATTTATAAATTAACTAGAACGATTAGGTTTTTAATAGAAAATTTATAAACAAACAAAATATAATTAATATAAAATATAATAATTAATAATTTAGTAATAATATAATAATTTAATTATCTTAGTCGATTTTTATTATAATACAAATAATTCAAAAAAGATTAATTTTAGTATGCTTCATTTACTAGAGTACCTAGACTTAAGCAATTCTAGATAAAAAAGAATGTTAAATATAAGAGACACTAATAATAAGACAGTAATAAATGAAGATGAAATTACAATAGCTATTATATTATCTTCAACAAAATTTATTACATGAACTTTACAGTCACCATTAGGTATTCCATCATTTAAGTCACTAAATAAATAATATGAATTTTATGAACAAAATCCACTGCAGCCAAATAATTCTTCTAAAAATTTAAGAACTTCACTATTTTCACTTTGATTTTCAAATTAAAAATCTTCAAAAATTTGGCAATCTTATACTCTAACTGGACTAGAGTCCTTATGGTTAAAATTATTAATTCCTAATTTATCAGCTTCTTCTTAAGTTCCTTTAAAGTTGCATAAACAATCATTTTGGCATAAAGTTAAACTTGATTTATGATTCAGCTATTACAACTATATTAAAATTGACTATTATGTACATTTTTCATCATTTTTATAACTTGGAACTTCATATTAAACTATACAGCTTATTGCTAGAATAGCAATAGATAATAAAAATAACATTATTATTCCTACGTTATACGCAGCTTATATCATAGTATTATTTTTTTAAGCAGCTAAAACTCCAAAAAGAGTCCATAAAATTAGAAAAACTCCTAAGACTATTCCAAATATTAAAATACCAGAGAAAAGGTTATTGGTATAAGTAGTATAAGCATATTATTAATATAAAATAGCTGGATAAATGATAAAGAACAGGCCTACTAACAAAAGTAAAGAATTTGTTATTATTACAGACTTCTTTAAAAGTTTCAAGTTCATTTTGATAGTTTATTAATATTTTTATTTTAGATTTTATATTAGTACTAATTTTTGTAATTTTGTTTATTTTTAGAATTTATTTAATTATAATTGTTATTATAGTTAAATTAACAACTTCAATTTTAGAATAATGCGTTATAATCTTTTTTTGAATAAAGTAACAATTATTGTATGTATTATTTAAAAACTAGATATAGATTCAGAATAGATAAATAATCTAATTAATTAATTAATTACGACTTTTACTAAAAAAATAGAAATAGAACCAAAATTATCTGATATCTATAACCAAAATAAAATTAGGGTTTAATTAGTTAAAATTAAATAGAAATTAATAATAGAATAATAACGAAGAGAATGATATTTTTTAATAGTTACTATGCGATGTGAACTAAAATGTTTTAGGATAAATACATATTTATAAGAGTAGTTAATAAATTTTTTAATTAATATTATTATTATATAGAGCAAGAAATAAAACATGATAAAAACAACTAATTTTTTTTAGATATTAAATTAAATTACAATTAGAAGTAAACATAATTAAATTAAAGATTATGTATAAAACAAAAATTTATTTTCTGATATATTTTTATTTATTAAATGAAGAATAAAACGTTGCAAAAAAAAAAAAATTGCTCTGAATTTTCAAAGTTTAAGTTTGATGGAATCAAGCTTCATTCTTGATTGAATACAAATAAAAATTTTATTTTTAATTTTTTGAAATTTTTAAAATAAATATAGAAGTAAATAAAACTAACTTCATTGTTTTTATGAAAATTTAAATTTCTCATAACATGAAGATTTATTTTATAAATTATTAATAATTTATATTGTGGGTGTTAAAGGTATGAAATATTCGTTTTTAAATTAATATTTGATATTTTTGTACATATTTTAATAAAAACTTAGAATATTATTGGATGAATATTTCTTTTTATAATTAAAATAAATTAATATTTATAATATTAAATAGATAAATGATTGTTTAAAAAATCATATATTCTAATTTAATGCTAAAAGATCCTTTAATTTATTATATTTTTAAGTGTATTATTTAAAAGCATGGTATTAATTTGGATCATTTATTCTAAGAAATTTTTATGTTAAATTACAAATATTTTATACTTTTTAAAAAACTTCAGTCTTTTTATGAGTTTAAAATAAAAAGCCATTTAGAAATTATATTTTAATCAATTTAAATAAAAAAATATCTATTGAATATACTAATTATAACATTAATACTACTTTATTAATAACATTCAATTCAATATGGTAATTCTAAAAAGATATTAATTATATCTTCACTTTACAATTTTTGATTACAGTTATTGAATTATATTAAAAATCATCAAAAAAACAAAAAGTAAATCAAAAATAGATAAAAATGAAATAAAGTTAATTTTAATATAACTACACTAACGACCCTCGAAGCCAAGATGAATAATTAAACCATTCTAAGATTATAGAATATTACAGTAAAAGAAATTTTAAGGCATTTTTGCCTTATGTATAGTAACAGTTACAAAATTAATGTATTGATAAAAGTAATAATATTAAGTTAAATGTTAACACAATGAAGTTTGAAGATGATAGATATGTAAATTATAGAGATAATATTGATTATAGAGATTAATTTGAGTTAAAGAATAAGACTATCATATTTATTACAGGTGTTCCAGGAGGAATTAACTATTATAAAAAAATATAAAATAGTATTGGGTAATAATTTTGTAGAATGATTGATATCTACATTCCAGGGTTTGATAAGAAAGATGAAAGAAGAGGTTAATATTAAGGAGGGATAGATTAGATAGCAAAGCTAATTGATGATTTTATGATTAAAATAGGAATTTAGTCAGCAGTATTTTTAGCACATTCATATGGTGGAATTGTGGTCAAGAATTTCATATACTTTAAACCTCATAAAGTAGAAGGATTTATATAAATCTGTACAGTCCCTATGACCTTATGGGAAGGTCAAAAAAAGCTAGAACAATTAGAACATTAAAAATATAACTTGGATTTTAACAAAATTTCTTATGAAACATTATCTGATGAAAATTTTAGATAACAATTAAAATACAAAATAATTTAAACTAAAGAATCTTTACAGATGCTGTCAGAGTAAGAAAAATTTTAGCTTGGCCCTATAGTGGCCTTTTCTTTTTAAGACATAATTACTATGCTCAAAATACGTTTAAGTGTTTATGGAAAGTATAATGAAATTTTCCATAGGTTTAGATAATTAAATTAAAATATACCCAGGATGATTGCTTATTCTAAAAATGATGTTTTGATATCAGCAAATACAATAGAAGAGGAGATATATCAATATATATTGAGTGAAAATGCTCTTAAAAGAAGAATAACAAAATTAGAATCTCCAGAACCTCATTTAGATCTAAATAATTTCTCTTCAAATTATATTTTTAGATTTGATGACACTACTCATTTCTTATAAAATGAGAAAAGTGAGGAAATAGGAATAATTGCAAAAAATTTTATAAAATAGATTGACTCTACTTAAATTATAAACAATAAACCTAATTTATGAGTCTATGAACACAAAAATATAAATGTTTTTTCTTTTATCTTAGTTTTTTAGTAGCAAAATGTTACAAAAAGACTTTAAATAACTTAAAAATAATAAGAATTTAATTCAAATAAAATTAATTAATAAATATTTTTTTAAGATTTGTTTTTATGCTTCTTATTAAATAAAAACAAATAAATATTATTAAGTTTTGATTTAATTAGCTTAATGTTTTTATTCTTTTTATATTAAATTTGTATTTCAAATTAAATTCCAAATATTTTTTTATGGTGAATGCAGAACATGGTAAAAGGTCATTAAGAACATTCTTAAATGTAAACCATCAAATTACTGATGAATTATGCTTTATTTAAGTTAGGTAAAATAAATGTTAAAATTTAAAGCGCAATCGACGTCACAGAATTATGATTAATTAATACGCTTTATATTTTTAAATTTTTGGTGATTTTAAATATAGAATTCATATCAAAAAATAAATATTAAATAAATCTTTAAAGCAAAATAAAAGATCAACTAAATTGATAAGATTTAAAAATGAGCTAAGATAATAAATACGAGCAATACCTATATGATTAAAGAGATGATGAAACAGTAGATAAGCAGGCTACCATAGTTAAGCAGTACTGTGATAGAAATAGAAAGTAAATATTGCCAGCTATAAATAAATAGCTAAAATATGAATAAGAGAACTATAAGGGTTATAAATCAAATAGTCTTATCCTAAGGATGGATTTTTCTGATGGAAGTTTTGTTTAGTATGCTGATAATGTATCAAGTAACTCAAGTTTTAAGTTTAGCAATAGATGTATTCTTGCTATACCTGGTGTACCAGGTTCTATTAAAGATTTTGCACCAATAGAAAAGCGCTTAGAGCCAAATTTTTGCAGATTTATTCACTTATTTCTACCAGGCTTTGATAACATAGATGAAAGGAGAGGTTAATATGTTGGCACTTTATAAGATGGAGTTAAGATGATTAATGAGTTTTTAAACAAATTAGGAATATAAAAGGTGGTAATTATGATGCATTCTTTAGGTGGTTTTTTCGGTAAATATTTTGCTTGCTGCAATCCTGAAAGAGTTGATGGCCTCATTTAAATTGCTTCTATTCCCTTAACTGAATGGCATGGATGGACATTTATGAGATCTACTTATGAAAATGCTTATTATTTATCAGAAAACGAGTCTTTCTCGTATTATAATAGCGATGAAGCTAGAAAAAAATTATAATAAGGTTCTGCTGAGCTCAAAGCATCTCTAGCTTAATTACCTAAAAACGTATAAAGACAATTTGCTCCAGCTTTGCATTTTTCAACTAGCGATCTCTTTTGTTTAAGAAAAATAACCAGAAGTCTGCCTGGCGGAATAGGAGAAATTTTACATAATTTTAGAAAGCTTGATAGTAGAATCCCAAGACTGATTGCTTACTCGCCAAAAGATGAATTAGCAACAAAAAATTTATACGAGGAAGAGATATATGATTTATTATTTATAAATAATAAAGTTAATTATACAATTAAATAATAACCTTTTAAAGACGTTTAATTGGATCTTTCAAATTTTTAGAGTAACTTTGTTTTTAGAGTAGATGATGGAAGCCATTATCTTCATTTTGAAAAGGCTAATGAACTCTCTGTTTTAATTAGGCATTTTATTGAAACTCTAGATTATATTGAAGTATCTCCTCCATAAAAGCAAAGACTTTGATACAATAGCTCAAATCAAATAAATATTTCATAGTAATTATTTTTTTCAAAAGTGTTTGATATTTTTTTAATAAAAAGTATATCTATCAAAGCAATTTGCGTTTTTCAATGTATTTCAAATAGATTTTAGTTTATTGCTTCAAAAAAAAATAAATTACTTTAATAATTTCTAATTTAATTCAAAAAAATATTTATTAAGATTATTTATTTTTATAAAATTATTTTATGTGATTTGTTAAAAATTTTAATCATTAGTTTTATGAAATTATAATTTTAATCTTCGTTTGTTGGAGAAATTTTTAGAAATCTTAATTTGAGGTAGTTTTAGTGTAAATGGTATTTGATGACTTATAAGATTGAATAATGTTTGCTTTGTATTTTGTATATAATTATTTTTGAGCTATTCATTTATTTAATAAGATTGTTGTTAGAAATAGTTGTTAAAAAAGAATATTTGTTAATAACAGCTAAAAATTATAATTAATTTTAAACAAGTAAAATATTTCTAATATAGATAGATAGATGTCTATATATAGCGGATTCAGTACGAGGAAGCAAGAATATGAATATAATATTTGTGTTGATTAAATTTTATCGCTTCTCTCAACTCGTACTATAAAGCATATTTGTGGAGGTATTGCTTACTTATTCATTTAAATTAGTTATTTATTTTAGCTATTTATTGTCAATCTATAAAAAACAGAAAAAGTCGATGAGGACAAGTTTAGGAAAATCTTTAAAAAGCTTTTTAAAATACTACAAAAAATGGAGGTTCATAAATATTTAAATCCTAAATTTTCGGAAACTTTGTCATCTTTGGGAAGAGTATTGAAGATTAAAATATTAGATCCATTAAAGATATCAGCAGTACAATACATATAAAGAAAAGTGTGTTATTTTAAATTAAATATAATTTGTATAATAAATATTTTAGAAAGATTCAAAGACTGACTTACGAGAGTTTGGAGTTAAATCTACTTAATAGCAACAAAATAATTTAGTGGTTATAAATAACTAATAGTAAGGGGGCAATAATGTAAATAATATTCATCTTATAAACACTACAACAAGATGCAGTAGTGTTAACAAAGATATGCCAAGTAATAGTTTCCATCAAAGACCAATGAGCATGGAAATGAGGAGCAGAGCAACATATAGTAAGAGATACATTCCTTAAAGCTAATAGGGAATTTTACCAATTAAAGAGAATATAAAATACTCAAATTAGCACTAAATATTAATTAACAATGTAATAAATGTTAATAAATAAGAAGAAGATCCTCAATAGAGTAATTTAAATAAACTTTATCAACCTCCTTCGACAGCCAACAATTAAAAATCTTCACAATTCAATATTGTTTCAGAAGAAAAAACTTAAGTAAATACTTCGAATGGTGAGCTCTTTAAAGAAAATAATAATAAAGAAGAAGATTTATTTACCCTTTCATAAGTTACGAATAAGAAATACATTGGATAGGCAGATGAATTAGGGGAGAATAAAGAAAATGTAGCATCTTCTGTTTAAAAATAAGTGTAGAATAGTAAAAAATTAAATTAAAATAGCAAAATAGATGAAAAATAAAGGTGTAAAACTCCACCTTCTCAGCATACTTAATAAAATCATTTACTTAACTTACAAAATCATTCAAAAAATGAAGGCTTAAAGTAAATTTCTTAATATGAAAGTTAAAATAATAGTGAACTTTAAGATTCAGATGGTATAAATAAAAAGATAAAGAAGGGTAGGTATTTAAAATAAAATAACGATAGTTTATAATTAAGAAGAGAGAGTTAAACATAGGCTATCCCTAAAAATTTAGAAATTGGAGTTAATAATTACAATACGCCAAATACGGTAATAACTACTGGAGGAGAATATACCCAAAAAAATTAAATTCCTTAACAAACTAGAAAAAGAAGTTCAAAATCAATAAGAGCTTAACCGAGGCTACCTCTATCTATAAACTAAAATGTCCAAGTTAAAAATTAAAAAGAATCTGATTCGTCTAAAAGCTTATAGTAATACGAGTCTCCTACAAAATAAGATCTCAACTATAATTCGTTTTATGTAGAAACTTCGAGTATTAAAAATTTAAAGAAAAACTTAATTTCACATTAAAATAAACAGCTTAACAATTCTGGTAAAAAATATGCTCATAATTAAATTCATATCCTTTAGGAAATATCAATTAACAATTCATCAACTCAGCCGAATTCTAATGCTAAAAATTTCTAGTTTAATGACATGTATTCGAAGCAAATGTCTTCTAAAAATAAATAAAATCTCAGTCCAAATTCATTTGCATAAAACGTACGTCAATAAAATTTTAAAAATGGAGAATCCAACGATTCATCTTAAAACTCAACTATTCAATAAATAATCTATAATCCAACAGATAAATAATAACAATAACAGCAAAGCAATATTTATTCCTCACAATAATCATCTAAAGAACAAACTATTAATAACGACTCTTCATTTAAAGAGTTTCTTTTTAATAGTTAAAAGTAAGAATAATCCGAGACTTAATTCAGAAATCGTATGTTGGTTTAGAATTTGAACATTCTTAAAGAAGACATAGAAAAATAGTAAATTCAAACCAGATCTTAATCACTTTTGTTATAATAGCAAAATTATTTATTAGAAAACTCTGCTGCAGGTTTAAGTAAGTTAACCCCATAGAATAATACCTTAAAAAATAGAGATGCATAAGATAACACTGAACCTAAAATAATATAACCAACTCATTTATATAACCCATTTTATAAATAACAAAATGCACAATAGTCTCCTAGATTTGAAAATGACACTTTCGGGTTAACAGATAATTAACTATCTTTAACCCCAATAAAATAGCTAGTTAAGAGAAAGAAATCAAAGAAAAAAAGTGGAAGAAATTAAAATGAGAAAAAGAGTTCTTAATCTTTTATAATCTCAACACCTAAAATAACTCCCGCTATTCATAGTAAATATAATTACAACATATCTCCTAAAAATTTAAAGTAAATATTTATTATTTATTCAAAAAATATTTTAATATAAATTTATATTAACTAGTTAAGTCGCTAACAATGAAATCAAATTGTGAATGATTTATTTAATTTAGATTTTAGAAAAATTGTCTGACTGATTCTCGAAATAATGAAAGATAAATAAAATATTTAAACAAAAAAATCTAATGACTCATTTTTGTTTAAAATAAAAAAAAAAAACAAATAATTAAGTAATTTTATATTAAATATTAATTGTAAATATAAAGGTTTTATAAATAAATTCTTTTTGCCATTAATAAACATATCTCATTGATTTATTTATTTTCACTTATCTCCTTCTTCTTCTTCTTCTCCTTTATCTCCATGGTCTCCTTTTTAATCTTTTGAATTATTCTAAAAAATAATGTGAATAAATTTGTTAGGTATTATTTTAACTCAAAAATGAATTAATTACATTTGGTTTTGCTTATTATTTATTGTAGAACTCAATAATCTTTTTTAAATTAAATTAATAGATTTTAATTTTTTTATTTTAATTTAATAATTTAAATATACTTAATATGTTTTTGTTGATTGTTCAGTAGTTTTATCATCTCTTACACGTAAGAATCTTGGGAAACGAAGGGATATTCCATTATCACTATAATTCATTTTTCCTATTGTATAAATAGGAGATGATGAAAGACTATCACTCTCTACTTCCCACACTTCAGCATCTTTTTAAAACCAAACATCAGGCTTAAAAGTTCTATGCACAGAGTATTCTTTAGGTTTTTAACTGCATACTTTTTATTTCAGTCTATCCGTTGAATCTTATAAAAATTGATCAGAAAAACCTGTACCTATCTTACACAAAGCCACATACTCTTTCTTTTTGTCATCATAACAAGCAAGTAGATATGATCCATAGACACCAGATCTTATTTATTTTTATTAAGTTAATTTTTTCTAGAATTATAAAATTAGCTAACTAATTATTACCTCTTGCCTTTTCCATAGTATGCAGCAATAGGAATAACATCAAATGTATCAGCTAAACCTCCTGACAAAACTTGCTTCTTTAATTTTGCCCACTAAGTTCTTCCATTATTATCATAAAATGTATTAGAATCAAGCGATTTAACCATAGCACCTTCTTCTTTTTAATCAATATATTATTTTACTAATTTTTTTAGCTCATCAAAATCTTTTTATATGCTAAGATCAAATATTTTTGATTCAGCGTGATTAACTGGTCCTTCAATAGGAAAATTTTCTTTAATCAAGCTCTTTCTGTAAAGTTATTCCTTGGTATTTTGCTCACATGCATTTAAAAACAGGATATCAAATAAGTAAATCTTTTCAATATTCTAACATTTATTTTAATTAAAAATTTAGACAATTTTTTATATTTAAGGATTAAAATTACATCTTCATCGAAAGCAACTACCTTGTTAGAATCTTATTTCCTTTTTCTATTTTGTTGTTGTTCTTAAAATGATTTAATATTTCCTTTAGAATCTGTTACAACAATCTCTCCATCTAATATGCAATCTTCTACACTGTTATTTTTCTAAAAATATTTTTCTAATTGCTAAACTAGTTATGGATATTTCTCATTTTAGATTTCTAAATTTCTACTAAATAATTTAATTCCTTTCTTTTTACCATAATGAACCTTTTATTTAAAAGTAAAAACATTAACTCTTATTTTATCTTAATATTTACCTAACATCTCTCTCCATCATATTTTAGTTCAAGAGAGACTTTTTTACTTTCGTACTTCTTTAAAAATTTTAAAAGTTCGTCAAAATCGGAAACTGGTTTGGCTAGCATTGGAGGCACAGGAGTTCCTATTTAAATATCGGTATGTAAGGCAGTATTATATCCAAATATTTTATCTTGAACATTTTTAAGCAGTGAATCCAAAGAGTTTTTCTTCTTTTTATTGATATTTGTTAATGCTTTTATAATAGATTTCTCACTTACACCTATCCTTAGGCTTTTCTAAGATATAAATTATTTACTTTTTACATTTAATTTCAACAAAAATTTACAGAAAGGATTCTGATAAAATATTATATTTCAAGTGGATCTTAGATTTTCTTCAAAAAATCTATGATAAGTTCTTGCTTTTCAAGTCTCGAGCGATCACCTTATAAATTCTTCAGTTTTTCAAAAAAGCTCGTAACTTCTAAAATACTTAAATGATTTTTTTCAGTTCGATTATTTCCTTCTTTTTCAAGTTTTTTTTCAAGCATTTCTTTTGCATACAATCCTATATCTCCTTTTTCAAAAAGGAATTTAGTTATATCCTCTTAGGGATATACAACTTTCAATATCTCAACTAAGGAAGAATTAGCTATTTATATTTCTTCACTATCTACTTTGCAGGTTAGTAAGCGTACCATTTAGATAAATAGCTAGTTAATATTTTGAATGTTTAGTTACAATTTTAATTGGTTTTATTTACTTCATTATCTCCTCCTTAAATGTAATCATTCATCAAAGTTTCTATAGCTTCTATTCCAGAATTTCTAGAAGATATTTTGGAGATATCGTCAAACTATTTAGCCAAAAAATAAAAGCTCTAAATAGATTTGGAGTTAAATTGAGTACAAAACTTAGAAAAAATCAAAGATGATAACAAGCTTTACTTGGGTAAATACAATAATTTCTTTATCATCTGTATTAAATTTAGCAATAATTTTAATTCCTACTTTTCTTTTATTGATTCGTCAGATAATCTGTTTTAAAACGAAATTTAGAAAGTTCTGGATATTTTTGATCGATAAGTAAATTAAAAAAACTATGCCCAAATCTAAATTCTAATTATTATAAAATTTAATTTAATTTTAATTAAGTCTTTTTTCAAAAAAAAATATTTTTTATTCAATTTATTATTAAAGTAAAAATAAAATAAAATATGAATTTTTGAAAGTATCCGTTGTTGTTGGCTAAGATTTGTTGCTTTTATTTTTAAGATCAGAAAGTTACAAGAATTAATATTCAAGTAGAGAAAATTTGAAATTAAAAATAAATTAGTCACTGAATTAAAAAAAAATAAATAATCTCTTAAAAATCACTAAATTTAATATTAAAAAAAAGCAAATAATCATAAATGAACTCTTAAACAATCAGAGCTGCTCATATTTTATAAAAGCATAGAGGAAGTCGTAATCCACTTGATAGAGTTAGAAATGTCCAAGTTACTAGAACTTTAGATGAAGCTAAAAAAAATGTAGCAGCTTTCCGTGAATAGATCATGAAATCAGCTGATCCTTAAAAAACTTTTATGGAAATTGCACAAAAGTATTCTGAATGCACATCTGCTAGAAATGGAGGTGACTTGGGAGAGTTTGGTCCTGGTTAAATGCAAGAATCATTTGAATAGGCTGCATATGCTCTTAAAGTCGGAGAGATTTCTAACTTAGTTGAGTCAGACTCTGGTGTTCACATTATTTTAAGATTAGATTGATTTAAAAGTAAAATGTGATAAAATAAACAAATAAAAATAATATGAATCTGATTGATAAAAGAACATAATAATTAATAATATAAATACTTTAAAATTCATATTTTTATAATTAGTTGCATCATCCTTAAACAGTTTAATTGTTTATTCAAAATATTTTTTCATATAATCAGATATTATTTTTTATATTTTAAATAAAAAAATCTGATAATAATTCAAAATACCTTAATTTAAATGATTTTTAATATTACTTTAATAAAATTAATATTTAATATTTTATATATTATTCGGTTGTGTTTACATTTTTATTTGTTAAACATGCAATTAGTTGTATTTTTAGATTATAAATTACTTTGGTAGATAAAAATTAAAAAATTTACTTTCTAATTTAATTAGTATACTTTTATTGTAAAAAATTTAAAATTTAAAATATTCTCAAAACTGAACTGATTCACTCTGCTCTATCAGCTGAGAAAGTCTAAATTCAATAGGTTCAAAATGATATTTGCCTATGATGCAAACAATTTTACTTTAAGGAGGAGACTAAATTAAAGTTTAGTAAATTTTTAAAGCCATATATTCATTTCTTGAATCAATAAAAGTTTTCCTAAAATAAGGAAATCTATTTAAGACAAATTATTTATTATTCATAATTTTTTGAAGCTTTAGCACAAATTAATATTGAAAGAAGAATTCCATTTTAAATTAATCTTTGTTATTTTTCAGAGAATCATTTTAATTAATACTGTTTTTGATTGCAAATTATTAATAAATTTAAGCCATTTAAGACATTGTTAAATCAATAGGAATTATTTTTGAATTTCTAATATTTTAAATGACAAAAGTGAATTCATTTTATTATTTAAGATTAAATTAGTTATCTTAAATAAATTTCAATCTCTGTTAGCATAATTCCAAGCAAAAATAGGCATAGTCTCTACTGTTATTTGTGTACTCTAGTAAATATTTCTTATTAAAAATATTTAAAACAGCTAAAAATTTTATTAAATTAAACCTTATTTTCCTGGTGCGAATGAGCCATACCTACATTAACATAAAAATAACAAGAATTATTGATTTAAATAACAAATAATCATGAGTTTTATAGAAGATAGACTCTCTTTCTTTTAGCAAAAAGAAGGATTCTATTTGTGTTTTAGAAAACATCGATTTAAATAAATAAAAAGACAGTTAAAACTAGTACATTCTAAGAATGTTTGAATATGCCTCTTAAAAAATTTAAAGGCATAATTTATTTTAATTTAAATAAAAAATATCTAAAGTTGAATTAAATTAATTAATTGATTACCCATAAGAATAATAGATTTCTGATGATGAGCTTAAATATTTTTAAATAGAGGAGAATAAAACATTACTAAAATAATTTTTAAGTTAAATTAATAAAATTAAAAAAATGTTAAATTAATTAAAATATTACAAGAGAAATTTATTTTATATTTTTGATAAAGTTCTTTTTTCTAAATGGTTTTCTAGAAAAATAGAAAAATTTGGAGTTTCTTTTTTTTGTTTATCTTTTAGAAAAAATTTTTTTTTTCTTTTTTTCTAAAAATTATATAATTTTGAAGGCGTATTGTGACTATTAAAAATCATAGAATTAAACTGCTTATCAGGAAGAAAAGTATAATGAAAATCAATTAAATTTTGAAGAGATATTTACAAATAAGCGTAAATTTGAAAATAATATATTTGCTCGAGTCTTAATTAAAAAATCAATTATTGCTACTTTGAATATTAAAAAACAAAAAATATGAAAAAGGAGGGGGTTTATTAATTTGCTTGTTTTTTTGTTTGTTTTTTAATTGTTATATTAATTACGATATAATTTAATAGGATGATTTTTTAATACAATCTCAAATAATATTTATGTGCAAAGACAGATTGATTTATAGATAGATAGATACAAAGGATGATAACTTAAAGAAGAAAAGAATATTAAGAAAAAGGAAATTAGAAGAATATGTTTTTGTATTAAAGTTTATATATACACTTTAAATAATATAAATATATCAAAAAATATAAAATATATAAATATTTAATTACTTGCAAAATTTAAAGACAAAAAATATAAAATTCTTTTAAATAGTAAAAAATCTTTAAAAAATCAAAAAATAAGCATAAAAAATAAATAAATAAATATAAATCAAGAAATGTTTTTTAATGGTTTTCCCTTCTTTGGCGGTGATGACGGCCATGAATAATATGGTAACATATTTTTTAGATTAATAAGTTGATATGCATCATTTTGTTGGTGCGCTTTAGAATTCATTCTCCTTTTTCACCTCTTTTTCATGTTGAGCAAATATATTTTTTAAATAAAAAGAAATGCCTGGTGGAAGAAAAAAAGATACTGATACCAATAAATTATATGAAGTATTAGGAGTTCCCAAAGAAGCCACTTAATCAGAAATTAAGAAGGCTTTTATGAAAGCTGCAAAAGAGCATCATCCTGATAAAGGTGGTGACGCTGAAAAAGTAATTTTATTTTTGTACTGTTTGAAGCTCTTTTTAAATAATTTAGTAGATCGATTATAACAAGAGCAATCAAAAAAAATTTGCCAAAAATATAATTTTATTCATTTTCATGAAAAATGGAGAAAATCTATTAGATTTATTTTTATTCTTATGAGCAAGTTGCTTATAAAAAGATTATGTAAACTAAATATATTTAAATATAAAATAGTTCAAAGAATATTAAGCTGCTTATGAAGTTTTAGGTGACGCCAAAAAAAGAGAACTTTATGACAAGTATGGTATGGAAGGTGTTGAAAATGGTGGAGCTGGTGGCCAAGGTAGGATAATTAATTGAATAATATAGTTTATAAAAAGCTAAGCATATCAATTTAATAAATAGACTTGTTCGATATATTAAGAGGAGGTGGCAGATAATAATAAAGAGGTGCTTAAAAGATGAGAGGAGCTAAGGTTCCTGTTGAAATTACACTTGAAGATGCTTATTTAGGTAAAACTGTTAATCTTCCCGTCAAGAGACAAAGAAATTGTGAAACCTGTGAAGGCAAAGGTGGATCTAATGTTACTACTTGTGATACTTGCAAAGGTAGAGGTGTCACTATGAAGGTTGTGCGTATGGGTCCTCTTACTTAAAGCTTCTAATAAGAATGCTAAAACTGTAATGGAGAAGGTAAATCAATTAGCGAAAAGGATAAATGCAAGACTTGCAAGGGCAAAAAAGTCTTCAAGCAAGATGCCACCGTTGAAGTTCCTATTGACAAGGTAATAAACAAACAAACAAATAAATGATAACTTTATAAAATCTATAATGAACTTTAGCACTCTTTTTTTAAAAAGTTTAGTTGGTTAGTTATTTAGTGATTTATTAGGCATTCAAATTAAAAATAAGTGAGAAAAACGAATTATTTGCTTTTAAATTAATGCAAATTTTAAACTATTTGTTTTTGATTGATTGATAGATTGATAGATTGCTTACTAGCTAACTAGAAAAAAATTCTAAAAAAATCTAATAAATAGATCTTTTCTATATTTTTAGTAGAATCTTTCCAGAATATTGATTTTATTTTTAGAAATTTTACAAGAAATTCAAAACTTATTTACAATTCTTCAATAATTAAATTATCAAACAAATCTTATTTATAATAAAGGGTGCTTACCAAGATTAAGAAATTATTATGACAGGCCAAGCTGATGAAGCTCCTGGTTACATGGCTGGTGATTTACACGTTATTGTATAAATTAAGAAGCATCCTGTTTTTACTAGATAAGGTGCAGATTTATTCATGGAAAAGAAGATTACTTTGTTAGAAGCTCTTACAGGTTTCTGCTTTAAAATCACTACTCTCGATAAGCACGAACTTTAAATTGCTACTCCTCCTGGTGAAATTATATAAGATGGTAAATATATTTTTGAAAAAATACATTTTCTAAGTATAATTTTGATTAAAAATGATTAGGCGATAAAAAGGTAGTTAAGAACCAAGGTATGCCTTTTTACGGTGATTCTATTTCTCACGGTAATTTGATCATTACTTTCAAGGTCGAATTCCCTAAGAAAGGAAGTATCACAGATGCTCAACTTAAGGTTCTTTCTGATGTAATATAATTAATAATTATTTGAATTATATTTATTTTTTATTATATTTTAAACTAAATATTAGATATTACCTGGCCCTAAACCTAAGAAGGTTGATACTACTAAGGATGATATTTTACTTTTAACTGAATTCGATGCTACTTAAACTAATCCTAGTGAAGAAGGTGGTAGAAGTAAGAATACATACTTAAATTCATTTATCAGAATATTAATAATAATGTTTGTATTTTAGGAGAAGATGACGAAGATGAATATGAAGATGAAAGATAAGGTGGTACCAGAGTACAATGCGGTCAATAATGAGAAAAATAAAAATATCGTTTTAATAAATTGCTAAATTTAATAAAAAAAAAGTATCCAATAATAGCTAAGATATAAGATAATTTTACAGCGAAAAAATATATATCTAAAATTGCTTAAATATAATTAAAATTTAAATCAAAATTCTTATCTTTTGTAAAATTGCAATCTTATATTGAAGTAATAAATATAATATGTGTAATGTTTTTAAGTATTTTCTGCAATTCTAATTAAAGGCATTCAACAACAGAGAGCCTTCCTTTCCAAATTATTTCATCAATTAATATATAACATAAATTAAAACTATAAAATTTTTAAAGAGTAAAAAATTTTTATTTAAAATAAAATTTGAGTATTTTATTTATATTCAAATAATAAATTTATATTAACTCCATAAAAATATTGATAAATTAATATCAAGCAAATATTAAATGATATTGTTATAATAAATAAGGTTAATGAGTAATAATATGTGTAATGTTTTTAAATATTTTCTGCAATTCTAATTGAAGGCATTCAACAACAGATAGCCTTCCTTCAAAATTATTTCATCAATTAATATTAAAAAATAAATTAAAATTTTAAATGGAAAAGATTTTTATTAATAGAAAAATTTGATAATTTAATTTATATTCAAATAATAAATTTATGTTAACTCCATAAAAATATAGATAAATTAATATAAAGCTAATATCAAACAATATTGTAATAATAAATAAGGTTAATGAGTAATAAATATAATATGTGTAATGTTTTTAAGTATTTTCTGCAATTCTAATTGAAGACATTCAACAACAGATAGCCTTCCTACCAAATTATGTAATCAATTAATAAAAAACATTATTTAAAAATATTAAAATTTTAAATAGAAAAAGATTTTTATTAATAGTAAAATTTGAGTATTTTGTTTATATTTATATAATAAATTTATATTAACTCCATAAAAATATAGATAAATTAATATAAAGCAAATATTAAACGATATTGTTATAATAAATAAGGTTAATGAGTAAATTAAGTTGATATTTATTTATTTATTTTTGATTTTTTTGTTTTTTACTGATTGATTGATTTATTTATTTTATTTAAATTGGTGTTTTATTTCTTAAAATCTGTTTAGAAACTTGTACTAGCTATCCTTAAAATTTATTAACGGTTTGCATATTAAATAATATTTATTTGATAGATATACAGATAGATAGATAGATGCTCGTATGACTTGAGTTAATTTTTAATAAGGTTTACCTAATTTTATTGGTTGAAACTGTCAATGTTAATAACATTTTCTATTGAAAATTAAAGAATATTGAATTCCGTTTTAATAATTTTGAAATGTTTATAAATTTATTATCAATCTTTAAAGACATCCAAATTCCTTTGTTTAAGTATTTATTTAATTTTTTTTAGTTAAGTTAGGACTTTAATTTAAGAGTTATAGTATTTAAAATTAATTTTAGTTAGTTATTGGTTATGTTGTTAGCTGTGTAGGTAATTTTTTTTTTGTTTATAAATTTATTTCAAATTTTTTAATTGCTATTTATTTATCTTCACTGCTTGTTGTGGTAGTTATTTTATTCTGCATGCTAGTCTACAAAAGACCATCCTGGAATGTATTCCTTACCATTTTCTACAAAACTGGAAGGTTCGAATACATTAGGATCAAACTTAGTACTAATGCGAATTTTTCTATTTGGAATTGGCACATTCAATTTTCTAAATATAATAAAATTATTTAACATAAAATCTTTATAAAGAATTAATTATAAATAAATACCTTTATTCTGCTTCCTCCCAATTTATATTTGCAAAGAATTGATGAGCTTTTATTTCATCTGCATCACCTTTACCAGAACCTAGTCTCTTAGCTGGGTTTCTTTGTAATAACTTATATTATAAATTTATTTAATAAATTAAAAATTTTATTTAAAAAAATTAATATACTGCTTTTAAAAGAGAGCGAGCATCGTTGCTTAAGAATGATGGAAGTTTGAGATGTCCTTTTTCGATGTTATTAAACAACTCTTCTCTATAATTATTGTTAATATTATTTAGATTCATTTTTTTTTATTGAAAAATAATACTTGTTGTTTGCATAATAAGGTGGAATTCCAACCAGCAGTTCGTACATTACTACTCCTAGTAAATACCAGTCCACAGCTTTACCATGGCCACATCTTTTAAGCATTTCTGGGGCAAGATATGCCACAGAGCCACAAAATGATTTGGCCCCTGTAGAATGGTCTAGTACACCTATTTTTATAGTAAATTAAAAATTTGAACAAAAGAAAATTTTTAAAAAAATTTTACCTTCTTTTGATAAACCGAAATCAGTTAACATTGCATGACCTTCATGGTCTAATACTATGTTATCTGGCTTCAGATCTCTAAAAATAACATCTTTTTTATGTAAATGCTCAAGGGCAAGAGTAATTTCAGCTAAATAATTTCTTACTCTATCTTCAGTAAAACGCTTTTCCTTTTATAAATGCTCTCCAAGATCTCCTCCAGGGCAATATTTTAAAATCAAGAAGAGTTTATCCTAAGTCTAAAAGGCAAAATTTAATCTAACAATAAATGGATGCTTAGTAACAGAGAGAACATTTCTTTCAGTTAATGCATATCTGGTTAAGTTATGTCCTTTTTTAATAATCATATTTAACTTTTTCTAAAATATTATTATAATGATTTTTTTACTCATAATTTTAGATTTGTGAAGAACTTTCATTGCATAAAGCTATTGAGAATCTTTCTTTTCTACTAAATAAACCTCGCCAAAGCTTCCCTTACCAATCAAACCATGTACAATAAAAGAATTAGGTCCTATTTTTTCTTCATCACTTAAATTTGATGTGTCAACATCTGAATTATTAAAGCTGCTTTTGCTTTCGTTTTATTTCATCGCAGTGATTTAAGTAGAATTATTACTCTTTTTTTTTAAAAATAATAATTTGTCTCATTCTATTTAAAAATTAATAAATCTTACTATTTAATCCTAACCACTACTAAACTGTTTAATATTTGGTTAAAAGTAATTATTAGGACTCTGCCCATTATTGTGTACAGTGAACATCTATTAAATGTTATCTTAGTTTGTGTTAAATATTCTAACTTTAGGATTCTTTTTTTGCATAGCTTTCTAAAAAACAAAAAAATTATCAAAAACTTTTTTAATTTCGTCGTCTTTGCAAATATCATAAGGTTCTTTGTTCTATCTATTTGGGATCTTATAATCTAAACTAGGTTTTTTAAGAAGCATTTCTACTATCCTTTTATTACCTTAATATTTTAAAGAATTTATTTATGAATTACGTTTATTATTATATAAACAATATAGCAAATGATAAAATTTATCTCAATTCTAGGTAAAGAATCAAATTTAATTATACCATTCATGCAAGCATGATGTAATGCTGTGTTTCCATTGCTATCCTAAAAATTTATATCAGCGCCAGCAGTCATCAAGAGTTGAAGCACATCTTCATAGCCTCTATTTAATAAAATTGATTTTAAATATATTCCAACTTCAAGATTAATTTTAAATGATTACCCTATTGATGCAACAATTAATGGAGTTTGCTTGATGTTGCTTTCTGAGTCTATTGTAGCTTCATGATATAGCAACTAAGATACAAGTTTCGTATTTCCATTTTGGCAAGCATAATGCAGAGGAGTCCAATCGTTTGAAGTTTCTTTAATGTTTACATCTGCTCTCATATCTCCTAATTTTTTATCAAGTAGTTCTAAGCATTGATTAGTGTTATTTATCTTAGCATGAAGTAGTAAGTCGCTGTTGATTTTTCTTTTTTTGTTCCTTTTTAAAATAGCGACAATAAAATAAATAAATTAATTGAATAATTAAGTATTGTATTTTTTTATGCAGTTATTCTTAATGAAATAATTTTTATTATCAAATTACCACCAATCTGTCCATGCACTATTGCCCTGAGGTTACTGAGAAGGGGTTCCTTGATTTTAATGTTAATTTTAATTAGTTCCACTAATTTAGTTATTTATCTAAGCGTTTGCTTGCTTTGGACTTCTTTGTATTTCCTTATCAAACTGTCTTATATCAAAAACTTCACCTATTTATTTTACATTATAAAAGTAAATTTTAGTTTAGTTCAAAAAATAAGTTTTAATAAAGAAAATTAGGATTTGACAGCCAACCAACATAGTGTTTTTCTAAATAAATAAATAATTAATTAATTAAAAGTAAATTTTTACCAGTATCTTTGTTTACAATTTTGAATATACTTGAATCCTGTTCTTATGTAGTCTATTAAACTTCTTTTTATTTTAAATTATTAATTCTAATCTAGTTTAGTTATTATGTGAGGTCATTCATTTATTAGTTTTGGGATTAGCTGCTTTATTACTGCATTTACAATTTTTACTATGCGTACTAATTAACTTATTAAGAGTTATTATTATTATTTACAGGAACGAACTAAGTTACTGGCTATTAGCTAGATTTGAAAGGAGATTAATTAAAATGCTAATTATTCATTTAATTCATTACTGGAATAGCAATATTTCTTTAAACATTCCCTATAAAAATATCCTAATTTTACTAAGACTTGGAACCTTATACCTATCTACTTTCAGGCATAAGCTTAGCTCCTCCTCCAACTCCTCCAACAGAAATACCTTCGTCTAAGATAGATCCACTAAATGAATCAATATATTCTTGATTTTTTTGAGGGAAATTAGAATTAATTTAATTGATTGCCTAGTTATTGTAATTTGTGTTGTTTTAGAGTGGAGTTTTTAAAGCATTAGACTGTTAATACACTTATTATTAAAGTAAGCCTTGTTAATTTTGCTGCTACTATTGTAGAGATATATTTTATTACAGTTATTATTATTGATTGTAAGCGTTTGTTTGACTTCGCGGGCTTATACTTGCCATATTTATACTAGAGTAAGGGATTTCTAATTTTTTTAGTAATAATATTTGAGCTCATAATATTTATTTATTTAAAAATTGATCTATAAAATCAACCTAACTACTGACCTATCGATTTCAAATTGAAAAAATAAATATAAAAGCAATAATTTACTTTGCACTTAAGGCTGAGCATAGCTTTGTTAGACTTAATAACTTGATAGGCTCTACTGCATTTGCACTTGATTCTATGCATAGTTTTATCTATTTTATTATAAATAATTTTTCTTTAAAAACTAAACCGCTCAATCAATCTGAATGATAGATTCAATAATTTTTAACAAATTGCAATAAAAGGCTATGTTTTATGTACCTTGAAGCAGACATCATGTTATTTTAAGGATGATATGGATACTACTAGCCAATTTATTATTTAACTTAATATGAATTCAAACCGCTAGATTGATTTGAATAAATTTATTATCCAATTTGTTGTCCAATATGCTATTAATTGCTATACCCATTTTAATTTGAATTTAAACCACCTTGACCCTATTAGTACATTTAATCAATTGCTTACTTTGTTTTTTTGCAAATTTAATTAATTTTTGTTTTGATTTTTTAATTAATTACTTGTTTTTATTTATTTGTTAGATTACTAAGCTATTTGCTTGAACAAAGCAACTATAATACCAGTTTTTTATTTATTTCCTCATTAAATTGTTTGTTTGTTCGCTTCATTAATTGATTTGCTCTCTAAATATTTCTTTTTTTTTTAATAAATGATGTATGTCTTTCCTTATAAATTTTTAATTGATTTACCAGGCAAAACACGCAATTAATATTTTAAAGGAAAATAAATAATAAACTAGTTAAAAATTAAATTGATCTAATTGTTAGACTTTTTTTTTAAGTAGAAACACTTTCTTTGTTTAGTGTATAAGTCGAATAACACCTCAATTTAAAATGCTAATTTCTTATAACAAGTATTTTTATCTTTATAATTTTTTATCTTTAAATTTCATTGCTATCACATTTATTGTGATTAATTTCTTTAGTTTGTTGATTCATAATTTTATAACCTTTAAATTTTGTCTCCTTAGTATTAGTTAAATTTCGAAAAGAATTTCTAAATAAAAATAGTCTTTTAAATATAGAAATATTAAGCCTACCAATTCAAATAGTTGATAGGTGAATTTTATAAAAATACCACTTTCAAATATTTCTTTAACATAATTAATTAATTTCAAATAATTAAAATTGTTGATATGAAAAATTAAAAGAAAATTCATATAATTTTAGCTAAGTGTCAATAGCTAAAGCATTCAAAATTAATATATATATGATAAACTTAACATTTTTAAAGCACATTTCCTAATCATTTAATTTGAGGATATTATGATTTATACTTATTTATTCCATCATTTTAGCACCTGATAGATCTTACAAAGCACAAAGTAGTTTGATTTATTTTACTTGAGTAAAATTTGAATACAGCATTTCTTTTTTAAAAGAAAGTGCGTTTCCAAATAATTTTAAAATGCGTAATAACAATAATTGATGTTAATCTATTTTACTAGCTAAATATATTTAAAATAAAATTTTTAAAAAAGCAATTAATTATTCTTAATTTGAATTATAATTTTTAAAAAGAAAATTTTATTTATTTGAATTAATTTAATTTCTTTTCAAATATTAAATTTGCATGATCAAAGTAAAATTCCTTTTTAAAAATTAACACTCCAAATAAGTTTCCTCTCTCGATTGTCAATTTTTCGATTGTGAAAGAACAATTAAAATTTTTTTTTAAAGTCAATAAACTTTGATGTTAAAATATAATTTTTATTAATTAATACTCCAAAAATATCAAAAAAAAGTTTCTTTAAAAAAAAACTATTTTTTTTATTTCCAAATTAAATTAAAATTTTTAATTATTTTAAATAATTATAAAACAAAATACTCAAATCTATTTTAGTTAGTCTTAAAATGTAGATTTTTATCAATAATTTTAAATTTAAAATTATTTTTCAAAGTAAAAATACTTTATTTATTATTGAGTCTTTTAAAAATAAAACAGCTTTGATTTTTTAACACTTGAGAGTTTTTGTTAACACTCTTTGTTAATAAAAATCAGCTGATTTAATTTTAATGTAAGTGTTAAGAGATTAAAATATAAAATTTTTTGAAAAATGAGTTTTAATTATTAATTGAAGAGAATAAAATGTTTTATTTATTACAAATATAAAATAAAATAGAATAAAGAATGTTGAAGTAATTAATCTCGAGGGTTGAGTTCAAGGAAGATAATTAAAATTCAGCTTAGTTTTAAAAATGCAGATAACATGGATACTTATAATGTTATAGATAATTTTTTACTATATTGGAGAAGATTAAAAAATATTCTCTTAATTAACTATAATTATTAAATACATAAAAATATTTATAAGTTAATTTTGTTTTATTGAACATAAAATTAAATGTTATTTATGTTTGGTTATTTATAATTTGTTTGCTTTTTCTATTTAAAATTACAAAGTTAGCTAGCTATTTATTGAGTACTTATTAATATATTTGTTAAGGGATTTAAGATTAAAAGGCCATCATGGATTTGATATTTTTTTTACTTTTACCATTATAACCAATCTCTGAGCATCCATCCATAAGTAAATGATAAACAAAAATGTTAATTTATAATTTATTTGATTACTAACTAATTTATCTTTCAATTGACAAACTTTTTTTATAAAATAAATTTTGCATTAACTTATACTTAAAATACTTCTAAATAATTACCTTTGGAGTTTTAGGACGTTAAGTTTAAGATTTTTTATCTGCAGGTTTTAATATTTAGAAGCTACACATTAAAGTCTCATCTACAGACATTAAAGCACCTAATTAAATAATAATAAAATTATAGATAAAATGTCAAATTTTAATACCATTATTTGCTTATTAAAAAATAATTTACCGCAATTATCAAATTCACCACAATAATTAGGAGCTGAAAAGATTGTGACTAACTATCTTTTTGCGAAGAACTCATATCCATCTTCGACTACCTAATGTGCTCTACATATTAAATCTAAATCTTATTTCTTTAGGAATTTCGAGACCTCATCTGGTCCAAATATATAACTAACACCTCTTTCATTATCACCCCAACCAAGAATATCTTTTTCAGGGTCACTCCACAATAGATCGCATAATAAACCTATTTTAAATTTTAATAATTATTATTTTTAGTCAAACTTAAAGTGATTAAAATATATTTATTTTCTCTAAATTTTAACTTTTTTGTTAGATGTTGGTTGAAGCTACTTTATTATTATATATATGCTTACTTATTTTTATATATTTGTAAATCTTAAATATGATTTAATTTCCTTTAGTTTAGTTATCCATTATTATTTTTTATTGATAATACAAATATTATTGAACATCACTAAATTTTTAAGTATGAATTATTCTATTGGAAGTAACATTTAGTTAGATAATATTCTGGTTAAAGTTTGTGATAAAAATAAGTTGAATAATCTATTTCACTTGAATCTGATTTATTCAATACTTTATTTTGCTTCATATTTTTTGCTTCGCTAAATTTATGAATCTTAAGTGACAATTAATCTTTCTTTAAGATAGTGTTTGCACTAAAAAAATAATTAACATCAATTTAGTATGTATGAAAGAATAAACATGTGCTATTTCCTTGTTTTGCTAACTAGAAAGATCTTGAAATATTCATTTTTTAAAAATTCTATCAGTTAATTTTGAAAGTAGAGAAAATAAATTTTGATGTTTGTTTGGTAAGATAGTTAGTTAATTAGTAACCTTAGTCAGGAACTTCAATTGGACGTGTTATACGATGAATAGATTCTATATTATTAAATTCAGGAGAAGGTGAAAGACCTCCGTGCATACAAATAATTTTTTCATCTATCACTGCACAGACTGGAAGGCAATTAAAGCAGTCAGTAAAAATTTTCCAGAGCTTTATATTATATCTTCTTTTACCTTTTTATTTCATATACAATTAAATTACAAAATAAGTTATTAGCTAAAAATGAGCAAATTTATTTGACTTAATGAGAAATATTTCAAATATAATTGCTTTTTTTAATTGAAAATAGTGTGATTAGCTAGAAATAATCTATTATTTTTTCTGTTATTTATCCTTCTTATTTAAAAAACTTTCAATCATTTTCTTCTAATTTTTGAAAACACGAATTTAGGCTGCTCTGAGCAGAAATTAATTTCTCCTTAAAAATAAAAACTCTTACATTCATCATAGAAACCATATATACGATTAATGGAGGAGCATTCGTGGTTACCACGAAGCAAGAAGAAATTCTCAGGAAATTTGATTTTATAAGCTAAGAGCAAACAAATTGTTTCTAGTGATTATTTGCCTCTATCAACGTAATCTCCTAAAAAGAGATAATTGGCATCAGGAGGGAATCCTCCGTATTCGAAAATTCTAAGTAAATCAGGGAATTGGCCATGAACATCACCTATTATTTAAATGTTTTTTATTGCCTTAATGTTACCCTAAAAACATTTATTTTAATTTTATCGAAAAATAAGGCTTCTAATTACCACAAATTTTAATGGGAGCTTCTAACTCTAAAAGCATTGGCTATTGCAAAAAGATTTCTCTTGACTTCATGCAAACAGCCCTAATTTCGCTTTCAGCCAAAACCTAACTTTTAGCTGCTCTACTTTGCTTTGGATCTATCAATTTTGATAGGATATCATCAATATCAATGACTGTTTTTCCGTCCATTATCGCTATTTAATGATTTGTTTAATCTTCTTCAGTTTCCTTTTATTTTTTCTTTATTTTTTTTATTTTTTTGCTTTTTCTGCTTCTTTAGATTGATTATTTGATGATTTATTTGTTAATTTGTTAGCTATAGTTTACTATTCTTGCTGTTTTAAACTACTTAGTAATAATTCATGTTTCTTCTTATTAACTTCTAATGTCCGATCGATACATACTCTCTTTTATCGCATTCATTTTTTATCTGTGTTCTATTTTATTTTTTTCATATTTACTTCATTCATTCATGTTATTTATTTATTTATAATACTTATTTATTTTTTAAATTAATAATCAAAGTAAATAAATTTTTTATTCTTCTCTTATCTTTATAAATTGCATTTTTTTTTTTTTGACAATTATCAAACGAATAACTAACTTTCTTTATTTTTCTTATAATCTTATTAATAAATAAATAAATATATTTTTACTGTCTCCTTTAATGGTTTTTTGTCATAGGCTATCTATATCTCATACACAATAAATAAATATTCTTTCTTTTCGGAAGTTTGTTTATTTATATTTATTATTTTTATTGGTTTTAAATAATGTATAAAGATTAATATGATATTTATCTTTTTTCACCATTCAATAAATAGATTAATTTTTCAAGTATTTTTTTAATTTAAATAAAATTTTTTTAAATCATCTTTAGTAGTAAATTAAATCTTTTTTGCTTTAAATTAGCTTAAAATAAATCCATAAATTTATTTTCTTAATTTTAAAAGGAAATTAATTCACTTTGAATACAAACAATCAAAAAATTTTTAATTTGGAACATTAAAAAAAAAAAAAATTTAGATTGAATATGCCCGAATTGTAAATAGTAAAATAAACTAAAAATCATTAGAAACATGTTTTCAAATATGCTTAAAATTTTTCAGCAGCTTAACAGAACTTTTAATACAATTAAATATTTTGTGGTCTCTGAGAATTCGTTTAATAAATTAGCATATTGTGAACATTTACACTGTTAAAAAGCATATAGAGACATGTTAAAAATAATTAAAATAACAAATTTAATCAGCTGTTAAAACCTCCAGTTTTAATTCTAAATTTATTTTGATTACTATCTGAAGGAATTATATTTCCTCTGCTAGGTAATTTTTCGGGTTTGTTACTAGATTTGGGAGGGGCAGTAGCACCAAAAGTATTTTCCTCAAACTATGGTTAAGTTCTTTATCCACTTTATCTTCTCCTGCTTTATCTCTAAGGCTTAGAGGATTGATATACATCACCAGTTTAAGAAAATTATTAATCTTATGTATTCTAATTATTAGAAACTGTTCTTAAGTTTTACTTTTATTGTTAACCAAAAATTTCTTCATGGTCGTTTTCATAATTGTTGTTTCCTATTTTGGGTAAACTTATTTTTCCAGGCTCATTAATTCTAAGATCTTATTGTGCTTAACCTGATTAGTAATTTGTTTAATTTACATTTTCTAATATTCCCTATTTTTAATTTTTAACTAAAACTTCTATAAAACTATTTTAATTTATTGTACTTCGTTATAATATTATATGTCATTAGTATCTGCAAAACCATTCTCTGTATTAACAAAGTCTTCTCTCTTAGTCATTTAAACTTTATCCCAAGAACTAAGATTAGGTTTCTTATTGATTAATTTTTCAATATCGTGAATGTTAATTTTATCTAAAGTGATTATGTCAAATCCTAAATATATTTAAATTTAAATAACTAAAAAAAAAAAAAGATTAATTTTAATTTACCTTTTTTATATTCATCAAGATATTTCTAATCACATAATCCATTGAGAAGACGCTACTAACGTCTGTCCTATATTTCTAAATTTCTTTCATGATACTCATTTTCTACTGCATATCTTATTTTGTATCTTTTTTTAGCATTTTCCCTTTGCTAATCAATTAACTTTAATTCTTCTGGGATAGGCTTATTTCTATCAAATATAACAGTCTCCCTTTAATAAATTATTTAACAAATTTATCTCTATACTTCATGTTAATTTGGCTTTACCTATATCTCAAAGAAGGTGGAAGTTTTAAAATTGCATTTTTACCATGGCTTTGATTAGTCTCTTTCAATTATCTTTTACATAAAAACCATTTATATAAATATATTCGACAATATAAATCATTACTCCTAAAATGCCTTTTCTTAATCAGGATCATAAAGTAAGCCACTCACTATGTTAAATTTATGTGTTTTTCTATATTTTTCATCGAGCTTGTTTTTAACTGTTTCCTCATCATTCTAATTTCAAACAAAATTTATTTAGGCTGATAAAATAAACTACTTATTTATTTATATTTTTATGTTTACTTATATTTTTGTTTCATGGTTTTCAGTATATTTATTTGTTATAATATTGAAATCTCTGGTTTTACTCAGGTCCGTTTTCTTTTCAATAACCTGCATATCATTCAAATGAATATGTTAATTACTTCTAATTACTATTTAAACCTAATTTTACCTTTTCTTGCTTAAGTACTTTAACATTTTCATACATATATTTCTCTAATGGTGTATTAGAAATGATGTTGTATTCTCGCACAGATGGCTTTATAACACTCTTAGTATATGTCTTTTCAGGAATAATCTAAACATCTAATTTTTCTAAATTAACAATATCATAATCTTTTTGATACTTCTCGATGTGCTTCTATCATTTAATAAAGTGAAGGAGATAAATAAATAAACAATTAAGCAAAATAATAGATTTAATTTATCATATATCATATATATCTGCAAGTTAAATAATTTTATTTAAAAGCTAATATAGCTAAAAGTATTACATTTTTTTTAGTTTTTGCTGCCTAGAGCTTAAATTATGTTTTAGCTAAATCGTCCTTATCCTATTTATAATTTATAAAATTATTTTAATGTCTAGTTGCTCATTCATTTATTAAACTAGTAATCTCTCAATTAATAAAGATACCTAAGAAGGATCATTAAAAACTTAAAGAAGAGGATCAAATATTTTTTCTTTATCCTTAATATTTTTTTAGCTAACTCTCTCTACTTTAGGGTTTTCATACCCTCTTTCCTTTCTTTGCTTATTGTAATCTTATATATCATTTCTCCAGTTGGAGATATCTTTCTCTTCTATGAGCATTTATATTTGACTAATGTATGTTATATTTTTTATTGCTTTCTTTATATTTTAGAATCCTTATATGGTTTTAATGTTTGTTTTTGGTATAAAATTTATAATATCTATAAAATAGTTGGTAAATTAGTTATTTTTTTTCTTTAATTTAATAAAACAAACAGTAAAAATCCATCTTAGCTACTATAAATCAATATTTTTACTTTTCTTTTCATTCAAAATTCTACTATGAAATTATAAAATTATTATTTTCTTTTTTATGCTTTAAAATCAAAAACTATTTATTAATTCTAAATTCATTATTGAAAATATTTTTTTCAATCAAAAATTTATTTAAAAATTAAGATTGTCTATTTATAGATTTATTTATTGGTAGATTAAATTGCATTAGAGATATTATATTTGTTTTATTTGGCATTATTTACATTAATTTTAATACAAAATGTATATAGATAGATAGATAAAATTAAAGGTTGAAAAATAAAATATTATTTATAATTTTAAAATAAATATTGTTAAATTGAAATAGTCAAAAGTTGGTAGGTCAGTGAGATAGATAGATATATTGGTTCATTGTTGAATTGGTTATTAAGAAAGTAGTTTTAAAATATAGTTTTTGGATTTAATTTATTATTTTGATTTAGATCAAAGGTTCCTTATCATTCATTAACTAGCTCAATTTATTTATTTTTATCTCAATAAAGTTATATTAGAGATAGTAGAGAGCACGGATTTTTAAGAGTCAAATTTAGATGTTGTGTGTTGCTTCATAGTTTAAGGAGAGTAATTCATTATATTTTTGTTGTTTTTAAGTGGTGTAAATTATTTATTTAAAGTATTCAAATAATCTGTAAAAGAATGTGAATTCTTCCCACAACTATATGTCAATCTTTTAGAAGTCTTGGAATACTAACATGAAAGGTTTTAATTAGAATAACAATTTTAACTTTCATTTTATAAATCCTTTTTTGGTGGAGTAAGTTCGCATATACTGCTAAAACGAATGTTTAGGTCTTAAGAGCTCAAAATTTGATTTTCTTGTACATTTCTATAAACAAAAGGATGCTTAAGTCCTTCTTAAGGCTGAATTCTGTTATTTAAGTTCGGGTTTAAAAGTTACTTAAGAAGATCTTATGCTTGTTATGAAAGTGATTTATATTTTTAATTATTTGTAAAAGATTGATTCTCCATTTTAATGATCATTTCGTTCTCTCTGTTAATAAAAAATATAAGATTAATAAAAAATACTTTTATGAGACTTCTGTTAGTAAAATATTTATCAGAAGATAAGTTAAGATTTTCTATTTTTAAATTAGTTGTTAAGCTTAATAACTAACTAGCTAATTCATTCTTGGTTTTTTTAATTAAATATCTTTATTTTAAAATAATTAATTAGATGGTGGGAAAAGTTTTTTAGCTTATTTTCAATATTATTAGAAGTTATTAAAATACCAATCAGTGTAAAAGCAAATATTCGTTAGTAACTTGTTTAAATTTTTTTAATTCAATGATTTATATTCAACTTTATTATTAATAAATTTTAATAATAAAAAGATTTAATGCAAACAAATTTTTAGTTCATTAATTCAAATTTCAAAATCTAAAAATCTATGATTTTTCTAACAAACTTATAGGTTAAAGGTTTGAGGATGAAGGGATGGATGGGGATAAGTGGATTTGTGGTAATATGGATATTTTTAGGAACTCTATTAACTTATTTTTTCTTTTAAAGAATTTAATTAATTGTTCTAACTAGATCAAAATAGAATATTTTATATGTCATTCAAATTATTTCTTTCATGCATTTATTTTGCTAAGAAAAATTCATTAATACCTGTATGTGTAATTGAAAGGCTTTAGACCTGTAAGCATTTCAAATAAAGTTATACCAAGAGACCAGCAGTCAGCAGTTTCGTTATAAGGGTCTCCTCGTATCATTTCAGGAGCTTTATATAAAGGAGTCCCTGTTGGAGTGCATAGTTCATGCGAGTCGTTAAAAAATCTTGATATCCCAAAATCAATCAAAGTAACTCTTAGAGACTCAGGATGAATGAGAATGTTAGAGGGTTTTATGTCTCTATGAACAATTTTATTCTAATGCAAATAACTTAGCGCACTTAGAATTTATATAGTGATTTTAGATGAAATTTATTCAGTGAGTCTCTTATTGAAGCTCTTTTCAATGAATTATTTAAGAGTTATGGCATCAGAATATTCTGTGATGAGCCTAACATACCCTGTTTTTTCGTTTACAAACATTTCAAATACTTTTAAAATATTGTCATGGTTCAATTCTTTAACTATTTGATACTCAGTCTTAGCCTTAATTATTGATAAATAAATAAGAAAAAATTAGATTTTGAATTTATTCAAAAATAAAGTGATAAATAGATTAATTTTTTATTTCATAATTTTTAAAATTAATTAGTGTTAATTAAGAGAAATTGTGTGGATTTTTAATAATTTTGATATTTTTGGAGTGTTGATAGCATTTAATTTGAATGACAATAAGAAAATTAGAAGCAAACAGCTAACTCTCTTAAATCTACATTTTAGATGCTTGCATCTAATTCAAATAACATTGGGAGTTTATAAGTATATTTAAATATCGAATTTTATCTTTATGTTGATTTCAAGCTAAAATCTGACAGTCTTTAAATCAGGATAAATTAAAAACATGTTTGATATTTGAGTGCATTTTTAATTAAATAGATCGATAACTCAATAGAAATATTATTTGTATTACTTAGTTAATTATTTCTAGATCGTCTGTTCTTATAATTTTAACAGCATACATTTTATTGTTAAGCTTGTTCAAGCATTTCTTCACTATGCTGTGACTTCCCTATTTATCCATTTAAAAAAATAATTATGAGATTAATGTAAGATTTAGTTTTTATTATTGCTTTTTTATGCAAAAATAAAAACATGTTAAATATTTTTTTCATTGATATTTATTTTAAAATATATCAAGCAACATTAAAATATTTATATGAGAATTAAATGTCATGAAAAATCTTCTAACCTCGCCAATCTTCTCTAATTCTTCATATTAGAAGCTATACTCATCTTGTGGAGAATCTAATTTATTCATAGAGAGGTCTACAGTTTACTGACTTCTAAGTTTTTGTTTTAGAGAGAATCCATTTGCTATAGTAAGCTAAGCTAATTATTAATATGTATGTAGAAATAATAAAAATTAGTTTTAAGATTTAAGTAGTATATTAAAAATATAAAGGTATTCAAATAGTTAGCAATTTAAGCTATGGAAATGCTTTTGCTCATATTAATTTAAAGCCTTTAAATTGATAATAATTTAAAATTACTCTTCATCCTAGATCTGAAATGCTCTTTTTTACTATGTCCATCCTGAGTCTTAATTGTCGTAGGAGTTATGTTCTCATTTTCATTATTTTACATTTCTTAATATTTCTAGTTCTCCATATTCATCAATGAGATCGTGCTCAAAGTCTATAATTTGAAATATTACTTTGACAGGATAATAAAATCGATATTTAAAATGAGTGCGACTCTTTTGTAATCCAATAATTAAGGTATATTTGTTTTTGTTAAAATTCTATTTCAAAAACAAGATAAATAGGTATTAAGTAAGTAAGTATTTATTTATTTATTATTTTGCTATTAAAGCTATTTATCAAATATTGGCTGTCTTAATTAATTTTCTTTTCTTTCAAATTGTTATTAATTTGTTAATATTATTATTTATTTATTTACAAATATATGTTAATAGTTTGAATCAATAATCAAATAACTATCTATCTATCAATCTCCTCAAATCACTTTAAATTTTCATGATAATTTTTAAAAATCAATTAATGAGTGAGCTAGCTGTTAATTAATTAAAAATATTTGGCGGAAATATACAAGCAAAATATCTAATCAATTTATTTATTAATTTTCATATTCTTTAATCATTATTATTTTATTAGTTCCCCCATCCATCCTTTAATTTTTCCTATCCCCTATTTTGTATTTATTCAGAAGTCTTTTTTGATCAATACTGCCATAAGTCAAATTAATATGAGAAGGAATAAAAGTGAGGGACAATTTTTCCGCCATTTCGAATATCAAATTTGTTGAAATAAGGGAATCTAATCTATATTAATTAGAGTAGTTTCAAATATAAATAAATTAAATTTAAAAATCTTATTTGTGCAGTCATCCATTAATTCATAATTATATATTTCCAATCAAATTCATATCAATTAAAAATTTTACTTTAACACATTTAAATGCACATGTAATTAGTTAAATAATTATAATTTATACCTTTATAAAGTATTATTAATGAAACCTACTTTTAATTATATTTGTTAAAATCATTAAAAATAATTTTAGAAATTTTATATTTACTTAAATTTTTTATTTATTTTTTAAATATAAAGTTTTTCTTACTTCAATATAAAAAATAAATAAAAGCATAAAATAATTAAAAAATAAAATTATTATTTTTTTTGATGTAGAAAATTAAGACAATTATTTTTTGTCTTTAACTATTATTTGATTGATATATTTAACATCAATAAACAAAAATTATATTTTTTAACTAGAAAGCATTTTTATACTTTTTACTAATGAATAAAGGATTAATATTTATAGCCAGATATTAATTTAGCTTTTTAATAAATCCAAAAAAATATTTTCTAACATATTAAAACAATTAGTATAAAAGTTTTTATTTATTTGACTAATCAAATTTGATATTTTGATCATTTATTTTAGTTATCTGGTGATTATAATTAAAGTAAATTACTAAATAGAGTTAAGATAGATAGAAAATAAAATAAACTATCAAAAATAATTTTATAAAATAAAAAATTTTGATTTTAAAGAAGAAACAAAAGAACAGTGATCTAATACATATTAAATAATACTTTTAACAATAATTGTAAATGGTTTTTTGGAAAAAATATTTGGAAGTAAAACATATATAAAAATAAAATAGATAAATAAATATTAAGGTTAATGAAGATTTTTAATAAAATTAAAATTTAGAGTAAAAATGACCTATTTTAATTAATTATTAATTCATTTTAGTGTTTTATTATAATTAATTTTTTATTTTATTTACTAGCTAATAATAATTTATCATAGATGAAACTATTTTTATTATATAAATGCTAGTCTTACCAATCAATCAGATAATTTATTATTATTATTATTATGCATCAATAAAACTAATCGTATTTGTTAATATTTTTCAACCAACTTATTCAGCTATTAAATAAATTTCAAAATTTGTAGACTATCTTAAATCCTACATCATTTTCAATAACATTTACCTTTAAATTTAAATTTTTAGCAAACTAAACATTTTCATCATACTATCCTCTTAATATCAGGACATCAGATACTTATTTATCTGTCATTTCATTTATTTGTTACTAAATATTGTATATTCTATCACCTGTTTCCTTTACCTTTAATGAACACTCTTCGAAAAGAAGATCCCACTACTTTTTTGCACTATCTTCCATTTTTGAAAAACTTTACCTAATTTATTCCATATCTAATTTACTCTATTTTAAGTCACTTTCAAACTCATTCAAGAAATTCTATATTATTAATTTAGTAATAAAAAAATGAAAAGCCAAATACATGCTTAAAAATTTTATTCACATAAAATCTAATCCTAATTAAATGAGAATTATGATATAAATTTACTTCTAACTTATTTATCTAATCACGAACTGGCATGCTATTTGTTGGATCAGTAGGAGGCTATATATATTAAGGTATTTCTTCCTATTCTGCATTATGTAAAGGTGATTTTATTCCTCTATTTGTCTAAACGAAACTCCTTTAGCTAGGTGAATCGCTACTTTATTATTAACCTAAAATAAACTTTTTCCCTAATTTAATATTCATAGATACTATATTTTAAAATGATTTTTTTAGTATATAACTCTTAATATAGATTAAATCAGATATCAATTTTTATTATTGTAATTATTATCTTTTTTCTTTAAGGTTAATACTTTTTCAATATTGGAAGTAAAAATATATAAATAAATAAGTAATCAAAATTCTTTTTATTACAATAATTATATATAATTGATGATTAATATAATCCATTCAATATAAGCTATTCTAAAATTAAATTATTCTTTTATTTTAATTAAAACCATTATTTGCCTGTAAAGACTCTAATCTATTTAATTACATCAATTATCATTTAAATTATTTAATAATATATTAAACAACTTTGTTAAATATTTACTTATTTTTATTTCTATTTTAACTCTTAAAACGGATTTTTTTGTTTTATTTTCTTTAAAAAGCAATAAATTTTGTTGATGTTATGGATATTAATATGAATGTAAATAAAGTTTGTCATTTTTATCTTGAAATATGTTCTATAAATACTAAAAATTTTATGTTTAAAGAATTAATAATTAATTCAATAAAAAAATATAAACTTTTAAATAATCACTAATAAAGAAAAAAGAAAATGTCTAAATTCCCTAATGTATACTTTGATGTAGTTATAGGAACTGCAGAACCAAAAAGAATAGTTTTTAAACTTTATGATGATGTTCCATTGACAGCTGAAAATTTTAGAGCCTTGTGCACTGGAGAAAAGGGCTTTGGATATCAAGGATGTCCTTTCCACAGAATTATTCCCGAATTTATGATTTAAGGAGGAGATTTTACAAACAGAAACGGAACTGGTGGAAAATCAATTTATGGCGAGACCTTTGCTGATGAAAACTTCAATCATAAACATGTAAAAAAAGGACTTTTATCCATGGCAAATGCAGGACCAGGCACTAACGGCTCATAGTTCTTTATCACAACAGTTCCCTGCCCTTGGTTGGATAATAAGCATGTAGTATTTGGTGAAGTTATTGAAGGCTTGGATGTTGTTGATGAATTAGAGGAAACAGGAACCTCTATGGGAAGACCTAAAGGTGGAAAATAATCTTATATCAAATCATGCGGTTAACTTTGATTACTAAATAAATGCTACTTCATAAAAATCTAGCTCAGTTAATTATTAATAAATAAATAATTATATTTTTTAAATAAAAATGTATTTATGCAAATAAAAAATTCTTATCTGATATTTTTTTTAATAGCTTAATAAAATCACTCATTAAATATGAAATATTATTATCGCTAATTAGCTTTTAGCATTTTTAATATTTTTATATTAATTGTGTTTATAATCTACCATTCTTTAAAAATTTATTATTCTTTATCTCCTAATTAATTTTTTAGTCAAGTAAAAAAATTTATCCAGTTTCTAATCTGAAATTTATAAATTTTAATTAGTAGATGATAATTAATTAATTATTAAAACGTTTAAGATTTTTATTTTTAGTATTTTACCTATTTTAAATTTAAAATAAGAAAGTACTTCTAACATTAAAAAATAAACAATGAGTTTTTAAATATTATATTAAAAAATAATTATTTAATTCATAAAAAAATATAAAATAAATCTATTAAAATAATTTATTTTCTTTATGATATAAAATGATATTTCAAAAAATAAAAAGGATAATACTTTAATTAATGTATTATGTATGATTCACAGTGAACTTGCTTTCTATATTTACTTATTTATTTATTAATTTATTTATTGATCTTCTTATGATTGAGTTTATTTAAATAATAAAAATAAAGTATTTTTAAATTGATTATTTTATTTAGAATAAAGCTATTCAATTTTAATTTTTCAATTTAAGATTTCAACCAAAATGTTTTTATATTTAAAAAATAAATTTTAAGATAAAATATTTAATATTTAATTATAATTTATTAATATTCTCAAATAACGAAACCCAAAAAAATTTCAAAGTATTTCAAACTCATGTGAATGTTTCAAAGAGTTTCAGAAGAATTTATTTTATTTTGAGAAAGAAGAATTTATTGATATATTGATAGATATACAGAATGATGAATAATAAATTATTTCGTTATAAATAGGAGTTAATTAACAATTTAACAAACAAAAGAAACTAATAAATATATTAAGCAAATCAAATTTAATTTGTAAATCTAATAATACATACATATACAAGTTATTATTAATTAATTAACAACTAAAAAATTAACAAGAAAAGAAATTTTGCAGCTATTTAAAGATTTAATTACTAAGAAAAAGAAGAGAGGGAGTTGTTGTCATCTTAACATAGCTGGCTTTCAAGATATAAAAAATAAAAAAAAAGAATTTAAAGAACTCAAATTATTCAACTGACTTTTTATTGATTCATGGATTAAGAGTAATAGTAACAGCAATATTAAGTGATGTAAGTCATTGGAGCAATTAAAATCAAGGATGGTTTATTTATAGGTGATGAATTTGCTTCAAAAGTAAAAAAAAATTATTTATTTAAATGACCATATCAAATATATTAAAAATTATTACCAATAGGATTTAGAGTTTATAATAACTAATAAAGTTACTCATATTATCAACTGCTCAGGATAGTAGATTTAAAATAGTTGGGAAAATATTGGTGTCCAATATCTTACCTTCCCTTGGATGGAAAATGATCATTAAGTAATTCACTTTCAGTTAATTATTTTTAAGTTAAAAAAACGTACATATGTGGTATCCATAATATGTTTTCAACAAACATATAAATTCTATTTGCTTAAAGAATATAGGATTTAGTATGGTTTAAAAGAAAGAAAATGTATTCTAAACATAAAATCTAAACTCAAAATTAATAAAAAAAACTAAGTTATCGTTAGAAATACAAAAATTATATAAGACTATATACAATCAAATTATATTAACTTATATAGCAATAACATAATATAAATAGATACTTTTTGATGATAATGATGAAAATCTTAACGAAATTTTCAATTTTATTGAAGAAAGCGTTGAATAAGGAGAAAGCACTCTTGTTCACTCAGTTCGAGGATAATCAAGGTCATGCTGCGTCCTTGCTGCGTATTTGATGAAAAAGTAATCAATTAATTATTTTGTTTAATTTTAAAATTAGAACTATAAAAATTTATAAACATGTATTAAACAATAGGATTATTAAAGATATTTTAATTCTATTTGATTTTTAAAGGAAATTAACATTAATTTATTTTACAACTTTTAATTAATTCATTAATTAAATTAATTCATTTCTATTTATTTTTCAAATTTAACGATTACTTTTTTTAATTCCTTCTTATTTCTTCAAATCCAATCAATCAGTTTTTGAATGTTCTCTTTCACAAATTTCAAAGGATATTTCCTACTTAATATTTCTGAATTGTTTATTTGTTAAATTATAGTTACATTGTACTTAAGTTGTAATTAAGTGAATATTCATAATACATAATAATTATTCTTAATTCCATATATTTTCAAAAGTTTAATAATGAAGTATTTTACTTTTGTGTATAATTTTTCATTTTAAATTCAAACAGATTCAAATGGACTTTGTATAAAACTCTAGAATTCCTGAACACTCGTAGACCAGATTTAGAAATAAGAGCTAGCTTTTTTCATTAGCTAACAGCACTTGAATAAAAGTTATATAGATAAGGAGAAGGAGCTAAGAGCGCTTCATGGTAAGAATTAAGCGATGAAAGTGGTAGAATAGAGAGCGAAGAATTGTTAGTTAGGAATACTTTTTTAAATGCAAGAAATGCTCCTATAGCTGATATTTTTTCCGATCCTCAAGCTAATTTAAAAGCTTTAAACAAAGATATAAGAGCGAAACTTAGGTGGAAAGATAATGGTTTGAATGATAGGACAAAATTAAACTACGAAGAGATTCCTTATGAAAATTTTGAAATTGACATTAAGAATGGAAAGAAGAATGGCTAAAAAAAAACTTTTGTTAAATCCTGCTTGAAGGTAATAAATATAATACTAATTAATAAATAAGATAATTTAATAAAATCTATTTTTATAATTAAAATAGGGTTCAGGTAGAATTATTAGACTTTAATAAAATAACTAAAGTGTATCTAATAATGATTTAGAAGCAAGTTAAAAAGAAAATCTCTCTTTAAGATCAAGCATAAAAGGTTCTATTGCAGGAAATAGCACTAATAATTTAAATGTGACAAATACAAATTAAATTTCTTCCAACTAAATTCCTGCTAACAATAGTTAGAAATAAACAAATGTTTTGCAATATTAGTAGAATATTTAGCAATAGTTATCTCCTTCACCCTACAATTAGTAATAATCAAACCAATCTTCTAATTAGTAATAGCAGTAGCTTCAATTGTCAAAGAAGCCTTTGACTACCTCTAACTAATAACCCAAAATTTAAAACAATGCAAATAATCAACTTAGCCAATAGGTTTAATAAGTAGCAACTTTAAAGCATAATAAAAGCGCTAAGTCTATTTTAGAAGACTCAAATTAGAAAGACAATTCATTCTTAGATAGTCAATCATAATAGTAGAATTACGGAGGACTATCATAATAGCAACAACAATAACAATAACAGTAATCAAGCTCATTTATTTTAACTGAACAAAAACCACCAACTAATTCTAAAATAACTCCTCCTCTCTCATAAGCTAGCTAACTTAACAAAGATTTAAGCAAGCAGACTCCACCTTTAAAAAATACTTCTTAAAGTATCAAAGTAACTTCAGCATAGAATAATGGTCAGACTTAAAAGTAATAAATTCTTTAAAGTGGAAATAATAGCAGCTTATCAGGTTTATCTTACAATTCCTCCTTTAATGCTTAATAGCAGTTATCTTCTAAAAATATTCAAATTCCTGCTTAGTCAACTTAACAACAATAATAATAGCAATAGTAATAATATAATTTCAACTAAATTAATTCTGGATCTAAGAGTATTCATAGAAGCTCTAGTCTAAGCAATTTCGATAAGGAAAAAGAGAATCAATAAAACGGAGCTAGTGGAATTTCTCAATTAAACCCATAAATAAATCAATTACACTTGTCACTTGAAAGGCCTATGACTTCCTAAAATAGTGCATCGGCAACCAATTAAAACAACTTAAAGGTATCTTCAAATGGTAAGCCATACTAATTCCTTTCTCCTAATAATAATGCTTTCTCTTAGAACTAAAGTCAAATAAACTTTTCTAACTCAGTTTCATCTAACATGGGTTTAAATAAAAATTAAAGTATATCTTCTTCTATGTAACAACAAATATAATAGGGTTCCTTAAAAAAAGATATTCCATCTCCTATCAGTGCAGCCAAGTAAGAAGATTTAAAAAATAAACAAAGAAGCTATACCACTTCTGGAGTTATAAATAATAATCAATCATCCTCATCGAAGCTACAAAATGATAATTCGATCCTCGGATTATCTTCAAATAAAAGTAAGTTAAATGGTTAAGTTTCTCCACTTCCTCTTCCCCAAGCACAAACTCCTTCTTCAGCTAACTAGCATTAATACAGATCAAACAGTGTGCCCAAAAGAATAGAAGAATCACAAAATAATACCTCTACTATTCAAAATTCTACACTTTACTCTACTTCATCTGGCTTCAATAATTAGAATAATTAGTTAAATTAAAATAAGAGACCTTAAAGCGCCTCTGCAAAAGACAAAAAAGACTCAAATTTCTCAAGCTCTTCATCCTAACAAATACCAAATAATAACAATCCTTCTAGTTAAAGATTCACAAGTCCCTACACTTATTAACCTTTATCAAATAAAAATTAGCAGTTCAACTAATAAATAGATGTAAATTATAAAAATATTTTTTAAATTGAATTTAATAAATTTAATTTTTTTATAAAGACAAAGGTATCTTCTTTTAATTCTAAAAAGGATCTATTAAATGGTATTTCCCCAAATAACCATAACTAATTAATCAATCCTAATAAACCCTATTAAAGAGGCGAATCTCCTTCAATTAAATAAAAAGAAAAAAGTATGATTGTTGATAAATTCAAAAAAATAGTTGTTACATTTAATTTAATATAAATAGTGTAAAAGCAGCATTAGTTGAAACTATAATAACAGCAGTAGCAATAATAATAAATCTAATAATAATAGCAATCTTAGCAAAAAAGAAATACTTATATTCATAGTAATGCTCCCACTTACTAGAATTACAGTCGTAAAAACTTAAACTTTACTTTTTTTTTAAAAATTTATTAATTTTTTAAAAAATAAAGTTCGTTAAAATAATCAATCTGCCTCTAATCCCCTTCCTCCTCCATCTGGAATTAAGCAAAGCAATGATTAAGTGAATAATGAAAATTAAATTTATAGCTAATAAGTCTAAGGATCTCAACAAAATTTGAATTCTTTATCTTAAAATTACATGAATATCATATCTGCAAAAAAACCACCTACTTCTGGAGTATAAAAAGATTAAATACAGTTGAGCAATAACCAAAACTAAATTTCTTTAGTTTAAAATTAATCGTCTGCTAATAACATTGTAAGTTATTAATGAATAAAAAAATAAATTTTATTTACAAATATAAAAAAACTAGCTTCGTGAACAGGATTCAAACAAGATGACAAATTAAAACGTTTAGGAATAAGTTAATTAAATCAACTAAATTAGTAACAATTTGATGAAAACTCTGCTACACTTTTAACCACAATCTACTACAAATCAATCTAATTCTAATAATATTTCCATCAAAAATACTGGAAATTCTTCAGGATTTATGAAACAGAGTGGTGGACCAGTGAGAGTTACAGGAGATATCCTCTAAAATAGTTTTAAGTAAAATAAAAATTGAAATTATATAAAATTTAAATAATTCAATCTAATAAAAGGTAATCAAATAACACAAGTTCTGGATAGTAGCTACTTTTAAATAATTATATGCAAGAAGAAAATAACTCAAGTGTTTATAAATTAAACCAACCAAGCACTTTAGGAAATAATAACAAACAATAATTACCTTAAATGAATTAATAAGTTTCTTCATAATATATGTAATAAAACATAAATGTTCGTGGAAATAGTGCACCTAGATCTTTTTCACCTTCAGTTAAAGGAATTGCTAATTAAAATAACAACAGTAGTAGCAAACAAAATTTTGAAAATTAAATGTTGATTAACTAATCTTAGCAATAATAAAATTAAATTTATTAACCTTAATATAGTTAGCAATTTTAACAACCAAGCATTCAGTAGCTCTAATAATAGTAATTGGAGTATAGATAAAGACTAAGAAGCAATTCTCCAGGGTAAAATTAAGTTGCACCAAATATGAACAATAATTATAATAACTCTGTAAATGTTATGGTAAACAACAACAATATTTCAAATATAGTTGCTTACAATAACATAGCTGTGCCTTAGCCATACGATAGCTCCCTTCCAAATTCTGCTAATTTAGCATCCTTATCTAAACCTAAATGGAAATTTTGAGATGATTTTTAAATAGAGTAATTAATTAGATTTAAACAAATGAGAATCGTTTCCACTACTTAATTTTTTTCCTATTTAACAATATTAATATATATTTTATAAATAATTAATGAAAATAACCAACATAAACTATCATAAATATATTAAAAATTATATTTTTAGAAATCGAATACCTGAAATAAATAATGACTAAATTAGATATTTATCTTAAAAATTGGCAAAAAAAAATTATGTTCAATTATAATTTCACTAATTAAAATTTTTTATCAAAAAGAAAACAATTAATATAATATTGATCTATCTATCTATATATCTATCTACCTATCATGTATATATTCATATCTTTATATTAAATTGCTATTCATTTATTAGTAATTAATTATAAACTTATCAAATCCTTCACTATAAAATATTTATTTATCAATAAACAAACCTATTATTTAAATATAAAATAACTACTTAAACAAAAAATATATCATTTTATTTATTGTACTTATTAACAATTTTATTTTTCAATTATTGACAAAATTCCTCTTAATATTAGATAAAATAAAGAATTATTTTAAGAAATAAAGTTTTCTTTAAAAAAAAATTCAATTTTCTCCATTTAAACTTTAAATTTTATTAAAAAAAAGATTTTTAATTTTAGAAATCTACAAATAAAAAAAAAAATTTCTAGCTTTACACATTTTTTAAAAATTTTTTCAATAAATAAATTTTAAGAATAAATAAAAGAATTTAGAGAGCTAAAAATAAATTGATATTAATGATAGGATATACAAATGATTAGCTTTGGAAATCATGCTAAATATAAAAATTAATTAAATTAAAAAGATATTTTATATAAATATATATTATAGTTTTATGAATAAATTGCTATTAATTTTTTTAACTTTTTCAAATTTATTTAGCTTGTTATTGCTATTTTTGCAAAGAAAATTTCTCTTAATAAGAATAAGATCTTGCTTATTTAACTGGTTATTATGTAATTTATTGCTAAAATTAACTACTATTCTGTGTTATTAAATTTTATTACGAAGGAGCTTTTGCTAGCTAAGGATTTATCTTTTATGGAATTATTTAAGATGCTTTTTACTAATCTACACTTTACTTATAAATATTTTTTGGGTCTTTTGTATTACTTTGAATATTTTAAGGGTGATTTTGGAGTAATTTATTTAATTTATTTGTGTATTTATTCAAGCTTAGCTTAGAAATTAAGTTTTAGATCATTTCTTGAGAAGAAACCTAATTGTTTTGATCATAAACAACTGAATTTTCCTTACTAATTTGATTTTTACTTTCTTAGCTTTTAGTTCTAAGGCATTAACTTTAAGTCTAAAAATTAGATTAAGAAGAAGTAATTGCTAAGCTATCAGATTATTTTTGATGATAAGATTGAGGTTTTTAGTTTTTATAAATGTTTTATTTGTTTTAATTTAAAAATTGTTATTCATTTTATGAAAACGAATTGTTGCTGCAAAAACTTTGATTTTTATTAGAAGAATATTCCCTATAAGTTGAGAATCCTTCGCCTTGAATTTTATCTTATGAGTAACCATTTTATTAAGATTTTTAGTTACTTCTAGAAGTACAAAGAGTATTTATGTTGGAAGATGAAGCGTAAGATTTAGAATTACTTTCCTTTTCTCTTTTTTCAATAGAATTTGATTTACTAGCTTACATTTATTAAACTACAGCGTTTTATTTATTAGAGCTGCTGATTTAAACATAATTAGCAGAATAAAAACCATTTTAATGACAATTTTATTTGCTATTTGATTAAATTTAAATTATTGAAGAGTTATTTATTTATGTAGTATTTTATGACAGATAATTTTAGAGATGATTATTGTTGTATTTACTAACAAAGCTGCTAGTATTTTCTTAATTAAGCTAATCTTGAGTGCTTTCACATTAATTTGAAATATAATTAAGCTTGTCTCTCTTTTGCATATAATCATTGCAATTTTAAGTCATTTCTTAATATTTGATGTTGAGAAAAGCAGTTGAAGCAGTTAGTTTTTTGAGTGTATTTTGATCTTCTTCCTTACTCTTCTAAAGGGCAATTGAAGAATTTTAAAAAGTAGAACTTTTCATAAAATTATCAATCTCTTTCTTTTTCAAATTTATAATTTTATTTACATCATCTATTTATTACTTAATTCCTCTTATTTTAGTAACAATTTAGAGAATATCATTTTACTCCAAGCTATTTTTTTATTCATGAAGGTAATATTATTTTTATTCTTAAAGAGCTTTTTGACTTTGATAGTTATCAATTTGCTTTGCTGTATCATTTGAGTTTTTAGACTCAGAGATGCTATTTTACTCGTCATCAATAAAAAGATACCCACTTTATTTATGAACCTTGACTTATTAAGCCTCTTCTTTATTATTTGATAAATCTTACTAAGTTTACTTAGCCTATTAATTTTATTTCCCTTTAACTTTATCATCTATAGTAGCAATATTTTGAAACTATTTATTGCTATTCTAAATAATTTAATAAGAAAATAAAATTAAAAATTACTAATTATTTCATTTAAACAATAAGTTACTTTTTTTTAAAATATATTTTTTTGGAGCTGAATGTCTTCTACTTGTATTGATTTAATTGAATTTTATTACTGAATATTTGGATTTAAATTTTCCTTTTCAGAGTAGTTTTCATCATTTATTTTTGGTTTTTCCATTTATTTTTAAAGATCCAAATAAAAATTTTTTATATTTTCTGCTTAGAGTTTTCCTTCCCTCGAGCTTCTTAAACTTACAGAAGATACTTCTCTTTTAATGGGTTGTGCAATATCTTAAAAAGGATTAAAGCCATCAGTATGATTTCGATCAGTTAAGCTCTACTATGATGAAATATTGTTTGCTTTTTTAAAATTTTATTAAGTTGTTGAATTCATAAGATTTGATCTAGTGTCTAGCCTTTAAGAGAGTGGAGGTCTATCAAACTTATCCATTATTCTTTGTTAATTTTAAATTTGTATTTACTATTATGAGCTAAAAGGTATAGCAAATGACTTCTTTTCATCTTGTCTTTTAAGCAATCCTTTTTATTAAATCTGTTACTATATTTTCAATTACTATCCTTCTTCATCAGGAGGTATAAATGATTGATTAAAGACTTCTTTTGACTCGCTTTATCCTTACTAAAGAGCATTTGCATTTGATTAATTTTCTAATTCTAAAAAGGAATTTTTTGTACTTGCTTTATTTTAATCATACTTTAAGAAATTAAGCAACCTGTTACTATAGCTGACATCAAGTTTTTTGTCTGAGTTATCTATAATTTGAGATTTATCTTAAAAACAAGCCAAAATATCAGCTTCCTAGAATGTAGGAAGAGAGTCATCATCTGAATATATGCTATCCATGTAATAAACTATTGTATTATTTTTTATCTATCCTTTCTTTCTTTGCTTGCTAGTATAATAAAATTAAAGTTTGCCTTGTGCTTTATAATTTAGTTATTTTAATTAATAATATTTACTATTCAATTTTTGAACACTCTAATTTAATTGCAAATTAATTAAAAAAATTTTTGATTTCAAATTAATTAATATTAAAACACTTAATTACAAATTTTGTATAATTTCAACGGCTTTTAATTCCTAGATAGTTCTTAGCATTAATAATCAAATTTAAATGAATATCAATCAAACAAATCTTTTGTTACTAATTAATTATTACGTTTAAATCCATTTATTTATTTATTTTCAAGTAAAATAAAATTCAAATATGTATTTTATAAATTTTATTTTATTATTTAGCTAAAGCAAAAAGAATTAAGTTTTAGAAGATTAAATTGTATTCTAAATTTATAAAAACATACTATTCACTTTATTATGATAACATTTTTTCAAAAAAACTTTTGAAAAATTTAATAAAAATTTGATTTATAAAAAAAATTAGTAGAGAAGATACCTAAACAAATACTTTTTTGCTAATATTTAATTTTTAAAAATAAATTTAGTTATTTTAATAGATCCATTATTATTAGTTGAATTTAAGTTTCTGATTTTATTTAATTTAGCTAAAACTATTTACAATTTTAAAAGGTGCTTTTAAAATAAATTATGTTTATAAAAACTCTTTTTAAAATTGAAAGACAGATGAAATTAAATTGAAAAAAAATTATATTAAATTATGAAAATAATAAATGAGCTTTATTTAAAATTTTTTAGTACAATTAGATAAATCTAAAATGTTTAATTTATACCAATAAATATAGAATATTCAATAGTGAAAGCTATTTAGTTTTTTATTTAATTTTTAATATAAATAATTAAGCATGATATTTTTAATTTAAATTAAATTATACATTAGGCAATATGATTATATTTAGTTTAGTAGTAGATTTATATTTTAAATAATATCAAAGTGGTGTCGAATAAGGAGATACATTTATACTGGTGAGAGATGATTGATTATTAGTTTTGTTATTTGATTTTTATATTATTATTGATTTTGGTTATTTAATTGAAGTAAATCCCAAATTAAGTGATCTATATTTTGGTGAGTGAAAGATTGAATTAGGTTGATCAATATATTTGCTGTAGTCATTTATATTACTTATACTTTTAGGAGAATCTAAAGTTAGGTATGAATTAAGAGAGTTCTGAGAACCAGAATATTTATTTTTAAGATCACAAAGCCTTTTATCAATACTTTTAAAATATTTTTCATGTTTTGGTGATGTAATTTATTTAGGCGTGACTTAACCTAAATCTTCTCCTTCTTGTTACTTAGCTTTGTTTATTTTTTTAATAAGCTCATTTTTGTAAGCACGAGGTTAACTGATGATATTTTCATCGTTCTTAGAGTAGGCAAATATTTCTACTTTATTATAAATGATATTTGATCTGTTTTATAAATTAAAATTCACAAGCTATTTATCATAACGAACTTAATCTAATTTGGCTCTCTCTTGATTGTTTGTTTTTTGATAAAACTCCTCAGAAAAAATATCAGATTTTTACTATAGATTAGCCATACTTTTAATGCCTTTGATACGAGATGGAAGAAGTTCATTCAATGTATGCTTTAAAGAAGTTACATCTTAGGCTTAAGATATCTTTTTATTTTTTGGTGTTTCTGAGCATATCTCTGGTAGGAATCTGTTTAAGACTTTCGCTTCTTTAATTTTTTAAATTTTTTCAGCTTCTTTAATTTGTAGCTTATTTTATACTAAGAATTACTTTTTACTCACAATCAATTTCTAAGCTTTTGTAACCAAGTCAATTAGAAATTAATTCCATGCATCGCAGATCTTAACCACTCTTTTAAGATGCTCTTCTTCAAAGGTTATTAAATTGAATAAGTCTTTTTTTGGGATCAAATAAGCTATACATTGATCAGTATGAGCCACTAGTTAAAATTATGATGGAATATTCTAAATTAATTCTTAGCAACCGAAAAAGTGAGATGAAGAAATTTAGACCACACTAACTTTCTTGCTTTCCTTTTTGCTTTCAAGTTCACTTATTTAAAAGACAACATCTATTTTTTTATTAATCTTTAAAACATATTAAAATATATGTAGAAAACAAACAAAGATTTTTAATTAAAATAATTAATTTTAAGTTATTTTACCACAAATTCTCCTTCAAATATGAGATAGATATAATCTAAAGATTAGCCTTCATTAACAACTATTTCACCTTTTTAGTATGTCTTCTTTTCCAAATTTTGTTATATTTTATTCAAGCTGTTATTAGATAAATGACACAAAATAGTAACACTCCTTAAAAAATTGTTAACTACTCTCTCTTATTTCATTTCAGGTTTCAACAAAAATAATTAACAAATATTTGAGATTCTAGCGTTTTACTTAATGCTTTAAGATACTTTAAATGATAATAGTTATTGAATCTTTTTGATTATTTTTGCAATTAAATAATTATTATTTATAAATTAATCAAATTATTAATAAATAGATGCAGAGTAAAGATCATTTATTTCATCATAAATATTATTTTTTTAATATAATTTACATTCTCACAAATCTTGTTTTGGGATTTGACTAATATTTTGAAAAAATTTATAATTTTGCAATATTTGTTAATTAAAGATTGATTATTAAGATTTTCACGATATAAAATTTGTAAGTAATAAAATTAAGAAGTAAAAAATAGAAATTACAAGCCTTATTAAAAACAATACAGCCTAAAATATATTAAAAATTTTAACATATCTATCTAATAGCTATTCTATTTTTAAAATAAAAACTGATCGATTTTTAAAATATTAGCTTTAATTAAGAAATCTCGCTATTAAATGACCATTTAATTCTATTGCTTCTAGATTTTGCAATTAATTTATTTGTGTAACACCATATGATATTTTAAACTTACTACCATGAAAAATCTTAGATGTCTGTAACAGAGTTAGATTCAGTTGGTAAATAAAAAAATAAAAGAATAATATCATTAAAAGTTTTTCTTAAAATTATACCTTAGATGAACTAAGTTTTATTAAAATTTGGTTAGATATATAAAAATCAAAAGTAACTATTACAATTTATAGATTAACTTTTTAATATTATAATGTTATAGTAATTTTTTTTATTAACAATTTTTAATAGTTGTAACTCAAAAAATCAGTCTAGTTCTTATCTTCTAAAGGTTGAAACATTTCCTTCAAATTTATTTTAGTCTTTCTTTGGAAATCCATCTGCTTTTTAACTAACTCCTTTTTTACTTTAATACTCTTCTACACTTTTTAGATGTTATAGCTGCTGTTTAAGTAATTCTATGTATTAATTTACAAGTGTGGAAGGGATTTAATCTTAAGCTGAATTGTTATTGTTATGATATTATTCTATTTAAATACTTTTAAATGAAGGTATACTGCTAGCTAAATCAAACACCGTTTATTTTAAGCTTTCTAATTCAGATTTATAGTCTTGCAAATTTTTCATTAGTTTCCTATTTTATCCAGTGAGCAAATTCATTTCTTCTCTTAATTATTGATTCTCTTACAATAAAGCATTTTATCTAATACTATAGTCATCATTCTAATTTTTTCTATCTATAATTAACTTTGCTGCTTTACTGTCCTTAATTTATATATTTCTTTCTAATTCTGTTATTTATTCGACTAGCTATAGCTTTTCTTCTCTTAATTATTTGTTCTCTATTTTAATCTCTTAATTTTCCTTCATTATTAATTCTATTTTCATATCTTTTTCTTTCATACTAAATTCAATTTCAGCTTTTGTCTGCTCGTAATTTGAGAAATCTAATCTCTGCTTCTATAACTTTATTTAAATAAATAATATTGTATTAAAACTTTCAAAAATTTTTTTAAAAATAATTCTATTTATTATTAATATTCATTTTTGTCAAACATGATATCATTATGTCAATAATAGTAAAAAAAAATTTATTTTAGTAAAGCTGGAGATATTTTTAATAAAATTTAGTATTAATTAATTAATTAATTAATTGATTACTTTTAACTAAAGGGATTGAATTTCATTGTTTTTACTCTCAACTTATATTTGAACTGATTATATCATATTTTCTTTATCCATCAAGTCTTTGCTAAGTTGCTTTTGCCTATCTTGAAGCTAGCTGATATCTCTCTATACTTAAGATTAATACTCAGAATATTCTTGTCTAATTTAGGATTCTCTTTTTAGAAGTATCTAAATAGATTCTTGTAATTAAAGTATATTTTAGTTGCTTTAATCAATAATTTTTTCTTGCTCTTATATTTTTAAAGGCAAAAAGTAATATTTAAATCTATTCATTTCAGATTCATTTGGAATCATTTTTACAAGTCTGTCATATTCCTAAACATTGTATTTTAACCCGTTTTCATTCAAAATTCTTCTAAAAGTAGAAGGTAGAGGCGCAGTCTCGTCATCATTATATTCAAATTAATCTTCAGTTGATGTTTGATTACAATAATTAACAATACTTGTTGCATATGTATTTTATTATTATACTTGAGGTGCTTAATTTTAATTTAATTACATTATTTCATGGTTTTATTGCTAGCTTTTTGCATTATTATCCTAATAAGTAGTATAAGTTTGCTATTATACTTATTCTTTTTGTTAAATCTAATTATTTGATATAGATTTAGGAATATTAAATGCAGCTACTTAGTGCTTGAACCCCTAAGCACTTGGAGGTCTTTTTTTGAAATATTCTTCATTTTAGCTCTACTTATCATCAGAGTCTATTTAATCTTCCAACTTTCTAAATACATTTTTTTAAAAAGTTAGCTATTATTGAAAGTTTTACTGAGGCACAGAAACCATATTTTATGAGTTGTTTGAATGTAAAGACGAAGTAGATCTTCTAGAAGGTAATTAAAAATTATGATTCATTTAATTAATATTTTCACTTATATTTTACTAGGATTTTCTTTATTAAGATAAAACATCTGTTTAGGCATTCTAATTTGAAACACTAATATTATTCAAAATGAGTGCACTAGTATTATTAGATATTTCTATATCTTCGTCTGTTCCTAAATCAGTTAATACCTATTCATACTACTAACTTGCACAATTTTTTTAGAAATTCATATTTTCTCTTCTACTTGTTTACTATTATTGCTACATATTATTTTAAACATTTGAATATAAGTCAATCTTCTGATCGTCTCCAATAAATGATTTTTTTTGTGATATTCTTGCAAAACCATTCTAAGTATTTAATAGAATATTATGATCTCCATCTTTACTCATAGATGGCTGATCGCTTAGCTCTTCATTTTTAGAAAAACTTATTTCTCTATCTCTACCATCTTATGTAATGCTTGTTTGAATATTCTTTTATATAAATAATTTCGATGAGCCATCTAAAGTTATCCCATTTTCATTTAAATTGTTTTCAAAAAAAATATTCTAATTTTAGATAACATTAATGTTATTTGTATTCTCTATATCATTGAAATCTTCCAGTTAATATATTTTATCGTTCATACTCCCTCTAGAAAGAATTTGCTATGCAGAGTTATTAAAAGCTTATTTTTTGTTTTTCCACTCAATACTATTTCTTGTAGGCTAGCTAATTTGTTATTCTGAAAAATTTTACGAAGCTTTTCTTTGAATTATTCCTGCTTATCTATTAACAATCATTTTTGTATTTATCCTTCTTAATTATGTTAAAATTGTAAAAATCAATATAAATAAATTAAAAACAATGATTTTTAATTTGAATTAATTTCTTGAATAAAGTTAATATTTAATAAGAATTGCATAAATTTGTGAACATTATTAGTAAAGTATTATATTTTTTGTTAAAATCAAAATTTTGAAAACTCGTATTCATTCAAATTTACTTTAATAAGCATCTTTGTTATTCTATCAAATTATTGGCAAAATTAAAATTTTCAAAAATTTGAAAAGAAATATATTACTTTAAATTCTAATTAGTAAATAAGTTGAATTGTAAATTTTTCTACTACAGTAGGAACTCTTGAATAATTATTGATATAATTTTTTAAAAATAATTAAAAATTAATAAATTAAGTTTGATTAAAACGATATTAAATTTAAAACCAATTAAAATATTTGATTTTTGTGAATATTTAATCTTTTTAGGCTCGATTTTTTGTATATAATTTAATTGTTTTAAAACTATTGCTAATTAAGAATCTAATTGATATACTTTTACCAATATTTTCTAGATTGATTTAATTTAAATAGAACTAAAGATCATTATATTTAATTTTGTGAATGTTCATAATTATTTAAAAAAAAATATTATTAAATTTAGAAAAACGAAAATTTCTAATAAAGTTTCTATAAGAACTCTTTTGAACTAAATAAATCTTCTTTATTATGTAAATTATAGTTTGATAAAAAAAAATAAATGGCAGCTTTTGCAAATGTTTTCACTTACATTTGGATTCATTCAATAAAAATTAATTATTTTGATCAATTAAAATTTAAATTCACTCAAATATTTCTTGAAAAGAAAAATAATACAAACAACAAACAAACATGCTAAATTTTTAAGTAATAAAATAGTTTTCTAAAACAATGCAAAACCAGAAAATTAAAGTGCCTGTTATTGTATCTGATGTTGATGGTGTACTAAAATAAAATATGTATGCACTACCAAAAGCTGCAGATATGATTAGGATTATTCGTAAAAGACTTTGTGAGATTGATCCTAATAAGTACCCTAATGTTAATTCTTAGATCCCTTTCTACTTATTGACAAATAGAGGAAGTATTAGTGAAAAAGAACATGCCTTAATCGTGAATAAGGCAATGGATTTCGATGAAGAGAAAGATTCGTTTATTAAATTTACTGAAAAAGATTAAATTTTAAATCATACACCTCTTAAGGATTTATGGTAGACTGAAGCATTCAAAGATAAGCTTCTACTATTTGTTGGTTAAGATTGCGATAAAGTGGCTAAAGATAATAATCTGAAATATATAACTGCAGATGAATATTTAGACTTATTTCCTGAAATGGTACCTAACACATCCAAAGCTCCTGTTGACAGGAAAAAGCTTGTCTCTGAGCTCAAAGAAAGACTTAATGTAATTCAATTATTAAATAACTCATTTTGCTATTTAAAAACAACTAATAAATCCAATAAAAACTTAATTAAAAGCAAATAAAATATATCTTCTATTCGTTCATAAAGAATCTCTAACACGTCTTTCTAAAAATAATAAAAACAAATTAGATTTTAATTAAAGTTTATTATTAAATTTCTAAAATAATATTTTATTTTCTATTTATCTATCACTTTTATTATCTTTAATGAATAAAAAAAAAAAAATTGTTAAAAATATTTAAAAATCTTTTATTTAAAATAACGAATATTTTATTTAATAATTATTAATAATAAATTATTAGATTTAAGATGATTCTTACTTTGATAAATATCTATAAGTACATGGTATTTTTATTATATAATATCCTAATAGATGGGAAGATGTAATATAAATAATTATGGATTTTCTATCTACTGAGGATGGTACTTTTGCAAATGGTATACCCTTAATCCCTCCTAAAAAACATATCCCTGTTATTAGTTCTATGAATGATTTATATTACAAAGATTCTTTTCCACTCCCTAGACTACTAAATGAACCATTCATTGAATGTCTAAAAAGCACATATAAAACTTTATATAAAGGCGAGATGAATATTCAATTTTATGGCAAACCCTAATATCTTTAATTTGAGTTTGCTCAAAAACATTCTAGACACTTTTTACAAGATGATTTAGAAGCCACAAACTATTATATGATAGGAGATAATCCAAAATCTGATATCAAGGGAGCAAATTCTATTGGGTGGAATAGTATTTTAGTAAGAACTGGTGTTTTTAATGGTGTGGTGAATGATCCCGAAGACCCAGCAAAGTATGTTGTTTAAGATATAGAAGAAGCAATTAAATTAATTTTTAATCTTGAGGGCATTCATTATTAAGGACCATGGCCTTCTGACAAATAACAGTGAGCTTTATGAATTTTTTAGTGAATATAATGAGTGAGCGATAATTGTTAAGATAATTTGATAAAAAAATAAATTATAAATATTTATTAAAAATAAATTATTTATATGTCTAATTTATTTATTATCTCAGCAACCAATTCATACTTATTACAAATAAAATTTTATTAATCCTCATTAAATTATTTTACTTCATCGAAAAAAAACATAAATATAAATTTGAAGATAATAATTGTTAAATAAAAAGAAATGATCATAGAGTTAGTCAATGATATCCTGATTTTAAATTTTTAGATTATATTTAAAATATAAAAATTTTTTAGATTTTAGTTATTAGTTCCTATAAGGTCCTAATTAATTATGAGATTTGTGGTTGGACATTCTTTATTTTTTATTTTCTTCAATATATTTTTTCTAAGGTTTCATTTATAATAGTTTTATTAGTTATAACTTTTATTGTTACTTCTATCTAAGAAAAAATACAATTAAATAAAAAAATGTGTTTATAAACTATAAGTATAAAATATGAATGTTACTTTCGACTAAAAGACGTTAGCTTTATTTAAAATGTAAAAATAATAAGAAAAATAACAAAGTTATTTGAAAATAATATGGAATAATATCAAAAAAATCTCTGAAATATCCTTATTTTTAAAATTATTGATTATAAATTTTATTGATTAAATTATTTTAAATAGTTAAAAAACTTAATTCATTAAGTGAATATTAATTGATGTTGAAAAATTCTAATTACTCTAAAAAATATAATAAAAATATGAATTAACAATATTCACAAATAAAGTTTGTCTTTATAGAAAAATAAAAATTATATAGAAATAAGAAAGCAATCAGTAATTTTGATAATAATTTTGGAAAATTCTAATAGTTTCCTAAATTATTATTCATATGTTCAAAAAAGCAGATTATCAATTGTTTATATTTTGATAATCTTTAGGGTAATTTAGTTTTGGGTGTGCTAAACCATTTTTTGGTCATTTTGCGCACACTTTTTTTTGGCTAAACTCTGATTTCAATTTTTAGAGTTTAAGAATTAAATAAAAACTAAAATTTATATTAGATTAACTTAAAAATAATTAGTATAGTGTAAATATAAATTAAGTAAGAAAACATAAACTAATGAATAAACTTTAATTATTACAAAGTATCAAAAACTTAACTAAACAAGTTGCACTGAGATAGAGATTATTTACAAATAGATAAGCAAATATCTTAAGTCTAAGCAATTAGATTTAATATATATTTTGCTCATAAAAGCCAATTAGGAGTACATAGGAAGAAGATTCTTCATTATAGGCATTAAACAATAACATTTATGATATTGAAAATAATACACAAGTTGGATAGATAGTTAAATTTAAAAATGACATAATTTACTTTACTAATTTTGAGAAGAGCAAATTAAAATTAAAATCTTTGATCTAATTAGAAAAAGATGCATAAAAGTAAGCTCTAGTTTTGAGTTTAAATGAAAAAATATCAAGCGCTTTATGCTTAAACAAGATTGATCATAATTAAAACTATTTAGATCAATCAATTAAGCTAGTAAACCCAAATGGTCTTAAGCTTCAATTAAATGGAAAATAAATTTGTGGCAAAGTAATTAACTATCGTGGTGAAGTTATTAAGGAATTTTCACCATAACCAAGCTAAGAAGGAGAAGTAGCCAATAATTATTCTGAAAATCGTAATGATTATGATGTTGAATTTAACTTACTAGATTACAAGGATCACCTTATACTTCACTAAAAAAGATTAACTTCAAAGCACTAATTTTATACAGGAAATACTTCAGTAGATATGACTTAGCCAATTTATTAAGGAAGTTTTGTTATTCTTAATGGGGATTTTAATACAGGAAAATCTAACTTGGCAAGCAAAATGATTAAGTAAAACTGTACATTAAATCCAAATACTGTTGGTATTTTTGTAACATAACACTTTTCTACTGCAGAAAAAGTGTTAAGTGAACTTCAATCAAATGAACATAGCAGAAATAATTTTATCATAGTTAGCCCTCAAAATGATGAAGCAGCTGGTATGGCTGAAAAATATTTATGTCCTTTTACTGCTTTACATTTAGCACTCAAAATTTAATAGGAAAGGAGTAAAGATGTTATTATTATATATGATAATATCTATGATCATTTTTAATAAGAAAGTCTTATTTTTAGATAGATTGATATGCCTTCAGGATTCAATATTGTTTTGAAGGAGCTATTTAGTATGAGTGGTTATTATGGAGACAGAAATGGAAGTATTTCTAGTATTTGTATTTTTGATAGCAACCGTGCTTCTGAAAAGCACTAAAAAGAAATATAAAATCTATACTAAGAAGCTGAAAGATATGCTAATGTTATTATAGATTTTGGATTGAATGATCCCTATAACCTTTAAACACGCCCTAATATATTATTAAAAGATTAGAATTAAGTGCTTAAGAATCAAGTCCAAAAATGTCCTAATGTTTTTTAGAAGACATGTCATTTTACTTTTTCAATTTTTTCTGAATTTTCCTAATTCCTTATTTCTGATGTTTGTTCTAAAATTTCAATATATATAGTTTTATTAATTATAGCATTTATTGTTACTCATTTCTAAGAAAAAATATAATTAATGAATCCAAAAAATGTGGATATATGCTATAGTTGTAAAATAAAAATTTTACTTTCTGATAAAAATGGCTTTTAGTTTTGTTATGAATGCAAAAATAAGCAAGAAAAATAACAAAGTTATTTGAAAAAAATATGGAATAAAATCAAATCTCAGAATTGAATATTCTTCTTTTTATTATTATTAATTAAAAATTTTTTATTGCAAATTAAAATTTAAACAATTAAAAAACCTAATTTATTAAGTCATAAATTAAAATGATGTTATAATCCTAAAATTTTGGTTATCAGCTATTTGTAAATTGTCTAAAAATATTTTAATGGTTTTTTTAAATTAATATTACCTTATTCCCCTATATCATTCACACTCCGATTTACAGGGGAAGTCAAAATTCTCAACTTTTTGTCATAATATATACCCCTATTTGTATTTTCTTCTAAAGGGCTTAAATTAGAATAATTACAGTATTTTATTAAAATTAAAATATTTAATTTAAATGTAATTGTTTTTATTTTTTATTAAAACAGAAAAAAATGATTAAAATTTTACAAAACACTTTATAATTGGAAAAAATTTTTGTATTTTTTCCATAATAAATTAAGATATGTAATTAAAATAATTGAAAATTTGCTTAATATCAAATTTAATTAAATAAAAAATTATTTTAAAAGAATAAATAATTTAAATTGTATAAAAACGTTACTCTAAAAATATTTAATGAAAATGTGAATTAATATTTACAAATAAAGTTTGTTTTTATATAAAAAATAAAAATTGTATGGAAATAAGAAATCAATTATTGTTTTTGTTTAAATTATATTAATTAATATTTTTGGAAAGTTCTAAAAAATATCCTAAATTATTAATCTTATGTTCAAAAAAATTAGATAAATTGTTAAAAATTATATTTCTTTAGATAAATTTAAATAGATAATTAATTGTATATCTTTTGATAATTTTTAGAGTTTAAGAATTAAAAAATATACATACATAGATAGATACATTCAGACTAGTTTGACTTAAAAATTAATAGTATAGCATAAATATAAGTTAAGTAGCAAAGTATAAACAAATGAATAACCTTTTATTATTACAAAGTATCAAAAATTTAACTAAAGGAGTTGCGCAAAGATAGAGATTGTTTGCAAAGAGATATGCAAACATTTTAAGTCTAAGCAATTAGATTTAATATAGATTTTGCGCATAAAAGCCAACTGGTAGCACATAGGAAGAAGATTCTTCATTATACGCATTAAACAACAAAATTTATGAGATTAAAGATAATGCACAAACAGGATAGATAGTTAAATCTAAAAATGACATAATTTACTTTACTAATTTTGAAAAGAGTAGATTGAAATTAAAATCTTTGATCTAATTGGAAAATGATGCATAAAAGTAAGCTCTAGTTTTGAGTTTAAATGAGAAAATATCAAGCGCTTTATGCTTAAATAGGATTGATCATAATTAAAACTATTTAGATCAATCCATTAAGCTTGAAAACCCAAATGGTCTTAAGCTTTAATTAAATGGAAAATAAATTTGTGGCAAAGTAATTAACTATCGTGGTGAAGTTATTAAGGAATTTTCACCACAACCAATCTAAGAAGGAGAAGTAGCCAATAAATAATCTGAAAACCATAATGATTTTGATGTTGAATTTACCTTACTAGATTACAAGGAACACCTCATCCTTCACTAGAAAAGATTAACTTCAAAGCGCTAGCTATATACAGGGAATATTTCAGTAGACATGACTTAGCCAATTTGTTAAGGAAACTTTGTTATTCTTAATGGAGATCTTAACACAGGAAAATCTCACTTGGCAAGCGAAATGATTAAGTAAAACTGTGCATTAAATCCAAATACTGTAGGTATTTTTGTAACATAACACTTCTCTACTGCAGAGAAAGTTTTAAGTGAACTTCAATCAAATGAACATAGCAAAAACAATTTTATCATAGTTAGTCCTCAAAATGAAGAAACAGCAGGCATGGCTGAAAAATATTTAAGTCCTTTTACTGCTTTACATTTAGCTCGCAAAATATAATAGGAATAGAGTAAAGATGTTATTATTATATATGATAATATCTATGATCATTTGTATTCAGAAAATCTTATATTTGGATAAATTGATATGCCTTCAGGATTCAAGAGTGTTTTGAAGGAGCTATTTAGTATGAGTGGTTATTACGGAGACAGAAATGGAAGTATTTCTAGTATTTGCATTTTTGATAGCAACCGTGCTGCTGAAAAGTACTAAAAAGAAACATAAAAGCTATACTAAGAAGCTGAAAGTTACGCTGATGTGATTGTCGACTTCACATTAAATGATCCTTTATACCGTTAAACACGCCCTAAAATATAATTAAAAGGTAAGAAGCTGTTCTCAAAACCTAAATGGTAAAATAATCTCTACTTAGAAGTTGCAAAAGAATTGCACTAAGTGCTTATTGATCTTTAATAGTAATCTAAAGAGATATAATTGAAAAACGATTTGAAAATAACTGTTGAACCCTGGGATTACTATTTGTATTATGATTCTAAGTATTTTATGAAACTATTAGTGTCATCAAATTACTTTACTCCTATTGAGTAAATAGTATTTGTTAAATTTATTGTTAAGTGCATTCATGAAGAGACCATATCTCAATTTAAAGAAACCCCTTAAGAGTTAACAAAATCATTTATGAAATTCTGCAAAGAATTCAAGGAATTCAACAAATAAGATATATTTAGTTACATCTAAAACGAGTTCAATTACAACGATAATGAAATTCAACCCAATACACTCGATAACCTTCAACACTGTGTTCTCAGACTCTATGAATTATTTATCATGCACTGCAAAATGAATGACAAACTTTTACCTTTTAAAAAAGATTATTTCAATTGATTTTATTTAGCTAGTTTTTTAAATTTATTAAGTAGTGGAATAAAATTTAATTAGCCTTTACTCGCTTTTATGTATCTACCTTAGCAATCACACATACCATTTATACTTTTTAATTAATTCTATTTTATTTTCTGTCAAGCAAATCACGATCTTTAATATATACAAATTTTTTTTATTTTTTAAATTTGACTTTTAATTTATAATAATTTAAAATTGAAATTTTAAGAAAAGCTTTAATTTAAATCAAAATTTAACATTTTAAAAATAATTTTGGCATTTAAAAGCCATTAAAAGGATATATTTTATACAATAACACATACAAAATATCTAAAGATATAAAAAGAATTTTAATTTAAACTAAATTAAAATTATAAATAAAAGAAACACACTACATTTATAAGTAAGAAATTAAATATGTTTTATGCTAAATTTAGATTTTATTAATAATAACTAAACTAAAAATTTTAAATTATCAAACATTTTTAATGACATATTGTTGATTGAAAAGTATTTGGTGTTAAAATATTTATATATTAATGTGTCTCTTGTTAAAATATGAAAAACAATTGATCTAGAATATTTTATCACTAATAATAAAAATTAAATTTTCAATTGTTTTATCGAAAAATCAATCAAACAAACGATCTAAAATTTTTTAGTTATAATATTGAATAATTAAATTCTTATCTAAACGAAAATTAAAAGAATTTAAGTAAATTGAAATTAAATAGTAAATAGGAATTATCAAGACTACGCAATGTAGTAGTAGTAGTAATAGTAAAAAACATAAACCTTGGAAATAAATGAGTAAAATAAAAGTGCAAATATTGGAAAGCATTATACATGCAAGATTTGTTTAGAATAAATAGACTTTAAATAATATACAATGCCGTGTAAATGCCTAATTTGTGGTAATTGTTGCCTGCAATATCTGTTAGTTCAAATAGAAAATATAGATTTCTAGATTAATAAAAAGATTAAATGCCCTAACCATGGATGTTAAAATGATTTCTTAGTAGAATAGTATAGAGAGCATACACTTTTTTCATAATAATTTCAAATTCCCTAGATTCATTTATTAGATGATAAGTTGTTAATAAAGCACCTTTAGAATGATCCTTAAGCAAGAAACTGCCCTAATCCAAAATGCAAATATTATGGCTTGCTTCCTTTAAATGTTAAATAATGCAAATCAAATACATTACAATGCGATTTATGCAATACTGAATGGTCTGACGCCTCTTTGCCAAATAAATCAAAATCTCTATTTTAAATGTTAAAAAATATCATTTTCTAGAAGAATGAATTATTTTCTGAAGTACATAAAAAAATAATGGCTAAAAGATGTCCTCGTTGTGCAATACCTATAACTAAATATGGTGGATGCTATCATATGATATGCCGAAAGTGTAATTTTGAATTTTGCTGGTATTGCTGTTAGCAGTACACATCTCATTCAATGTATAAATGCATATTTTACATAGTGCTTGAAAACATCATTTTTTTTTTTACAGGATTGATTCTTATTTATTTTACTGGCTTACACACATATATCATTAATTTAATAATTTAAATAATGAAATTTGTCCTGTCTGCTTTTCTACATAACATCTTAATATTACTATTTTACCTCTTTGCTTAATTCTTTATGGAGGTGTTTAAAATTAAATATGAAATAAACTTACAGCTTATCAGATATGGATATGATAAGAGTGGTTATCTAAGCAGTTAAAAGAAAAGAAATTTCCATTTGACCATACTAACTGGTTGCTTATTCTTACTATGCCTAGGTTTTATAACTTATTTTTTTTACTCGATTTTTCAGATTGTAAGATTTATTATCCTAGAAATAGTCACATTAAGCTCTCTTTATTTTTTATACAATTTTATGCACTTTGTGTGGCAAACATGGATGAGATACATTTACTGAATAATAATTTGAAATCAAATCTACTAATAAAAAATATTTCAAAAATACCATTTACTCTTTAACTAAAAAAAAATCAAACTCCTTTTCTTACTAAAGAATACAAATTAAACAATCAAATTTATCAATTTCAATAATTTAATTTATATAATAAATAAATAAATCAATTAATTAATTAATTATTAACCTACTTTTATAAAATTAAAATATTATAAATCAATAAAATTAAATTAAACTCTCTATATTTTCTGTTATAAATAGTAAAAAATTTATATTCCAAACCAAAAATATGATAATTTTAATTTCAATTTTCTCTATTTTTATTTATTCTTCAACTAAAAATATATCATATACATCTTCTTATTGTAGAATATTAATTAAATAATCGAATTCATCAATTTCAATAATTTAATATATATTACACATCAACTATTCTATCAATTTTAAATTACTTTTATTAAATAAAAAGATGAAAAATAAATAAAGTTATATTAAATTCTGAAAATTAACTTTCTCTTTTATAAATTTAAAAGTTATTTATTTGAAATAAAAAATATAATACTTACCATTTTAATTTATTTTCTGGATATTAATAGATATTTATATAAATTTAATTAATGGTTTTAATTTTTTAAAGAATCTAGATAGAATCTTTTTTCTATATGATTATATTTTATCAAAAATAAGACTATTTATTATTTAATATTTTTACTGCCTTTTATCAAAAATTAAAAAGAAAGTTAATTTTTTCAAAAATTTGTTTAAAAAATTTAATTATTTAAAATCAATCAAAAAATATTAAGCAAACAACTATATAAATTTTAATAAGTAAAATCAAGATGGAGTTCCAAAGTATGGTTGTATAGAAACCAGTAAATAGTTAGAAATAAATACAAAATTTACTTATAATTATTGTCTTAATCAAGATATATCCTAAACCAATTTTTACAAATAGAAAAAAAAGGAGGAAAGAGGTTAATCTAAGGAATAGAAAGGAAGAGATTTACCATCTAGACCATAGTTAGCAGTAAGCTTAAAGAAAGCAAGTCTTTCTTAGGATGTCAGATAAAACTCAGTTTAAATGAAACCAGCAGGATCTAGTATTTTAGTTAAAAAAGGAACCTCTTTAACTAGAAATGACAAAAAAGACAAGGAAAAAAAGCAATCAAAAAAGAAAAAAAAAGAGGAGCTACTTGAAAAAAGTAAAATATTTTATTATATATAAGCATTCTTTGAAATTGCATAATATAATATATTATAAATTTAGAAAGATTACTAGATGAAGAGGAAAGAAAAAAATATATGGAAGAAGAAAGAAGAAGTAATTGTTAGCAAAGTCAAGATTTTTTAAATGATTAAAAAATTATAAAAAAAAAATAGGATTCGAATTAGAAAGATTCCGCAGATTGTAAGAAGAAAAACTTACAAAAGAGGAAAAAGAGAGATTAGTTTTAGAAGTAGATTTGATTTTTGTAGCTAATATGTTTTTTTGATATGTTTTTAATTTGAATATTTAAACAGTCATAAGCAGAAGAAGAATTTGCTTTGAGATTCCAAGCAAGGGTTTATTATGAAGAAAAGAAAAAGAAAATTTGGGAAGAATGGTAAAGATATTTAGAATGCATTGATCATCCATACCCAGAATCTGAAAAAAGCTAAACAGAGTATTTGTATAGATATGATGAGTAAAATGAAATAAACGAACTTGATAAAATTGAATTCTACTTAAAGAAGAGTGACTATTCTGAAACTGTTGTAGATAACTTATTTTAGCACTATTACATCAACTAAGCAGATAATAAATATGAGAAAATTTCTTTTTTTGATAAATTTATAACTAAAATCAGAAAAATTACTTTAAAAAAGATTCAGCAAATATCAGCTTTAGTCATTAAGAATCAAGAAGTATTTTTTGATGATAAAAATGAATAGTGTAAATTATATATTTTGTTATTGGAAATGATTTTTAAATTATTTTCATAACTTTATAGTGATTCAACAAGATAAATTACCTATTACTCCAGACAATTTAAGAAGTATTTGTGGAGCAATAACATTAAAACCAGAAGAAAGATATAAGTATGAAATATTTAAAACTTTTGAAAGTGATGATTTTTAAATGGCCTTTTGGTGGTCGCCAATCGAAAAGTGCGGATATCGTATGAAATTAGTTGAGTTTAAAAGACCTAATGTTGGCATAGAAATGCCAAGAAATATTAATACTCTTTCTATTTATATGAGATGCATATGGACAAGATAAGACTATTTATCACCTCTTCATTCAATATAAAAATATCTTATTACAGTAAACTCTCATCTTTAATAGAGATTTTAAATTAAATAGTTTTTAAATATACAATAAAAAACAGGGAGGGGTTTTTAATATAGAGTCATTTAACATGGTACCTCTAATTAAGAGAAGAAAGAAATATGCAATCAAAGTTGATTTTGGAACAGAAGAACAAATAGATAAACCATTAAAATATCCTCCTGAGGTTGGTGGGTCTATAGCTAATTTCCCAGCTTTGAAAGGATATATAGAATTACCAAAAAAATATTATTTAGGACAAAATTTTAGTCCTCAAGTAGCTTATTACAGTGTAAATATTTTAATCATTTTACACTAATGAACGAAAATTTTTATTAGTAAGAATAAGGATGGACTACGGATGGTATAGAAGTCACTAAATATGATCCCGATTTAAGAATTATTACTTTTACAACAAAAACCCTAGCTCCTTTAGCATGTGTTTAGGTATTAAAAATATATTAATAAATAAATACTCATATTGAAATTCATTTTAAATAATAGGACGTTTGTTTAGATTATCCATATTAATCATTTATGTTAAGGTGTGTTTAAGAAGATCTTGCCATTCTTGACTTGCAAAGTAATGAATTTTATAGGTTATTAAATATTAACATCAATTTTTAAATAGCAAAAAGATTAAAATTAAAGTTTGAAATAGGAGCTGATGATGTAACTTTAGTAGACGAAAACAATTCTTTAGGTAGTATATTTAGTCATATTGTTAATAAGCCGATGACATATGCAGCTTTACTTTATGAATTACATAAAATTGGAGTTAATCTAATCCCTGAGTCTTAACATGCATTTTTATGTGATGTTCCTTAAAAAGAAATTGATGTTGAGAATAAAGCATTGCTAGAATTAATGATGATTATAAAGGCTTTTGCAGTGCGTAACAATTAAGATAATAAAATGTAAGGTGAAGATAAAATCCTTCTAGAAATTAGATAAAATATGGACTATTCCTATAAGCCTAGTCCTTTAGATGATGAATTAGAATGGGTAAAAACCGCAATATGGTGTAATAAGTGTGCTTTTATTAAAGATTAATCTAAATCAATAGAAACTATAAATGCTTCAAACTTTTTAAATAATTCTACTTCCCATGCTATGGTTTCGTTGATTATAGAATAACACTAAAATATTTTTAAGAATTCTTCTGATATAGTAGACAAAATGAATGATGTATATGTTTCTGATTTTTAGAATAATATGAGAAGATTCCTAAAAACATTGCGTCTTTTATCATTTACATGAAAATAAACAAATATTATTTATTTATTAATTATTTAATATCTTTCAATTGTCTTTTATGTGTTACTTAATTTTTTTGAAATATTTCAAAATTAATTTCCCTTTTTTATTGAATTCAAAAACTCAAATAATTTTTTAATTATCTTCTTTAGTGATCTTTTAATTTAAATCCTACAAAATAGATTCAAACTTTTATAATTATTTATTAATTAAAAAAATAATAAAAAAAAAATTTTTAGAGAATATAAAAGAAATACCACATCTGATATAAAACAGTTTTTAACAAACAACATTAAAGAAAGAGCACGTTTTACAACGTTAGTTTTTAATCATGTTATTTAGCTCTTTGTACTATAAAGATGAATCCCTGACTTAAATAAAAATAAAATCATCTTTATTAGACATAAAATATCAGATTGATATCTTTTATTATTTTCATGGCTTCAATAAACTATATTACAAATGAACCTAAGTATTTTCAAAATAAATATCTTTTCCCACAAATAAATCAATCTCATTTTAAATGATGTAGATGATGATGAGTTGAGACTTGTTGATTTTCTTTTCAATATATGAAATAATTTTTTAAAAATATAATAGAGAGACCATACCTAGATGCCATTAATAAAAAATAAAAAATAAATAAATAAAAAACTAAAAAATTAAAATAAAAAATAAATAAATAAATAAATAAATAATTAATTAATTAAATAAATAAATAATAAAAAACAAAAAATAGATAAAAACATAAAAATAAAAAGATAAAAAGATAAATAATCTTGTAATCAATGAAATGAAAACATAAAATTTTTAATAATATAGATTTTTTTAAAATTAAAATATAATATATAAATAAAAAAAACAAATTTATTATGACAGAATCTTTTAAATAGTCTAGCTAGTTGATTGATTAAAAAAAGTTTTTAACATTTTAAGTATATTAATTTTCTATGAAATCTTTTACTTTTCATCTTAAATACAAACATCATTAAGTTAGTACATTTTTATGTTCTTTTTACTTAGATTTTTTTATTTATTTAATACTTATTTTTTAAAAATTCAAAATTAAAATAATAATTAACTGAAGAAAGAAAACTAATTTAATTTGTTTTTTAAAATAAAAAGTTAAATATAAAAAAAGTAAATTAATTTTATACAAAATTTAAAGAATTTCACTAATTTTATTTTTTGAGAATTCAAAATTCTAAAAGAATTTCTAATAATCATTAAAAATAATTGAATTAAATTATTCTTAAATTAGAAATTTAGAACTTATTTTTATAATTATTATTTAAATATTTTATAACTTAAGATAAATAATAATAAAATTTATTATTCTTATTTTTGTAAATTGAATTAATAATTTAATCAATCATTTTTTCTAAAAAATTGGATTAATAATTTAATCAATTATTTTTTATAAAAAATTGGGGTTGGGGTTGGGGTTGGGGTTGGGGTTGGGGTTGGGGTTGGGGTTGGGGTTGGGGTTGGGGTTGGGGTTGGGGT